AAACATGTCATAATTCAATGACGGGTTCATAGCGGTATGAAACATGTCATAATTTCTTTGTGAGACCATGCAATTATATAGTGATGTGAACACAATTCAAATTTAATTCGAGGTTTGCAAAAGATTTAATCACAAAATTTTCAGATACCCCAATTCAGGACTGAACGATAACAACTGCAGGAATCCAGATGGGTAAGTCTTCCTACACAAAGCATACCACTGTCATGAAGTTGACACGAAAGTAGGGGCAAAGTATCAAATATTAATTAATTGAAATTTACAAAAACACCAAACCGAAAGGGGATCCTGAAATGATCCATGAAGTTGCTTTTGAGAATCCCACAATAATGTGTTAATCTATTCTTCAGTGAACCAGGCCCCTGGTGTTATAATGCTGAAGGAACTTTCCCCCGATGGGAGCTCTGTGGTGTACCTACATGTAGATCTTATACTGGTAAGTATACCTATTTTTGAATGTTTCAAACTAAAGCTAGAGAATTGCCTACAGAAAGAATATTATTTTGAGTATACGCAGGGTGATCCTTTATTAGAAACCCGCTAGTCAAAAGCTTTGTTCGAGGAAATTTTTAAAATCAGTTATGTTTTAATTTTATCATTCCTTCCGTAACGAGGTGGTTTTATTCGAAAAAATCAAATACTTTGGTTGTACTTGTTATAGTGGACGGGATGATGATAAATCACTCTACACTCGACTGTCACGTGACTTTTTTAACATGTTCTTTATGTGGCCCTGAATGACTATTCGAAACCCTAATCCTCTTATCTGATTCAAATCCTAACCCTTACCCAATCTCTAACTCAAACTGAATCATATGCAGATGCTGAAGCCCTAACCCTAATGAGAAATTAGATCAACTTCCCTGTATGATCGTATCACGTGATCGAGACAGTTTATTCGCCGATATCTCACCAGGAAAGCATTTTTATATTATGTGGGGTGATTCGGAATCAGCGTTCGAAAATACATCGATTCAGAAAAATCTCGAACATCGAGTGTAAAGTGATTTAGCACGCTCGGACACTGATCGATTAAACACTAGGCCCAGTGTGTGTTGAAGATGGTGATGATGGTTTATCGTACAGAGGAGATGTGGCTGTCACGGTATCAGGACGCGTGTGTCAGAGATGGGATTCTCAGTCACCTAATAAACACGGTGTAACTCCCGAGAGGTAAGTTTTCTTGTTGCTTTTTCAGACCTTGCACAGGGGAAATGTGTCTTTCCTGATAAATTACGGCTTCAAAATGTTCTAAATTATTAACAATCATAGATTATAGAATTAATTAGTCATAATTTCTTTGTGAGTATATAGTGATATGAACACAATTCAAATTTAATTCGAGGTTTTGCAAAAGATTCTATCACAACAACATTTTCAGATACTATAATGCAGGACTGAACGATAACTACTGCAGGAATCCAGATGGGTAAGTCCAAAGTCTTCCTACACAAAGCATACCATTGCCATGAAGCCAAATTCTAAATATTTTTGGCGCTTCACAGCCTGAATTTTTTTTTCAGTTCTCTGCGACTAATTGCGCATTTTCCTTTAAATCTGAGGACCAAATTCGCGTATTTTCCTTCAAATCTGCGGGCCAAATATCACGTTTTCAAAAAGTATATGAAACTAATCACATCCACAGTCTTCCGAATGTAGGTACGGACTTTGAAACCCGAACAAATATTTATGGCTCATAATGATCAGGGTAGCATGAATAATGAACAAAAGTAGTTTCCAAGAAAATTTTGAACATTTTTGACTTAGAAAATTGTTGGTAAAAAAACGAAAACAAATTTGTTTCCCAAAAATTTTTAGAAACTTAAATTAAAAAGATGGCCCTTTTTGGCCCCTTGCCCAGATTTTATGGGGGGATGCCCCCTGCCCCCCCGCCTCCTACACCCCTGGGCCTGGGGCAAAGTGTCAAATATTAATTAATTAAAATTTACAAAAACACCAAACCGAAAGGGGATCCTGAAATGATCCATGAAGTTGCCTTTGAGAATCCCACAATATATTGTGGTTACTGTTAATCTATTCATCAGTGAACCAGGCCCCTGGTGTTATAATGCTGAAGGAACTTCCCCCCGATATGAGCTCTGTGGTGTATCTACATGTAGATCTTATACTGGTAAGTATACCTATTTTTAAATGTTTTAAACTAAAGCTAAAGAATTGCCTACGGACAAAATTATATTTTGAGTATACGCAGGGTGGTCCTTTATTAGAAACCCGCTAGTCAAAAGCTTTGTTCGAGGAAATTTTTAAAATCAGTTAAATGTTTTAATTTTATCATTCCTTCCATAACGAGGTGGTTTTATTCGAAAAAAATCAGATACTTTGGTTGTAATTGACTGGATGTCTGTACCGAAAGGACCGTGGCCACAGGATCGGCTCCTCGATCCTAGCTTGCTAGGTTCGCCATTGTTGTTGTTGTTGTTGTTGGACGGGATGATGATTAATCACTCTACACTTGCGACTGTCGCGTGACATTATCTATTCGAAACCTTAACCCTCTACTGGCTACTCTAACCCCAACCCTAACCCTAACACAATCCCAAAGTGAAGCATATGCTGAAACCCTAACCCTAACATACAGTTTTCCAACAATATTTCGCCAGGGTAACCCTATGTCATGTGGGGTGATGAATTTTAAATGTTATTTTACTTTGAAACTGCAAAAAAATACGTAGTCTTGAAGGAAAATTGTATAGAATTTTGCAATATGGCAGGTAGAATTCTGTGGATTTCAAATGTTTTTGTGAAAATAATGTTGCAGGCAAAAAGTGGCGGATGAGATTTGGCAGGTTTTCAGAAAATCCGCCATATTTTTACAAGCCATATTTTTTGTTACTTTTGTTACTTTTGCAGTAACAAAAGTAACAAAATAAGTTTAGATAAACTTATTTTTTAGTGACGAATATTTCTGGTGTGAGGTCCCTACATGCGATACATCGTCATCTGAGTAGTATTGAAGCACCAACTTTCATGTTGAAAACTTAAATTAAGTTTATCCTGGCTCACCAAAGCCAAAATCAGTACAGTAACATCTCTTTCTACCGGGATTCTCTGGGGGACGAAAAATTGACGTTAAAGAAAATAGCGTGTACAAATTTTCACATGATCCCAATTCCCAATATATACATCCTTTATCAAAAAACATTTCGACCCTCTCATATAAACGGCTAATATGTGCAGTAAACATTTTTATTTGCTTCATGTTGAAATTTATTTCCGATTTCAGGGCCTGACCAGATCAAGTTTTCTGACTTTAATCTGAAAGAACGAATATACCCCAGCGGTCACATAGTGCAAGAGTTGACTTCAAACATGATCAAACTGGAAGTCTCTTCCTCCTTCTACATACATGCTCTTTTTACTGGAAACTATGACAGAGGATGCGGCTTCAATTTCAACATCATGGATAACAACATCGTGGAGCAGGAGCATATATTTCACCTTGACTTTCGACTTAACAATAAAAATCGTTACAGAAAACTGGAGCAGTCCTCCAAATTAAACAGGATATGGGGTTACATGGGGGGTACTACTACAGATTTACCTGACTTAGCCAGAGAAACGGAAATATACGTGACGGTAACGGACGAGTACTTCGAAGTCACCATCAACAACATCGAGATAACACCAAAGTTTAAAGTTGACTTGTCAAGACTTCACACATACGAGGGAATCAATGTGGAGTATTTAGGAGAATGTATTCGAATTGATAAAGACAAGAGTTACATGAGAAAAGGGGGTATGTTAGATTTACAATTATATCAGATATTTTGTGATAAGAGTGAAAATATTGTTGATTTCTAACCATGATTTCATAAAGAAAACATCAACATCTGAATTTTTCTAAGCCATAATTTTAATTAGTTCGTGATTTTGATAAATTAAAGTCCTTTTTTTAATTTTTATAAGCAGTTAATAGTAAAATTATAGGATTTAATAACATTACAAAATAAAAACAATCTTCTTTTTCAGGAGGAAAGTTTCAGTTCAGTCTCATCAATGAGGAGAATAAGCAGATCCAGTTGGGACAAAACTATGGGCTTCTATTGGCTAATCGTGCCGGCTCTTCAAAGGTAACGTTTATAAATTAAATCGGTCTTAGTGTCAAAATATGAATAATGTTTAACTTCAAAATTGAGGCTCACACATAAAAAAGATTGATTCTGGGTCTTCAATTTCCAATGCTAGAAGCTGATTGGCTAATAACCCTAGAATGGGACAGTTTGCGGAGAAAAGTTTAGTGACAAGTCAGCCACACTGATTTGCCAAGAGCTTGGTTTTAAAGGAAGCAATAGTTGGGAAACTGGATTGAACTGGTCGGATATCCAGAGCAATTACAACACGAGTTTACATGAAGTAGTATGTGATGAAAACAAATCAATCGTCGAAGAATGTGCTTATAGTACTGATCAGATTTCTTCTACATGCAGTCGTCAGCAAGACGTTTTCCTATCCTGTATCTCAAATAATGGTAATTAAATTGGTATACTGTATTTCGATGTTTTTATCCGCAAAACAAGAATTCCACTTTAAGAATCAAGACGTGAGGCAACAATTGTACGTACGAATATTATTTCTTATAAGTAGCCATTTTTTTCCTGAGGTATCCCATTAATCTTCTTTTCCTAACCCCCCCCCCCCCCCCCCCCCCACCCCTGCCACCAAGTTTATACCATCATCAAAAATAATTTGAAGGCTTATATTAAAATTGATAATTTATTAATATTTATTTTTACAGACACCTGCAAGATAGCAGAGCACAACAAATTTTTAAAGTGGATTTGTACCGACTACAAAGGAAATCAATACTTCAAATGTCTTGAGTCGGACACATACTACAACATTGAAGCAGCTCTGCCTGGCTGGAGTAAGTTCAGCAAATTGTGTGAAAATGATCCAAACTTTTACCAAGTCTGTGGGGCAGGGCACAAGGAAGAGCTTAGAGGTGCAGTAAAATTGACGTTCTTTGTGGATACTACATCTGTGAAGAAGAGAGTGGGATATTCAGCAGTGGATACAAGGCTGAGACTTCATACTCTTGTGATGGAGACCAACAGTGTAGCAACACAAACTTAGATGAAGCTGACTGCGAGGGTCACAGCTCGGTGACTATTCCTTCATCTAAATTATGTGATGGTTACTGTGACTTGATATACTGCGAAGATGAGTCCTGGTGTAATAACCATACTTACGGTGAACACTGTGAAGAAACATATCACCCTCCAATCTTAGTTGGGTTCACGTTGAATATTGAATGGTCTTTCTTGTGGAACGTTACAAGTTGTAAAAAAGATAAAAAGTTGAAAACAAATGAACATAAATGCAATTATTCTAATAATGAACTCATTGGTGACGAAAGTTTAGTAGAACTTAAACCTGATTATGAAGTTTATCTCAACAACTTCACAAGGTGTGGCGCGTTTAAGTACAGACAACCCGCAATCGATAAAGCTTTCTGGGTAAACTCGGAGTACAGCCCCTATTGTAAAAACTACTGGGACCAAACAAACTGTACTGATCCCTCAAAGGTTGCTCTGAACTGCATAGTCAACGGATATCCAGCAACTATATCGAAGCAAATTGTGTGTCATGGAATAGAAGGTATGATGCTCTGCAGTGATGGAATAGAAAATGAGTGCATTGACCTCTCTCCAACATGTACCAACTTACATAAACACAAGATGTGTGACAATGTTACCGACTGTTCGGACAGAAGTGATGAAGAAAATATTATGTGTAAACAACTTACTGAAAAAACCTGCATCAGACGACTAAATGGAAAGAGTTTGAAGATTCCCCTGGCTTGGTTAAAAGATGGTACCACTGACTGTCAGGATGGAATAGATGAAACAGATATTTGGCCTACTTGTGGAGAAGGTGATACTTATCGATTTGTATCTGATAAGTCAAGTTGCTTGGACGATTATCGTTGTTTGAATAATGACATTAAATTTGTCGGAATGGAAGAGCTCTGTGATGGCATAGATACATGTGGAAATGAAAATTCAGTGTGTAAATTTTCTAGAGGAACACCAGACCTGTACACCAAAATCAGCCATACAGGAAGCAATATAATGGATTTATCTTACTGCGTGAATGGACTAAGGTCATTGGAAAAGCTTGCACCAAACTGCGAACCAATGACATTTGGATATCCGAGAGGAAATGTGTTTGGGTTGATTGAGAAGAAGCTGATGCACATACCTGCTAATTCATTTGATTGCCAATACCTGTATGGAGAACTTTACCTGTACATGAGTTGTTCAGGAAAGTGTGGTAATCATGCACCATGTCCACTCACTAGACCTGTGCGACATGATTCATGTCCGGGGCAGTACCTAGATAGAACTTACACAGTCGTCAACAACAATTATCTCACATTTCTTATAAAGTCCCAAGGATCATACAATAATGATGTATTTGTATGTGAAAACAATCGTTGTCTTCCTTACCAAAAGGTTTGCGACTTAGTTGATGACTGTGGTGACGGGAGTGATGAACTATCTTGCACAAATCATTTCCAATGTGGTGGAAAAGGCAGCTTCGTTGCGAAATCTCAGCAATGTGACGGGATTTTTGATTGTGTGGACCTCTCCGATGAATGCAATGATCGTTGTGGAAAACATATTATCGAGGGCAAAATTCTGAAAGGTATGTCTTGGACAATAGGGGTACTAGCAGTGGTTTTCAACAGCGTTGTGGTGATTCAGAACCTTATTTCTATTAAGAAGTGCCTCTCTGTTGTGTCTTTACTCAACAAATTCCTCATTATGCTTATAAGTCTCGGAGATTTATTAGTAGGGGGCTATCTGCTGACCATTTCTATTGTAGATTATATTGAAGGTGACTTATATTGTCACAAACAAAAAGTCTGGTTGACTAGTAAAGCATGTTCATTGTTGGGGGTTCTAAGTACTCTTGGGTCTCAGTTCTCTCTTTTCTCAATGACTTTGTTGAGTATTGTAAGAATGTACGGTGTCAAAAACTCTTTCGGGGGTAGTAGTGGGTTGTCAAAGATAGGTGTTATCAGAAATATTAGCATCATCTTTGCAGTTATTGTTGTTTCTATGGCGATAGCAGTTGTTCCACTTCAACCATCTTTTGCAGACTTTTTCGTGAACGGACACTCATATGATTCAAGTATTCCACTTTTCGCTGGTTTTCCAGACAAATCTCAACACAAGAATGTCCTCACAGCATATTACGGAAGGATGAAAGATAGATATCTATCATGGGAAGTGATAATTGATCTGATGAAGGCAATGTTCACTGATAAATATAATGGACTACAGTACAAAAAAGTCAATTTCTATGGCAACGATGGTGTATGCCTGTTCAAATACTTTGTCAGTAGCGATGATCCGCAAAAGGATTATGTATGGGCAGTGCTTGCAATAAACTTTCTTTGCTTCACAATAATATCCACGTCCTATTTTGTCATCGGTTTGATATCTGCAAATTCTTCGAAGATGTTAACTGTCGGACACGCAAACAAAATGGTGAGCGACAGGAACCGGAAAATGAACCGCAAGATTGCTGTAATTATCTTTACTGACTTTTGCTGTTGGGTACCCTTCATAATCATATGTGCTCTACACACGCTTGGTATTATAGATGCTAGTCCTTGGTATGCTCTATTTTCAATAGTAGTATTACCTATAAACTCTGTGATAAATCCTTTATTGTACGACAATACCCTTACCTTGACAATTAGTAGAATCTTTAGTAGCATACAAGGATCGTCGAATGCATTTATTTCAAAGATCAGCCGAATAACATCAGATACCCAATTAGATCCAGGTCTTGATAATCAAGAAATGGGTAGGGTTGCAGGATCAGAGCAACAATCTACTGGTACGGATGCTATTCAGTCTAGAGGAAAGCCTGAGTGTGTAGGGGATGCTGACAAAGGTGGCATAAACTTCATATTAGTGGATACTGGTGTTTAATCAGCAAAATGTTCCTTTTCTAGATAAATGTTTGTCAGAAAATTGAGATATATACATATAATACTAATATTTGAAAAGCAATGGCTCATGAATTAACCGTTTTCTCATTTCGTGAATTTGTTAGTTTTTATTTTAAACTTATGCCAGGAAATAACGTTTTTATCCTATTTCCTTCAGCATCCCTACCACGAATATTTATTTCTACATTGACAATAAAGTTGCTAAAATAGTTATAATATAACAATTTAGGGGTACATAAAACCAATTAAAGAATTAAGCCTCTCTTACCGGTAGTATACCCAAGACATGGCACACTTTTAGCGGTCAGCTTGTAACACTCAAACCTTCCCTCTAATTTGTAGGAGCTATATTTACTGAAATATTAGGCCAATCAAGTCATCAAAACCCAGGATGAAGCAAGTAAACTATACAGTATAGTGTTCTTTGACAGTGTAAGCGTTATTAATATGTTATGCTTAATTGACTTGTTTTTAATCGATAAAAGGCTCCTTAGAATGAATCGATTTAATGTAAAAATAAAATGGATTCTGGCTAGCAAACGCACAGGTTCGTATTCATAGTTATTAGTAACTTGCAATAAAAGACAGCTGTAGTGTATGATCGTATGATATAACTCAAAAGTAAAGAGTAAGGCTGGTGAGGCACAAAATTTAATATTTAAAAGACGTAGTCATGAAAACGATGTAACTCGAGGCTTGTGACTGCTTTCAATCGATCATAAAATGTATCACATAATGAACTTGGGGCGACCGTGTCTAAAGAACATCACTGCTGACTCGCACTTTTCTTTCAACGTCAGCCAACGCTAGATGCTCAATAAAAGTTTATTGCTTTAATTTCGGTAGGACTCTGCTCATGGTACACGTACTCAAATTCGACACGCACTGTAGTTCGACAAACCCTAAGGTTCGACTCTGTCGAACTAAAGTGCGCTACCTGGACTCAAGTTCGACACGTACTAAAGTTCGACAAAAGAACTTTGACTGTCGAACTAGAGTTTTGAAATCTCCAATCTCAAGCGACTATCCTTTACGAGCTTGAAATCTATTCTACCGGTCTATAGATTAGGCTGCTGAACCGGGAACAGTAGGATATCAATTTATTTTCCTGTTAGCTAGACCAGAACCGAATGGCAAACAGGATAATTAAAACTATATTAAAATGTTCTGGAATTTCTAACCGCTGGTTGCTAGATGTCAGAAAATTGTTTAATCTGTCATTGAACGTAATTTAATCTGTCACTAAAGTAAGAACCCTCAGAACCCTGTGATCCTATAACAATGAGGATCTGTCAATAGCCGTTGGATCACAAGCAGAAACTTTTTGTCGAACTAGAGTACGCTACCTGGACTCTAGTTTGACACGTATTGAACTTCGCCACTCGCCAGAGGTGATAATTGATATCCGGTGAGCTTAAGTTGTCGAACTATAGTGCATGTCGAACTAGAGTACGTGAATCAAATCGGCTTACGTAATATGCTTAGTGCTAACTTTACAGAGAGAAATTAATTGTATTTAGAACACGTGCATTAATCGTCACCGATTATCAACACAACACGGAATCGTTGTCATAGTGACTGGTGAGTAAGAGACGGTAAGTAGCTACCGGCTTCATGTCGAGTGGTCAGTGGACAGTTTAATTTGTCCACTGGCCATGTATCATCTGTAATTTCGTAGACTTGCGTGAACTAATATGTTCAACTAATGTCTCCCTCCCAGAATAGTTGGTGACTCCTTGTATTATTTTATTGGTGGACTTAATGTTAAGGATGTGTAGTCTTCATGATTTTATCAATTTGGTAAATTCTGCCACTGTAATACCAATTTAAAGTTATTTTTAAGGTTTTGGGCTGATGCCGTGATGTTGATTTTAAAAAGCTCTCCAAAGGATTATTTGATTAAACAATGGTTGACCAAGTTATACAAGCCAAATAATGGCGAAGCAGAATTTATAAGTTGAATCTATTTATTTTTTATCAACCAAGCGGTCATATTGAAACTTGTTTTGTTTACCTTTAGGATCCCAAACTGCGATGATATTCAAACAACCCAGCATGACGGTGATAGTATTTCTTTTGGTGATTCAATTAGCATTAGTCCTCTCAGGTTAGTCTCTATTTAATCTTCATACCTTAGTTCGTTTAATTATGGCGGGTTAAATTTGCCAGTATTTCGGAAAATTTGCCATATTTTTACCCGCCATTATTTTTACCTTGATTTCTCTTGGAGAATTTCTCTTTACACTCTTAACTTGCAAACAAATTGAAGCAGCAGACTTTAAGCTAGAAACTTTATTGAATAGAAATAATCATTCCACGTAACTACGTCTTCTTCAGTTCTGTAATAAAATTGTTAAACATGTGTAACATGTGTACAACAGTATTTAGTTGTATTAGCTTACATTTCTTCTTGTCGTATTTTTTGTTGTTTTGAATTTTTTGAATTACATTTTTGGGTCATATTTCGTAAATTTTATTTCTCTGTTTTTGTTTTAATGTTATTTTAAATTTCTTTCCGTCGTTAATTTTACACATGTTTAACAATTTTATTACAGAACTGAAGAAGACGTAGTTACGTGGAATGATTATTTCTATTCAATAAAGTTTCTAGCTTAAAGTCTGCTGCTTCAATTTGTTCGCAAGTTAAGAATGTAAAGAGAAATTTTCCAAGAGAAATCAAGTTCAAATGCGACTCATAAATATAGCCCCCTTGAACTATTATTTTTACCCGTCATAATAAAACCCGCTGAGTCACTTTTTGGAGTTCTGACAGGGTATATGGTTCTGAATGGGTATATAGCATAATACTGTTATCGTTCCTTTTTTACATTGAAAAAAAAATAGCATTATGGAGTCACTTATTAGGTATTCCGAACATAACGAGGTGATTTTCGGAAAAAAATCAAATACATACATCTTCTATCAATAATATTCCAAGCCTCTCATATGAACGATTTCAGGGCCTGACCAGATCAAGTTCTCTGACTTCAATCTGAAGGAACAGATATACTCCAGCACTCACATAAAGCAAGACATGACTACAAACATGAAACTGGAAGTCTCTTCCTCCTTCTACATACATGCTCTTTTTACTGGGAACTATGACAGAGGATGTGGCTTCACTTTCAACATCATGGATAACAACAGCGTGAAGCAGGAGAATATATTTCACCTTGACTTTCGCCTAAACAACAAAAATCGTTACAGAAAGCTGGTCCAATCCTCCAAATTCAACAAGAAATGGGGTTAATAAAACAAAAGTTAAATTTTTTATCAAGTATTCAATCAATACATAATATGATAAACTCTAACTCTACACAGCAAAATGGATGCTTTAAACTATAACATTGTTGTAGCTAATAATCTAATAGGTTACATGGGGGAGATTACTACAGATTTGCCTGACTTAGCCAGAGAAACGGATATATACCTGACGGTAACGGACGAGTACTACGAAGTCACCATCAACAACATCGAGATAACACCAAAGTATAAAGTTGACTTGTCAAGACTTCACACATACAAAGGAATCAATGTTAAGTACTATGGAGAGTGTCTTCGATTTGATAAAGACAAGAGTTACATGAGAAAAGGGGGTATGTTAGATTTACAATTATATCAGATATTTTGTGATAACTGATAAGAGTGAAAACATTAATGATTTCTAATATACAGGGTGGGCCAAAAGTCAGTGTGCAAACGTTGGCCTTAATAGCTCAGTCACTGAGTGCCCAATTGAAAAACTTCCTTCTAGTATGACTAAGTACCACCACTGGTTCGAGGAATTTGTCAACTCGAAAAATATTCGCGTTCATTTTTTTCAAATGGAGGTTCATTTTCACATTTATTTGACAGTTTGGATAGTCGGATCAAGCTAAATGTTATTGAATTGTGTTTGGCCATTCGAATTACGTTTGTCCTGAAAGAATTAGAACTGTAGCTTCTCAGATGACCGAGATACGAAGCATAACGAGTTTATTCATTACGTGTGATCAGGTGATTGGTTTACCTAATCACGTGATAAGGTGACCCCGTTAACTACCCCGTTAAACATTATGGGAATTGTTAAGGGTGCCCAATTAAGGTGTCGTGTCACGGTGTCACATAATCACCCAGTCAATTTTGTTAACGAGATACACAAAATGCTTGATAACTTCGTCATTTCTAATCCGTTTTGCCTCATGTTTTCGGATCATATGCAACATTTGATAATCTACCGTCTCTGAAAAAATTAGGCGTTCAGCATTTCCAGAGAAAACAATATAGGTGTTTTAATATTGAATGGGCGTGGTCTAAAATATTCGAATTTTCAAATTTTGACGACGGAATCCTCGAACCAGTAAGTACAGTATGCCATCTGCAAAGCAACAGCTCTTATAACCATGATTTCATTTTTATTAAATCAATATCTGAATTTTCACTGAGCCATAAGTTTAATTCGTTTGCGTTTTTGATAAATGAAAGTCCTTTTATAAATTTTTTTTTTTATTAGCAGTTAATAGTAAATTATAGGATTTAATAACATAACAAAATAAAAACAATCTTTTTTTTCAGGAGGAAAGTTTCAGTTCAGTCTCATCGATGAGGAGAATAAGCGGATCCAGTTGGGACAAAACTATGGGCTTCTATTGGCTAATCGTGCCGGCTCTTCAAAGGTAAATTTTATAAATTAAATCGGTCTTAGTTAAAAAATATAAATAATGTTCATCTTCAAAATTGAGGATCACACATAAAAAAAGATTTATTCTGGGTCTTCAATTGCCAATGCTAGAAGCTGATTGGCTAATAAGTAATATCCCTAGAATGGGACAGTTTCCGGAAAAAAGTTAAGTGACAAGTCAGCCACGCTGATTTGCCAAGAGCTTGGTTTTAAAGGAAGCAATAGTTGGGAAACTGGATTGAACTGGTCGGGTATCCAGAGCAATTACAACACGAGTTTATATGAAATAGTGTGTGATGAAAACAAATCAATCGTCGAAGAATGTGCTTATGGTACTGATCAGACTTCATCTACTTGCAGTCATCAGCAAAACGTTTTCCTATCCTGTATCTCAAATAATGGTAATTAAATTGGTATACTGTATTTCGATGTTTTTATCCGCAAAATAAGAATTCCACTTCAAGATGTGAGGCAACAATTGTACATACGAATTTTATTTCTGATGAGTAGCCATTTTGTCCTGAGGTACACCCCCCCCCCCCCCCCTGTCACCAAGTTCATATCGTCATCAAAAATAATTTGAAGGCTTATATTAAAATTGATAATTTATTAATATTTATTTTTACAGACACCTGCAAGATAGCAGAGCACAACAAATTTTTAAAGTGGATTTGTACCGACTACAAAGGAAATCAATACTTCAAATGTCTTGAGTCGGACACATACTACAACATTGAAGCAGCTCTGCCTGGCTGGAGTAAGTTCAGCAAATTGTGTGAAAATGATCCAAACTTTTACCAAGTCTGTGGGGCAGGGCACAAGGAAGAGCTTAGAGGTGCAGGTAAAATTGACGTTCTTTGTGGATACTACATCTGCGAAGAAGAGAGTGGGATATTCAGCAGTGGATACAAGGCTGAGACTTCATACTCTTGTGATGGAGACCAACAGTGTAGCAACACCAACTTAGATGAAGCTGACTGCCAAGTTCACAGCTCGGTGACTATTCCTTCATCTAAATTATGTGATGGTTACTGTGACTTGATATACTGCAAAGATGAGTCCTGGTGTAATAACCATACTTACGGTGAACACTGTGAAGAAACATATCACCCTCCAATCTTAGTCGGGTTCAATTTGAATATTGAAGGCTCTAACTTGTGGAACGTTACAAGTTGTAAAAAAGATAAAAAGTTGAAAACAAATGAACAGAAATGCAATTATTCTAATAATGAACTCATTGGTGACGAAAGTTTAGACGAAATTAAACCTGATTATGAAGTTTATCTCAACAACTTCACAAGGTGTGGCGCGTTTAAGTACAGACAACCCGCAATCGATAAAGCTTTCTGGGTAAACTCGGAGTACAGCCCCTATTGTAAAAACTACTGGGACCAAACAAACTGTACTGATCCCTCAAAGGTTGCTCTGAACTGCATAGTCAACGGATATCCAGCAACTATATCGAAGCAAATTGTGTGTCATGGAATAGAAAGTATGATGCTCTGCAGTGATGGAATAGAAAATGAGTGCATTGACCTCTCTCCAACATGTACTAACTTACATAAACACAAGATGTGTGACAATGTTACAGACTGTTCCGACAGAAGTGATGAAGAAAATATTATGTGTAGACAACTTACTGAAAAACCCTGCATCAGACGACTAAATGGAAAGAGTTTGAAGATTCCCCTGGCTTGGTTAAAAGATGGTACCACTGACTGTCAGGATGGAATAGATGAAACAGATATTTGGCCTACTTGTGGAGAAGGTGATACTTATCGATTTGTATCTGATAAGTCAAGTTGCTTGGACGATTATCGTTGTTTGAATAATGACATTAAATTTATCGGAATGGAAGAGCTCTGTGATGGCATAGATACATGTGGAAATGAAAATTCAGTGTGTAAATTTTCTAGAGGAACACCAGAACTGTACACCAAAAGCAGCCATACCGGAAGCAATATAATGGATTTATCTTACTGCGTGAATGGACTAAGGTCATTGGAAAAGCTTGCACCAAACTGCGAACCAATGACATTTGGATATCCGAGAGGAAATGTGTTTGGGTTGATCGAGAAGAAGCTGATGCACATACCTGCTAATTCATTTGATTGCCAATACCTGTATGGAGAACTTTACCTGTACATGAGTTGTTCAGGAAAGTGTGGTAATCATGCACCATGTCCACTCACTAGACCTGTGCGACATGATTCATGTCCGGGGCAGTACCTAGATAGAACTTACACAGTCGTCAACAGCAATTATCTCACATTTCTTATAAAGTCCCAAGGATCATACAATAATGATGTATTTGTATGTGAAAACAATCGTTGTCTTCCTTACCAAAAGGTTTGCGACTTAGTTGATGACTGTGGTGACGGGAGTGATGAACTATCTTGCACAAATCATTTCCAATGTGGTGGAAAAGGCAGCTTCGTTGCGAAATCTCAGCAATGTGATGGGATTTTTGATTGTGTGGACCTCTCCGATGAATGCAATGATCGTTGTGGAAAACATATTATCGAGGGCAAAATTCTGGAAGGTATGTCTTGGACAATAGGGGTACTAGCAGTGGTTTTCAACAGCGTTGTGGTGATTCAGAACCTTATTTCTATTAAGAAGTGCTCTTCTGTTGTGTCTTTACTCAACAAATTCCTCATTATGCTTATAAGTCTCGGAGATTTATTAGTAGGGGGCTATCTGCTGACCATTTCTATTGTAGATTATATTGAAGGTGACTTATATTGTCACAAACAGAAAGTCTGGTTGACTAGTAAAGCATGTTCATTGTTGGGGGTTCTAAGTACTCTTGGGTCTCAGTTCTCTCTTTTCTCAATGACTTTGTTGAGTATTGTAAGAATGTACGGTGTCAAAAACTCTTTCGGGGGTAGTAGTGGGTTGTCAAAGATAGGTGTTATCAGAAATATTAGCATCATCTTTGCAGTTATTGTTGTTTCTATGGCGATAGCAGTTGTTCCACTTCAACCATCTTTTGCAGACTTTTTCGTGAACGGACACTCATATGATTCAAGTATTCCACTTTTCGCTGGTTTTCCAGACAAATCTCAACACAAGAATGTCCTCACAGCATATTACGGAAGGATGAAAGATAGATATCTATCATGGGAAGTGATAATTGATCTGATGAAGGCAATGTTCACTGATAAATATAATGGACTACAGTACAAAAAAGTCAATTTCTATGGCAACGATGGTGTATGCCTGTTCAAATACTTTGTCAGTAGCGATGATCCGCAAAAGGATTATGTATGGGCAGTGCTTGCAATAAACTTTCTTTGCTTCACAATAATATCCACGTCCTATTTTGTCATCGGTTTGATATCTGCAAACTCTTCGAAAATGTTAACTGTCGGACACGCAAACAAGATGGTGAGCGACAGGAACCGGAAAATGAACCGCAAGATCGCTGTCATTATCTTTACTGACTTTTGCTGTTGGGTACCCTTCATAATCATATGTGCTCTACACACGCTTGGTATTATAGATGCTAGTCCTTGGTATGCTCTATTTTCAATAGTAGTATTACCTATAAACTCTGTGATAAATCCTTTATTGTACGACAATACCCTTTCCTTGACAATTAGTAGAACCTTTAGTAGCATACGAGGATCGTCGAATGCATTTATTTCAAAGATCAGCCGAATAACATCAGATACCCAATTAGATCCAGGTCTTGATAATCAAGAAATGGGTAGGGTTGCAGGATCAAAGCAACAAGGTACTGGTACGGATGCTATTCAGTCTAGAGGAAAGCCTGGGTGTGTAGGGGATGCTGATGAAGGCGGCATAGACTCCATAGTAGTGGATACTGGTGTTTAATCAGCAAAAAATGCTTTAAATGTTCATTTTCTAGATAAATGTTTGTCAGAAAATTGAGATATATGCATATAATATTTGAAGAGCAATGGATCATGAATTAGCCGTTTTCTCATTTCGTGAATTTGTTAGTTTTTATTTTAAACTTATGCCAGAAATACCGTTTTTATTTTATTTCCGTCAGCATCCCTACCACGAATATTTATTTCTACATTGACAATAAAGTTGCTAAAATAGCTACAATATAACAATTTAGGGGTACATAAAAGCAATTAAAGAATTAAGCCTCTTCTTACCGGTGGTATACCCAAGACATGGCACACTTTGAGCGGTAAGCTTGTAGCCACTTGATGTACAGTTCTTCTCAGCCTCGAATTGTGTCTTGTATGATCTCCTGTAGAGACAGGGTCATACATTTCATTTAAAGAGGCACTTCCACTTTCAAGTTTCACTTTCATTTTAAAAGTCACTATCACTTTCACATTTAAAGAGTCACTATCACTTTCACTTTCATTTGGAAAGCCACTATCACTTTCACATACAACATAAACCATAAATTGTAATTTTCACTGCAATCATTTTCTTTCACGATTCTTAACTGTAAACAGTCACTTTCCCATTTGATTGTTTGTAAATAACAGCTTCCATTTCTTTGTAAACAGTCAAATTCACGTTCACTTTCACTTTCACTTTCTTCCAGTTAACATAAGTATAACATACCAGTGTTTGTAGCATTTGTTCTCACAGAGAGTGTCCCCAATTGTATCGCACGTGTAATCATTATCTGAGAAGTTAAACTGTTAAATATAGTTTACAGGTTTCCAGCTGTCAAATACTGCTCAGTCATGAAAATCATCTATTCTTTTTTAAGGTCACATTTTATGTGGACCCTGTTTATAAAGCTTTTAAATCACGAAAGAATAATAATACTAAAAGTGGCTGGAAAATAAACAGATAGTAATAAAAATATAAGTGGACAAGTTTTGATGCCTTTTGGACAAAATGAAAACGAGAATACTAAATCACTTTCAAAGATTAATAAACTGATAACCTGGATGGTACGGGTCTGGATCTATTGTATCGTCGTGTGGTATCTCCTTAGCAGGGGACTGACAGTGGAACTGTTTTATTGTATCACATGACACCATCGTCACGTGCAAGTTCCCTGTCTGGATGAGAGTTTGGAAGGTTATTGGGGTCACAGGGGGTCACAGGGGGTCACAGGGGTCACAGGGGGTCACAGGGGTCACAGGGGGTCACAGGGGGTCACAGGGGTCACAGGGGTTTGATAGGGATTAGGGTATGATGGGTTTGATTGATGAGTTGTGACAGTTATATGTATTTTTACCGATCGTAAAAATACGGTTTGAAGTACTACAACAAACTGTCATTCCGTAATATGCACCAGCGGAATAGGATCACAAATATACAAATCTGATTCCAACCTTGTATAAACAAGTTTTAAAATGTGTGGCCTCTTCTTTAGTGAACCAGTCGATAGTTTTGTCTTCCGTTACGTAGAAAGGGGTCCAGAAAGGTTGCATCAAGTTTGTATCAGTGTCAACAACGTTTCCGTAGGTCAATTGATCTTCATCGTCTCTGCGAAATAAAAAATATCTCTAAATTATGGAATAAATAAAACCATAATATTGCTTTCACATAAATTCTTCCAAAATAAAATAGCAATTTACCCAAAAAATACCCATTGAACTTTGATTGGTTTTAAAACGAACAAATGTAAAAATCATACCCATAGTTGAACCGAAAGATGGAGCTATCTTTGGGACAGATATCTTTGGCGAATGTGTCTGCAGCAGCGCTGGTTTCCTTAGAGGGTCTCACGCAATACTTGTATGTGTTTCTTATTGCCTCAACCCAACCACTTTCACACGCTTTACCTGCGGTAAGGAGCATGTTCATTTTATAATCTTCTTTACTGAACTTTTGAATGAGTGAAGCGAATTTAAATGCCCAGTTCCCATTCAAAGTTATCAAATATCCATGTTTTGAAGGTTCTGGAACAGAACAGCTTAGAATGAATTTCTTTAATTCGAGGAGCGAGCAGAAGTTGTAAATGCAATAAGTGAACATGTGACGAGAGTCGAGACATTTAGGCGAGGCCGCTCTACAATCTTAATACGATGAATAAAATTCTCATAATGTTCTGGTAGATCTTCGAAGGTGTAACTGTAAAGTTCCTCCTTCCTAGTTATTTATGGCTATTCGGTATGCGGGCAGAAATAAATAATTAAATTTCAATGGAATTCTTGTTCCAGCAGGTTCTGTTAAGAGGAAAACTCGGTATAAATTAAATGGTTTTACCAGATAAGACATCAGCTGTCTTAATACGGTTAAAACCTTCGATCTTCGAACTTCGAAGGTGTTAATCAAAATTCCCCTTAATTTCTAATATGTTTACGGTTATTCGGTATGCGGGCAGAGTTTGAATAATAATTACATTTTGATTGAGATTATTTAAATTTCGTAGAGTTGTAAATTCTTTACAACTCTACGAAATTTATACTGGAGCCAAACTAACAGCATTAAATCTGATTCTTTCCTTGAAACATTTATAATTTATCGACTTTTACATACTATTCTAACATAGTTTATATTTCTGATTATCTACCTCAGTTATTTGTGATGACGACATCTGTCCGATGGAAGTCATGTTTTGCTCTCCTTACAATGATGACACTGACAGCAACTACTACACCTAATGAAGAGGTTGGTAATTTAGAATTTTCACCCGAGTTTTTATCCCATTGTGGTTACCAATCATAATTGGGGACCTTTATTATAATTCAAGCTTTTATGGGCTATCCTTTCACGGCCAGGGTACGGTAATCCATAATATAGCTCCGGTTAATTTTTAACTTCTGAATAAAATTCCACCGTACAGGAGAGAGCAGACATATCAGCGATCGATGATCTGAAAGATCTGCTGTACACCTCAACCCATAACATCATCTCCCTTAATGATCTGGTGACCAAGCTGACCGAGAAAATAGTTCTCCTTACCCTCTCAGCTGAGGACACCAGAACGGAAATAAAAACGACACAATCTGAAATTAAAGACCTGAAAGAGCAAGATTCAAGATTGCTGCAGCAGATTACTGCCGTTAAGGAGAACATGAGAGAAATTTTTATGATTGATGGAGGGTGGAGTGACTTTGGTGACTGGTCTGAATGCTCTGCTGAATGTGGTGGAGGAACAAAGAAAAGGGACAGGACCTGTACTAACCCTGCACCTGAACATGGAGGAGCTGAATGCCAAGGAGAGGACTCGGAAAACCAGGATTGTAACACACAAGATTGTCCAGTTGATGGAGGGTGGAGTGACTTTGGTGACTGGTCTGAATGCTCTGCTGAATGTGGTGGAGGAACAAAGAAAAGGGACAGGACCTGTACTAACCCTGCACCTGAACATGAAGGAGCTGAATGCCAAGGAGAGGACTCGGAAAACCAGGATTGTAACACACAAGATTGTCCAATCGATGGAGGGTGGAGTGACTTTGGGTATTGGTCTGAATGCTCTGCTGAATGTGGTGGAGGAACAAAGAAAAGGGACAGGACCTGTACTAACCCTGCACCTGAACATGAAGGAGCTGAATGCCAAGGAGAGGACTCGGAAAACCAGGATTGTAACACACAAGATTGTCCAATCGATGGAGGGTGGAGTGACTTTGGGTATTGGTCTGAATGCTCTGCTGAATGTGGTGGAGGAACAAAGAAAAGGGACAGGACCTGTACTAACCCTGCACCTGAACATGAAGGAGCTGAATGCCAAGGAGAGGACTCGGAAAACCAGGATTGTAACACACAAGATTGTCCAATTGATGGAGTGTGGAGTGACTTTGGGTATTGGTCTGAATGCTCTGCTGACTGTGGTGGAGGAACAAAGAAAAGGGACAGGACATGTACTAACCCTGCACCTGAACATGGAGGAGCTGAATGCCAAGGAGAGGACTCGGAAAATCAGGATTGTAACACAAAAGATTGTCCAATCGATGGTGGGTGGAGTGACTTTGGGGATTGGTCAGGGTGCTTTGGTGATTTTGGCGAGGGGAAACAAGCCCGCGTTAGAAGCTGTACCAACCCAACCCCACAACATGGTGGGGCAGAATGTAAAGGGAAGACTAAGGAATCCCAAAGATGTGCTGTATGTACGTATGGCGCATATGGCGAATTGTGTGAGTAGGAGATGAGGAATAGTATCGTGCGTGGAATGAGGTGGTAAATCTGAACATTCCATCCACCACCCATGTCATTGCAGTCAACTGTGTGGACTTAGGTGGAGGGTACGGGATCATTGCATCTATTCAAGATGCTCGAGGGGAACGACATGATAGTGACAGACACCTCCTGGAGGTGTTCTAACGTGTGGGAGAGTGGGTGGCAGGGGTCTAACTTTACTGAAGGTGACAACTGGAATCAAGCTACGGATCTTGGAGATGGGACCCCTTTGACATATAAAAATGGAGTCAGTGACTGGACGAATGTACCGGTATCTAGTAGACGACCAATTTGGACAAGCAGTGATTCCTATACGAACAAGTCAGTATACTGTCGCAAAACTCTTGGCTAGTCTCAACGTGTCAATTCTTTAATAATTAGACTTTTGAAATAAATGTATCTCACAAATGATTTTATGATTTTTACTCGGGGTTTCACTGTTTTTTAAAAGTAAACTTATCTCACAAATGCATAATTTTATTCATGTTTGATTTTTAGATGTTTTATCTCTGTATCGTATTTTATTGTAAACCATTTAAAAAATGAAACTTCATTAGCTATATTATTGTATTATTCATCTTTGAGAACTTGTATAATTATGATATAAGCTTCATCTCTCGCTTCACGCAAACATTCATTTTAAAACATTCACTTTAAAACATTCACTTTAAAACATTTACTACCACTCCCACTTACCGTTTTGGAGTTTCTTAGAACACAAAACATGAAGTTTCCTGGAACAGGGAGCTATGTTAAAAAGGGGGTTATCAGGCGAGGCGAGGCCGAGAGGGTTGGTGTAAGAGTACACACAGTACTTGTCTTTAACATCTCCTCTTGTTGCGATAGTGTTCTTCAACCAACCTGGTAATTGAGCGTACTAATTAAGTAATTACTAAAGTATATCATTGTATCATTGTTTAAGCTGGCAGCTAAAACTTTGAGATTGCAATTATGGGGTTACCCAAAATGGAGGCCACCATTTACAACTATGCTTTACTCAGAATCAGGCGCGAAAATGAAAGATGGTTAATTAATTTAAATGCCAAACTCAAACCAAAGAATGGGAACTTGTGACCGAAGTGCTGCAATACTGTCGCACGACACTATTACAACAGTGCTGTCGCACTATACTTTTACTTCTACAAACAAAAACAATCTTGATAATTTGTAATGATAATTAATTGTACTACGGGCAACATTTTCGAAGTTTCGTAGTAGTGCTCTTACCTGATAATTTGTTCTGTTCCAGTGTTGAATCTGGTAACTCTTTGTTCAGAGACTGACAATGTTTCTCTGCATCATTTTTATACATAACCGCAGATCTGAAGTGGATGTGAAAATTCCTTCTCGGACTTTATTTGAACGGACATTAAAATGAACGCTAGGGCCTCCAACCTTCCAACGTTCAATTAATGTCCTTTCAAATAAAGTCCGATAAAGTAGATCTTGCAGATAGTGGTTAAACGTATATTTTGTATTTACACGTAAAAGAGATTCTGGTGTTGGGAGCTGATTAGTAAATGATTTGTGGTTAAAGATTTAAGACTTATAAAACTTACTTCATGTTTTTGTAGCACTGCTTCCCGATTAAAACTTCCTCTCGTGGGCAGTAATACTCTAAAACATTAACTGTTACAACTTACAATAACTGTTACATTAACTGTTACATTAACTGTTACATTAACTGTTACATGATCTTGGTAGTGACGCTAAATCGGACAATATATTTTCATCATCATATATAGAAACATATTAAAGAAACTCACACAGAGAATTGACTTACCATCAGAGTCGCTGCTGAAGCACTTAATCAGTAGACTCACCAACAACACTACAAATACAATATTACGAACCATGTCAGAAACTCAGAAGAAAAGCACAGCGGGCTGTATATACAACAGATGATGTCGTGCTTTACAGTGAAAACTCTAATGAAATAAGGGGTTGAAGGGTAAGAGGCCGAGGAATGGGTCAGGTTTCAAATATGAACCGTGATAAAGTGAGACTGGTACTGTAGAGCTGATGAATGGAGAATTGAAATATTCGTTTAAAAGTTCATCTGGTGCAATGCCAGGGTGCATGTTGCTAATTAAGAGTTCTTGTGAAAATTTTAAGCACTGGGTTTATCATGATATTTTGAGAATGGCGGGACGTGAGAATAATGAAAATTTGTTTAACTGTAGCATGTAAACTAGAAACAATTAGTTTTCGATAAAACGATAAATTATGTTTATATATCATGATCGATTACCGTTTCATCACAAGTTTTCATGTGACTACTGACTGGACAGCCAACATACCATTTCTCATTTACAAATTCCATTAGTAAGAGAAACTGATGGTAATAGCGCTATTTTGGCATGCTCCAACAACCAGGTAACGCTTCTATCACGACCCTCTTAAAGTCTGAACTCTCACGAACCACGCAAGTCTTGTAAAATGTTGTTTGGTTTGGTTGCACTGTTGTTGGTACCCTCCTCCTCCTCCTCCCTCCACCGCTTGTCTTATTTCGAAGATGAGATATTACATATTATGTTGTACGAGAGAAGGGTTGCTGATGATCTGTACAGTCAGTACCATTATCATGACAACAACAAAGAGGATAAGTGTTTTGGGAAAATGCAGAAAATGATGGGCTGTGTGAAGAACAATGATTATCACCTCCACGTTATCCACAAACTGCCTACGGTTTTTACTTTTACTTTTTATATCTTCTACATATCTGAGAAATTCGGAGTGCAGAAAAGTGTTCTGAAAAGAGTATAATATGATGGTATAACTATATTCTGTAACTACTCATTCGAGGATTCCGTCGCCACAATTTGAAAATTCGATTTTTAGGGGCCACGCCCAATTAACATTAATTTGCGTATACTCGTGTTTCTGAACATATTAGAAACTCCATTGTAACATATTGATATAGGTCATGAAATCAGGAATTAGGAATATGATCTGAAAAGACAAAACTGATGTAAAATGACGAAGTTATCAAGCAATTTGTTTATCTCGTTAGCAAAATTGATTGATTGGGTAATCAATGATTATATTTATTGATGATTAATCAATGATTATTGATCATTGATTACGACACCGTAATTAGGCTCTCTGCACGATTACCATAATTTGGATATAGTATTAACCCAATCACCTGATATTCACACGTGATATTCACACGAATGAAAACTAGAAACAATCAGTTTTCGAAAAAACAATAAATCATGTTTATATTTTGGCTCTCTTGAGTGGGTCCATCATGATTGATTGCAGTTTCATCAAAAGTTTCAGAATAAGAACTCAAAGCAAAAGTAATTTAAAATTAATAATTTTAGAGTAAAATAAGATTACTACCCCTCTTTTAAGGGGGTATACACCAAAACAGGGGGTTTGTGTCGGCCAACCCAAATGACCTCACAGAAAGTTCAGTGACCATTTAGCGCACCGATTCGATTCCACCCCAAAAATTTGTTTTTGAGAACTCATTTCTGTAATCGACCATTTTCTGGTCAGTCAGGGAACCTCGGAATGTTTTGATGATGGGCCAGGATTCAGAGAACAATTTCATGTCAAGTACCAAAACAATCTGATGTTCCCTGACTGACTTTTCGGTCAAATTAAGCCTGAAAAAGACAATTTCAGCTTTTTGACTTAAGAGGTTATAACAACACAGCCTTTTGAGATACGGTAATGAAGTTTTGCACGCATGTAGAGCTGTACAGAAACAGATTTTGTGATAAATTTAAGGTCGATATCACAAGAAATAGCTAAATTATAGCTTCTCAACCAAAAAAAATTATAACAAATTTTTAGGGTGGAACCGGTGCGCTAGATGGTCGCTGAACTTCCTGTGAGATCATTTGGGCTGGAAAATTTTGTTGCATACCCCCTTAAACCTTTACTTAACGATAATTCAATGACAATTCGATAATAACGCCATCAGGTATCATGGGACAGTGTTGGGCACATTGGCACCACGTAACCAATTTCTGTGTCACGTGACTTTTACTTTTCTAGGTCACGTGACTACTGACTGGACAGCCAACATACCATTTCTCATTTACAAAGTCCATTAGTAAGAGAAACTGATGGTAATAGCGCTCTTTTAGCATGCTCCAACAACCAAGTAACGCTTCTATCACGACCCTTTTAAAGTCTGAACTCTCACGAACCACGCAAGTCTTGTAAAATGTTGTTTGGTTTGGCTGCACTGTTGTTGGTACCCTCGTCCTCCTCCTCCCAACCCCGCTTCTCTGATTTCGAAGATCAGATAATCCATATGATGTACGAGAGAAGGGTTGCTGATGATCTGTACAGTCAGTACTATTATCATGGCAACAACAAAGATGATATAAAGTGTTTTGGGAAAATGCAGAATATTATGGGCTGTGTGAGGAACAATGATTATCACCTCCACGTTATCCACAAACTGCCTACGGTTTTTACTTTTACTTTTTATATCTTCTACATATCTGAGAAATTCGGAGTGCAGAAAAGTGTTCTGAAAAGAGTATAATATGTGACTTGTAACTTTGCAGATGGTATACTGTAACTACTCATTCGAGGATTCTGTCGCCAAAATTTGAAAATTCGATTTTTAGGGGCCACGACCAATAAACATTAATTTGCGTATACTCGTGTTTTTGAACACATTAGAAACTCCATTGTAACATATTGCTATAGGTCATGAATTCAGGAATATGATCTGAAAAGACAAAACTGATGTAAAATGACGAAGTTATCAAGCAATTTGATTATCTTGTTAGCAAAATTAGCAAAAATATCAGGTGATTGGGTTAATACTATAAGATCCGAATTATGGGAATCGTGCAGAGAGCCTAATTACGGTTTCGTGGCAAGCTTTCACATGATTAGTGATAGGGTAATCAATAATCATTGATTAATCATCAATAAATATAATAGTTGTGGACACAACAAGAAAATTGAGAATAATCCTCGCACAAGATTATACAAGATTATTGTAGTATTAACTGATATTCACACGTAATGAATAAGAACTCCCATTTTTTCAGGGTAAATTTAATTTGAATGGCCAAACACAATCCATTACAATTTGGCTCGATCTGATTATTCAATTTATCAAATAAATGCGAAAATGAACTATTCGAAGAAAAAAATTAACAGGAATATTCTTCGATTCGATATATTCCTCGAATGAGTGGTAATAGCGAGTCATACCAGAAAAAATTAACTCAATACTTCCCCCCCCCCCCTCCCTCCCCCACTTTTTTCATACGGCCTGCAAAAGCGAGCGTATATCTAATATTTATTCGTTAACTTCTCTATAAGTATAATGATAAAAGTTTGATATCATAAAATTAACAGGTCCGAGAAAGGTGGTTCCTGGACAAACTGCTGAATTCCCCCGAAAAACTCGAAAAACTTGCAGATCTTGTCAACAAAAAACTACCCACAGCCCTCGAGCAACATATGGAAGATTTTAATTTCAAAAGTAGTTTCACATTGGAGCAAGATGTAAGAACCAAAATAGATCAAGCAATAGCGGAGTCGATGAGAGGTACTGCAGAGCAATATGAAAAGAAACTTGCACTGATAAAGGAGGAAACAAACAAGTTTGTGAGCGATCAACAGTCATTATTTCTAAGGGAGTTTCTAGATCTGACACGAAAGGCAAAGGACCGGCCCCTCAACAATGCTCCAACAGGCACCACAGAACCGCCGACACCCACCTCCTTTGCAACCTTCCCGCAGCGCACGTCAACACACTCCCCCTTCCCGTGGCGCGCGTCAACACACTCCCCCCTCCCGTTCCCTCTGTCACCCCCACCTATCCCTGCTTCCAAACTCCTCAGGTGGGTGGATGACTCTCGGGAGATAATGACCAAATGGGTTTTCAATGATTAAACACATAAGTTTGGACAATGACTTTTGGGTCTCACTGTACTCGTAACAATTTATACAAAGTTGAAACTCGTTCAGAACGATTTTATAATTATTAATTATTAAAGATATGATTTGCCACAACACCGGTTATATGACTATAATTAGAGCCAGTGCAATGCCACATGTATTGAATTTAAAAATCCTAGATTCTATCCAAAAAGGTGTTTTATTTGTGCCAGCCAAGTTTGAGAATAATTCCTCAAAAAGTTGAGACACAGTTGATAAACTTCGGAGTGACTAAAATACTATACAGCAAAACAGAAGGCTCCAACCAAACACTCCACCTACCGATCCTAACCACCCTAACAACTCTCTATCTCTCTCTCTCTCTCTCTCTCTCTCTCTCTCTCTCTCTCTCTCTCTCTCTCTCTCTCTCTCTCTCTCTCTCTCTCTCTCTCTCTCTCTCTCTCTATCTCTCTCTCTCTCTCTCTCTCTCTCTCTCTCTCTCTCTCTCTCTCTCTCTCTCTCTCTCTCTCTCTCTCTCTCTCTCTCTCTCTCTCTCTCTCTCTCTCTCTCTCTCTCTCTCTCTCTCTCTCTTTCTCTTGAACCCCTTCCCTCACTCCTCGTGGTGCACATTCGACACATTTTAGAGCTCATTTTTTTGCGCGTGCAACAGATCTTAAAATGATATCGACCACCACTTCTCCTTTTTTATTAGAGTACACCATAAAAACCTTTTTTCGTGGTTTAAACAAAAAATGAAATAATAATTTTAAAATTAGAATTTTGAGCCATTTTAGCAATTCGCATTGCAAATTTCTGGTCGGTTCACGATCTCTTGCGATTGATTATGTGGGACAATTCCAAACTGTTTTCTTTCTTTTATCCTTCCAGCCCGAACCATAAACTAATTTGGGGATCAGCAACATACCCGGCTGTGAAGTAGAACTAATCTAGGAATCTGGGAGACCGGCTGTGAAGTAAAACTAATCTAGGAATCTGGGAGACCGGCTGTGAAGTAGACCTAATCTAGGAATCTGGGAGACCGGCTGTGAAGTAAAACTAATCTAGGAATCTGGGAGACCGGCTGTGAAGTAGAACTAATCTAGGAATCTGGGAGACCGGCTGTGAAGTAAAACTAATCTAGGAATCTGGGAGACCGGCTGTGAAGTGGAACTAATCTAGGAATCTGGGATACCGGCTGTGAAGTGGAACTAATCTAGGAATCTGGGAGACCGGCTGTGAAGTAGAACTAATCTAGGAATCTGGGAGACCGGCTGTGAAGTAGAACTAATCTAGGAATCTGGGAGACCGGCTGTGAAGTAGAACTAATCTAGTAATCTGGGAGACCGGCTGTGAAGTAGAACTAATCTAGTAATCTGGGAGACCGGCTGTGAAGTGGAACTAATCTAGGAATCTGGGAGACCGGCTGTGAAGTAGAACTAATCTAGGAATCTGGGAGACCGGCTGTGAAGTAAAACTAATCTAGGAATCTGGGAGACCGGCTGTGAAGTGGAACTAATCTAGGAATCTGGGAGACCGGCTGTGAAGTAGAACTAATCTAGGAATCTGGGAGACCGGCTGTGAAGTAGACCTAATCTAGGAATCTGGGAGACCGGCTGTGAAGTGGAACTAATCTAGGAATCTGGGAGACCGGCTGTGAAGTAAAACTAATCTAGGAATCTGGGAGACCGGCTGTGAAGTAAAACTAATCTAGGAATCTGGGAGACCGGCTGTGAAGTAAAACTAATCTAGGAATCTGGGAGTGAAGTAGGCTCTTGTATCCTCGTGTCCGGTTCCTGGTATAGTAACTATTATAGTCATTATACTAATTTTATGTTACCTTGCTTTTAGGTACTGATAGCGCTAGATCAGTTAAGAACCTGGTAACAATGACTGGTAACTAATATGGAGGTTGGTAACTGATATGAAGGTTGGTAACTAATAGGAAGGTTGGTAACTAATATGAAGGTTGGTAACTAATATGGAGGTTGGTAACTAATATGGAGGTTGGTAACTAATATGAAGGTTGGTAACTAATAGGAAGGTTGGTAACTAATATGGAGGTTGGTAACTAAAATGAAGGTTGGTAACTAATATGATGTAACATTAGATAATACCTGGTAACAATAACTGGTAACTAATATGAAGGTTGCTAACTAATATGGAGGTTGGTAACTAATATGATGTAACATTAGGTAATACCTGGTAACAATAAATGGTAACTGATATGAAGGTTGGTAACTAATATGGAGGTTGTAACTAATATGATGTAACATTAGGTAATACCTGGTAACAATGACTGGTAACTAATATGAAGGTTGGTAACTAATATGGAGGTTGTTAACTAATATGGAGGTTGGTAACTAATATGATGTAACATTAGATAATACCTGGTAAGTGGTAACAATGACCGGTAACTAATATGAAGGTTGGTAACTAATATGGAGGTTAGTAACTAATATGATGTAACATTAGGTAATACCTGGTAACAATGACTGGTAACTAATATGAAGGTTGGTAACTAATATGGAGGTTGGTAACTAATATGGAAGTTGGTAACTAATATGGAGGTTAGTAACTAATATGATGTAACATTAGGTAAAACCTGGTAACAATAACTGGTAACTAATATGGAGGTTGGTAACTAATATGAAGGTTGGTAACTATTATGATGTAACATTAGATAATACCTGGTAACAATAACTGGTAACTAATATGAAGGTTGCTAACTAATATGGAGGTTGGTAACTAATATGATGTAACATTAGGTAATACCTGGTAACAATAAATGGTAACTGATATGAAGGTTGGTAACTAATATGGAGGTTGGTAACTAATATGATGTAACATTAGGTAATACCTGGTAACAATGACTGGTAACTAATATGAAGGTTGGTAACTAATATGGAGGTTGGTAACTAATATGGAGGTTGGTAACTAATATGATGTAACATAAGATAATACCTGGTAACAATGACCGGTAACTAATATGAAGGTTGGTAACTAATATGGAGGTTGGTAACTAATATGATGTAACATTAGGTAATACCTGGTAACAATACCTGGTAACTAATATGAAGGTTGGTAACTAATATGGAGGTTGGTAACTAATATGATGTAACATTAGGTAATACCTGGTAACAATAACTGGTAACTAATATGAAGGTTGGTAACTTATATGGAGGTTGGTAACTAATATGATGTAACATTAGGTAATACCTGGTAACAATAACTGGTAACTAATATGAAGGTTGGTAACTAATATGGAGGTTGGTAACTAATATGATGTAACATTAGGTAATACCTGGTAACAATACCTGGTAACTAATATGGAGGTTGATTTCTCTTGAAGAAGTTATCTTTTGACTCTATATGGAGGTTGGTAACTAATATGGAGGTTGGTAACTAATATGGATTATGGAGGTTGGTAACTAATATGATGTAACATTAGGTAATACCTGGTAACAATAACTGGTAACTAATATGGAGGTTGGTAACTAATATTGAGGTTGGTAACTAATATGGATTATGGAGGTTGGTAACTAATATGACGTAACATTAGGTAATACCTGGTAACAATAAATGGTAACTAATATGAAGGTTGGTAACTAATATGGAGGTTGGTAACTAATATGATGTAACATTAGGTAATACCTGGTAACAATGACTGGTAACTAAAATGAAGGTTGGTAACTAATATGGAGGTTGGTAACTAATATGGAGGTTGGTAACTAATATGATGTAACATTAGGTAATACCTGGTAACAATGACTGGTAACTAATATGAAGGTTGGTAACTAATATGAAGGTTGGTAACTAATATGGAGGTTGGTAACTAATATGATGTAACATTAGATAATACCTGGGAACAGTGGAGGAGGAACATAACGGAACGAAGTAAATGACGGATCATATTGCACACAATTCGATTACACGATAGAACCGCCGGCTCAAACACTTCATTTTTCGTCCCGGTGAATAATAATTTGTTCTACACTTGTAACAGTTTTCATGGTACTGCCACTGTTTATTCGATTTATTATGTCGTGATTACCGTGCTACTTTCGAGTTTTGTTTTGCTTACTCCGTCTCTTGGAGACGATGTAAATATGAAACTTTATAGTCGTCATTTTATATTGTTGTGTCTGATGGGGAGGTTGTTCTGTGAATATTGTATTAGTTTCCGTCTTAACTTTATTTATTAATTTATTATTTTCTAACTACTGAAAACGAGCAAATTCTTAGTTGCAGTGAACATTGGGATTGGACATTGTGAACGTCAGTCAGTGTACAGTTACACTGCATAAATGAATATTGATGATGTGACCGCATATGATTAGCAGCTGTTGACTGTCGTGGCGGTTAAGAAATAACCGATTCAGGTTCAGGGAGGCGATTTTGTTTTGAAAATAGAAAAGATGGAAAGAAGACTACGTTCAATTATTTGTCTTTTGTTTCGGTGCGATAAGCTCATCTGTGTCAAGTTCCATAATTTTAACAATAACTTAACTTAACTTAACTTTTAGAACGGAAAATAAGTTTTAACAAACGCATGTACCGATAATTTTTATTCAACGTTCTACACTAAAACTAAGCTTAATATATCCGGCCATGGAACAGTAATACCGCCGATGATTTTCGTTTGTTTTTTAATTTAACGGCTACGTACTTCATTACTGAGTGAAGTGTACAAACGTGTAATATGAGTATATTTTTAATGTGGGATTACGGTGTATGTGTGCATGTTGAAGTAGATTTGTGACTCTGCAGATTAAGTTAATTCTCGTGGATAGGAAACCTTTTAGCTAAAAATACTGAAATAATTTTTAAAATAAGTATTTTAGGGCGTTTTTTCTTTCTAGTGTTGTTCAATGATGTGTGGCCGTTGAGAAAAACCTTAATTATATCTGATTACTTATTTTTTCGAGACTTCACGATATGATGGACAATTATTTCTCTCTGATTCAGGAGCATGTGATGAAAACCCTCCTCCTCCTTCTCTTCCTCCTGACCTGTACTACTGGCACCTCGTCTCCTCCATCTTCTCCTCTAGACCTCTCTCTCTTCCCCGATACCCTCACAGCTCCTTATGGTACCCATTTATAGATTTATCGCCGGTTTTTGTATCCTTGAATGTCATAAATTATTTTTAAACTTTTTGGTTATGTTAGTATCATCTCCAAAACTGATATGTTGTAACATTATATGCTAAATTAAATTCTCACCATGTGACACAAACTAACCGATCAGAGCACAGTATTCTCATCACGTGACACAAACTAACCAATCAGAACAGTGATGTTTCTTACGTACTGTGATCTACCTCCAGAGTCCAGATGTAATAACCCTGTAATTCTCGTAAGGAACCCGCCTATTCCTGACCTCCCACCCCAACTATCTGAACCTGGTTTGGTGCTGTGATATACCTCCAGATGCGGATAAAGCTCAATTTGAGCTGAACAGTGGAGTAAATGTGTGGTATGATGGGGAAATGGAGGAACAAAGGACTGCAGTCAATAATACACAGGTTCACATGATTGTAATATAATCGTAACCTCCATCTCCTAAGCTGACTTAATACGCACAAAATAATAGCCCTCTAATTGCTAACAGCCCTCTAACAGCCCTCTAACAGCCCTCTAACAGCCCTCTAACAGCCCTCTAGCAGCCCTCTAACAGCCCTCTAGCAGCCCTCTAACAGCCCTCTAACAGCCCTCTAACAGCCCTCTAGCAGCCCTCTAACAGCCCTCTAGCAGCCCTCTAACAGCCCTCTAGCAGCCCTCTAACAGCCCTCTAACAGCCCTCTAACAGCCCTCTAACAGCCCTCTAACAGCCCTCTGGCAGTCCTCTAACAGCCCTCTAACAGCCCTCTAACAGCCCTCTAACAGCCCTCTAGCAGCCCTCTAACAGCCCTCTAACAGCCCTCTAACAGCCCTCTAATTGCTAACAGCCCTCTAGCAGCCCTCTAACAGCCCTCTAACAACCCTCTAACAGCCCTCTAACAGCCCTCTAACAGCCCTCTAACAGCCCTCTAACAGCCCTCTAACAGCCCTCTAACAGCCCTCTAACAGCCCTCTAACAGCCCTCTAGCAGCCCTCTAACAGCCCTCTAACAGCCCTCTAACAGCCCTCTAACAGCCCTCTAGCAGCCCTCTAACAGCAGGCTAACAGCCCTCTAACAGCCCTCTAACAGCCCTCTAACAGCCCTCTAACAGCCCTCTAACAGCCCTCTAACAGCCCTCTAACAGCCCTCTAACAGCCCTCTAGCAGCCCTCTAACAGCCCTCTAACAGCCCTCTAACAGCCCTCTAGCAGCCCTCTAACAGCCCTCTAACAGCCCTCTAACAGCCCTCTAACAGCCCTCTAGCAGCCCTCTAACAGCAGGCTAACAGCCCTCTAACAGCCCTCTAACAGCCCTCTAACAGCCCTCTAACAGCCCTCTAGCAGCCCTCTAACAGCAGGCTAACAGCCCTCTAACAGCCCTCTAACAGCCCTCTAACAGCCCTCTAGCAGCCCTCTAACAGCCCTCTAACAGCCCTCTAACAGCCCTCTAACAGCCCTCTAGCAGCCCTCTAACAGCCCTCTAACAGCCCTCTAACAGCCCTCTAGCAGCCCTCTAACAGCCCTCTAACAGCCCTCTAACAGCCCTCTAACAGCCCTCTAGCAGCCCTCTAACAGCAGGCTAACAGCCCTCTAACAGCCCTCTAACAGCCCTCTAACAGCCCTCTAACAGCCCTCTAACAGCCCTCTAGCAGCCCTCTAACAGCCCTCTAACAGCCCTCTAACAGCCCTCTAACAGCCCTCTAGCAGCCCTCTAACAGCCCTCTAGCAGCCCTCTAACAGCCCTCTAACAGCCCTCTAGCAGCCCTCTAACAGCCCTCTAACAGCCCTCTAACAGCCCTCTAGCAACCCTCTAACAGCCCTCTAGCAGCCCTCTAACAGCCCTCTAGCAGCCCTCTAACAGCCCTCTAACAGCCCTCTAACAGCCCTCTAACAGCCCTCTAACAGCCCTCTAACAGCCCTCTAACAGCCCTCTAATTGCTAACAGCCCTCTAGCAGCCCTCTAACAGCCCTCTAGCAGCCCTCTAACAGCCCTCTAGCAGCCCTCTAACAGCCCTCTAACAGCCCTCTAACAGTTCCTCTAACAGCCCTCTGGCAGTCCTCTAACAGCCCTCTAACAGTCCTCTAACAGCCCTCTAACAGCCCTCTGGCAGTCCTCTAACAGCCCTCTAACAGTCCTCTAACAGTTCCTCTAACAGTTCCTCTAACAGCCCTCTAACAGCCCTCTAGCAGCCCTCTAACAGCCCTCTAACAGCCCTCTAACAGCCCTCTAACAGCCCTCTAGCAGCCCTCTAACAGCCCTCTAACAGCCCTCTAACAGCCCTCTAGCAGCCCTCTAACAGCCCTCTAACAGCCCTCTAACAGCCCTCTAACAGCCCTCTAATTGCTAACAGCCCTCTAGCAGCCCTCTAACAGCCCTCTAGCAACCCTCTAACAGCCCTCTAACAGCCCTCTAACAGCCCTCTAACAGCCCTCTAACAGCCCTCTAGCAGCCCTCTAACAGCCCTCTAGCAACCCTCTAACAGCCCTCTAGCAGCCCTCTAACAGCCCTCTAACAGCCCTCTAACAGTTCCTCTAACAGCCCTCTGGCAGTCCTCTAACAGCCCTCTAACAGTCCTCTAACAGCCCTCTAACAGCCCTCTGGCAGTCCTCTAACAGCCCTCTAACAGTCCTCTAACAGTTCCTCTAACAGTTCCTCTAACAGCCCTCTAACAGCCCTCTAGCAGCCCTCTAACAGCCCTCTAACAGCCCTCTAACAGCCCTCTAACAGCCCTCTAGCAGCCCTCTAACAGCCCTCTAACAGCCCTCTAACAGCCCTCTAGCAGCCCTCTAACAGCCCTCTAACAGCCCTCTAACAGCCCTCTAACAGCCCTCTAATTGCTAACAGCCCTCTAGCAGCCCTCTAACAGCCCTCTAGCAACCCTCTAACAGCCCTCTAACAGCCCTCTAACAGCCCTCTAGCAGCCCTCTAACAGCCCTCTAACAGCCCTCTAACAGCCCTCTAGCAGCCCTCTAACAGCAGGCTGACAGCCCTCTAACAGCCCTCTAACAGCCCTCTAACAGCCCTCTAACAGCCCTCTAACAGCCCTCTAGCAGCCCTCTAACAGCCCTCTAACAGCCCTCTAACAGCCCTCTAACAGCCCTCTAGCAGCCCTCTAACAGCCCTCTAGCAGCCCTCTAACAGCCCTCTAACAGCCCTCTAGCAGCCCTCTAACAGCCTTCTAACAGCCCTCTAACAGCCCTCTAGCAACCCTCTAACAGCCCTCTAGCAGCCCTCTAACAGCCCTCTAGCAGCCCTCTAACAGCCCTCTAACAGCCCTCTAGCAGCCCTCTAACAGCCCTCTAACAGCCCTCTAACAGCCCTCTAACAGCCCTCTAATTGCTAACAGCCCTCTAGCAGCCCTCTAACAGCCCTCTAGCAGCCCTCTAACAGCCCTCTAGCAGCCCTCTAACAGCCCTCTAACAGCCCTCTAACAGTTCCTCTAACAGCCCTCTGGCAGTCCTCTAACAGCCCTCTAACAGTCCTCTAACAGCCCTCTAACAGCCCTCTGGCAGTCCTCTAACAGCCCTCTAACAGTCCTCTAACAGTTCCTCTAACAGTTCCTCTAACAGCCCTCTAACAGCCCTCTAGCAGCCCTCTAACAGCCCTCTAACAGCCCTCTAACAGCCCTCTAACAGCCCTCTAGCAGCCCTCTAACAGCCCTCTAACAGCCCTCTAACAGCCCTCTAACAGCCCTCTAGCAGCCCTCTAACAGCCCTCTAACAGCCCTCTAACAGCCCTCTAATTGCTAACAGCCCTCTAGCAGCCCTCTAACAGCCCTCTAGCAGCCCTCTAACAGCCCTCTAACAGCCCTCTAACAGCCCTCTAGCAGCCCTCTAACAGCCCTCTAACAGCCCTCTAACAGCCCTCTAATTGCTAACAGCCCTCTAGCAGCCCTCTAACAGCCCTCTAGCAGCCCTCTAACAGCCCTCTAACAGCCCTCTAACAGCCCTCTAGCAGCCCTCTAACAGCCCTCTAACAGCCCTCTAACAGCCCTCTATCAGCCCTCTAATTGCTAACAGCCCTCTAGCAGCCCTCTAACAGCCCTCTAGCAACCCTCTAACAGCCCTCTAACAGCCCTCTAACAGCCCTCTAGCAGCCCTCTAACAGCACTCTAGCAGCCCTCTAACAGCCCTCTAGCAACCCTCTAACAGCCCTCTAGCAGCCCTCTAACAGCCCTCTAACAGCCCTCTAACAGCCGGTCAGTATTGTACCTATTTCTCTATTTGCTCCTGCACTGACTTAGCTCCCCTAAAAACAGGTGTCATCCCGATACAAACCACGCCAGGCGGCTGATGCCAGTACATGGTACCTGGGACAGTACAACACTACACTAATACTCATCTTCAACCAGACTCTTCACTACAATATCAGCTGTAATGGGGAATCGCATCCTGGCAAGTTTGAGGTTTGTAGGCACACGTTTGAGGTTTGTAGGCACAGGTTTGAGGTATGGAGGCGTAAGTTTGAGGTTTTTAGGCACAGGTTTGAGGTTTGGAGGCGTAAGTTTGAGGTTTGAAGGCGTAAGTTTGAGGTTTGAAGGTGTAAGTTTGAGGTTTGGAGGCACACGTTTGAGGTTTGGAGGCACAGGTTTGATCAACTGTATTCTCCCTCCCAGGTCCTTTACAAACACTGGGACAAACTTTCTAGCAGTGGAGATGTGTGGTCTTTAGTTAGTGTCGGCTCTTTGGGTCTCTACAACACTACCAAACTTACATTACGGTCAGTTAATTAGTTAACTGGTTAATTATTTAATTAATTAATTGGTTGATTATTCATTTAACTGGTGCTTCGGCCGCAGTTGTCCATAAAGCAACTTTAATGATAGTCTCCATGACTACCATTTACTCTGCACAATGTCTCCATATTCCTCGTACTGAAATCATCATCTCCTCATAATTCCAGGAAGATAAAGACCTTATCAGAGAATGTAAAGAATGTGTTATGGACGGTACCAGGAGGAATTGTGACTGACAGAACTGTTGCTGATAATCAGACAGAGTCAGAGGCTGAAAACGTGCGTGTTTTTATCTTAGTTCCATCATAATCAGACTATCTAGCCAGATAACTAATCGAATAGTTAACTGATTAGCTATTTTATTAATTAGCTAATTAAGTAACTAGCTATTTCACTAATCAAGTCATTAACTAATTACCCCAGGTATCAGAATCAGACTCGCTCACCAGATGGAGAGCCTGGCTCCTGCTCGTTCAACACGTGACTTGCTGTATCCCCCTAGCAGCTTCGCCCTCCGAGCTGGACCTGCTACCTCACACTGCTGATAATCAACTTCAGAGTCACTTCAGGTGGTTCATGGAGCTACCTTTTGTTGAACAGGACGAACAGGTTTCAATTAAAAATTATTTATTTTATTTATTCTATTACTTCGCCAAATAGGTACATAAAAATATATAATAGTTATATTTCGTTTTAGACATAGACATTTATACATTAACAAGATAATGTTTGTGATTAAACAGAAATATCAAATTATATTCTCCGAACTATTCCTATTAATCATCCAAATTATGCTAATTAACATAACTATCCTAATTATGCCAATTGTTCTACAGGTTTTGTGGTACAGTTTCAATCACAGAAATCTTCACGTAGTCTCTGTGTGCACTTACTGTGACCTCTGTGATGACTCAGCTCAGTTCAAGTTAGTATTTTATCTTAGTTCTTCGATTTGTTTTACTTATTAAATTTAAATTGTAGTCAAAATTAGATTTAGGTTGCCAATATGTCACACTAGAAGTAGAGACAGACATAAAATAATTCGGTTACGATCGTCAAGAATAGACTACATTTCCTAAATTTACCTCGGTTTGATTATGATCGTTTTGTTGTCCATCACAACGTACCAAATTCAGAAGCCGCTATTCAACCTTTAAACTATCAATCACTCTTTACAAAATCAATTTCTGTATTACAGTAAAACTCGATTTACTGCAGAGTTTGGGAGAAAGGAAAACTCCCCGGTAAATTAGTGTTTTATTGTACTGTTATTTTGGGTTTTTTGTTATTTTGGGGTAAAGATTGGTGAGAAGTAATAAACATATATTCGGTTCCAAACAACCAATTTGCCTAGCTACATAAAATACCATATCTACTCTCTTCAAAATGTACAAATTCTAAAAAACATATTGTTTAAGCATTATAGTCTTTGCTAAAAAGCTTTAAAACTAAGAATAAATCTTTCTTTTAAAACTCACATATAAAGAAAAAAACGTGCGAAATAAACCAGAAAGCACAGGGTCAAGGTACTTTCGTTTAACTCTTAAACTTAAAGGTCGAACTGAAAGCAGGTTACGAGTAATAATGCTCACTAACAACTAGAAACACAGGACCTATAGTGTGTAGATATCACATCATATATCACATACGGCCAGCTAATTGTTACCTCTCGTCTTGAATCCTAGTCACGCCAACAAATATTTGCAGTTTTTCAAAGAGTTTATTCTACAGCTTAAATATCATCTAGTTTGCATCCAGGATTATGATTCTTCCTCAGCATGCTCACAGGAGTCTTCGGCACATTCATGAACCTCGGCAGCGGGAGCGGCATCTTCAGCGGCATCCTCAGCAGGGACAGCGGGTACTTGTTCGACATCAGCCATTTTAGAGAAAGTTTGTAGCACTAAACTTAAGTTCGTAAAGTAGAAAACAAGTTGAGAGTGAAATGGAATGATTTTGTGGAGGCGAGCGGTGGGTATAAGAGAGGCAGGGTGCGTCACGTGTGCGCGTCACGTGGTCTTGTCACGTGTGTGCGTCACGTGAGTAGGATAACTGGAGCAGGTCATCCTCGAATTGGTGCGCGTGTTAAGGAACGTTCTGGTCGTACAGAGATTACTTCCCTTTTTGGAGGACGAAGCACTTTAAATGCTCCAACTGACACTCTCCTGTCAGATCTCTAATCAGGTCAACCTCCAAAAAAATGATAAGATTTACTCTTATGACGTGTTAGTGTAATGTCAGTTGATTAAAATCATCTTGGAGTCGTCATGTCAAGACTGTTATCAATCTTTACTGGCTTTCCCTGCATAGTACGTAATCTATTCTACTTACAATCAGATTAATCGTGGATTTCCTTAGCATTTTTTCGGTGGCAACTCAAAATGTGAAGAAAAAACCGATTTTCTTGTCCCTCGGTCGACCTCTGAAACGTCCATTTCTGATTTTTTTTATCAAGTTACTTGTACTCAATGTCTCTACTCTCTTAATGTCACAATCAAATCACTTTTAATTTTATCAAGTAACTATTATACTTTAACTTGGACAGACCTTAAACGGACGGACTTTATTTGAACGGACATTAGAATGAACGCCTCCAGCGTTCAATTATTGTAGTTGTACGTTTAAATAAGGTCCGACAAGATATTTTATTAGTATCGCCAGTTAAAACATTATACGTGAAAACTACAAGAGAACTGAAACAATACGGGTATTATAATATTGATATAGTTGAAATTTGTTTTGCGAACAAAAAGAATTAGTCAGCCACGAAGAAGAAATACATAAATGTATGCTAAAGAGGTTGCGAAGCGCAATTTTTACGACCGGAAAACAGAATAAATTCGCCAATCAGCTTGGTACATTACCCAACCAAATCTTTGTTTCGCTGTCCGGTGATAAAACAAAATTAAACGCATTCACCTACTCAAAATAACCAGTTAAGCAGTTATTCATACAATAATGCAGTCCCACCAAGTCACAGTTTCCAAACATGTTATAAGTTTCAGACTTGTAACGTAGCTGAAGTAATAAAATTTCCAGATGGTTAGAAGAAGATTTAAAAGCAGCCTCATCTACGAACGAGACACATTGGATTATGGTTATGGGGCACGACCCTATATACGAGTCAGACCAGTCTCTTCACCCAGAGGTTCATCTTCACACCTCATTTTTTAACGCGACTATGATGTGATAGTCACAAGAATATACTTACATGAGAGTAAACTATTATGCTAATTAACTTATAATTACATGCTAATAACTTTATAATTACATGCTAATTACCTTACAGGTGCAGTCTATCAACAGAATACAGTTAGATAAACTGTTTGCTAAGTACGACGTGGACTTTGCTGTTTGGTCTCATGAAAGATGGTACGAGCGAACCAAGCCCATGAAAAACTACAAGGTAACAAGCTCACTTTCAAGTTACCTTTTGACTAATGTTTAGATTGTAAACTTTAAGTTAGTAAATTTGATCGCTCGCACTAAATTTTTTGCCTAGATTAAAAAAAATTCTTGTGAAAAGGCCCTGAGGGGATAAATGTAACCTCATATTACGTAGTATTTTTGGACGCTGATTCCGGATCGTCAACTACAGGATAAAGAATGAGCTACACATTTCAAAACATATTACATATTATTAAAATCCCCTTTATCAGTTCAATTCTAGGTGTCCGATGAAAGGATTTCCAACCTGCTCGACTCAGTGAACGGAACAATACATTACACATGTGGTACTGGGGGGATCCCGCTTCAAGACTACAATATGGAGAAATATAACCATACTGCCAGGTTCCTCACCAGGTGAGCTATTTTTAGTAACCATACTGCCAGGTTCCTCACCAGGTGGGCTATTTTTAGTAACCATACTGCCAGGTTCCTTACCAGGTGGGCTATTTTAGTAACCATACTGCCAGGTTCCTCACCAGGCGGGCTATTTTTAGTAACCATACTGCCAGGTTCCTTACCAGGTGGGCTATTTTTAGTAACCATACTGCCAGGTTCCTTACCAGGTGGGCTATGTTTAGTAACCATACTGCCAGGTTACTCACCAGGTGGGCTATTTTAGTAACCATACTGCCAGGTTCTTACCAGGTTTGTTTATAGAAGTATAGAACCCGTCCCCATCTCGTATTGGAAAATGATCCGACTCAAAAATGAGTGTAAATACGGGTGGTATTTATTAAGCATTTAAAGTTACTCGCCAGGTGGGCTATTACTAGTACTTTTATCTCTGCCGATACTTAAACTTAATGTGATGTCATCAAATAAAATCGTGTTAAACTATTAAAACATAAAACGGGCGAGCAAAATCATATAAGCCCCTTCAAACACATATCAGGTGCCGTGTCCTTCGAATGAGATGACATAGAGGCAGTTTTAACTCAACTATTTAGGAACAAATCTTCCATGCATGCCTTGAAAGTAGTATCAGTGTGCGGATGTGCATTCATTATAATTATTATAATTGCTCTTGTACAGGTGACAAGGTTACCAAATTAAGGTTTTTTCTTTTCGTATCCACGAACAGTCTCTTCTAAGAGCTAACTATTCTTATTTTTAGTTACTACGGACCGTGTGCGTTTACCAGGATTAAAGATAACCAGTACGAAACAATGTTTGTCCGGACAGACGATGCAGATATTGTCTCTTTTGAAGATCATATCACGGTGAGAGCATTATACTCGTTGTTAGGAAGCTGTCTTCAGCAAGGTTCTGTCAAACTTCGTACACAAATCTCAACTCCCAGAAACAGTAACGAAACTTGTGGCAGTTATTCCTTAAATTAGTAATGCCTTACGCCATTAAATTCAATTTCAGGTTTATTGAAACCCAACAAATACTTGGCGTACACTTAAATACATAATACACGTATAAATAAAGAAACTTTTTATTTTCAGGGTTAAGAATCTTAACCCTGAAAATAAAACGTTTCTTTATTTATCTAACACCAACTTATTAACTGTGTTATAAATCCTACATCACATCTCAAACATTCTTCAGATAACGAAGGACATTCCCCAACGACCCAAGTTTAAGATCGAGTCTCACTTCTCGAAGTTCATGAAAGTGTTCGGGATGGTTATTTTTATCGGAGTGGGGATCATGCTGCTGATAACGATACTGGTTAAAGCTGTTCAGAAACATGACCCGTCCTTTATTACTAATAAGATCAGGTATTTGTTGGCATGGAAGTTACAATGAACTTACTCATACTGATTACGACTCTTAAAATTATGGTCTCTTGTTCCTAAAAGTGCATTAGAATCTTTGAATTTTAGAGGTGAAGCTTGAAAGTTCACACGTCAGATATGTCCAGAAAGGACTATAATATCTAGATTTAAAGTTTAATAGTACGACCAAGAAAAACTGGCCTCTAAATTTTAATCTGGCGTTGTAATTTGGAGCTTTTAAAGTTAAAGTATCATAATTTGGTGCTCTTAGCGCCCGTACTAAAGTATCTACATAAATTATACCCGACTGTGTTACAGGAACATAAAGTACAGGAAAGAAGGCACAACTCTGGGGGGATCTACTGAGAACCTGGAAATTCAGGAAGTTGAAATGGACGCTGAGGATATTCCGGTGAGTGCAATATTGCAATACTGGGTGCGATACTGCAATATTAGGTGCAATACAGCAATACTGGATGTAATACTGTGGGTTCTGGTCATGTGGCGTAATTCAAGTTACGTTCTAAGTTTTGTTGCAATTTTAGGTCATTTTGTGATATGAATCTATGGATTGTACGGTTTTTTTCTTCTGGGTTCAAATCCGGTCTGCTGCAAGTCGGCCAGTTACCAAGCTGCGAATTGGTACAGCTTCGGCTGGTGATACACACTCCCTGGCTCGTAGGATTATTACCACCCTACATGCTAGAATACTACTACTAGTATAGTGCCTTTGCACAGAATAGCTTAGGGTTATTGTAAAGGAGATAAGCACCTCATCCCAACACCGGGAGAGACCTACCCTATCTTTGTGTTGAGACAAGCCTGCATCACTGACTTTTCCCACTTCAGTCGAAGAATGGAGACAAAGTATTGTTACTGGATGAAATAGAAGACCCCGATCTGCAGCTCTCTTCGGCAGCTCAAATGTATGGTGTCATGATGTGAACATACCTCATAAAACATCACCTGACTTAGAAAAGTTCGTCATGATCATGTGCCATTATTTGTGATTAAAGTAAAGTTCATTATTACTCAATAGTAGACAGGTAGAAATATGCCAGCTTGACTGGGTACAATACTTGTATAATGTATATTAGGTACAATATACTGCAATACTGGGTACAATACTGGGTACAATACTGCAAAAATAAGTGAAATACAACAAAATTTAGGCACAATACAGCAATACTTAGTGCAATACTGCAATATTAGGCACAATACAGCAATATTGTATCTGGGTTCGGGTGATAAGTGAAATAATTGTATTTAAGTTAGGTTTTAGCTGCAATGCTAGGCCCTTTGTGATATGACTATATGGATTGTACGACTATTACTCTTTGTAACAAAAACTAAAAAGCATCACTAACTTTTCCCACTTCAGTCGAAGAATGGAGACAAGGTAATGTTACTGGATGAAATAGAAGACCCCGATATGCAGCTGTCCTCGGCAGCTCAAATGTATGGTCATTGTATATGATTAAAGTAAAGCATTACTCAATATTATACAGCTCGAATTCTACCCGTTTGGCGGATCCATCACTTGACCACTGAAAAGGGGGCCAGCTTTAATGATAATGTTGCTGTTTTAGAATGTTGGATTTTATGAATTGTTAACGTTGGGTCACCGGAATTTTTCGCAATAATATACCATGAAGCCTGAAGGGACATCATAATTATGGAATATGTTTTAATTATGAGTTTTTTAGAAGATTGATTTTTATTTGATAATTTTACAGCAGCTTTTGGTAGAGCAGATGATTCGTATAATGATTAATTTATTGATGATCGATTTTTTTATTTTGATAATTTTGATAGTCTATCGTTTCTCTCGTTTACATGATTGTCATCTGCTATTCTAAACGTGATACATTTAAAAAACAAAATCCTACAAATCCATTACCTTTATGGACTTGATGTGTTGTGTAACCTGTTTAACCCGCCCAAACAGCGGTTGCACTGGCTACGTTTCATTGCTCATTAATAAGAAATAAATTTGATACTATCATTTGATTAGAACTCTTGTGGCTGGGATCAACTTGAAGCTATTTTCGGTTTATAAATAGATTATGATATCGTCATTCGTCATGTCCGTCGTTAAATTCGCAGCAGAATTTCATATCGAAAACTGGCGCTTTAATTCATAATAACGAATTTTTCAAAAAATGTGCTTTTTGACTGACATTGACTGCTTTGATCACGCGCTTGTCATTTGGAGATCGCGCGCACTGTACAAACATTCTTTCAATGTTATTTTGCCAGTATAATCTGCTAGAAAGCGTTTAACAAGAAGTAACAATTTACTAATAGTGCAATAACTTTATTCAATATATCAACACCATAATTTACAATATCATTTAAAATTTCTGATATTATTTTGATACCAATGCCTAGCATTAATTTGGAATAAATCATGTAAAAGTCAAAGGAGAAAAACTTGAGAAAATGTGATATTATCTGAATCTAACCTCTTTCTGAAAGGCGTAAAACAAAAACTGATCACTATTATTATATTATGGGATAAATAACTTTTCTGATTTCTGAATTTGATTATCTGAAATTTATACCACTAAAATCGACCTGAATTCCATTAAAATCGCATTTGGTCACAACTGTCTTTCAAATAAATGGCGAAGTTTGAATTAAAAATATTATGCTGTATTGTAATAACAGTCGGTCAATAAACCATTCTCAGTTCTGATTAATTTTGTATTGATTCTGTTGGCAATAACATGTTTCTCTGATTTCCAGCACCCCAAACATTTCTACCAAAACTTCTGGCACATTCTGCAATCTCTCAGGATCGCGTCTCTACTCTGCCCGATTTGTAACACTTGAGTACACGGTAAAATCTTCATATTCTACTTTTAGCCAGATAGTCATGAACCACTTTGCCGGTTGCGTCTATAACCAGGTCCGATGTAAGATTCCCTTTAGGATCCTTCTTCCTGATTCGGCCGTTTGAGTGTATTGTCTCCTGTCTGCCATCATTAAACACTGAAAGGGAATACTGTGAACATTCCTTATGAATAGGAGACAAGATAGGAGACAATACTACTGTGTACATTTCTAATGAATAGGAGACAAGATTAGAAAGGAAAAAGGAGAAAGGACAACATAGCATTATGAATTCACGCCCCCGCTGATCTCGCTATGCAGGGGAGCGGCCGGGGGCGGCACATTTAGGGGGGGATGGAGGCGGTATTTTTTCCATTTTGTGTATTATCTCGCTCAAAATGCTCCCAGGGGGCAGCAAAAAAGAAAACCCACCTGTTTTACTAGTACCGTCAGGGTATTCGCGGCGCTTGAACGCGCTGGTGTGCACCTCGCGCTGCCCGTTAGGAAGAAGGATGAGGCGCTGGCCGGTCTGGTCCAATGTGACTACAGTACCGTCTGCGTACACTGACTTCTCTTCTCCGTTTGGATATGTTACCTGGGAAATATCAGGGGTTTATAGAGAAAGAAAAAGAGGGAGAGTTGTTGGGAGAGAGTGAGAGAGGGAGAACTTTGGGATACATAGAAATGAAATACACGTCATTTAATATTCTTGGTAAACCAAATGAGGTATGATATGGTGATTACGACTGAAATCCAATCCCAGGTGTATCACCAAACTTGGTCAAGTTAATCAAGGACTCACGAAAGTTATACACTGAAATTACACTTTAAATTAATAACACTGACTAATTAAACTGACTAATTACACTAATTAATTACAATAATCAATTAACTAACTAATTACATTAACTAATTAAACTAATTAGTTACATTAATTAGCCGCCTACCTTGGTTGAATTATCAGGGTACTTTATCTCGACTCTCTTATCAGTAAACTTGGTTTCCTCCTGACCAGTAGGAAAGAGTGTTCTCTCAGTTCCGTCAGGTAGTTGGGTTTGTGTGATTCCGTCTTTTAGGAACGTGTAAACCACTCTGTAAACACATAATTAACACATAATTAACACATAATTAACACATAATTAAACCTTATTCTATCACAATTTAATATTGCTTAACCCTATTAAACCTCACTTAAACGTCCGAGAACGAAGACCATAAAAAGCTAGAAAAAGTCCGGATTGGAGCTTCCAATCCGGAAGGAATAGTTACACCTAACATTAAACAAACCTGTCCCCCCCCCCCCTCTCTTCTCTAAACAAACCTGCCGTCGTGGAATGTTTTCTTGGTGTCCCCATTAAAGTAAGTCATGGTAACAACCCTGCCATCAGGGGAGATGTGTTTCACTGTTCCATTACCATATTTTACTGTTACAGACCCGTCCGCTCCTGTCAACCAGTATTTAGATTTTATTGAAGGAAAATTAAATTAAATTGTAGGTCGTAGGTTAGTTGTGTGTTCAAATGTTGCCGATTTGAATGTCATGTGTAATTTTCACAACACTGGTGTTGCAAGAATGTCCGAATCAAACTTAATATTTAACATACCATATATCTTACATATTTTACATAGATTAAATATTATGCAGAAACAAATAAACCAAAAAATATTTACAACAGGGTTTACTAACCATTGCACTTACATTATTCAGTCAATTCTAAAATAATAACCTTAATTATCTACTAATTATCTGCTAATTATGTAATGATCACTAACCGATAGTCTCAACCGCAGATTTAGTCACGTGACCCTGCAGGGTAGAATTTGAACTTGTTGGAGAATCAGAAGTTGGCTCCAGGCCAGTCACACAGTCCTCCTGAGGCGGTGGCGGGGAAGCCTGCACCATGAGATTAACATACTGAGCCTCAGCTGCTTTCTTAGGAACCTCATCAGTTGTTATCTTCTCAACTGTCTTATCAGAGTGAACACCAGCATGGTGTGTGGTAGGGACCTCATCAGTTGTTATCTTCTCAGCTGTCTTATCAGAGTGAATACCAGCATGGTGTGTGGTAGTTACACAGTTCTGGTCAGCAAATGTAACTTTAGAGGGTTCAGCAGAGTTGAGGGTAGCAAGTTGTGGGTGGCGGGAGACTAGCCCTGGTTTTATTGTGTCCTCACAGAATGTGGGCTGTGCTTGTGTGGGCTGTGCTTGTGTTCTTGTGGGCGGTTTGTGGGTTTGGGCGTCTGTTTGGGCGTGCTTGTGGCGTCTGTTGCTTGTTCTTGTCACCTGGTCATATAATGTCTCATTAGTTAAGATTACAAATATAGCTAATATTATGATAGAAATATAGTATAGCTTTGTGATTAAAAATTAAGAAATTCTCTCTCTTTTTGTGCTGACCTCTTTTTCCCACAGAGCTATCTTCTCCTGCTCCAGTACGGTTATCTGCTGGTGCAACTCCTCGCATTCCTTCTCTTTAGTTTCTGCCTTGTTCTTCAGTCTGGAGAATGTTGCATTCCATCTCTCTTCTTTCCTTGTCAACTCTTCCTCCAATGATGCCACTCTGAGAAGTTTCACTTTAGAGTTGATGGTTGTACTAAAAACTGGGCTTTAGGCCAAAAATGGAAACAGCAGATTTCAACAATGGACATGAAATAAATGAGATTTAATTGTAATTCTGAATCATTAATATCTAATTACGTAGTAGTGTGACGTCACATTTCACATCACGTGACAATACGTCACACCACATGTCATGACGTCACACCACGTGTCATGACGTCACACCACGTGTCACTTCACCTCATAACTAACCTCTCAGTAAGATTGTCGACTAGCTCTAACTTAGCAGCGCGTTGTTTTGAGGACAGTTGCGTCATTTCAAACTGTTTTTTCTCCGATCTGATCATTTTCATCTCTCGGTCTTTAAACTCCTGCCAATATTTTGTCAACAATTTGTTTGAATTTAGTTGAAATTTAGTTAGAATTTAGTCAGCATTTTGTTAAACTTCCGGATAAAATCGAATATTTTCAAGTGCAGATGTGTAAAAAAAGCGGTAAAACAAACCTGGAACTTTTTCTCACGCTCCTCCAAATCCTCCACATACTTGTCGTTCTCTTGGCGCAGTTTGCGCAGCTCAGATTCCTTTTCTGCACGTGCACGTGCAAGACCTGCCGCCTCTTGCTGGAACCGGGCAACCTGCACATAAGATACACTGTAAGTAATAAATCCAGGGTATTAGAGATTATATTATACTTATAGTGATATTTGTAGTGTGTTTATCGACTTAACCCGAGCTAGATAAACTAAATAGAAGGCTATAAGGTATAATGACAATAGGGTGGGTTGTGTTGCGTCTATTTATAGACGCAGCTTGATTTATAAATATTCTCTTGCTTAAAGGAATTCAAGAGGTTGATAAGACCGGTAGTATACTATACGGTTATAGAAATAAACACAACTACAAAGTTGTTTATCAACAAACCTCCTTCTCGAGATCAGCGAGTTTGCTCTTCAGTTCTGTTTTCAAAGCTTCAGACTCCGGATCAGGCTTCTTGACGTCTGGCTTTGGCTTTGGCGGTGGGGGAGGAGGTTTCAGACTGAGATATTACCAGAGTTAAGATACAAATACACATAATCGGTCAAATATATCATCATTAAAAGCAAATGCTTTGACTTTAAAGAGAAACACTCTTTTGTTACCCATGCTCCATATAGCACATGTATGCCTGTCTTCACTAGCCCCGAAATCTCTCCCTGAGCTCCTGAACACCACGTGACATGACGTCACACCTGTTGACATAATGTCACAGCACGTAGGGGGGGGGGGGGCAACGCCCCAAAAGGCCCCAAAAAGCCCCGATTTCTAGGGCCCTTTTTGGATTTTCGATATATGTAGGGCCTTTTGGGGCCCTAGAATTAACTTCAATTTCATCAAGTTTGATATATATGCTAAGTGCTTTAATGATATTATGTTTATTTGAGTGTATTTACATGGATATTATGGTCCATAAACACTATCAAATAGTGGTCAGGGTCAAAAGGCCCCAAAAGGTCCCAAAAAGCCCCGATTTCTAGGGCCCTTTTCGGATTTTCGATATGTGTGGGGCCTTTTGGGGCGTTGGCCCCCGCCCCCCCCCCCCCCCACGTTTCATGACGTCACGCCACGTGACATGACGTCACACCACGTGACACTCCTCACCTGTTGTCTCCCTGCACCCTCTCCCTAATCTCCTGAACCAGCTCCTGATGTCTCCTCTCCTCCTCAGGAGTCCTATCAGGAGTAACATACACTTTACTCAGCTCCTTACAGTACCTCCGCAAGAACTGCGAGCATCTCAGAGCTTTAGCAGTGAGACTAGCACTGGAGAGTGTGATGCGGTAACGTGCGGTAGAGTCTGTGACGATGCGGTAACGTGCGGTAGAGTCTGTGATGATGCGGTATGATGCGGTAGAGTCTGGGAGGGTGGGGCTGTTTTTAGGATCTATCTGCTCTTTCAACTCAGAGATGGATTTCAGAATGTCTTGGGATTTTATCTGAGTTTCTTCGTCTTGCAAGGCTGCTGTTCCAATTGGTTCAGATTTTTTAGGTATGTCAAATATTTTTGATTTCTCACATACTTCAGAGGAGTGCAAGTGTGACGTAATGTCACATGGTATGACGTCACATAACTCCACACACTGAACTATGTGGTTCCTGGATATGTTGATTAGAGACAGAAACTCCAACACTCGATTACGTGACGCACTCTTGAAACCAAGGATCACAACGCTATTTTTGTGTGGTGAAGAGGTTCTTATTTCAGTCTGGTTAGAGTAGGATCCAGTCCAGGTATTACGACGCCCATATTTGGTGGTATCACTTTGCCCATATTTGGTATTACACGTGATAATATCAAGGTTCCAGGAGCTTCTATTGTTAAAAACCAGTGATCTCAATGAAGTTGCCAATCCCAGCTTGGTCATGTACTGTAACTCGTCAAAGTTTTTGTCACTCAAGAAACTTTTTCGGGGTTTTTGCGGGGTTTTCTGGTGGTCGTGGAGAGTGTTCTTTAGAAATTCACTGTTTTTGTTAATGCATGTCTTCAGGGAGATCACGAGATCAGCCAGAACTTTTCTCTTTGCATTCTTCACATTCTTTTCAAGCAGTTCAGAGTTGTCTCCGAGTAAGTCACTACATTTCTCTAAAACATATTCGTTCTCTTCCAGTAGTTCGGTGTGACTCTCACTAAAACCCATGATAACGGACAGTGTAAGCTGTAATTAAATGTACTTCTTGTATCACGAGCACTGGAATACACTGCAGACAATCACAAGTATATCACAAGTAGATTACAAGTAGATCACAAGTAGATCACAGGTAAATCACACGTAGATCACAAGTAAATCACAAGTAAAAATAGAGCGTCACGTACACAATATTACACATGATTACAGACCGTAACAATGTTATAAGCACACTAAAATACTGCAGACATGTGGAGCAATATTTGGACACATGGAACTTTACTCGCTTAGAATCATGACATAGTCAGCATTCTTCACATAACCAACATTCTTTCACTGTTCATTGGCGGTCAGTGCTCAAAACACGGTGTGACGAGCATTTAATTAAATTACTAAATCAACAGATAAGTTTACTCTAATTTATTTATTTATAAGGCTCTATTTAATCAGTCAGCTAACTTTCAAAACAACAATAATTAATTATCCCATTATATAATTAATTAATTCATTGCATAATTTTCTCTGTACTGACCCGGGAAAGAGAGATCCAAGAAGCTTGCTAGGTTGACTGGTAATCTCCATCATGACACCTGTGTAACAAGATATATCAGTAACCATGGCAACACCTTTGTAACGTGTCAGTAACCATGGCAACCGGCTGTAGTTAATAGCTTCCACCAGATCATGTTGCACTATTGTTTAAATATAGCAGGTATTTAAATATACATCTGTAGGGCTGGTTTGTGGGGTTGAGGTCGCGATGGTTATTGACAGTTGATATTTGACACAAAGTCTCAAAAGGGCTAAAAGGTGCTTATAATTGGTTTAAACAGAGAGATCATGAAATATTGTTATTTCTCCGTAAATTTGTTCTGTAATGTAATAATGTAATAATGTGTTTTGGCGTCTATAATACAGTATCCAGCAATACCAATAGGAAAGTAGTCCTGAAAACCCAAAAATGGGGCTGTTATTAGCTGTGACGTCATGACACGAAGTGCAGTGTGACGTCATGTCACGAAGTGTGACGTCATGTCACGAAGTGTGACCAGGTATTATCTCTGACAACAACCCACCGTTATCAGCTGGACGAGTAACCGCCTCCCCATTACACAGATTGTACTGCGTGTGTAACTCCAGATCTTCTAATTCTATACTTTGTTTTACGGGTGTTCTGAAACCCCATGTTTCTGTATCATCAAACTCCTCCTCCTCTACCTGAACATTTAGAGATTTAAACTCCTCTTCTAGTTGGAATTTGTGGTATTTCAGAGGTTTGAAGTGTCAAGACTAATCCTGCATTTATCTAAAGAGACGAACTATTCAACCTACAACATATTTTTAAATAAGTAAAACAACTTCTAAACTCTCTCACCTTCTCCAGCTCCTCCTCCTCCTCCTCCTCCTCCTCCTCCTCCTCCTCCTCTTCCTCCTCACTCTCCGGTACTGTAGAACACGTGGTCGGTTTAACCACGGAACAAGGCGTGAACTTCAACATTCCAATCAGAGAGTTGATACTCTTATCAGCTGCTGCCTGTTCTAACATTCTGAACTCTTCCAGCTCCTCCTCTTCTGCTGCTATACGCTCTTCTAACTGTGGTACATTAGTTATGAGTAATAAAATCAAGTTTATATGTAGCACAATTTACTTATTATATATAAATTATAGATGAATTTCGCTATTAGGTTAGAGATTTATGGTCAGAAACTTTGTACAAAATCTTGTCATAAAAACTTTACTTAATCTTGGTTTATTCACACGGAAATGCATCGGTTTCGAATCAATAATACAACATAATATTGTAATTTTATTTAATGAAAAAGAGTAGATTCTCATTTCTCATTACTTAAACACAAAATGCTAAGTAACCAACCTCTTCAGGATTCAAGAATCCCGACATCTCCGCAACATTATTACCCCCTGCAGCGTTACCAATGTTACCCATGTTACCCATGTTACCCCCTGCAGCAGCGTTACCCTTCAGTCTCTGGGAGATGGAAGGTTGTGGAGACCTGGCCGGAGAGGATTCTGGACTGTTCCGTACTGGGGACATAACCGGTTTACCTGAAATAGGATTATAATGACCAAGATATCTACGATGAGGGACAAAATGATTTATAAAGGTTAGGATATATGGAACTCATCGCCAGACTACAGCTGGAGTGAGAAAAATGTAGAAAACATTAGTAAAGTTTATTTAGGCTAAACCAAAACACGGCGGTCAAATCATAATGACATTGGTGCCTACAAAATCTGATATTGTAATTATAATATTATCAGAAATGAGAACTTGCCACACTCTCAGTACACAGGTTTTGCTCGCTTAGAACCCGTTTTAAATGTACAACTAAAAACTCATTGTTACTCAAAGAAAAATGAAACGGACATATCAGACTTCAGAGGAATATTCAATAGCACTAGTTATAGCACTAAATTCTGATCGATTCCAATCAAAAATTTCTGGTAATTTCATTTTTGTGACAAGTAAAAATGCTCTTTTTTAGGGATAGGAAGTAAGTGACCATTCCCTATATTCCTAAAAAAGAGCATTTTTACTTGTCCAGAAATGTTGAATCGCAATAATGAGACTAATAAACAACGTTCCAATATTACACTAACCTCTGATCGCTTTGACAGGGTCCATTCCGGACACAACAGTGATCGGATCATCAATTCTTATCTTTGAGGGTAGTTTGTTGGTTCTGGCCATAGCCTTATCAGCATTTCCTGGTCTGAAAAGAGGAAATAGTTATCTGTGACTAAGTAAAAGAGGAAACAGTTGGTTCACTTTAAATTTCAAATTGTTTATTTTTTAATAGCTGAATAGTTTCGATAATATCGCTTCGTTTAAAAGTTTAAACTCAAAGAAGTTTAGCGTAACCACGTAATATTACATCAGCTAAAATGTATTATTAATTAAATTAAATATCAAAGCTCTAATTGTGTAACGATCTGTAAGTATTTGTATATAACTTTTTTTGTAAATTGGTCATTAGAACTACCGGTACCGTCCGGACAACAACAAGTTTTACAACTAAACAGTGACCTTCGGCACTTTAAACAAGCCTCCACTGATATATTTACCGTTGATATTGTTAGATTGTGCCGTAAAAATAAGTTAGTTTTATCAAATATAATGGTTTTAGTAAATAATTGTTTTATTAACTAAAAACTAACTTGATTAGTCCAATCATCCGTTTAGGAGCAGTCTCTGATTTCATTGCAGGTTTAGTTTTTACAAGGGCTTTCCTCACCGGCGCACTGTTAAACCTCGCAATACCTTCTCCTGTAATTATATAATTATAAGGATTATATTTAATATTTATATAATTACATTAATATTTATATATTATTTATATATTATGTAACATATGTATGTGATGACCATGTTTCTCAATTGGATCAAATTCTTTCTAATCATTTAACATTTTCCTAAGCCAACTGAGGAACAAACACTGTGTAGACATTAGTTATGAGAAAGCCATAATCATTCATCGCAGTTTTAAATAAATTTAAAGGATCGTTCACATATTACTTTAACCAGATTTTGGGAATTTTATACCCCATCGCCTCACATAGATGATGTTAAAAATGCAAGCTTTTCCAAAACCCTTGAACCCCCTATAGCTTAAAGGCTGAAGTGAACGATCCCGTAGCTCCGTAGAAAGAATAAAAACAAAAACCATTTTTCTTGACATTTCTTGTTGGAATCTCCCGCTTTAGTACCATCACAAAAATAATTCCAGTCAAAACACAACACAACAACATCTAACACGACAAAACTAAAACATCTACCATCTAAATTTGACAGTGCAAGTGACACATTGTGTATTTTTCAAATATCCCTTAGCAACAAATTGGGCAAATTGCTCGATCATCATGTACAATAACGTATGTGTATCCGTATCAGGTACTTAAGCCAAGTGGTCTCATTAATTTCTCAATTAATTAATTAATTTCTCAATCATAATACACTTCTTTGTTTCATGATGCAGATGGAGAGATAGAAAGAGGTGGCTACTAGCGATGATAAGCGTTAGATAAAGAGATACAAACAAAAGGAAGCTTGATGGTGCAGGACACTTGATTCCTTGAATGATTGAGGGGACCACTTTAAGTACAAGTAAGTAAGTTATGGTAAAACTATTCTTATTAATCAGGGGAAACACAAATTAAACGATTATACACTGTAGAGCACTGAATACTACGTAAGACATTTAAAAGCGTTGAGCGTTTTCAACTAAAAACACGAATAAAATGTACTATAAAATCTTATTGTAGAACCAATAATTGAGCTGAGGAGGCAACAATTTTTTGACAGAAGACAACTATACTAATATTAGATTCGGTTCATAGTGACATAATACTGAAGAGGTAATTAATTGATAATTAATAATTAAATAATAATTCTACAAACACGTGACAAACACGTGACAGCTAAATCAACCAATCAGCTTCCAACTACCATGAATAAAATCCTACAATCACTGCGTCACGTGTTATCAAAAAAATTGACAAATAAATTATCAAGATTCCAGAATCTAGAAGCAAGATACAACAGATACACAACTATCAGCAGCAACATTCACATTTCACACAGTAAACGAGCTTGTAAAGTGAGCACACATATTATGCAATGTTATCCCGCAATAATCATCAATTCAACATAAAAACCACAATTGTAAGTTCTAACTTTAATCTTCCCAATTTTAAACAAAAGTCGGGCCAAGTTAAACGCAAGGAAGTATCGTGGCTCGCCATTGAAATCTCTACTTGTTATTTGTACGACACTATTCAAAGTTGTTAAAATCTCGTGGATGTCTCATTGGAAGGGGACTGGCCTTGTTTTGAACTTAAATAGTTATTTGTTTTGTTTTTGTGAAAAATAAATAGTTCTTGTTTTGTTTTCGTGAGCACAACGTTCAAGGACGGATTACTATGGTGTTAAAGATTAGCAAGTAATGAAGTTTCCGGGTAGAAAGAATATTAACTTATTAGTAGTTTGTACTAACATTTTAATAATCTAGTTTAAAACTTGGACTGAAAATTCAAAACGATATTCAAAATTATAATTTAAAACTCGTGCTGATAATCGTTTAAAGTAAGACGTTCCTATAAATGCTCATTCAACGAAGTTTAATAATACTAATAGACATTTCTTGGCAATAGTTGGTCCTTTCTGGCGCTGATCAGAAGATGTGGTGATTTCTTACACTTATTCTATACTTCTATAGGGATACAAATAAATCGCTCCATTCTCTTCAATCTTCCTTATATCGCAATTCTATAAAATATAGGCACATAAGTTAACATTGAATCAACAAGCCAAACGATGTAAGCATTTTAACATGCTAGGTAACCACTAACTAACCTAGGTAACTATGCTAGGTAACTATGCAAAGAATGTGGTAACTACGCAACACATTCCCAATTTACCAGAATCAAGGCAAAAGAATGTTGTTGTTTGGGCGGTTGTAATGACCATTTACAAAAAATAACAAAAGCCTAAAATTATAAAAATAAACCTGCTTCTGGATTACTACTCAGTCATGATAACTACGCAACAAAGAATGTGGTAACTACGCAACGCATTCCCAAATCAAGAGAGACGGGTAATAGTGGAGCACCATAATGCCACCTATAAATACAGTGGTATACGATATCGCTAAATATCTAGAGGCAGAAGAAGTGGAGTATAAATGTGTGTGAAGTTATACTGATTTAAATTATAATATACAGTTATGTGATTAAGTCAAAGGGTTTAACTTTCTTACTAAGTTTCTGAAATTTGACTCGTATCTTAGCTGTATGATCATTTAATAAATTAATTATGTCTACTGTCTAGTATAGTGTAATCGCCCATTAAATGGATAGAATTAATTGTATTAATGTGGTGGAAGCGACCAAATTTTTACCATTTTGCCGAAGAGAATTCCGGAGCCAAAAACCACGTGTCATAACGTCACACCACGTGTCATGACGTCACACCAAGTGTTATGACGTCACACCATGTCACGTGTCATGGACTGACATTCACGACCTACCTCTTTTTAAGAACTTCCGTTTAGGTGTCACTTTGGCGGGTGGAGGCGGCATCAGCTGCTTATCTAACTCCTTCTTATCCTCCTGGAATTTGTAATGTATAGCACAGGAAGCATGATTAAACGTTTTTTGTTTTTTTTTGTATAATTATGTACAATCAACGTTATATTATTTTGTGATATCTAAAAACAAAGCGGAATTATGTTAAAACTTAAGAAATTAATAAGAGGGGGAAAACAGGAAACATAGCCCTGAAGGTTCTCGTAACCGGACTTAAATTAAAATGAAACCTAGATTAGTAGATTTTATAAGAGATTTTCATAATATAAGTTAACATATTTTCGTATGCAACCGATTCCAAATTTTCATTTCAATTAGAACCATGATTTTGTGTGTGTTTCATCAAGCCCAAGATCATCCAGTTCTAAGTCACCTTCTTCGGAAAATGAAGAGTTGAGATCTTCATTATGTAGAAGTCAAGCTCATCGATCTCCCAAAAATACTCCGGTTCAATGTTGGAACAGGAAACGTTGGTTATATCCTGCTCAATATCTATGCTATCAGTTGACCCAGCCGTTAGCATTTCAACTAGTCTTTCTTTAGGGGGTGGTAGTTTTGACGTTGTTTGGACTAGGGGTCGGCGAAACTACCAGTCCTTTGATCTGTATTTGGTACACTATCAACTTTTAACTTTTAAGCGAATCAATGTGCGAGTTTCAGGATTGGTTCGAGCATGGTATCATTCCAAATCGGCCTCTTGAAAGTCACTCAGGAAAAAGTGATCTGTACAAACTTTTGTACTAAAGCTACGTTGCCATGATCGTGGATCTCTAATCATCCTCAAAACCCATTTTTGCTTTAAAGCTTGATCTGTGGGTAGTAGATGATGTATCTTAGAACTCCTCTTCCACTGTGATCACTTACTTTGTTTCGGCTACCTCGATTCGAGCAATCACCCACAGCACAAATTGATCCTTCTGGTTTCTGCTTCTTCTTCGAAGGTGGTTGTTCAGCCATTCATCTACTTTATTTCTGTAACATCGTTCGAGTATTGAAGCATTTAATGTGACTCAGAATACTAAAATACCTCGTAATATTATAACTTGTAACTAGTGATATTTAAATAACTAATCGTGTTAACAATAACAAACTACTAGTGATCAGTATTAATGGGTAAAACGAATGTGTCATGATTACGTGAACAGAGACTAAACGTGGCAATGCAAATGTGAACAATGTAATAGTGAAAGCCATGGTATGCTGTATACTGTATAGTGTATCTACTCGAGCGACCCTAACTTTAATATTCGATTAGTGGGCGATACTCTCACTAGTGGGTGTCTAAATTTCGCGGAAGTTAATATAATCGCTTGACTACGAGATTCAGTTACTGAACGAACATGTTAAAAATGTTGCCCTATCTCGGTGTGCACCTTAAATGTGATTTGGTTATCATATTAAAGTCACTATTGTGACGGTACATTAGAACTAGACAGAAACAAAGTGTGAAGGGCCTGAACGGAACCCCTCGGTTTTAGTTCCTTGTTTAACACTGCCGTACAGTTACAGTGTCAAAACTAGGGGGAAAAAACAGTTCAGTTGCAGGATTTTTTTTGTTGATATTTCGCTTTTTCGATATTTCATTTTGTTCTACTTTAATCTAACTTTAGGTAGCCAGGCAGATGCTCCAAGCGACTGCCAGCTTCAAAAAGGTGGCCATTCTTATCACGGACGGGAAGTCGAACACTTGCGGGTCACCAGTACCTTTCGCTAAACGAATGAGGTTTTGTATCTAAGATGAGAAGTACGAATGAGTCGGACTTTTCAATTTACTCGTATCGTACGTACTTTTCAATTCTACTGAAAAGTTCTCCTTCTAGAAATCGATGGAAGAGTTCTAAATCGCAAGTAAAGGACTTATATTGAGCTTTTTTAAAAACAGCTTTTAAAGAAGCTGTTTGAATAAGTAAATTGTCTAGTAATTTTGTAGAATTTTTGTTTTACTTTTAAATTTAAATGCCTGCCTGACCTAAGAATTGTGTGTTTAATTTGTTCGCGAACGGCATATTTTCTCTAACATCGGCAAACAATTACATTTTACAACAGCCCCGATGATAATAATTCAAAAACAAAAAAAATCGATCTTAATCCGAATCGTACGTCGTATGAGTCGGACTTTTCAAAGTTGCGTACAAGTACGTACTTTTCCCCCTAAACGAGTCCGTACTTCTCATCTTAGTTTTGTATAGGTCACCCGTACCTTTCGCTAAAGGAATGAGGTTTTGTATAGGTCACCTGTACCTTTCGCTAAACGAATGAGGTTTTGTATAGGTCACATTTACCTTTCGCTAAAGGAATGAGGTTTTGTATAGGCCACCTGTACCTTTCGCTAAACGAATGAGGTTTTGAGACCACCCTTATTTTATAGGAACACTACAGTGTTCAGCTGTAACATTTATAGATACATGGGCTTCCGATTGGGTTTTAAAGAGATTAATATTTATAACAAATGGAATATTTTAACTCGACTCTAGAAATAAAATCTCGTAAAACTGTAGCTGTATTTTCACACTGAATTTAAACTAAATCTACAACTTTATTCACAACTTCATCTCAGAGAAGGTATCCAGATAGTTGCACTAGGAGGATCATGTAAACACGTTTGAGCTGAAGGGGATCTCAGAAATGGATCACGTGACTAAGATTGATGTGTTCGATGAGTTTCATGAGCTGGCTAACATCCTGCTTCAAGCTAGTAAATATTCAATAATTAATTCATTAATTAAACAATAAGATAATTGACATGATGATTAACAGTATGGATTATATAGATACATAGTTAGATGCTTCCGAGTAAGTAACGTTCATCTTTTATTTTCCAAACCTAAAAAATTTAATCATAGCTTACTAGCAGCATACCATTTGTCATCACAACACCACGTAACTACCTTATTATATAAGGATTATTGTGACGTCATCACAACACCACGTGACTACCTTATAAGCAGCATACCATTTGTCATCACAACACCACGTGACTACCTTATTTAAAGGAGTGTTATGACGTCATCACAACACCACGTGATTCACTAACTTTTGCAGATGAAGTGGCGTCTCAGTACGAACTGGAGACCTCGTTTGAAGTCATGTGTCACAAAGACAAATCTCTGTGTTAGTAATATAGGACGTGTATACCATTGGGGACGTAAACTTTAGCTCCTCACACACGTGGGAATGATGAACCGACCAGCTTCCAGCATTGACCAATCAGAACCAAGAATCACTGTCACGTGATTAATCTTTGTAAATTAGCTAATGAGAAGAAAATGTGTCGTCTCCCATCCCCGCCCAAAGTTCTCTCTGTCTTACTAGTAAAATAAAGTCCACAATACATTACCATACAAATTTTACCATTTGACTCGCCGCGCTAACCATACTAGAACTTTAAATTCCACATTTTTTAAACGAGTTGACTTATTTGTCACAGTAAGTCATTCAATACAAATTCAATAACTTGAGTTTTCATGACGTATCTATGCTATTTAGTGACGTATATATACTATATAGTGACATATATACAGTGGCGTATATAATAGTGACGTATCTATACCGTATAGTGACGTATCTATACTATATAGTGACGAATATAGTGACGTATATAGTGACGTAGCTAATATACTATGTATATAGTGACATATAGTGACATATAGTGACGTATCTATACTGTATAGTTTGGGTATTTACAATAAACCATTTGCCCAGACAAAGAGATGCAGTGTCCTAGAATAATGACAGAAGAACAGAAAGCACAGTGTGTCTGGGGAGACTGGGCTACTTGTGTCAGGTACAGTAAATTAAATAAATAAAAACCCCGATTTACAGCGGCCATTTCCTTTCCCCAAATATGCATTATGTAAACAAACTAAACCCCGATTTACCACGAACGCTGATTTACCGTGGATCGGGGTTTCGCTGTTTTATGAAAGCATGTTTGAGTCTAGGCCCTTGTTTGGGTCTAGGCACCCATGGCAATGTGCAGGCCCTTTTAAGTTCTAACTTTAGGAATACCCGGATTTACCATCAATATTCTATTCGCCCAAACTGTGAATCGGGGTTTTACTGTAGTGAGTTCAAGTAAACTCACTCCGTATTTTCGATATAATTATAAAGGTATTTTTAGGGTAAACTAATTGGTAATGTATTTATGGGTAGTGGGTACATGGTTGGTATATCTTTGACAGTATTAATACAGAATCATGTGTACAAAGGAGAAGATGGAGATTGCTTATTATGTACCATTACATACCAACATGGCCATCACTAAACTGTATGCTTTAGTTACACACAAACCCTCTTTAATCTGAATACTGGCCCTAATTATACTCACTTAATTACTGCAATTAATCCTAATTATACTCACTTAATAACTGCAATTAATCCTAATTATACTCACTTAATTACTGCAATTAATCCTAATTATGCTCACTTAATTACTGCAATTAATCCTAATTATACTTATTTAATACTACAATAATCACATGATTTACGTACTAACTTCGTAACTATATCTAAATCCCACACATCCCAACCCCTCTCGAACCCCCTTCCCCGGTTACCCTCTATATACTGACCTGTAGATCAAGGTTTTCTTTTCTTAACTCCTCTTCTAGAATCTCTTCAAATGTTTTCTTGGGTTTTATGGCAATGTCTTCAGGATGAGAAGTTAGTGGTCCTAAAAAAGTTACAAATAAAGTAAGGTTTAGTTTAAAATGCAGGGTAGCAGTACAGTATCATGCTCTTATTTTCAGAAAACAAGTTTAAAATATAGTTAATGAACACTGCTGAATCATAGTCAATATGGAACACCTACGAAATTGTAAAGTGTCAAAAAACAAAAAAGCATGTACCTGGTATATCTTCGATGTCTATGTCAGTTTGAGTTTCATACACACCCAGTTGATCCTCAATATGTCCTTCAAACGGTTTAAAGAATTCAGCATCTAATTCTAGATCTTCATAGCTGTCTTTTCTTGTTTCTTGAGTAGGTACCAAGTTTTCTTTGAGCAGTTTGTATGTTATGGGGGCTGCTGTCTTTGCCCCTGAAATTTGTAATTTTTGAATTTTAGTGTAGGCGCCGATGACTCTAACCAAAAGTCATGAAATTCGAACATTTGAGTGGCATGAGAAACTTGTAAGTTATTGAATATTCAGTCTTAAAATAGTACACTACTCGTTGACAAGTTGTTAGAAAATATTAATATTTAAGAATACTCATGTATTCCATATGACTGAGCATGAGTCAGCAAATTTAATTATGCTCAGTATTCAATAAATATAATGTACAAAAAAACGGTTCCAAGATTTTCAAACTTTTTGCAGTGTTGCCATAAATCAAACAAATTATGAGTCGACAAACGAAAAACTAAAATGAATTTCATAACGTTTGTGAATTGATAGCAACTCATATTTCAAAATTTGCTCCTTCATAAACGATTTCATTAATTCTTAAAATCCCAACTAAACATTATTTTTGCTTCACCCTGTATAATGTATAATTTATAATTTATAATTTATAATTTAGTGTAGCTTCAAAAGTTCTCATCCCCTCTTGTTTGTAACATCTGCAAGCAGTGGCTTAACAAAGGGCCCCGCTGACCTCGCTGTGCGGGGGGGGGGCGCCGTCTTAGGGGGCGCCAAATCGTCGTTTGAATGTGGGACAATTTCGAAAACTTAACTAAAGTACTAGCAAAACTGCACGTTTTCTCTAGATACACACTTTTTTATAAATTTTACCGGCGTATCCTATAAATCACCTAATTTGTTCAATTTTAGGGAGGGGCACCAAAAGGGGAGGGGGCGCCAATAAGGGGGCGCTTTTTCGGCAGGGGGGGGGGCGCCAACAGGCAACGTTACGCCACTGTCTGCAAGTTTTGAAAATGTATGTGAATTTTGATTAACCTTGTCTCTGCAGTTGGATATGATGATAAAGTAGGTTTATAAGCTCCATCTTTACTTCCTCTTCACTTTCAAACTGCTCAATATCCATTAAACATTTCTCAGCTTGATTAAGAAATTCCTCAGTAACTGCCACAGCACCTGAAATTAGATTTTAATATGTACTCATCAAGCTAATTTATGCTCGGTTAATGGTAATTGTGCGATGTAGTGAAGTGTTTAATCGGCTTACTTTAAACTTTCTGTGACAAGGTTACACTTTCTACTTTAACAGTATGTCTACCATGAAAATGTGTTGTACCTATTTCACTGCATTGCTCATCTTCGGATTCTGACAGTGTGACACAACCCAAGTCATCATCAATAACTTCAGGTTTGTAAGACACTTTGCTTTTCGGGAAACTATAATTGTATGCAACATTTTCCTTGTCATCGGGATCAATCATAATCGGCTAGTAGATTTAACATTATTTACAATACATAACACAAGTATCAATCCAAATGCGACTCATAAAATCTAAAACATAGAAGGATTCGTCGATTCAGTGCAAACTGAAAAGCCACGGAAGCTGGAATACGTGTTAGAACAGGCACTCTTTGTTCAACTGAGGAGTGTCACAATTTACACAAAAATTATTTTATTTTAAAGCTAAATTTTAACACTCATCTGTCTGAAATCATTCTAACTCTATTGCAATATCAAATTGTAAAGGGAAACCCTGATAAAGCCTTTTGTACAGAACCGTTACGTGCCCAGGAGAAGCCAAAGCACCTTCAAAGTAACAATGTAAGCCAATCCTTGAGCTAAGATATGCCAAGTGATCCACAAAAAGTATGTAAATCAAGTGAAATACTCTCAATCGGATGGCAAATCAAGAATACTACCACGGCAGGTTAGCAACAAACTAAAATCAGACTGTACATTGCTACCATGATTATAGAGAAACTCCAACAACTTTACAGTGGCTGCAGTACAGCCACTGCAAAACTGCAAAATTGCTTTCTATTCGTGGCGGTTGTTGCAGTCATTTGTAAACAACATAACAACAATATATTACACGAAAAGAGCTTTGATGTCAATCGATAACATAGAAACGAACTCTTCCGGGGATAAAAATATTGTCTATCAATACAGCGCTCGATTCTTATAGTACAATACAAAATATTGCAAATGTGCGCAGGCTTGTCTCACCTCATATTATATGTCATTGTCATACGTTGTATGACCCGCCTCGCACAAGTGCGCGGCTTCTCCTGTATCGTACAAACTCTACACTATTATATAGTGAAACGACGATGGGGTCACGACGTGATACAAATATGTCCTACTCGATCAAATCAAACTCAAAATTACAGATAACAGATAAGATCGATAAATATTATAGATCATTTTATTTTACGCACCGTCGCAACAATGACAAATGCAATCTAGTATTGCAGCACAGTCATAATTGTTGGTTTTAATAGTTGAAGTTTAACTTTAAATTTACGTACTTTGTTCATTAAATTATTTTGGAGGACGCCGCTACGACGCGCATTACCATTGACGATGCTTCCATGCATCATATCACGAGATCAAAAATAGTTGCTTTGCTTTATAAAGTAACGATTTGTAGGTTCGGCATCGTCAATCAACAAATTATCATAGTAAAAAATAAATTCAGTTGTGAGTTGTCAGTTTAAGTTATAATTTTGAATTGTGAAAGCATGCTTAAGCATGCTTAAGCAATTTACAATTGCAGTTGCATAAGTTTGTCATTTGTAAAGTTAAATAATTATACATGCATCATCAACTATAAAGTCAAACAAACAGAATTAAATTATTCAAATGATGTAGTTTTTTAAAATAAACTATATCATATATCTTGTAGGTTTATATAAACCTACAAGGACGCGCGCCGAGTTGGACTCGACGGTCGAAGTAATATTTGAAACAAATATTTTACGAGTATCACCCGTTAAACTATATATCAAAATTCAAAATATCTGAAAACAGCAATTGTTAAAATTTTATTGGTAGTAGTTGACAGCTGTCTCAAAAATTGAAAATTATCAAAATTAAAAATACAAAACTTAAGTTTCAAAAAGACCTTTGGACTTACTGGGCCGCGCTCAGCCTGTCATTCCGCCAAATCTTTATTCGGTTAATGAATAATTAATTCGGTATATGTTAATGAACATAATAGCCTGGGGTCCTCAGGTAACTTTGGACTAAAATTTGTATTATTAAAATAACAATAGGAGGTAGTCAAGGGATATAATGAACAATATTTTCATAACACGTGATTATTGCGTGCAAATTTGTAGCGTGATGCACTACTGGGTCGCGCGCGCATCAAATAATGCTTCTCGCAACCTCGTATGCAGATCGGCGAGATGCGAAGGATTGACATCGTGAATCAACGTGCAAATGTGCAATGTTGAATTTATTACACTGTCAATTTTCAGCTCTAGCTGTGCACTGAATAAAATATTTTTTAACTACGACCGCATGTGAAATCGTTCGAGACGTACATATAATATATATACATATTTACAAATCATGTATTGTGTACAAGGGAACTATATTCATCCAAAACTTCAAAAATTAAATTCAATATGAAAATCATTAAAAAATGGACAGTCTGATCAGATAACACGATCGATTATGTAAAACGCCGCGCGCAGTTGATATCGTTTCTCGTATCATTCGAGAATAATAAATTCGCGTTGGATAAAAGCGAATTCTTTTCACTTTATCTCTCAGTCGTACACTTATGGTTAATTGCAGTATCGCTTTAGTCATTTCTCTCAGTACTCCGGATTACTAATATTTTTTCCTAAAAGCAGTTAAGTTTTTCCAATCATCTATATTAACACCTTACAATCTTCATCAACCCGCAGATATTTTTATGACGTGTAGACCTGAGATTCCTGCTTTGTTAGGCTTGTTATGGCTAACAAGCTTTAAAACAAAGCAGTTATGTCATTAACAGTTATGTCATTAACTTCTATTTTCCTAAGAGGTCTTAAGAAATCATTCTGTAATCGCTCGGGTTATAGCTCTTCATATAATATTAAGAGCATTTCAGGAATCTTTATTCTTTATTCATGAACTAGAATACTCCTAAACTCGACCGTACGATTCTCATTCTCGACATCACTGTCTTCGTTTCAAAGGCAGATGCTCGGGTCCTGTAGGTGATATTAGTTCGAACTCAAGGCCATTCTACATAGCCCTTGTCAGCCGTCAGATCCTCTAGTTTATTCCTTTCGCTTTAAATCTGATATGCTTTACGAGTCACCTATTCCCTGATTTTAATTAAATTGTCTGTCGATACAGCAAAGTTTGAATTTATCACTTCAAAACTCGAAATTCGATGAATTTTGCTCTGCTATTTGTTCGGTTTACAATCGTGAACTTCACGACTATTTGTATTGGTAGAGGCTATGATTGATGCTAAACTGCAAATAAATCAAGCCTGAGGCATTATACTGATTGATACAAATACTTTTAAAGTAGTACTTGGCGAACATCTTTTTTTACAAAAGTTAAACTTGAACTTGCAACACCCGCGCCGGCGCTTTGAATAGAGAATTTGCGGGGGAAAATATATAAATTAACTGTGAACAAATTAATTAATTTTGACATTATCTTTGTCTTTTAATCACTGTCCCATTAAAACTTTATGTCAAACACATTTTTACCCTCAAAAACGACACTTTACGCGTTAAGTCTAACCAAATGTCAAGCAATGTAAAAATGAAGCCCAAGAAAGAACTGCTAATCTCCCACCTGTACAAAGTCTCAAAGAACGGAGACCAAGTCTGGACACCCTACGGACCGACAGCATGGTCCACAACCAACGTGATAGTGTTCCCCTCCTCCACAGCTACCCACAGAAACTTCCTCCACTTCTTCCACCCTGACACTCCCTGGGAAGTATCCCTGACCCCCACCCCTCATACTGCTCTCATTAATAGTCTCAGTTTCGATGGTAAGGGCACTTTGTTGTGCGTTATAGACGCCCAGAGCAAGATATCTATATGGCAGATGCAAGGACATATTATAAACGATTGGCAGTTGGTGCAAGTCACAGATTCCAGCGATAGTTCTTGCATCTCAGTAGACACTCAGCCTGTTATCTGTTTCTCCTGGACTAATATTGGTTTGAATTACGTCAGGAAAACTTGGGCTGTGAGAAGTGAAGATGTGTCTTCCTACTGGACCACTAAGTTTAGCATGGAGGGGCCCAGCACGCTCCTTAAATCCAAGATATTTGAAACCAGTGTGATCACGGTCACATCGCGGGGTCTGCTCTCTCTCATAACCCCCGGTAAGAAAGTCAGAACATCCTACCTGCCCATCACCAACATGCAGACTGCAGATATCGTGGTGTACATCGTGTCTGGTAAGACATATTCCGACATCGCAACAGTCGACTTGATGTGCACGCTGAGACTCTACACAGTGGAGATAATGACGTCTAATATTAAGTTTGTGTTGTCCAGGCTAGTTCAACTTGCCCCTGATAGCCCTGATACTCGGATCATATTCCTGAAATTCGACAATTCTCTTAGCTCGGACTCTGATATCTTCCTAGCCATTCAAGATCCGGAGGGAGGGAAAATAGAGAAGTGGAAATTCACCCAAACCAGCGTCTCAATAAACCCGGTTCTTTGTGGAAACATGAACACGTCTGATACTTCAGTTAAACTGCACTGGGAGAAGCAACACAGCTTCTCCATTAAAAGTATCCCTGATAGTTTGAGGATCCCCTTTCTCCCGTACTCTGTGCCGTCCCAGTCTGATCCTATAAATAACAGAATAGGTAGAGCTGTGGCTGTTGCTTGTACTGATGGTAGCATTCAGATTTTAGATAGGAATAATTTGGCACAGATTGAGATTATTCCTTCGAGTCAGTTGGCGGTTGAAGGGAATGAGAAAAAGGAAGGCAGGAAATGAAAAGAAATCGAAAGTTAATTTCACTTTCTCTCCTGCCGGATGCTGCTTGGCAGTTCTTGCAAACGACGTCATCTCTGTTTTCTCCTTCAGAAACAATGATTTCGAAACTGAAAGTGAAACTGTTTGGCTGACCTCCGTGCTAGAACATTGTATACTAAACAACTGGGATCACTGGGAGATCATGTCAGTTGCCAGCAGACGAGAGGAGATGTTATCTCGGCTGGAGATCACCCTCAACCGATCATTTGACGCCCAAAACCCAGAAATAAGACAACTGTACTTCTCCCGGATGATGAGTATAAAGATGATGCTGTATAAGCTACAGCCACACACTAGTCACTGGCCTGGCCAACTGTGGTGCTGTCTCTTTCTGAACTGTCTGGCTGACAAGTTCAAGTCTCTTCTCCCTGTAGACGTGGTGAACAACTTCGTGTGTCCTCCTGATATAGAGATCAACAGTTTGGTAAGCATGGTGGATTCCAAACAGTTCCAGCTCACTGAACAAACCCTACTCACTCATCAGCCTCTATTTCAGTGGGTTCTTGACTACGCACAGCTCATCTCCATCTGTGTTCAACCTCAGAAGAGAACGTCTTCAGCGGTGAATTGGCAGAGTGTGGTGACGGACGGTAAAACTCTGAACAATCTCCGAGAGTTACTGGGTTACATCAAGATATGGTCCACTCTGTACCCCAGATGTGGTCCTATTATTTGCGGGGCTGAGAGTTCTGATTTTTCTAGTATCTTTAAAGCTGTGTCAATGCTGGTCAAACAGTTCCCATGTAAGAACGATATCCCAAGTTCTGATTACGACACGATCCAGTTGTTCCAGCAGAAGCTAACCACTCTACCCCATGTTGTTATCACGGCTCTCACAGAATCAGCAGCTACCACCGCCCCCATCCAATACCACTTCCAGTTCGAACCAAACACCATCAAATGTGCCACCATGTTGTGCGACCGCCCGGCTCTACCCCTCTCTAAAATCAACTCTGTCATCAACAGTACAGACCGGGACATGATCCGGAACACGATCCTGAGCGCCCACTCCCTCCACATCAAGCAGGACTTTGTGAAGGAGTGTGTGGTATGTGGATGTATCACCACCCTCCAACCCCCCGCTCACCAGCTCGACTGGTGGGCCAGGTGGAAACATTCCTGTGTGTGTGGTGGCAGCTGGAAGAAACCTTCAGTTCTTGCTTAAATTCCTGTGTTTATTTCCATAATTTTTACTGTTTAGCGATGCTTCCTGGTGTTTTATATGTACGGTGATAGCCCCAGTTTAGTTGTATTGAAGGTTAAGTTTGCATCATAGTGGTTTGACATTTTGTCGGCTTTCCTTACATACTTCATTTATCAGAGAAAATTGTAATTTTCCTAACCTTTATTTTTGAAAGATGATGTGCTGATTGTTATTAATTGTTATTTATTACCAAGTTTCATATTCCCGCACGTCATGTTTATTGGTACTCTAAAACTTATACTGTAAATGTTGAAATGTTAAAAGTCTGATGATAAGATGGCGGGACAGCAGGCAATATCATATTACTGGAATCGTGCCAGCACTGACCCCCGCTCTATTTGCAAGTGTCCTATTCCGTCCTGACATTTTACTGTTCGTTGTGTTACACCTGGTACTTTGTAGACCACACCTGACAGCAACCAGTTTCTTTCAAGTATTTTATAGTTTAAACAGATTTATTGTTTGATTGGTCTAAGTGTGAATAATTTCCTAATCTTCCACTTCGCTGTTAGGTTTTAAGTGCAGTTATAATACAGATGCCTTTGACTCGTTCAACCTCCAGAGCCGCTGCTGTTGTGGTGAGTTTAGTTAATTAATTACTAATTAGTTAATGGGTTTTAATTACAGGTTTATCAACATGTCGAGCTGACCAATTTGTGGTAGGGAATGATTTATGATTTAAGTTAAATAATATATTCCATAAAACAGCCGCTCGAACCAAGCAGTTAGCACAGCTACTGAATATTTAATACAACTTAATGGAACTAAATTAACGTTTCACAGTGAAACTTGTTAGACTATTGCTAACTCCTTCCACTCCTCAGGCTACAAAGATTCCAATGCCGACTAACAGCCGAAAACGTAGTATAATTTCTCCCGGACCCCACAAACAATGTACAAAACGATCTGCTCTTGGAGATATCACCAACGTAAGTTGTGTGTTTGTTTGTCTGTAAGAATGTTATCAGGAGCGTGCACAGGATTTTTGAAAGGGGTAGGCGAGGAGTCGGCGCCAAGCGCCGGCTCCGAGGCTACCGCCGCGAGCGAAGCGAGCGGCGGCAGGGGCCCGGGGGCGCAGCCCCCGGAAAATTTTTGACTGAATTATAGAATTATATGCTAAGCCAATAGGATTAAGGATATCATTACAGAAGGTTCAGACAGTTGATACACACTTGGTCATTAGAAATTTCTGAACTTTATCAGCCTAGATGCCAAGTGGATATCATCAGTCATCTAACATGGTACATGAAGATACTAGATCAAAGTAGATACTTTAGCTCCTCTTTCCCATATTAATCTGCCTCTTTCTAATCACTAATGACTAATCTAAAAAGGGGGGGGTCCACGTTAAAAAAGTTAAATTCTAAGATCGAGATTTTGGAATTTAACATTAATTACTTTAACTTTTTTAACTTTTTTAACATAAATTAAAAATCAGATTTTGGCTGACTAATCGGTTCAAATTTTAACATAATTACCCAAATTAAACTCAATTATGAGTGTTGACCTTTAGTACTAGTAGTACCTCGCTCTTGCAATTGTTTTCTGTAGTTGTAACTGATTTGATAACTCTACAAAAAAAAAACACCTTGTATCTATATATACACATAATTGTATAATTTACTAATATAATCATTCATATAATACAGGGTGGGCCAAAAGTCAGTGTGCAAACGTTGGCCTTAATAGCTCAGTCACTGAGTGCCCAATTGAAATACTACCTTCTGGTATGACTTAGTACCACCACTGGTTCGAGGAATTTGTCAACTCGAAAAATATTCGCGTTAATTATTTTCAAATGGAGGTTCATTTTCACATTTATTTGATAGTTTGGATAGTCGGATCAAGCTAAATGTTATTGAATTGTGTTTGGCCATTCGAATTACGTTTGTCCTGAAAGAATTAGAACTGTAGCTTCTCAGATGACCAAGATATGAAGCATAACGAGTTTATTCATTACGTGTGATCAGGTGATTGGTTTACCTAATCACGTGATAAGGTGACCCCGTTAACTACCCCTTAAACATTATGGGAATTGTTAAGGGTGCCCAATTAAGGTGTCGTGTCACGGTGTCACATAATCACCCAGTCATTTTGTTAACGAGATACACAAAATGCTTGATAACTTCGTCATTTCTAATCCGTTTGGCCTCATGTTTTCAGATCATATGCAACATTTAATAATCTACCGTCTCTGAAAAAATTAGGCGTCCAGCATGTTCAGAGGAAACAATATAGGTGTTTTAATATTGAATGGGCGTGGTCTAAAATATTCGAATTTTCAAATTTTGACGACGGAATCCTCGAACCAGTAAGTACAGTATGCCATCTGCAAAGCAACAGCTCTCAAATATAAAACACGGCGGAGGTATAAGACCCAACGTTTGCACACTGACTTTTGGTCCACCCTGTACGAAAAAAGAATATGGCTTGGCGGTGTAAGTGCGGAAGGGTTATGGAAAGTCTCACATACGACAGATGTTTACGTTGCAATTTAGCGAAGGAATCAGGAGAGTCGCTCATTCGCTTGAAGGGTTCCTGTAGCTGTAATCCCTGTACCCGAACCATCTACTGAGGACACATCATCAGGTATTGATACTCCGGAGCTTCCTCCAGCTGTAATCCCTGTACCCGAACCATCTACTGAGGACGTATCAGTTGTTGTCAACACTTCAAAAAGGGCTGCTGATTCATCAAAACCTAGAACTCAATATGATTCTGAAGACGAATCATCTGCTGATGTTATCACTACTGCGATAATAACAAGCAACTCATTCAAGAGGAGAGCTGTCCCTACTTTTAGGATTCCAAAGATTAAGAAACCGACGGTGCAAAGCAAATTGACGATTATGGATAAATCTTCATCGACGGGTCTGAAGAAGAAGGAGCATTTGCGGGCTAACACTGATAATTTAACCACGAGAACTCCCACAGTAGACAATTCTAAATTCACAATTGGACGACCAATTGATGTTGATAAGATAAACAGCAGCAAGAAAGTGTTAAATTCAAAGAAGGAAACAGCACTTAACAAGTTGTCTACACGACTCATTGAAGGTGGAACTGCAATCAAGAATGAGAATCAGCAGGGAAATCGGGACAAATTGAACTCTAGAAATACTCCTCCAACAAGTTCTCTGAGTACAATTAGACTGCCAGTACACGATGGAAAAGGTGATAAGCCTGTGATTGCGAAGAAAGAGACTGTTTTAAACAAACTTTCTACAAGATTCGCCACAGAAGATGGCACTTCCACGCCGAAAAACAAACTTTGTAAGGAGAAATCCGGAAGAAAGGCGCTCGATGCCGAAACGATTAAAGATAGATGCACGGTCAGGACGAATTTTGAAATTGAATTGTGGAAGTGTAACGACATGGTACCTGGCCAGATTATCAAGGCCAAAGCAATGCAACGGGTTTTATTCAGACTTGGGTGTTCTTTAGAGGAAGCTTGCCTACAGAATATATACAATATTTTCGGAGGAAAAAAATCCAGGTGTCCTACGTTATCAATTGTGCGATCCATGGAGCGGGTATTAAGACTAAAATCTAAGAAAAGACGTCGTCGGATGATGAGTATTTTACCTACCCCGGAATGTCAGAATGGAACAAAGAGTACAGATGATGTGGTGCAGAATACTGTGCATCAGCCATGCCCAATAGCTAGAGTGAAACCAATCTTGTCATCGGAAACTATTCAATCTATTCCAAAAATACAAGGAAAGCTGTCTACTAATTATGTCCATGCAAATGTGACAGGGAAGCATTCTTTTGCCTTTATTTCCCACATTGCGGTAATGCTAGAGTTAACTAGATCACTAGGTCCAAGCAATTTGAAAAGTTGTGACGATGAGGAACTTGTGCATAGATCGTTGAATGAAATAAAAAATAATCAGGATTCAAAGAAATATCTAAATGTAATTGATAGCGCGGAAGATATTGAAAATGAAGTCCCTGAAGTCTTAAAGCAGGTAAAGAACCTATTGGGGTGTGTGAAAGTGAAACAACCAGATCGAAGTTCTGTTTCAAAACATAGATGCTCTCATAATCTAAAGAGCCATTTAGCCAGTTATATAATATAATAACATCTATAAACAAAAGAGCACCTAAAGAGGCTCAGCAAAGTGCTGGCCTATTTACGCTTACGAAGACTCATTCGTTCAATATGTCTCAAAGTAAATAAACTCCTCCATCCTACTCTATCTCTTGCTAAGTTCACTAAGTTGGTAAAATCATCTTCATTTTTTAAATAAATTTGTCTCTTAAATAGGTCCTTTTTCACAATAATATCATACAAATTAGTCCTGTGTCTACCCACTCGTCCCTTTAGTGTTTGACATCCTAGTGTAGCAAATAACAGAGACTGGTAGGCAGGTGTGTCGTTGTCACTGCGTAGAACATGACCTAGCATTGTCCACCGTGCCTTTTCCACTCTCTCGGAAAGGGGCCTGGTCTGGGTACGAGCGTAGAGGGCCTTGTTAGATATTGAGCTAGGCCAATATATGTGTAGGATGCGCTTGAGGTGCTTCCTCTGAAGAACATCTACAGACTCTAGAACATGCTGAGGTACGGCCCAGCAGCAGCAGTTGTACAGGAGCACTGATACTACTAGTGAGTCGTAGAGTTTGATCTTTCTCTTCTCAGTTATCTGACTCCTCTCTGATCCCTGGCACCACAGCTTGTCAAATGACCAGAAGGCAGAGTTAGCTTTATTTATTCTATTAGTAACATCCTGCTCTGATCCAAGCTTAGTACCAAGAAGCGTCTCGTTTCTCCACTCCTCTTTTCCTCTTAGTTCATTATCCCACTCGTCACAGGCACCAACTTCTTCTAAATACACTCTGGTAAACTTTGTCTTTGTGTCATTGACAAAGAGACTCCATTCACTGAGAATATTCTTGGAGATCTGAAAGATATCCTGTAACTCCTCCATATCTTCACCAATCTCCTCTAAATCGTCTGAATAGCCGGACTCAAGAGGCATGTGGTTATCGGCTATCGGAGGGTTGGGTCTTGAGGGGAGGACTGCTCTTATGTGCACTACAGCTCCAGCTAGATTGAGGGTAAACAATTTACCAGCTGTGCTGTCTCCTTGGGAGGCTCCTATGTTGAAAGAGAACATCTCTGAGTCAGTAGAACACACTCTGACTACTAGAGTGGTGTTAGCCATGAGGTATTGTACAAGCCTCAGGTCGTCTCTGGAGCATCCTGCAGCTTCTAGTAGTCTGATTGTTGTACCTCTGCGGATGGTATTGAAGGCAGCTGACATGTCGATACTCACTTTGTTCCATTCAAACTCCTTCTTCATTACTACAGATATGAGCATGCTCTGTGCCCAAACTAGGTCGGCACAGCTCCTGCCAGCTTTGTAGGCAGCTTGGAACGGTCCGGTGAAGTTGTCCACAGCTCTCTCTATTCTGTTTAGCACTATCAGTGACAGGATCTTTCTAGAAACATTCAGCAGGGTCAATTGCAATGGTCGTATCGACTTAACTGGGCCACGAGTTTTACCAGGCTTAGCCAGTGGTGTGAGGATGCCTGCTCCTATTGCTTCAATGTGAATGTTTTTCTCGAAAGACTCGTTGAACACATTAGCCAGCTCTTCATGAAGGAGGGGGTTGTTCAGGGCTTTCATGACCTCGCCAGGAACTTTATCAATACCCACTGCTTTACCAGACTTGAGTTTACTGATGGCTCTCTCTATCTCTGCAACGGTGATGGGACTGTTAAGGCTAGATGGGGGGTCAAGGAAGGCAGGAAGGGTAGGCTCATCAGCGTCGTTGAACTCAGCTTCAAAGTACTCCTTAATAATCCTCGCTTTCTCCTCATTAGTACCTGCGATATTCCCAGCAGGGTTGTGGACGGTTAGAGCTGGTCTAACATATCCTTTGGCGAGTATCTTAGAGGCTCCAAAGTATCTCCGGGCGTCGTCTGTGTTGTTTACCTCTTCGACGAGTGTGTCAGCACTGCGGTTGTTGATATCTCTGAGTCTCTTTGTAATCTTACGTCTCAGCTGGTTGATGTTGGTCTTGACATGCTTCCTGTTGGTCGGGAATTTGTTCTGCATATTCGCAATCATCAGCTGCTTGCGTTCAAGTGACAGTTCAGCGATCTCAGGATCAGTACTGAAGGATTTGTGCTTTTTTTAGCCAGTTGTTTGGCCATAAGAGGTAGCCTCCCTAGTCTTGGGACATCAGGAATGTCCGAGGAAGAGATTATTGAGGAACATCTATTTTCATTACTGAATAATGATGTATGTCGTGATATAATGAAGATTCCTCAACCGTATGATGTTAATCGTATTACAAGTGAAGTTCTAAAATATATGAACGACGATAAGGACTCGGCTGCACTATAGTGAAAATTATTTTAATGATAGACTTTTATATTCAGGTTAAATGATATAAGTAACTTCAAATTAGAACCTCAAGTTCTTTTATTTACGTTATTACAGTAACACCTGTAAAATTTTTACTTCATTGACACTGTTTTTTAATTTTGTAATATAATATATTGACAAATTGTTTGAGCGATAACTTTTACATTGAAACATCATTAGACGTGACTCTTTTTAACTTTGTAATATAATATCGTGACAAATTGACTCATTGTTTGAGCGATAACTTTTATGAAATATCATTAGACACTATTTTAAATTTTGTAATATAATATCGTGACACAGTGACTCTTTGTTTAAGCGATAACTTTTATGAAACATCATTAGAATTTTATTCAGTTATTAATTCATTACGATTAGTATCACTAGATTTAATGATATATAGATTATCATAGCCCTATTTTCAGTGTTGACACTGTGAATGGAATCTGTTGTTTTTTAAAAATTATTTATGAATCAGCTGTTTATATTTCTATGAATTATAATTTATTATTGTAATGATCAAATGTATCAATTATTTATCGGTTGTACCTATGTTATATGACTGTTTTACTCTTGTCATGGGCATTCCTATATTCCTACATGTAATGACTAATGAACAAAAATACCAACGCATGACCTAAAAGTAAACTAGTCTAGAATATTCACTCCATTGCAATTTCAACCCAAATTTGAATTTATGTTAAAAAAGTTAAACTTTCTAAGCCTGAATTTTGAAATTTAACATTAATTAGTTTAACTTTTTTAACTTTTTTTAACGTGGACCCCCCCCCTAAAAATATTTTTTTGCTATAAAAAGCAATTTTCGACAAAAAATTATAGGTCAACATTTCAAAAAGGGGGCGGCGACCGCCTCCATCGCCCCCCCCCCCCCCCCCTGGGCACGCCCCTGAATGTTATGATACAGTTCTTTTAACCACGGTATTCTTCCAATGATTTTCTTCAAAATAAGATATTTGATCATCCTCAAATTTGTTATTGTTCATCACAACAGTAAAAATACACCAGAATAAACCAGAATACGGCCACTAAGGTGGATTATATTAGGGTGTGACCTGTAGTCCCGAAGTTACTAGGATGCAGCGCCAACATTATGAATATTGTGCCCCTTTTCCCTCTTTATATTTTGTAGATTTACACCTTTCACAGACCTCTGTCTCTAGTTGAATTACTCTGAATGTATTTTAAACATTAAATGCATTTTATTGTAGGCACTTGAGTCAGTGGATTGTTGTTGAGAACACAACCAAAGGCAGTAGCACTGCTGACATTTTTACTTGTCGCTGATAAGCTGTATTGGGTTAAATGATAAATATTTGTAACTTACGATTACTCCATTATCAGATTAAATCTAGTCACTATCAGCAGATATTATAAATCCTGACACCTTTACTTTTAAACTATCTTAATTCACATTTAAAACTTTGCTGATACAGTCTCAAATGAGTTGAGATCTAAAGTCAAAGATAAAATCAAATCATTTACAATTTTATCAAGGTATCAAAGAGGAAAAGTAAAAAATATAGCTTTGTACTTATGCTATGGCCACAAACTTGTTTAGTTGAGAAAGCCCGGGAATCCCTCAGATGTTATACCAAATCTCCTACTTTGTTGGTCAACTGAAAAACTTAAATAAATAAAACAATTTGGGATGACTGCTCTCCTTCAACCTGAACAAAACTTTAAATTTAAACAATTTGGGATGACTTCTCTCCTTCAACCTGAACAAAATTTAAATTAAAACAATTTGGGATGACTTCTTTCCTTCAACCTGAACAAAACTTTAAATTAAAACATTGTCCCAAGTGTTGTTTCCCAATTACAAATAACTGTCAATACGTTTAAGCTGATAAACACTCTTTTTCAGCAAGTGCTACTCGAAGATCCGATTGATCAAATAAAAGGAGGCAAGGTTGGACCAAAGAAACCCCCAAAACCAGCCTTCACCATCTTCGAAGAGAATGTAGAACCAGAGTAAGTGGGCCTTTATCTTTATTAGAATAACTAATTTTATATTTTATTAAATACTTAATTCAACTTACATCACTGCATCCCCTACCTCAACTGTAAATACTAATTGATACTATTACTAAGAGATTTGTTTGTAAGTTTTATTACCTTTTCAATACCGTCATTACTATATTGGGGGGGGGGGGGGGGGGGGGGCCAAGTGGATATTTGTAGATATTTGGATAATGTCATCCACTTTTTTCGTAAATTATCCATTACAATAATCTACAAATATCTACATTTATCTACAAAAAATGTATATCTCAAATATGTGCCCAGAAATTCTACTGAATTTTTGGAGATAAATGTATAAATTTGTAGAATTTGTAGAATTTTCGTGAATTATCCATTGACAATAATCTACAAATATCTACATTTATCTACAAAAAATGTAATCTCAAATATGTGCCCAGAAATTCTACTGAATTTTTGGAGATAAATGTATAAATTTGTAGAATGTCATCCACTTTTTTCGTGGATTATCCATTCTAAATTTATCTACAAATATCCACTTGGCCCCCCCCCCCCCCCCCCCCCCCGGCCCCCCCTATATTACTGCAGTGGTTTCGAGTGTCAGAAATGTAGTTTCATTCCAACTTTCAACCTTAAATACTTAAAATTTGCTGTTGTTTATCATGTTTCGCACCTTTACCGAACAAATTGTTTTGTTTAGCTCACACCGCAAAATCTGCTGAGTCACTGACACGGGAAATTGAGTGTTGAGTGTAATATTTGAAAACTGACTAGATATTTGGTCGCATAAATCCTATCGAATCAGATAAGACCATCAAACATACACTGAGCAATTTAATAATTCATCTGTTGTTTTAGGAACAAAAAAGCAAAGAAATCCGAACCAAAAAGCACGAGACGGTCCAAAGATTTGGTGGTTCAAAACCCAGTTATCGCACTGACCAGATCACAGGTTCGATCTTAACTTCATGTTCAGAACATTTACTTTTACCTGTTGAAACATTTTAGTATAACTTGGCTTCCTAATTCCATGATTCATTGCAGCCTTTTAAATATGTGACCTAGCTTCGGGCGTGGTCTATTCTCCAAACCACTCGATATAATCATCACGTCAAATTTTAAGTGTGATTATTTCAGAAATCAAGATCCCTGGAATCTGCCGAACCTAAACCAGAATGGAGGGATATAGATGCGGACACAACAGATCCCATGTTCGCACCTGAATATGCCGCAGAAATCTTTGAAAATCTGAGGGAAAGAGAAGTCCATTTCCTTGTGGAAGACTATCTGTCAAATCAAGCAGAAATAACAGAAACAATGCGTGCTATTCTCATTGATTGGCTTGTTGAGGTATGGAGAAAGTTTTGATAATAACGCCGATATTTTGTAACTCAATATGAGCGGGACCGTCTAGTTTTTCTCTTTAGATAGTTCGAAACTCCGCGCGCGTCTTAATGCTGGCAAACTTTGCTTTGTCAAAAATGATAGTCTCCGGGCATAAAAAGCCACATATTGTCAGCGTGAGCGCGCTGCGCAAGGCGAATCCTCAAATCTACACACTATCGATAAAAATAGCGCCACTTTCAAATTTGGTGGGAAACTGATCGTGCTTGCACGCACCAAGCAATTACGATTACACACACACGTCACCTCAGGTGCAGGAAACATTCGAACTGTTCCATGAAACACTCTACCTGGCCGTGAGAATGGTTGATAGGTATTTGAACCGAAAGAACGTCCGTAAACTTCACCTTCAGCTGCTGGGTGTTACTGCCATATTCCTCGCTTCTAAGATGGAGGTAAGCAGTGCTACAGTTTTCAATCGCCACTCCCTGATTCTGACTGTTCATTTCATTGGTCATTTCTCTTTTCAACTACTACTGCTTTAACAAGTTCCGGTACTTCGGTTCAAACTTTTATTATCCTCAAATTTAGAAAGTTTGTGTGATCGTACCTGATATAAACCCCACCCTCCCTCAGGAACGATACCCACCCCCTCTGGAAGACTTCATATTCGTGTGCGACAGAGCCTACACAGAGGATCAAATACTGAAGATGGAGCGAGTGCTGTGCGCTGAATTAGAGTATGAAGTTTACATGCCTCTCTCTTACAGCTTCCTGAGACGTTACGGAAAATGTGTTAATGCTGATATGAGATTACTGACCATCGGCAGGTGAGAGATTAGTCAATTTGGTAGATATCATTCCTCGATTTCGGTAGATTTTCGAAATTATTAAGTCCTGAAGCGGTTTAAAAAGTTACTACTGCTCTTCATCGAGTAATAAAACGTAACATTACAGTTTACACGCTATTCAGCCACGGTTTACGTTTGGACTGATTAAACCACCTTGATAATATGATTGTAATAGATTTGTAATTAGTCCAAAATTAGTGTAAATTATCTGCAGTTACCGACTTTAGCCAATTCTTACCAGTTGTTAGTTTTAGTGTTGCCCCTTACCATAACTTAGTTTAAAAGCTTTATACCATTTCAAATGTTAAACCTTATCACTTCAAATGTTAAACCTTATCACTTCAAATGTTAAACCTTATCACTTGAAATGTTAAACCTTACCAGACTTACTAACATATGTGTGTGGAAATTTTACCCAATATTATTGATTATGAGGCGTGAATTCCTGGCTTTTAATGGCACGTTTCATTCAAATGCACAAACTAAAGTTGATGGTTTTATCAAAGAAAGTAAGGGAACGTTGGTGGGGTTATAGGACAGTGAGGGAAGGTATTACCAAAAACGGTGATTCGGTTGTCAACACATAAGCATTGAATATTATCTCTTTTATGGCGAAGTCCTTGTCATATTTGGATGTATTAACTGTAAACATGAGGTCAGGATTCGAAATAGCTACCATCCGTATTGCATTGCCCATTTTCAAGTTGGGCAGTAGAATTAATAGTTAACATCATTATTAAATACGTAAAAACGATGTGTTTCAAGACTATCTTGATAAGTTATTAAGTCTATTCCTTTCCTTACTTTTTATCTTATTCCCCTCTTAACCACATCACCTTCTCAGATACGCTCTGGAACTCTCCCTGCAAGAATACCAATACGTCACCTACCGCCCCTCACAGCTCGCTGCGGCTGCGCTCCTCTTCGCGATGCGCAAATCCGGCAACACCGACTGGGACATCACCTGCCAGCACTACTCCAGCTACACGGAGGAGGACCTTAACGAGCTTATCAGTATGATGGATAAGAGCACAGTGGCTGCTTCCAGCAACAAACACTGTAAAACTATCTACAAGAAGTACTCTCACCGGGTGTTCTTCGAGGTGGCGCTCCTGCCGCCCCTGCAATAGTGTCACGTTATGTCCAAATATGGTCATAGCAATATTACCACGTGAAACTGAAGTGTTTCAGTGTGTTATTCTAACAGGTAAAGTGTCCGAGTGTGTCGTGTGAGTGTGTGTGAGATTCAGAAGTGAAATGTTAGCAGTTTGTGTGTGGGTAGAGGTTTCAACCCATCTCCATTTTAGGATATAAGATAATGAAATCTCTTTCTCTGCCTAGTTCGAATTCTCATGAAACTGACTCGAATTGTTTTGCACAAAACATTCGTTCATAATAAGGTCAATATTTTAAAATACACAATGAAAATAGTCCCGGGTCTGGGTTGAAAGCCGCCTCACATAACTGAACTAACAAATGTCTATCATTACTGACGAAACAAGCCGGCTGATGACTACACCGTATTCTGTGATAAAAGCAGTGACTACAGCGAGATTCCGTTTAATTACTAATATTTGTTGCTCTGTGCTACCTTAATTAATTAAATACGCACTTTAATTAAATATGCGAATTTTTTTTAGTTTCCTCCGTAAGTTTCGTTTTACATTATTTACATCAGTTTTTGATATATTGCTGTTTACGAGGTGAGATTAAGAGGCGAGCGAGACTCAATAATTTAAAGGTTGAGCACTTTAATTAAACTGTTGGCTACTAAATCCAACAAAGCGTCTTTTTACCATTTCATGCGTTAAAGTTAATGTAATAATATGTGTAATATTAATCACAATGCTTTATATATTTTAGGTAAAGTTGAGGGAATATTTTATAAGCTTATTAATAAATAAGTCGATATCATGTGCTACAGTGTATTTGGTTGAGATTGAGACTTGATTCGCTAAGTTAATAGTATACATGATATAGACAGTTTGAATCCATAGCGACGAATACTTAGCATGGTTAGGAGCTATTTGTATATAACTAAACTGGTTGTTTGTTAAGCGAGATGAGCCTAATAATAATCCATTCCGGCTAAATCTGCTTGCATGTAAACACAATTAGCAGGCTAACCTAACCGTATCAAGCAAATTTTCTAATATTTCAATCAATAAAAACCTGATAGAATTTCCTGACTTAGCTAAGTTCGTAGCATGTAATTCTTGTTTGTTTAGTGAGGGTTAGTTACAATTAGGTATATCTTTGAGCTGCTTTATCGTTTAAGATTAACTTACGCGACAATAGATTGTACAATTAATTATTGCGTCCTAGAACTTTTTATATATGTCTAATTTTAAGTATGTGCGCTATTATTTTAATTGCGAGTAATTATTGAGGACGAGATCGCAGATTTTTTGGCAACAATTAGGGTCGTTTTCTCCATTCTAGTCTATTCTTGTAACATTTTACAATTCAACTGAATCCTAGAGTCCAGAACGATTGTGTATCTTGTTTTAATAAAGTTAATTAAATTGGTTAATTCTACTATCGACTTGTACTGAATATGAGTAGTTTTCTTTTGTTATAACCTGCTATTTTGATAGAAATAGTGATTCTTACGGCAGAAATTATCACAACCAATCTTGCCACCAAATTGAATTAAAACTTTAACACAACAGTTATTAGTGATAAGGATATAAGTATCTTACTATATATAAAGCGAGACGATATATATATATATATCTGTGCCATTTTACTGACACCACGGCATCAACTTTAACGCGACTTTCCGCAAAAACCGTAAAAGATATACAACTGGAACTTTTTTGGCTGGGTCAAATGCTTTAATGGCCTTCAAATCAGCATGAAAAAATAAAAAATTGGCCAAGGAATAATGATTTTAGAGCCTAAAATTTGGACCCCCAAGTGGTGTCAAAAACGCCAATTAAATAGGTAATAATTATTTTAGTATTTTGAGTCTTGACACCGTTTAGGGTTATATTATACGGGTTCCTGCTAGTATATATAAAGGGCTTGACGCTTGTGTTAACTGGAGACCCCAGGCTGCCCTCAGGCTATTAGTAGTTCATAAATGATAAACAACGAATAGTCTAGTAACGCTTGTGTAATTTGAAATTTAGCGTATTACATATTACCGACTTTAATGAACTCGTCCGAGGACCGAGATACTGCTTATATAAGGGAAGGACCAATAGAAATTACTGGGCGGCGCTCAGCCTGTCATTCCGCCTAATCTCTATTCGATTATGAACATAAATATAATAGCCTGGGGTCTTGACGGATGTTACTCGTCTAAATTTCTTCGAAGTAGCGCCATTAACAATGGTCAACCTGGGGTCCCCAGGTAAGGATAGAAAATAACTAATAAGGGGGGGGCGTTATTTTGATCCATACAATTACCGCTTTTTAATCGCTTAATAAACTTAACGCATAAAGGGTCGTTCACTCATTACGTAATCGATTCTTCACAATTTTCATTGACCGTTGCACGTTGACGAATGTTACTCGTCTAAATTTCTTCGAAGTAGCGCGCGCCGATTTCTCGATGGCACGCTTTCTCGATGGCACGTGCTACGAAGTAGCGCGCGCCAGGCCAGATCATTAACACTGGTCAAATCGACCGTAGTCAAGGCGTGTGGACCATAAAATATAAATCTTGCGTGTTGCGCAGCTGGCGGCGTTAATTGGTTATTAAATATTTTGTTATGTATCGGCCGGTCGCGCTAATGGCTAAATCACTCGATAGTCGAGTATGAAGTGATTAATTTGACCATTGTTAATGGTCTGACCCGGTGCGCGCTACTTTTAAGCACTTTCCATTTCGAGAAGAAAGCGGCGCGCGCTACTTCGAAGAAATTTAAAGAGTATAAACATCCGTCAAAGAAATGCACTATTAAGTTGCTTTATCCAGAGCCCTTGCGATTGCAGTGGCGCGCGCCCGCCTCACGGCTTTTCTTGACTTGTGAAACAAGCGCGCCCACACTTACTGGGCCGCGCTTTGACCATTGTTAATGATCTTGCCCGGCGCGCGCTACTTCGTAGCACTTGCCATCGCTACTTCGAAGAAATTTAGACGAGTAACATCCGTCAAGGCCGCGCTCAGCCTGTCATTCCGCCAAATCTTTATTCGAACATAATAGCCTGGGGTCATGAAACCATTAGGTGTCGCCGAGCTGCGAAAGATTGGCATCGTCAATTATGAGGGCCGCTAACAAAGTCACGTGAGACTGACAGTCGAGTGCTGAAATTCACGATGTCAATCCTTCCCAGCTTGGCGAGGCCCAGTCTTGCCGATTTACGGAAGGTGGTTGCGAGGAGAATTATTTGATGCGCCGCGCGGCCAATAGTGCATCGCGCTACAAGTCGAGTGTAGAGTGCTTAAATTAATAATTGATCAATAATCATTATTTTTAATATTTTGCTAAATGACCATGATGGCTGATGTTATAAAAGTATAGTTATGTTGCAAAATAAATCTATGTATAATAAAACGTGCGCTTTATTACTCAACTTGCAAAAAGTAAGTTTGACTGTTTAAATATTAATAAGGCTCAGTTAATCTCCTGCGAAAGCATTGTCATACGTTGTATGACCCACCGCGCACGAGTGCGCGGCTCTCCCTGTATCGTCGAAACTCTACAGGGGTATAGTGGGGGTCACCACGTGATACAACGAAAGCACACGTTTAAATATACATGTCTACTATACTGAATACTGCAATTAGTCCTTGATTAACTAGAGAAATGAAGCTTGCGATTAGAAGTGCAAGTTTAATTATTTCAGTTTTAAAATATTCAGGGCGGGCTCGTAAAATAAGTAAAGCGATCAATAAAAAAGTTGCAGACAATGAACAATGAAGAAGTAAAATATAAAAGTGGTAAGGGTGGTTGTGCAATCGAAACAAATTTTTTGTGGTTATTGTTATCAAAAAAGGTATATTCAATATCAAATATTGGACATGAAAACTTTATACTACTAAGCACGCCGCGCAAATTAAAAAAATATGAAATATTTATACATTGTATGGCACATATAATTGTTAATAATCGAGCGCTGCAGCTTTGATGATTTTTTATTTAGCCCTGGAACGTTACAGGAGGTTTGACGTGTTATGTATTGTTCTTTAACACCCGTATATCATATATCAGTTATTGGTTAAAAACAGAGGCGGCCATTGAAGGCGTCCAGGTTCACATAGCCATGTGTCTACGCGTACTGCGTGACGCGCTTGTTTCACAAGCGAGAGGGCTCTTGTTAGAGCAAGCGTCCAGGCGTCTGTGGACGCCCATCTGGTGGCTGGTGCTTAAAAATAGAAATAGTGATTAGTAATAGTGTTCCGAAATATCTTATCGCAATATGAAGCTCTTTATTCACTCAAACGTTCGAATGAAAGCGCACGCATTATCTTTGTGAAATTTTTTGATGTTGGTCGTCCAATCCTACGTTTGGACGAATAAGCCGCGCAGTTTTAACACATAGTTAATTGTAAACGGTACAAAGCACATCAAGCGCATCCCACTACAGGTAATTTATATGATTTGCTCGTCCAGGACATCTTGCAATTTGAACTATCGACTGTTATGATACTGCGCGGCTGAGATCGTACACGTGTGGTGTCTTGTTTCACACATATTATAAGTTTTTGTTTTTGTTTGCTGTCGCCTGCGAAGTGTGACACATTACAAACATGAGGCCCTGTGTGTAATACAATCGGTAGTTTGGAGGGAGTTTGGGCCGGCCCCAAGTCCCCCACCCCTCCCCTCCCCAGTCCGTCGATTGGACACCCAACAAAACTGCCAGCCGCCTCCCACGAGCCGCCTCTGGTTAAAAATATTTTGAAGTGTAGTTTTGGTATCAATAAACCTGTCACATCTTATTACCGAACTTAAATTGCAAAAGTGAGGGTGGGGGGGGGGGGGGGGGGGGGGGGGGGGGGGGGGGGGGGGGGGGGGGGGGGGGGGGGGGGGGGGGGGGGGGGGGGGGGGTTTTTTTTGGGAAAAAAGGGGCCCCCCTTTAAAAAATAAATTTGAAAAAAAAAACCTAAATTTAAAAAATAATTAAATTTTTTCCGGGTAAAAATTTTTAATTTTTAAACATGTTTTTTGATTTTTGGGGGCCGGAAATGCCCCTTTTTTGGGGGGTTTTTAAAAATTTTAAGTTTTTTTTTTGTTTGGGGCCGAAAAAAGGGGGGGGGCCCACTTCCAAAAAGGGGGCCCGGTGTTTTAAATTTTTTGGGGGGGGGTTTTCCCCCAAAAACCCCCCCCCTTTTCCCCCCCCTTTTTGGGAAAAAAAATGCCAGGGGTTTCCAAAAAACCCCGGGGTTTAAAAAATTTTTTTAATTTTTTTTTTTTACAAAAAAAATTTTAAAATTTTCTTATTCCCCCTTTTTTTAAATAAAGGGGGGGGGGGGGGGGTTTTTCCGGGTTTAAAAACCCAGGGGTTAGGGCCCCCCCCCTTTAAAGTTTTTTTTAAAATTTTTTTGTTTTTTTTTTTTTATTTTTTTTTTTTTTTTTTTTTTTAAATTTTTTTTTTTTTTTAAAAAATTTTGATCAAAAATTCACTTTGGTTTTTTGGTTTTTGTTGAAAAAAAATCCAAAAAAAACTTAATTAAAACCCCCTTTTTTGTTTCCAAAAATTTTTTTAAAAAAAAAATTTCAAAAAAAAAAAAACCCAACTAAATTTTGTTCCCAAAAAAATTTTTAAAAAAGAAATTTTTTAATGCAAAGCCTGGGGGGTTTACCCGTCTGTTACCCCCCAAAAGTAAAAAAATAAAAAAATTTTTCCCAAAAAATTCCTTTTCTAATTGGGGGAAAAATTAAAAAAATTTTTTTTTCCCCCAAATTTTATTTTTAACATAATTTTTTTTTAATTTTTATTTTTTTTTAAAAAAAAATTTTATAAAATTTTAAATTTTTAAAAATTTGAAAAAATGAAACAAAAATTTTTATAAAAAACATTCATTTTTTCCCTTTCAAAATTTTTTTTCCCAAAAAAGGAAAAATTAAAAACCCAAAAAAAAAAAAAAAAAAAAAAAAAAAAAAAAAAAAAAAAAAAAAAAAAATAAAACCCCACTTTCACTTCCCCAAAAAAAAAAAAAAAAAAAAAAAACCTTTTTAAATTTCCTTTTAAAATTTCCCCAAAAATTTTTGGGTTTTACAAGGGTTTTGTTTTTTTTTTCTTTTTTTTCTTTTTTTTAAAAAAAATTTTTTTTTTAAATTTTTAAAAATTTTTCTAAAAAAAGGGGACCAAAAATAAAAATTTTTTTTTTTCCCCTGGGGTAATTCTATAAAATTTTTTTATTTTTCAAAATTTTCCCAAACCCCAATCTTAAAAAAACCCCTAAATTAAAAAAAAAACCCCCAAAAAAATTTTAAACAATTAATTTTTTTTAAAAAAAAACCCCACCTTTTTTTGGGTTCCCCGGGGGGTTCCCTTTTTTTTTTTTTAATTTCCCTTTTTAAATTTTAAATTTTGGGTTTAAAAAAGGGGGATTTGTTTAAAGGGGGGTTTTTTTTTTTCCTTTTGGGGGGTTTAAAAAGAAATTTTTTTTTCCCAAAACAAAAATTCCAATTTGGGAAAAATTTTTTTAAAAAGGGTTTAAAATTAAATTCTTTTTTTGGTTAAAATTTTTTTCGGGTTAGGGGGGGTCTTAAAAAAGGGCATTTAAAGGTTTTTTGGGAAAAAATTTTTAAAACGGTTTGGGGGCAAATAAATAAAATTTAAAATTGGGTTTCTTTTTTTTTTAAAAAAAATTTTTTTGGGGTGGGGGTGCGCATAAACCGGGGAAAATTGTTTTAAAAAAAAAAAAAAAAATTTTGGGAATTTTGTTTTTTGGTTTTTTTCCTTTTTTGGCCCTTTTTAACCATTTTTTTTAAACCCAAAAAAATAAAAATTTTTAAAACCTTTTTTATTTTTAAAAAGGGGAATACCATTAATTTTTTCTAATAATTTTGGGGGGGTTTCCCCCCCCCCCCTTTTTAAATTGTTTGAAATTTTAAAAAAAAAAGCCCCCCAAAATTTAATTTTTTAAAAAGGGTAAAGACCAAAAATTTTAAAAAAATTTGAAAAAAAAAAATTTTTTTAAAGGGCCCTTTTCCTTGTTTTCCCTCCCTTTTTCCCTTTTTTTTTGGGGGGGGGGGGGTAGGGGGCCAAAGGGACCCATAAAACCCCCCATTTTAAAATTTTGGCATTGGGATTTTTTGGGGTTTTTTTCTGGGGGTTTGTTCCCCGGGAAAAACAAAGGGGTTTTAAAAAAACCCTTTTGGGGGGGAAAAACCTTATCCCCCCCTTTAAAAAAATTGTTTTTAATTTAAAAAAAATTTTTTTTTAAAAAAAAAATTTTAATTTTAAAAAAACCCTTTTAACCAAAATTTTTTAACTTTTTTAAAAACCCATTTTTTAAAACCCCTTTTCCCAAGGGCTTTTTTTTCATTTAAAAACCCATTTTCATTTGATAACCCCTTTATTTTTTTTTAAATTTAAAAATTTTTCAAAATTAATTTCCCCAACATTTTTGAAAAAAACCAAAAATTTTTTTAATAACCCCCAAAAAAGAAAAATTTTTTAAAAAAAAACCAACCCCCCCAAAAAAACCCCAAACCAACCCCAAAAAACCCGGGACCCCCCAACCACCCCCCAAAACCCCCCCAAAACCCCAAACCCCCAAACCCCAAAAAAAAAACCCCCCAAAAAAAAAAATTTTTAAACCCCAAAACCTGCAATCTCAAAATTCTTAAAGTTTAGTAATAGGGGAAAACTCATAAGAGGACCTACATTTTTTTAAAAAAGTTGCTTTTTTGTGGGAAAAAGGGGGAAAAGGGGGGGCCCCTTTGGGGCCCCCGTCAACTATTCCATTGTTTTTTAAAAATATAAAAAAAATTATCTTAAAATTGCTTCTCTTTGTAGATCTTTTCATTATTACTGTATAAAATTAGCATAAAAGTGATAACATTGTTTCACTGATAACTTTGTTTTAATGACATATCATACTCATAATTTAGTAAACCTTCAGCGGAAATAGCTCTTTGTCGATGACTTTTCCACTCTTTGCTTTGGGCTTTGCCAAAACAAACTGAAGCTCATGGCTTGAAACTATCATGTGACCTGATAGATAAAAAATATATACTTTGCTTTATTTTCCATAAACTCCATCAAATTTAACTTAAGTAAACATATTTGAAAAGCTTTCTTATTAGTAATCTGATATGATCTAGTATGTAGGCTACTTTATTTCAAACTTTCACCTTTTTAAAATGTAATGTCGTTTCACCTATGAATTGTTACATTTTCCTACCTTTGTATTTGATATTGCCTCGTGAGTCAATCCTCCTGCCTTTAAAAGGACATCCACCAGATATCCAAGCGTGTTCACTACTCATGATTGTCTACACTGAAATTCGGTACTGTGAACAAACCGGAGAAGGAACTATTTACGAAGGAACTATTTACTATTTAAGTACAACAAAAATTATAGCAATATTTCATATACCTTTATTAAAGGCAGCTACTTTTAGATCACCTAAAATACACAATTAACCGAAATGAACGGTTAAGACTGAAGATTGAGGAAAAAGTTCTAGTCACATCAGGTCGATACAGAGATATACGATTTACAGCAGTTTTAACAATAGCAATGATAACAATTCGCACCACACAATAGTAAACGGAATATCAAGCCCATGGCAAAGAGTTAATCTTTAATCCTGGGTATAAAACCACGTGACTTTAGTAACGGCTAGGATTGGCTGGCACAAAACCCAAACTTACGTGATTGGGTAGATTTCTTTCTGCTATGCTACTCAGCAAACGGCTTTGCGGTAACTCGAGATGCCGAGACAGAGCTGAGAATATATCTGCCCCAGGCTAGATCTATATGATGTATTAATACTCTCCGTAATTATCAGTGTTGAAAGTTTTTTGTGAGTAAATTCTCGTGAATCTTCTCGAGATTTGAAGAACAAACTGCCACAGAAATAGATTTTAGGTGAGGTCATTTATTTTTGGCAGTTTAGTCTGAATGAATGTAACTATGATTTAGCGATGAGTTTATCTGTGTCTGCGGTTTAATATGGAAGAAATCCTGGAACATCACGAAATAGTGTTTTATCTGATCATTTAGTAGAATTTAACGGAATTGCAGTGACCATTGTATGACACTTAAATTTGACAGAAATCTTAAAATTAGGGCTTTACATAGGACCTTGGTATGATGCACAACCTACTTATAGGAAAATTCTGCTATAAAAGATAAAATAAAGTTTTTACTGTAGTTACGTAAGGGGACATTGTGCTGGAATGTTTTTAATTGCTCCAAGCTTGTTCCTCGAATTCAAAGTTTGATTGTTTCAAGGAACTTATACCTTACATTAAACACAAGATGAAATAATCAAAATTATCGACTATTATTGGTTTGCAGGCTATTTTTAGATATAATCAACATAATAAATAATCATAATAGCAATTAACAGCTCTAGATTGTGTTACAATTAAATCCAACTATTTTGAAATTTTTTTTCATCGTTAGATTACAATAATTTGTATCTTTGTAGAATGTCTTATTAAATATTTTGTTGATAATTTTTCATGAAGTGTTGACTTTTTTATGAAGTGTTTTGATTTAAGGGGGGGGGGGGTTCACCCTGATTTTTTTGTGAAACTTGGTTTCGAGATAGCAGTTGACCAACAAACTAGGACCAGTGACCAAACTTTTGAGGGGGTCCCGGACCCCAACCGCCAAACGGTGCCCGCGGGGCAGCCACGCCCATATTTGGTCCAAATCAGGCCCAATTTAGCCAAATACCCTGAACATGCCCAAAACCCTGGTTTATGGTGCTCTACTTGTAGCTAGTGGTCCCCTGAACTCGTATATGAAGTTTCATCAAGATTGGACAAAAATGACTGAGTTATGAGCTAAAAACTATATGCCCATATTTGGGCATACGCACTAAATTTGATCGATTTTGGCCCATAAATTGGTCAAATATCAATATTTTTGAATGAAACTAACTTTATATGAAAGGTAAGCCTAAACTACACATTCTCTATGATTATCAGCTCAATATCTACCTAACTGTGGATTCTGTGTTCAAATAATCGCAAAAAATTAACAAAATCGCCCATATCTCAGTTCGCGATATTTGCAAAACTGACTTCGCTCAAAACAATAGAACTCAATAGAGTTTCAATATTTTTTCATGAAATTTTCAGAATCAACGTAGAATTGTCTCATGACCTTAAGTTTTGGGACAGAATTTTGAGTTAGGCCTTTAAAAAAATTTGGCGGCCAAATTCTAAAATTTGCCGGGCATTTTTCAGAATTTTGCCGCCAAATTTTTTAAAAGGCCTAACTCAAAATTCTGTCCCAAAACTTAAGGTCATGAGACAATTCTACGTTGATTCTGAAAATTTCATGAAAAAATATTGAAACCCTATTGAGTTCTATTGTTTTGAGCGAAGTCAGTTTTGCAAATATCGCGAACTGAGATATGGGCGATTTTGTTAATTTTTTGCGATTATTTGAACACATAATCCACAGTTAGGTAGATATTGAGCTGATAATCATAGAGAATGTGTAGTTTAGGCTTACCTTTCATATAAAGTTAGTTTCATTCAAAAATATTGATATTTGACCAATTTATGGGCCAAAATCGATCAAATTTAGTGCGTATGCCCAAATATGGGCATATAGTTTTTAGCTCATAACTCAGTCATTTTTTGTCCAATCTTGATGAAACTTCATATACGAGTTCAGGGGACCACTAGCTACAAGTAGAGCACCATAAACCAGGGTTTTGGGCATGTTCAGGGTATTTGGCTAAATTGGGCCTGATTTGGACCAAATATGGGCGTGGCTGCCCCGCGGGCACCGTTTGGCGGTTGGGGTCCGGGACCCCCTCAAAAGTTTGGTCACTGGTCCTAGTTTGTTGGTCAACTGCTATCTCGAAACCAAGTTTCACAAAAAAATCAGGGTGAACCCCCCCCCCTTAAATCATCATTTCAGCCCATGTCTCTAAGATCCGTCAAAGTGGTCACGAGTCTTTGCTGTGGTAACCTACGCGTTTCCTGACGGATCCGCGCACCGCACGTTCCTTGAGATATCATCATCTCCGGAACTCACATTCCCTCCGACAACACCATCTCTGGACCACGCTTTTCTTGTGAGAACACCATCATGGCCACAAGTTCAGCGAAGGAAAACAGAGATGGGTTACAGTTTATGCCGCAGCATTACGCGCTTGCTACCCTCGTCAAGATGAACCAGCTCAGAAAAAACAAGTGAGTCAATGTTTTTAATTGATATGATAAGTCAATTATATAATAACAATTTATTTAATTATTAATTAATTAATTAGTTAATGTGTTTACACCCCCCTAGTGTGTTGTGTGACGTTGTGCTGATGGTAGGAACACACCAAGTTCCCGCGCACCGCGTAGTACTAGCCGGGTGCAGCAGTTACTTCTGCGCCATGTTCACGGGACCTATGAGCGAAAGCAAGCAGGTCAGTACAGAGGAATTTGGCCAAGCAATTGTATCGAAATCCGGCGGTAAGGCATGTTAAAATAGTCTCGTGATCTTTATTGTCGAGTACATCACTCTTGAGTCAATTCAACGTGTATCTCATCAAAACAAGCTTTATACATATTTTGTAATCACCGCTTTACATGACATGTTTTGAAACGTATTAAATTTAGATTTGTTTTCAAACTGGTATGAAGCATAAAACAGAATACAAATTCTCTCAAACTGCCGTTTTTATGGCGATTGAAGGAGAAAATGAGGAAACAGTTCCCAGAAGCTCAGTCGCACGAGAATCAGACCCTAAAATATAGTGATCAAGTTTGGTACCACGTGGTATGACATCACACCGCCGCGCGTGGTATGAACTATGACGTCACACCAATAACATCACATCGTCTCAGGAAATTATTCAGATAAAAGGAGTAGAACCTGATGTTTTAGAATTGCTGATTGAGTTCGCCTACACCTCTCAACTGGAGGGTGAGTTTAGGAACCGACCGGAATGGGCTTTTGGCTGCTGGACCGGATTCTGCCGGATATCAATCTATTATCCGGTCAGCCGGATTTTGCCGGACCGGAACCGGTTGTTAGAAGGGCAAATATAAGGCTGCCGGAATGTACCGGATCTTGCCGAAAAATTTAAATTTATAAGTTCTGCATTCCTAAGAGCAATACAACCACACCGATGATGTTTGCTGTTTAGGCCTAGCAGTAGACATAGGTCAAATATCAAATCAACAAGCAGTACGTTGTAGCCAGAGTAAACAAGAAGTAACAAGAGTAGACAAGTTATTATCAGAAATGATATTGATATGCGATTGGCATATTATCCTACCAGACCCCTTAAATCTTAATGCCCTGTTCATTATGAGCCGAAAATATATTTTCGGTTTTTCGAAGTCCGCACCTAGTCAAAATACTTATGATTTTTTAAGGATTTGAGTTAAAATGTGACGAAAAATATCGATTTCAAGATTTTAGGAATACATTTTTTTGAAGAAATATCCGGCAAAATTGTTTGAAACCGGACCGAAATCGGAACCGGATATCTGGTCGGTTCCTAGGTGAGTTGTTTCCTTTTCGTCATGTTTTCAGGAACTTTACCTACGAATCTTCTAGAAAATACTAGAGAATCTTTTAAATATGTATAATATTGTAGTAGAAATTATACATAGTGCATAAATTCAGTGATCACGTGACCGGTGACCCCGAACCGTTGGTCACGTGACCACCAGGTGGCTACTCAACAATAAGGTTCCAGTTAAAGTTCCCGTACAAAGAACAAATTGCAATTTGCTAAATTAGTTCCTTCCACCTTTTTAAAGTTTACTAATCAGTTAATTGCCTAATCAGTTAATCAGATAACTCATAACTGACCACGCCCAACTAACTGACCACGCCCACCCAGTAACGATAGAGAATGTACAAGGTCTCCTGAGCGCTGCCTCCCTCATGCAGTTACACTGTGTTATTGAGATTTGTTGTGACTTCCTGGAGAAACAGCTGACCCCTAGTAACGCTATTGGGATCAGGTCTTTTGCAGGTACGCAGAATATGTTGTATTAAATAGTATTGAGATTGAAATAGTGAATATACGCAGAATATGTTGAATTAAATAGTATTGAGATTGAAATAGTGAATATACGCAGAATATGTAAAATATAATAGCATTAAAAGTGAAATAGTGAAGATCACGGTTACAGCTTTTGTGGGATGTTTATTATATTAAAAAAATAGTATTATGTTAAATTATGTTATAATAATGATAATATGTACATATTATATTAAATACTGATAGTTGGATAATATCCGGTTGGAAGAGAAGGACAAATGAAATAGGAAGTTAGGAATGTAGGCAAATGTTTTTTTCATTTGTCCTTGTCTCTTCCAACCGGATATTATCCAACTATCAGTATTTCAATCATGAGACTAATAAACAGCGAACTACTCCGTCATTTGATATTATATTAAATGTTAGCAGCTTGACTCCTTAATTGTTATCATTCCTTCCAATTAAGTCATCAACAGCCAAGCTTCTAGCAGATATAATCAACATTCTGTAAAAGCTACGCCACCCTTACGTGTGACGTCATGTCATGTGTGACGTCATGTCACGTGTGAAGTCATGTCACGTGTGACGTCATGTCACGTGTGACGTCATGTCACTTGTGACGTCATGTCACGTGTGACGTCATGTCACTTGATTTAACCACCGTTAAATCCTTAGAGTTGCACACGTGCGAGGAGCTGCTGATAACTGCGTCGGACTACGTGCTGGAACACTTTGTGGAAGTGACGTCATCAGAGGAGTTCTTATCTCTAACTCACACTCAGGTATCTACAAAAGATAACATATAGCATTGCTTCTATTGTTATCATATTAAAATCAAGCATTAGGCTTAAATAGTATTTTTGGATGAGGTGCAAAGTTTTTGCCAGATCGTACTAAAGATCTACGAATTCAACAACCCTTTCATTGTAAACATTAAGACATGTAATATGTTTATTTTGATCAACTTCGTGAATAATATAAACGTTCTTGAAATAGTCATTCTAAAATGTAGCATTGGTTAATAGGATTATGTTAATTTAATCGTTAATTTTAACGTTTATTAAATACACCTCTAGTCTCGATGCTTATTTGAAGATTTGGTATTTATCTAACTACGAGACTCCATAAAAAGGTAAAAAAGAAAATTAAAATGAAGAATTATGATTAGCCACTTTAGGAGGCAAGAAGGACACGACAACCAAGTAAAATTCAAATTAGACAGTTCTCATTGTAAAAAGGAGTTCATTAAAATGGACTGCTGTTAGTAATATACAGTAATAGTAATATATGCTGTTGTATAATAAAGAATGTTATATAAGAATTGATAAAAATCTGAATTTGACGAACCGCCCACGTAAAATGGAGATTACCTCAACTTTATGAATACGAATTATCGGGATTATCTCAATAAACTTATTAATAAAAATTAACATTTGAAAACAATATAACATCTTATCCATTTAGGGCATAAACTGTAGTCTTAAAGATATCTTAAATCTAAATTACAAAAATTCTTATTAAGATGAGGTTCTCATTGTGATTAAAATTCAACTCATCGCTTGACTGTATCTTGGGGAATATATCTAAAGATTTATATATTCATTGATTCGCCAGGAAGCTTTAAATATCCTGAATTCTCTAAAACTATTTTATTTGTATATCACTTGATTCGAGGAGTTGATCTTCATTTACTTACCAGATTTGGTGTTGTAGGTACAGCTTACACTTCACATTCTTGAGAAACTCTTTTCTCTGACAAATGTCAGATTCCTGAGGTATGAAGTAGGTATGAAGCGACTGATACTCCTTACCGTGTTCCTCGCCACCGCGATGCTGATGACTCAGTTACCAGAAGACTCCATAACTTTCAACTATACCTTTGCCCTGGACGTGATAAGAGAATACCACGTTGACTTGATGTTAGTCCCAGCTAAGACTGACTGCGCAGACTTACTGCACGAAGCTATTTTGTTGCGTCATATGAAGAAGATCTTCGGTACGGACAGTCAAGTGTCTAATGATGTTGATACCATGAGATGTCAGTTCAACGTAGACATATTTTACAGCTACGTATATGACTACAACCTACAGATCAAGAACCTCTTGAAAAACTCACCATGGTCCTGCGAGCTGGAGCCTAACCTATTGTGTGATGGAACCTCTCACTGTGCTATAGACGAGTGTCACTGCAACCCTCAAACCAACACCTCTAAATATCCCCCTCCAGGCAACACCTCCGCGTTTTACTTCTACTGTTTTGATGGCTCTGGTTGCATCTCCTCGAACAAGGTGTGTGATGACAGACAACAGTGTCAGGACGGGTCAGATGAGTGTTTTTGTCAGGGGGTTGTTCAGCTGTCTTGTCCTATGAGCGAGAACAAGATTTGTTTGTCTCCACAAAAGTATTGGAGTTGGGAGGGGGAGATTGAGTCACTTAATTGCACGGTGGAAATCAAGGCTCCAAATCATGAATCATATAACAACACCAACTTTCAAAATCCAATCGATAGTTGTTTATATGCACTAAATTATGAAAATTTAGAAAATGGAATACATGACGAACTGTTAGCTGATCTGTTTATAACTAACATCACGACAATCTGTAAAAACTATTGTAGCAACGAGACAGGTTTTATTGAAGGGAACTGGGTGTCATACTGTGATTGGATAGTACCGGGGAGATTTACCAATAACTACATGCTAGATTTCGTGTTTGCCTGTGTAAAAGATAGCCTTCAAAACGACCAAACATTCCACATAAGCAAAATATGTGACGGGACACGTGACTGTAATAACGGAGCAGATGAGTTGGGGTGTCCTGATAGGTTCTACTGCTCCAACCAGACAGGAACGTGGATAACAGAGGACAAAGTGTGCGATCACGTGAAGGACTGTGCTAACGGAGTAGATGAGTGTGAAACGTGCGACTTTGGGAGTTTATCATCCCCCAAATTCCTGATACATTCCAAGGTAATCCTGGTTGTGACCACTGTCATGGGACTGTCCATTGTCTTGCTGAATCTCTACCAGGGACGGCAGTGTTATCTGGGAAGTCCATCCTCTAAAAAAGGAGATATAGACAGAATCCTGCGACTCCAAATATTCGTTTACGATGGTTTAATGGGAGTTTACCTGTGCTGTGTGGTGGTAGCAGCAGTAGTCCTGAGAATAAAGGGAGACTACTGTATCTTAGAGCGGAAGTGGAGGGGAAGTGAATACTGCTCAGCTCTAGGAGTCCTCTTCTCCTTCTCTTCCCACGGCTCCCTGATGCTGGTTGCGTGTGTGAGTGTCGTCAGGTGCTTCACCTGCACTGCACGTATTGGAACCAATGTTAGAAAGAGCAGTGTAGTTGTAGTTTGTGCTGTCATATTCCTGGTGAACACTACACATTCGCTCTTTCCCTTGCTTCCAGTTGCCTTCGTTCAAGAAGTCTTCAGAACGGAAATCTTCTTTTCAAACATCGAGGAGAACCCCTTTTTTAGCAGGAGTTCAGTGAATGTTTCCCACTTGGATCTGATGTATCGGAACAAATACCACAGTGAGGCTGATATCTACACATCTCTGACAGGACTCAGAAACGTGACCTCTAAACCGGAAATATTCGACACCATGGAGATAAGTTACTATGGTAACACTGGACTCTGTGTACACAACATCTTCAAAGTAAAGGATTCCTACGAGATGTACAAGATGGGTTACTGTGTGGTTCTGGTGGTACTGCTCACCATCGTCGTGGTTACTTACTCTAGGATTGTTTGGAAGGACAGAAGAATAAAAGCCAATTTAGCGGCAGCAGCTGCAACAGCAGCAGCAACCCAAGGAACGCCAACAAGGATGACAGCTCCAACGCTCTGACCCTCAAAGTAGCTCTGATGATTGGAACACAACTGGTGGGGTGGATACCCCAGATATTTGCTACAGTGTACTTCCAGTACATGTCCTCTACTCCAGTCCCACCTCTAGTGTTTGAAGTGTTTGCTCTGGTGGTGATACCCGTCAATAGTTTCCTGAACCCTGTCTTTAACAGTGAGCTGTACAGGAATGTGGTGAGGAATGTGGTGGGTTGTGGGTGGGAGAGATGGAGATGGTATGTGAGTAAGGTTACTGGGAGGAGCCTTGATGGTGAGGCGGTGCAGGTTGGTGAGGCGGTGCAGGATGGTGAGGCGGTGCAGGGTGGTGAGGCGGTGCAGGGTGGTGAGAACACGGATGCCTCTTAGAGCCGACCTTAACGTTAGACACGTGACTATAACTAGCTACAAGAGCTAGAGATGGAGAAATCACGGAGAATTCTCAAAGTCGGCCTTAATTTGAACACGTGACTACACAAGATGTTATACATGTACAGATTTCGCAGTTAAAAATAATATTTTTCCCGGCGAGGCGTTATCTTGATAGAAATTCCAACAAATTGTGTTGGCAACGATACAAGATTTTACAAGAAATGAAAAATATAACGGCTAATGCTTTTCTTTTACTTCTAGCTCATTTAAGAAAATGCTTTTATTCATATTCACTTCACTTTTTAACGAAACGTCTTAAAAATACCTACCAATTTATTTGTTTGTTATACTTTATGACGGTATTATATTTTTTGTTCTTAAAACTTAATGTTAGAGAAAATTTAGTTTTGTACTGAAAATCAATTTTAATTTTAATGTTTGTAAAAATCTTTAAAAAAGGCATAATAAATTTGGGCACAGCTGTTATTCCGTATGAGAGACTGCAGATAGAGTTTTGAAAGTCGTTAAATATTTAAAGCTGAAATGTTTATTGAGTTTAATGATCTTCATTATAACCAAAAGTTACAGTGTTTTCACAATTGGAGGAAGAATTAACGCATTATATAAGCTACGACTCTTATCATTTCGCTCGCCCAAAAATTATCATTATCACGGACTCAGGTTTCCACGGTTTTGTTTTTGGGCGATTGATATTTGATTAGGGAACGCTAAGCTACCCTGCGCAATATTCTCATCCTAGTCCTCATGGTATATAATATCTCACATGGTATTAAAATTTTGTTTAATACATTGGCTACTAAGACTCTAATGAATACAGATAACCAAATACCATGATGTTTCACATTAAAATGTAGAATATTCTTGAAATTCAATATACTGATCTTACTGATCAACTAAGTCACAGGTCACAGATCGCTAACAAAATATACTCACTGAATTCTAGTAATGCTGGTAGTTAGAGATGAGTTCTAGTAATCAGCAACCGATTTCTAGTTCCCATCATTGATTCTTATACTTTAGTAGGTACTGACAGTAACTAGAGGCATTTATTTTAGTACTAATAATAATATGGTATTACTATTAGTATTACTAATATCCTTCAGGTAGGCGAGCTGATTGATAGAGATGATATCAACATTCCTAGCGAAGAACACGTCTACGAAGCAGTTATCAGGTAAGAGAGACAAAGAGAAAGAAAGAGAGGGCGAGAAAGGGATATAAACTAAAGATATACAGAAGTATGGAGTTAGAGAGGGTAGGAATAAGATAGGTATGCACTATGCAGACGTATGAATGAGAGGAGATATAGGAACCAGCCTTGGAGACAGCTCAGTTTATTGAAAAATACAGATATTGTATCATTGTTATTGGGGCATGTTTAGAGATGCATGTTGACTGTGGTAGGAGTGTCACGAGGTGTGACGTCATACCACGAAGTGTGACGTCATACCACGAGATGTAACGTTTCTCCCCCAGGTGGGTGGAACAGGGAGAGAGGTTTGAACAGGACAGAACTCAGTACCTCCCAGAACTCTTAAACTCAGTCAGACTTCCTCTTCTCAGTACTGTTTACCTTGTAGACAAGGTTAGTTTGTCACCATTCTCGTCACACTATGTCACCTGGTGCTATGTGACGTCACGTGGTGCTATGTGACGTCACGTGGTGCTATGTGACGTCACGTGGTGCTATGTGACGTCACGTGGTGCTATGTGACGTCACGTGGTGCTATGTGACGTCACGTGGTGCTATGTGACGTCACGTGGTGCTATGTGACGTCACGTGGTGCTATGTGACGTCACGTGGTTCTATGTGACGTCACGTGGTGCTATGTGACGTCAAGTGACGTTTTCTCACTCCTTTATTGTACCATGATAAAAGTTGTGAGGCTTGAAAGTAATTTTCTCATAAAAGTTGTACTTAAGGGGGGGACAATGGATATTTTTTTGTGAAACTTGATTTCGAGATAGCAGTTGACCAACAAACTAGGACCAGTGACCAAACTTTTGAGGGGGTCCCGGACCCCAACCGCCAAACGGTGCCCGCGGGGCAGCCACACCCATATTTGGTCAAATTAGGCCCAATTTAGCCAAATACCCTGAACATGCCCAAAACCCAGATTTTAGGTGCTCTTCTTGTAGCTAGTGGTCTCCTGAACTCGTATATGAAATTTCATCAAGATTGGACAAAAAATGACTGAGTTATGGGCCAAAAACCATATGCCCATATTTGGGCATACGCACCAAATTTGGTAGATTTCGTCCCATAAATTGAGCAAATATCAATATTTTTGAATGAAACTTACTTTATAAGAAAGGTAAGCCTAAACTACATATTCTCTGTAAGTTATAGCTTTATGTTTGTTTAAATGTGGATACTAAGGCGAAAAAACCACAAAAAATGAACTAAATTGCCCGTATCTTGGTTCGCGATATTCGCGGAATTGATCTCATTAAAATTGTAACAACTCAATCAGTTTTCAAAATTTTTGCATGAAATTTTCGGAATCGACTCGAAATCGCATTTCCACCTTATTTTGAGAACAGATGTTTGATTTAGGCCTCCAAAAAATTTGGCGGCCAAATTCTGAATTTTTCCGGGAAAATTTTGGAATTTGGCCGCCAAATTTTTTTGGAGGCCTAAATCAAAAATCTGTTCTCAAAATAAAGTGGAAATGCGATTTTGAGTCGATTCCGAAAATTTCATGCAAAAATTTTGAAAACTGATTGAGTTGTTACAATTTTAATGAGATCAATTCCGCGAATATCGCGAACCAAGATACCGGCAATTTAGTTCATTTTTTGTGGTTTTTTCGCCTTAGTATCCACATTTAAACAAATACAAAGCTATAACTTACAGAGAATATGTAGTTTAGGCTTACCTTTCTTATAAAGTAAGTTTCATTCAAAAATATTGATATTTGCCCAATTTATGGGACGAAATCTACCAAATTTGGTGCGTATGCCCAAATATGGGCATATGGTTTTTGGCCCATAACTCAGTCATTTTTTGTCCAATCTTGATGAAATTTCATCTACGAGTTCAGGATACCACTAGCTACAAGAAGAGCACCTAAAATCTGGGTTTTGGGCATGTTCAGGGTATTTGGCTAAATTGGGCCTAATTTGGACCAAATATGGGCGTGGCTGCCCCGCGGGCACCGTTTGGCGGTTGGGGTCCGGGACCCCCTCAAAAGTTCGGTCACTGGTCCTAGTTTGTTGGTCAACTGCTATCTCGAAATCAACTTTCACAAAAAAATATCCATTGTCCCCCCCCCCCTTAAAAGGTTAATTTCAATAAAATTTGTTGAAGAAATCGATACTGTGCTGATCATGTGACCTCTTTCCCACTGCCTCACATATGACTGTATGCAGGTGTCAAAAGAGAACCTGGTCCGGAACAACCCCTCCTGTATGGAGCTACTGGACGAGGCTAAGAACTTTCACTTGTTACCTGGCAGACGACCAAAACTTCACAGCAGTAGAACTGAGCCAAGGAAGAGCACTGCAGGTATGTGTAAAGTAATGTCACGTGATTAACAGTACAGCCGTTTACCTTATCTATTTATCAGTACAGCCGTTTACCTTATCTATTTCGCATCGTCAGTACAGCCGTTTACCTTATCTATTTCGCATCGTTATTTCGTGCTCGTCTAGCTAGCTCGCTTTCTCTGTATAGCCCGGATTATGAACTCCTCGGAGGACTCAGTGACTGGGGATGGCGATGGGGCCGCCGTTCCACTTCGTCGTGATAGTTTTGTTTTAGTTGATTCAAACGTGAGCAATCTTCCCGACTTTGAGGGTGGGTCATCCGACAGTTTTTGTAGCGCTGTACCTGCAAACCCTGTCATCACCACACCCTCCTCGCTGCCTCATGGAGAGGTAGCACCATTCCAAAGTAAGTCACTCTCTTCTACACCAGTACGCAAACGTTTTTTAAGTACATCCACATCTGATTCGCATACATCCACGTCAGATTTGCATACTTCTGCTGATGTTTCGACCTATACAACGCTGCCGTACTTCACATTCAGTGCACAAACTTGCATTGAACTGCTGGAGCAAGGCTTGTTAACGGAGAAACAATTACTTAGGGAATATGACTACCTTAGCTGGCGAGGATGTAAGATTAGCTCTTTTAAACCTCGGCCTGACAAATCGATGTCTGGCAAACTAGTTGATGAAATGAAGCAAATATTTAATAAAATCCCAAAATTTGATAGACACTGCTGCTTCCTACGGTTTCACACAGGTTATATCCCGACCAACTCGCATAACTGACCACAGTGCCACCTTGATTGATCATGTATTTACCAACAAAGTTGAAAAAATTATAAGCTCTAGTGTATTGGCACTCGACTTATCTGATCATTTGGGTACATATGTACGCCTTTCCCTCGCTCCATCTTTCGACCGAGCTGCACGAACTTTTAAACCCATACTTGGACAATGTTGAATGTCTCAGACCAATAAAAAACATGAATATAGGATGTTTAATGAGGCCGATAACGAAAAATTTATAAGGTTGATACATGATGAATCATGGGAGCTTGATGGTTTATGTGCAGAAACGCGTTACGAAACATTTTGTGAAATTTACACCGACCATCACAACACCGCCTACCCTCTAAACACTAGACGAACTCGCAGAAAACACGAAAGGGTTGACCCTAAGCCTTGGATCATACCATGGCTTGAGGACTCCTTTAATCGTAAAAATTTACTTTATTTAGATTATGTTAAAGAACCCAATATTCAGAACAAAACCAAGTATGATAAAATGAAAAAATTCTGCGAAAAGCACAAGAATAATGCAAAACGCAGGTATTACAAAAAGTATTTCGATGAGCACAGCGATAACTCTCCTAAGCAATGGCAGATGATCAACAGTGTTCTCGATAGAACCAAAAAGAATACTGGAATCAATAAACTCGTAGACGAAAACGGCAACGTGGCTTCTAACTCGTCAGAAATAGCAGAGAAATTCAATGATTACTTTTCTAACATCACGAGTGATCTCAAGGCGAAAATTGAAATTCAAGATGACGACAGAAGCTACGAGGCCTTCTTAAACGATCCCGTCCCCCTCTCTATCTTCATTAGACCAGCTAGTAACTCGGAAATTTATGATATTGTCAAAAAGTTAAAAAACAAAAGCACCAAAGATACTAAAATCAGTGCACTCAAACTAGCATCTGAAGATGTTAAATTTGTTAATGCACTTACTCACTTACTGGAACAATCTCACAGTCGCTGGAAGAGGGAGTGTTCCCACAGGCACTTAAAGTTGCTAGAGTTGTTCCTATACACAAAAACAGCAGTCTCTAATTATCGCCCAATCTCATTACTGGCAGCTTTTTCCAAAATTTACGAAAAAGTTATGCATGCCAGACTTGTAGAATTCTTGAATCAAAATTTAGGTTTATATGAACGACAGTATGGATTTAGGGCAGGTAGATCTTGTGAACATGCACTTCTGGATGCGCAAAATACCCTCATCAGCTCATTACATAAAAAGCAAATTTATCTTCTACTCATAGATTTTTCAAAGGCTTTTGACATGGTAGATCACAAGATACTTCTACACAGGCTTAATTATTACGCTATAAGAGGCATCGCTAATAAATGGTTTAAGTCATACCTTACGAATAGAAAACAATATGTTAGTATTAATGGCGCTGACTCCTCGTGCAGGGATATGGAGTATGGAGTACCACAAGGTAGCATCCTAGGTCCTCTACTCTTTGTCCTATACATTAATGACTTACCTGGCATAAGCACTCTAGCAAAGTTTATCTTATATGCAGATGATGCCAACATTATTATATCAGGTAACAACATATATGAGATTGAAGATCATTTGAACCTGCTGTCCCAATCTTTGGTAGAATGGGTTGATGTCAATGGATTACTTATTAATCTCAAAAAAACAAATTATATGATATTTTCCCGACAGAAGATACCTAATCTCTCCCCAGTTATCATAAACAACGTAAATATCTTGCGCTTGAACGAAGCTAAGTTCTTAGGTGTGATTGTTGATGAAAAATTAACTTGGTCATCTCACATAAAAGCTCTAAAGTGTAAAATGGCCCGATATGTTGGCATATTGTACAAAATCAAATCATACATTCCCTTAGAAGTTAGAATTCAAATCTACCACAGTTTTATTCAATCACACCTAAACTACTGTTCCCTGGTCTGGGGTTTTACGTCCAAGACCAAAATTGAGTGTTTATTCCGTCAACAAAAGAAAGGTATCAGAGCCGTTATGCCAGGATGGGACACCTCCTACTGGTACCAAATCCTTTTTCAGCAACTACTCGATCCTAACCATACACAGCATAATTTTATCTAATTCAATAATTTTCATGAATAAAATTTTCTATTTCCCTAATCAGCTCCCTCCTCCCGTAGCAAAAACTATTCACGAAAATGTGCCGACTCGTAACTCGGGAGTTATCACTGAAGCTAGCTATGATTGGTTCAATGACTACAATACTGCCACATATAGAAATTCAATATTCTACAACGGCCCACTCCTATTTGTAGACGCATCAATAGACGAAGCATTCAATTCAGTGTCATGCCAATCGCTGAAGGCGTTCAAATCACAATGTAAGAAAACAATACTGAAGCTGCAGAAGGGGGATGATTGTGTAAATGAGTGGTTCACGAGTAAATTTCTCACCACGAAATCAGTGGCCTCCGTAGGTCCAAAAGAAACAGAAATTCCTAACTGTTTTTGCTGCTAATTGGGGCTAAATCCAACGTCCAGAATTAAGTTTAAATTTGTTTTCTATCATTTTTATACCAAACCAAATGAATGTTATGTTTATAATCTGTAAATCTTTAAAGAGAATCTGTTTGTCGTACAGTGAAATAAATTTTGAAACTCAATCTCAAACCCATTTGTAAACATGATTTTACTTGACGTATTTTCCATTATTTGCAGTTTGTTGCGATTTTATCACATTTGTCGTCTGTTTATTTTTCTATTTAGTTATGATATATTTTCTTATTTTCTAGTAGTTATGTTTTCAGGAGTGCCCATTGGGGTCTTTAATTTTAACTTATTATGATTGTAATCAATAAATTAGTCCATTAGAGACGACCCCCTTACGAGGGGCTTTCAATCAATCATTAATAGTTATATCACGTGATTAATAGTGACATAACGTGACTAGGTATGATGTCACGTGAGTAAGTATGACGTCACATAATGTTACAATTTACCAGGTGTGCTGTACTGTGTTGGGGGGCATGAGAGTTCAAGTAATGTTACTAGTAGTGTCGAGTGTTTCAGTCTTCGTAAAAACGAGTGGTCTCTTGTGGCGCCCATGACAAAGGTAAACAAAGCTTCTTACTTATCAACAATATTATCCTTAATAGCTAGACTAATACGTGAATATAATTATATTAATTGGATACAAATGTTTTGGGGCACTTAGATGAATCCCTGATTTGAGTACAATACAGTGAGACAAGGTTTACTTCTTCCTCAATTCATAAAAGCACATACTACTGCACGATTCCACAATAACGCATAATACCACAAGGCGCGCACGCGTATGGGAGTAGCAGTGCTGGATAACAAGATGTACGCTATGGGGGGTACTACAGGAGGGATGACACTGAACAGTGTGGAGTGCTATGATCCGGTACAGAACAAGTGGACTAATGTTACTCCTATGAGGATACACAGATCTGGTGTTGGTTAGTTGATATCTGATCTTATTGTTATTTGTACTGAAAAATGAATGTGAAGTTTTCAATTGGAGTGATGTCACACTCCACGTGATATGACGGCACACACCACGTGACATGACGTCACACACCACATGACATGACGTCACTGTTTCAGGGGCGGCAGTGTTAGGAGGGAGGATATTTGCAGTAGGAGGAGATGACGGAGTTACACATCTCAACTCAGCGGAGTGTTACGACGCGCAATTAAACGAGTGGGGCGAAGTGGTGAGTGCTAAACGTGGGGCCAAATAGTATTTTCAGAGGGGGTTATACAATTCACACATGATTCCAACCTGCTTGCTACAGAGAAACAGTTAATACAATGAACTAATGATACACAAGTTCCTAACAGTACGAACTCCCAGGTGCGGCCGATGGGTACGCGGCGTTGTTTCCCAGGCGTAGTTTCATACAGCGGCTGGTTATACGTAGCCGGTGGTACAGACGGCGTGCGCGTACTGAACAGTGTCGAGCGCTACCACCCTCACAGCGCTAAATGGAGTCCCGTAGCTCCTATGGTTGATAATAGACAGGTTAGTTTTAATCTAGATTTGGAATGATGAGAGTGCTAACTCCAGTAATCGGTCAAAATCGTTAAACCTTCGTTAAAAATGACCGACATAGACATAATCTAATTGTACGTAATCGCTTCGAAATGCGTAATTTTTCATAATCATAAGTCAATTCTTACGATTAATCAAATCGAGTAGACTAGTAATGTAAATTCTTGAAAACGATATGTCACAAAATGTGAAATAAATTGACTGAAAATCCTAGAAACAACCTTATTGTCATGTTACCCAGTTACCATGACAGTTAACTTACACTTTTCTCAGGGTTTTGGGCTCTGTGTGTTACATGGACGAATATACGCAGTTGGTGGTCATGGTACAGCAACACCCATAGACAAAGTGGAGGCATATGATCCGCGAGTGTAAGTAACAAAAGAAGATAGTTTTTAGGGAAATTGCAATTACTGGGTCATATCTGCTGTTTGTTCAACTCGTTGTCAATAGAGTCTTCGGGGATTTAGAGAGCACGTTTCCTTGATTTGTGTATGCGATTTGTATGCGATTTCACCCCTGTATGCGATTTGTGTTCCGGGGTAGGTGGCCCATGTTTTAGTATAAAAATGGGTACTGCCTATCCCAAACCATCATAAAAACCAAGTTTCGACCTCGCAAACCACTCAGGCCACTCCCAGGGGCCACGCCCATCCCAAAATAGCTCAAATCCAGGTCAAATCCCATACAAATCTAGACTGAGAATCTTTACCCCTGTATGTGATTTATGTTCCGGGGTAGGTGGCCCATGTTTTAGTATAAAAATGGGTACTGCCTATCCCAAACCATCATAAAAATCAAGTTTCGACCTCCCAACCCACTCAGGCCACTCCCAGGGGCCACGCCCATCCCAAAATAGCTGAAATCCTGGTAAAATCAAGATTGAAAATCTTTACCCCCGTATGCGATTTATGTTCCAGGGTAGGTGGCCCATGTTTTAGTATAAAAATGGGTACTGCCTATCCCAAACCATCATAAAAATCAAGTTTCGACCTCCCAACCCACTCAGGCCACTCCCAGGGGCCACGCCCATCCCAAAATAGCTGAAATCCTGGTAAAATCAAGATTGAAAATCTTTACCCCCGTATGCGATTTATGTTCCGGGGTAGGTGGCCCATGTTTTAGTATAAAAATGGGTACTGCCTATCCCAAACCATCATAAAAATCAAGTTTCGACCTCCCAACCCACTCAGGCCACTCCCAGGGGCCACGCCCATCCCAAAATAGCTGAAATCCTGGTAAAATCAAGATTGAAAATCTTTACCCCCGTATGCGATTTATGTTCCGGGGTAGGTGGCCCATGTTTTAGTATAAAAATGGGTACTACCTATCCCAAACCATCATAAAAACCAAGTTTCGACCTCGCAAACCACTCAGGCCACTCCCAGGGGCCACGCCCATCCCAAAATAGCTGAAATCCAGGTCAAATCCCATACAAATCCAGACTGAGAATCTTTACCCCCGTATGCGATTTATGTTCCGGGGTAGGTGGTCCATGTTTTAGTATAAAAATGGGTACTGCCTATCCCAAACCATCATAAAAACCAATTGTCCACCTCCCAACCCACTCAGGCCACTCCCAGGGGCCACGCCCATCCCAAAATAGCTGAAATCCTGGTAAAATCAAGATTGAAAATCTTTACCCCCGTATGCGATTTATGTTCCGGGGTAGGTGGCCCATGTTTTAGTATAAAAATGGGTACTGCCTATCCCAAACCATCATAAAAATCAAGTTTCGACCTCCCAACCCACTCAGGCCACTCCCAGGGGCCACGCCCATCCCAAAATAGCTGAAATCCTGGTAAAATCAAGATTGAAAATCTTTACCCCCGTATGCAATTTATGTTCCGGGGTAGGTGGCCCATGTTTTAGTATAAAAATGGGTACTGCATATCCCAAACCATCATAAAAATCAAGTTTCGACCTCCCAACCCACTCAGGCCACTCCCAGGGGCCACGCCCATCCCAAAATAGCTGAAATCCTGGTAAAAAATCAAGATTGAAAATCTTTACCCCCGTATGCGATTTATGTTCCGGGGTAGGTGGCCCATGTTTTAGTATAAAAATGGGTACTGCATATCCCAAACCATCATAAAAATCAAGTTTCGACCTCCCAACCTACTCAGGCCACTCCCAGGGGCCACGCCCATCCCAAAATAGCTGAAATCCTGGTAAAATCAAGATTGAAAATCTTTACCTCCGTATGCGATTTATGTTCCGGGGTAGGTGGCCCATGTTTTAGTATAAAAATGGGTACTGCCTATCCCAAACCATCATAAAAACCAAGTTTCGACCTCTCAAACCACTCAGGCCACTCCCAGGGGCCACGCCCATCCCAAAATAGCTGAAATCCAGGTCAAATCCCATACAAATCCAGACTGAGAATCTTTACCCCCGTATGCGATTTATGTTCCAGGGTAGGTGGCCCATGTTTTAGTATAAAAATGGGTACTGCCTATCCCAAACCATCATAAAAACCAAGTTTCGACCTCTCAAACCACTCAGGCCACTCCCAGGGGCCACGCCCATCCCAAAATAGCTGAAATCCAGGTCAAATCCCATACATATCCAGACTGAGAATCTTTACCCCCGTATGCGATTTATGTTCCGGGGTAGGTGGCCCATGTTTTAGTGTAAAAATGGGTACTACCTATCCCAAACCAACATAAAAACCAAGTTTCGACCTCTCAAACCACTCAGGTTACTCCCAGGGGCCACGCCTAACCTAGAAAAGCTACAGGGGTTGGGGCAAAACTAACGTTACATATGTTGGGTCTTACACCACCACCGTGTTTCATATTATGGACCTGTAGCCTTGCAGATGGCATGCTGTAACTACTCATTCGAGGATTCCGTCGCCAATGTTTGAAAATTTGAATATTTAGACTACGGCCTACGTCCATATAATAAATTTAAATCACCTATATTGTTCTTTCCAGACATACTAGACGCCCATTTATTTCAGATTACTGTAGATATTTAATTGTTGCATCTGATCTGAAAAATTGAGGTCAATCGGAGTTGAAATGACGCATTGAATGTATCTCGTTAACAAAATTGATTGGGTGATTATGTGATAGGACACCTTGATTGGGTTCCCTTGCAATTTAACGGGGCCATCTAATCACCGGAACAGGTAATCCAATCACCTGATCACACGTAATGAATAAACTCGTTATGCCTCGTATCTCGGACATCTGAGAAGCTACAACTCTCATTTTTTCAGATCGAACGTAATTTGAATGGCCAAATACAATCCTATAAAATTTGGCTCGATCTGATTATCAAAACAATTTAAAAAATGCGATAATGAACCTTCATTCGAAAAAAATGAACATGAATATTCTTTGATTTAACATATTCCTCGAATGAGTGGTGATAGTAAGTCATACCAAAAAGAATACCCCGGAACTTAAATCCCCTACAGGTGTAAAGATTCTCATTCTTGATTTGACCTGAATTTCAGCTATTTTGGGATAGGCGTAGCCTCTGGGAGTGGCCTAAGTGAGTTGAGAGGTCGAAAATTGGTTTTTATGATGGTTTGCGATAGGTAGTACCCATTTTTATACTAAAACATCGGCCACCTACCCCGGAACATAAATCGCATACGGGGGTAAAGATTCTCAGTCTGAATTTGTATGGGATTTGACCATGATTTCAGCTATTTTGTGATGGGCGTGGCCCCTGGGAGTGGCGTGAGTGGTTTGAGAGATCGAAACTTGGTTTTATGATGGTTTGGGATAGGTTGTACACATTTTAATACCAAAATATGGGCCACCTACCCCGGAACATAAATTGCATACGGGGGTAAAGATTCTCAGTCTGAATTTGTATGGGATTTGACCAGGATTTCAGCTATTTTGTGATGGGCGTGGCCCCTGGGAGTGGCCTGAGTGGTTTGAGAGGTTGAAACTTCGTTTTTATGATGGTTTGGGATAGGCAGTACCCATTTTTATACTAAAACATGGGCCACCTACCCCGGAACATAAATCGCATACGGGGGTGAAGATTTTAAAGTCTGGATTTTAGCTGGATTTCAGTTATTTTGGGATGGGCGTGGCTCCTGGGAGTGGCCTGAGTGGTTAGAGAGGTCGAAACTTGGTTTTTATGATGGTTTGGGATAGGTTGTACCCATTTTTATACCAAAATATGGGCCACCTACCCCAGAACATAAATTGCATACGGGGGTAAAGATTCTCAGTCTGAATTTGTATGGGATTTGACCAGGATTTCAGCTATTTTGTGATGGGCGTGGCCCCTGGGAGTGGCCTGAGTGGTTTGAGAGGTTGAAACTTCGTTTTTATGATGGTTTGGGATAGGCAGTACCCATTTTTATACTAAAACATGGGCCACCTACCCCGGAACATAAATCGCATACGGGGGTAAAGATTCTCAGTCTGAATTTGTATGGGATTTCAGCTATTTTGTGATGGGCGTGGCCCCTGGGAGTGGCGTGAGTGGTTTGAGAGGTCGAAACTTGATTTTCATGATGGTTTGGGATAGGCAGTACCCATTTTTATACTAGAACATGGGCCACCTACCCCGGAACATAAATCGCATACGGGGGTAAAGATTCTCAGTCTGAATTTGTATGGGATTTGAGCTGGATTTGAGCTATTTTGGGATGGGCGTGGCTCCTGGGAGTGGCGTGAGTGGTTTGAGAGGTCGAAACTTGGTTTTTATGATGGTTTGGGATAGGCAGTACCCATTTTTATACTAGAACATGGGCCACCTACCCCGGAACATAAATCGCATACGGGGGTAAAGATTCTCAGTCTGAATTTGTATGGGATTTGAGCTGGATTTGAGCTATTTTGGGATGGGCGTGGCTCCTGGGAGTGGCCTGAGTGGTTTGAGAGGTCGAAACTTGGTTTTTATGATGGTTTGGGATAGGTAGTACCCATTTTTATACTAAAACATGGGCCACCTACCCCGGAACATAAATCGCATACGGGGGTAAAGATTCTCAGTCTGAATTTGTATGGGATTTCAGCTAGATTTCAGCTATTTTGGGATGGGCGTGGCTCCTGGGAGTGGCCTGAGTGGTTTGAGAGGTCGAAACTTAGTTTTGATGATGGTCTGGGATAGGTAGTACCCATTTTTATTCTAAAACATGGGCCACCTACCCCGGAACATAAATCGCATACGGGGGTAAAGATTCTCAGTCTGAATTTGTATGGGATTTGACCAGGATTTCAGCTATTTTGTGATGGGCGTGGCCCCTGGGAGTGGCCTGAGTGGTTTGAGAGGTCGAAACTTGGTTTTTATGATGGTTTGGGATAGGTAGTACCCATTTTTATAGTAAAACATGGGCCACCTACCCTGGAACATAAATCGCATACGGGGGTAAAGATTTTAAAGTCTGGATTTTAGCTGGATTTCAGTAATTTTGGGATGGGCGTGGCTCCTGGGAGTGGCCTGAGTGGGTTGAGAGGTCGAAACTTGGTTTTTATGATGGTTTGGGATAGGTAGTACCCATTTTTATAGTAAAACATGGGCCACCTACCCTGGAACATAAATCGCATACGGGGGTAAAGATTTTAAAGTCTGGATTTTAGCTGGATTTCAGTAATTTTGGGATGGGCGTGGCTCCTGGGAGTGGCCTGAGTGGGTTGAGAGGTCGAAACTTGGTTTTTATGATGGTTTGGGATAGGCAGTACCCATTTTTATACTAGAACATGGGCCACCTACCCCGGAACATAAATCGCATACGGGGGTAAAGATTCTCAGTCTGAATTTGTTTAGGATTTCAGCTGGATTTCAGCTATTTTGGGATGGGCGTGGCTCCTGGGAGTGGCCTGAGTGGTTTGAGAGGTCGAAACTTGGTTTTTATGATGGTTTGGGATAGGTTGTACCCATTTTTATACCAAAATATGGGCCACCTACCCCGGAACATAAATTGCATACGGGGGTAAAGATTCTCAGTCTGAATTTGTATGGGATTTGACCATGATTTCAGCTATTTTGTGATGGGCGTGGCCCCTGGGAGTGGCGTGAGTGGTTTGAGAGGTCGAAACTTGATTTTTATGATGGTTTGGGATAGGCAGTACCCATTTTTATACTAGAACATGGGCCACCTACCCCGGAACATAAATCGCATACGGGGGTAAAGATTCTCAGTCTGAATTTGTATGGGATTTGACCAGGATTTCAGCTATTTTGTGATGGGCGTGGCCCCTGGGAGTGGCCTGAGTGGTTTGAGAGGTTGAAACTTCGTTTTTATGATGGTTTGGGATAGGCAGTACCCATTTTTATACTAAAACATGGGCCACCTACCCCGGAACATAAATCGCATACGGGGGTAAAGATTCTCAGTCTGAATTTGTATGGGATTTCAGCTGGATTTCAGCTATTTTGGGATGGGCGTGGCTCCTGGGATTGGCCTGAGTGGTTTGAGAGTGGTTTATACTAAAACATGGGCCACCTACCCCGGAACATAAATCGCATACGGGGGTAAAGATTCTTAGTCTGGATTTTTATGTATGGGATTTGACCTGGATTTCAGCTATTTTGGGTTATGTGTGGCCCCTGGGAGTGGCCTGAGTGGGTTGAGAGAACAAAACTTGGTTTTTATGATGGTTTGGGATAGGTACTAGCTATTCAACCACTAAAACATCTGTCCACTACTCCGGAACACAAATCACATACAGGGCCGAGTAAAGATTTTTGACTTGAATTATAGCTTTTCTGGGGTCGGTGCAGCCCTTGGATGTGGTTCCAAGTTGGGTTCAAGGTGTTATTTAGTAATTCATATCATAGTGTCTATAAATATACGAGCAGTTTATTTTGACTTTTGAAGGGTTACCGTCATAAATTCTACAAATAAATTATTTTAACGTACGTGCGGCGCGCAAATCGCATACAAAATCGCATACACATTTCAGGGAAACGTCTTCTGGGGATTTAAATTGGAACGGGCGGCACCCAAATTGTAGATCTTGTCGCGCGAAAAGTAAATTAGCGCGCGTCACAACAGTCTAATTACTGAAATGCGAATGTAAACAGACCCAAATGCGAACATTTGGCTAATGGAACGTTATGAATCGTAAAGATTTTGAATTATAATTCCGAATCAAACAAACTCTGCTGCGTAAATTACAAATATATAGTTTCGAACCTTTCAGATTCTTAATATTTATTTATTGGTAGTTAATGTGTTGTCTTGGAGATATTTCGACATCTCTAAAAGACAATTATATCACTAGTGTTTGAAGAAAGAACTAGTCCATGCACCACCATTTTAATTTCAATTTCACCTTGCCAGGAATAAGTGGGAGACAGTCGCTTCACTGAAGACGTCGCGAGATGGGGTGGGCGTGGCTATCTTATCAGATAAAATCTACGCCGTCGGCGGATTCGACCGGGCGTATCTTAACAGCGTGGAGTGTTTCGATCCGAGGGTACGTGAAAATTTTCTACAAACGAGTTGCGTCATGTCATGTGGTATGACGTCATGTCATGTGGTATGGCGTCATGTCATGTGGAGTGACGTCAAGTAATTTGTCAACAATCTTCCACCGGTTCTTTTTCACTTAACCAAAATTGTGGGAGCAAATACATAATTTTTAAAATTCGGTTCTCTTCTCATTAATAAAGAACTTGTTTCGGATCTTCAAGATATCTTTGTTAAGTGGTAATAGTGAAGCTAATTTACAATACTCCATGTCGTGCCTCGCTTATGGTTCACTCTAAACAAGAGCCTGTATTCTGTGTAGATACAGATATTTAGATGCGCGTCCTGATAATTAACGTGCAGCTGGGTTGTGGCGCGGTTACCAGTAAGCTATTATAATTAGTGAACTAAATAGTTAATATAATAGAAACTGCTTACCGGGAAATAGGTGCTGTCCTTTAACCTAGGTAATATTAAGTTAAAATGTGTATCAGCCACTCACAGTATAATCTACATCTTTAAACAATGAACATAAGTTGAAATATAATTACCAGATCTTTAATTTATAACATGTAACATAGCCCACTCACCTGCAAATTGTCATACTGGCAGAGAAAACCGATGCTCCCAAACACGGGGTTGAAGATTGCGACCTCGCATCCCACATCTGCCCACTTACCCTGGAATAGCACGTGTTATCATAGTGGGGGGGGGGGGGCATAATGCCACTCACGTGACGTCACACTACTCCTCACGTGACGTCACACCACCCCTCACGTGACGTCACACTACTCCTCACGTGACGTCACACTACCCCTCACGTGACTTACCACTTTATTGGACTTTATATGCACCGCTGCACATGGCTCATCGGCACCGGAGTTCGGTTCTTCATCATCTGAAGAGAAATATCGTTAACAGCTATCTCACTGTTTTGGGAAAACAATATCAATATTCAAATAAGTACCTTAAAAGAATGATGGCTTACCCCAGTTTTTGAAGGAATCTTCGCTGCCGTCTTCGTATTCAAAATGTTTGTCGCTTTTGTAGCGTAAGCCTGAAAAATGATTCATGTGAGAGAACTTAAAATAATACCTAGACGCAATCTTAACTGAATAAATCATAAAGTTGCATATTGGATAATTGATACACACATGATTAAATGAAATGACACATGTCACGTGTCATGACGTCACACATGTCACGTGTCATGACGTCACACACCACTCACCAAAGAAAGCAGTCTCAATGCTCCTAGCTTTCATCAGCCACACAGCCTTGTCGTTCTCAAGTTGATTCGTTATCTTTGCAGAATTTCCACCGTTATCTTCACAGACACCTTTCATTGTGTCGTAAGATTCAGGTTCTGCTTTGGTTTGTAGAACGAATACCGCTGTAGAGTGTAGGACCGTCAAATACAATTTAGTTGTTAATTAGCATTTAGTTGTTAATTAGCATTTAGTTGTTAATTAGCATGGAGTCGTTAATTACTATTAGCTGACCGGTTTGTATTTTGGAACCATAGCACTTACACTGATGGTGTGTTGATTGTAAACCAAATTAAACTCACAGTCAAAGGTAATGTCCATGCCCACTCTGCCGCAGTTCTTTGCCGGGAAGCTTAGATTCACGTCTTTACACCTGAATGCTTTAAGTCCCTGCGAAGTACGATTTTGTTGTTACCAGCGTACAATGTAAGAATGCAGATGAATAGTAAAGGACAAACAACATTGTGCGACAGCTAGATTTGGTTACTGGTTAGTCGTTGTCACGTGACACGTGCCCAAACACTACCTCTACTGAATGCGCTCCATCGCAGAGTGAGCGTACCACAATCTCACGTGACGTCACACACCACAACGTGACGTCATGAGTGAGTGTGGCGTCACCCTCTCCCTCAACTAAGTATGTATGCATATACTCACATAGTCACATGTGGCAAGAAGCAAGGAGGAATATGACATATAAGGCTGGTTCCCCTCCTGTTCTACTTGTGAGTTATAGTATCCTACTACCTTGTCAGTCAGTTTAAACGGTATCGAGCATCCTGAGGGTCATTTAATTAGCTCGTCATTTAATTAGCTCTTTTAAAACTATTGTTTACTAATCTATTAGCTCGTCATTTAATTAGCTCGTTTAAAACTATTTTTTACTAAATTACTAGCGATTATTAAAACTATTGTGTGTGCCTAGATATGATTTCTGTAAAACTGTGGTTTTTTTCCAATGATACTAATATTTTCTTATCAGTACTCGTAAAATGACAAGGATAATAATAACAATAGTGACCTGCTGCAGTAATCTTTATCTCGTTTATCTTTAAGTATTCCTTGTCACTGGAAACAGTAAGGTAGTTTACACTCGTAGTTTCGGCACATCTGTACACTGTCGTTTCTGTGCTTTCTGTGCTTTCCGCTGAGGAATAAGTTTGATGAATACTCACTTAGAATTGCACACTTTCCTCATGTGACGTCACACTTTCCCTCACGTGACGTCACACTAAGCTGAGTTAACTCATCCTTACCTTGAAGTTGAATTTCGTTCTCCTCCTCACAAGACAGTTTCTGTTCTCCTTCCCTGCCGAATAGTTTTATCTCGTAATCCAGTCCAGAATCTGGTGTCGTTGTAACCTGTGCGATGTTGTCAGATGAGTAATACTAATGAGGTTTACAAATGTACTGGTAATTTTCGATCCTTTCATAATCTTAAATTTGTATTTTTAAAAGTCCACCTTACCGTAACACGTGATATCCATTGATCCGACAGGTGGTCCATATTGAGGAGAACTTTAAGAGAAATGTTTTCGTTATTAGCTATCGTGTTCATAATCTTCATATCTCCGTCTTCTTTCTTAGCTTTCATGAACGTGTTCATATCTCCGTCGTGTCCCTTTTCCCCTGATCATAGATCTGTTTCAAAATGAGATGCGGTACGGGCAACTCTGAGTTTGGTTATAATTGTTGAATTGTTGAATGTTGAGGTAGCAAATGATAAAGCGTGTAAGCACTGTAAGGGAGTGGATTGAGTACAAGAAACAAGTGCAAGGGAAACAGAAAGAGAAATTGAAAGTGAGAATGAAAGTGAGAATGAAAGTGAGAATGAAAGTGAGAATGAAAGTGAAAGTGAAGTCACACTAACCTGTGTTATTCTCGACCCATTCACCCGACATGACCTGAATCTCCTTTACCTTCACGACATTCCAATCCTTCTCTGTCACGTCTGATGACACTCCACAAAGAAGTGTCAGCAGCCACGGTAATATTTTCATCTCTTGTAGCTGGGAAAATGTGACGTCATATCACGTGATGTGACGTCATGCGGCATACCACGTAATGTGATGTCATACCAAAGAAACATTCTACTCGTTCAAATTTATTCAAGTAAATATCCTAGCCTTCATCGGTTTAATATTGGATGCTTTATTAAAAGTGTCGGGGTGATGATCAAACTTTTAAAAATCTCAATAGGTTACTCTTACAATTGACGATGTAAAATTACTGAAGAAAAAAAAGTCGCTTTATAAAAGGAGGCACTTAATTAACTTCAGCGAAATTTCGACAATAAATATTATCACTAAAGTAAGCTAGTAAGATCGTAAGCTAAGGAACTACTAACCACGGGGAGCTAGGCTAACTGGCTATTAGCTAGCACGTGCAATACTGAGCAGTGAGCTAGCACGTGCAATACTGAGCTAGCACGTGCAATACTGAGGAACTATTCCAACCCACCTGTACTCATTAATATTTAGAGTAAGACTAAGTTCACAACTGGGTTCCTTATCTCTAGGAAGATAACCGGAGATTATTGTACCACGTGATCACACGTGTTCTCAAAATTAGGAATTATCTAGCTTCCAGTTCCGCAAACTACTCCAATAAAAGCTGCTATTAAAGGGCAAGTGCCGATCCTTGATATGATAATTTGGGACCTGATTATCAATTATTGAACATTGGTTCCGACCAATGCTATTTCATCACTCATTACTATTCAGTAATCAGGTAATTGTCATTGTGTCGATGACTGGGCGACAGCGTAATAAATTGGGTGCAGTTTATTGACCGCTAAAATTAGGGTTCAAAAACTTCTCAACAATAAACGTTTCGGCCTATAATTGAAATGAGACATTTTACTGTTTGAAAAAACCACTTTTCGCTAAATGCGATTGAACTGTGTAAAACTAATTGCACTACTTGCGCTACAATTAATGTATTTGATGTTGTATTGATGACGTTTTAATGTCGTATAACATTGTGTCCCATTTCAGCTGCTTGACTGGGTCCCAGTAACTCCCATGACTACACCGCGAGCTGTGGCCGGGGTTGCAGTGTTAGGGGGTTCAGATGTCTCAGATCCGGACTCTTTCTACAGATGATGACGTAATCAGACACCCAAGACGTCACTAGTCTAAACTGGTGACGTCGCTGAATACTGATGATCACAGTAATACTGTTAGATTTAAAATCTCAGATTTGACTCTCCGATCAGACCAAGAACCAAGAAGTAAATGTAAATGTTTATAAAAAGGTTGCTCTTCGCGACTTCGCTTGTTCACCTTTTTTTGAGACAATGCCGAAGTTTTTGAGTTATTATTTACTTTGTAGCGCGATGCACTACTGGGCCGCGCCGCGCATCAAATAATGCTTCACATCACCACGGCGAGAAGCATTATTTGATGCGCGGCGCGGCCCAGTAGTACATCGGGTTACAACTATTTACTATATTTTGGATGGTTTTCAGACACTGCAGAATCAGAAATTTCGACATTAATTAATTAATTAATTAATCAACATTAATTAATTTGATGGATTATTATTTTTTGAAGAGCATTTGCGTTATCTCACGAGATGTCCATATAAGGACCAATAATATGCGTGTCCGTATGATGAATAATAGCGATGGTTTGTATTTTGAACTAAACATCTAAACAGTCACCCATACTTTTGCAACTGGTTGCTATAACAACAACGTTTGTTATAGAAATGTTGATCATTTCATTCATTACAATTACCCAAATAGGAAAGTTATATTACTGCTGTCAAGGATTGAATGATTGGGACTTGAAAAATTGTTGCTTTAAATTAAGGTAACTCTACAGTAAAACCTTAATTTACCAGTTTTCCAGTAAAACGACCAGGTACAATGTAAATGAATCTAAATTTCTTTAACCACAACCAATTTATAGGATCTCATTATTATTAAAGCTCGGTAAATGATGACAGTATTTCTGTAAGGAGTCGTTCACATATGATTACGTAATCACTGAGGGGGAGGGATGGGATTTCTAAATGATTACGCTAGAATAATTTTGACACACTATGCAATAGCTATGACGTGTAAAAGTAATATTTGAACGACCCCGAAGATGAAATTTCTTAGCATGGACTGGTGGTCAATAACGACTAGGATATCAGATGTGTTGAAGATTGATATTGCTAAAATTGTGTAAAATGTTTATTTATGTAATTAAAAACGAAAATATCTCTCGCTTTACTTAGTAAGAAACAAGGGTCAACTTAAAGTTGTCTCACTTTGGTGATCTTGCAATATTTACTTCTTTCTCTGGGAATGTATATTGTATATAGGAAGGGAAATTTTACAATTTTGATTCAATTTTTGGCCAGCCACCAATCAGTGAGGTACTATGTGGCTCAATTTCGGTTCAGGAAATATCATACTATATCACCAAAACTAAGAAACAAAACTCATTTAATACTGAACATAAATGTTATTATAGCAGAAATTTCGACAGGAATTGTGGAAAACTAAAAGTGTATCCACAAAAGCAGTATTGTTTCAAAACACACGAAAATAAGATGGTAAACCCGGTACAACATTGCAATCATAGTTTTAGGAAAATGATGTTTTGTCACAAGCTAATATCACATATCAAGCAGTTAGGATTTAGATTTATTCTTTTTCCTTCTTATTGCTGTTTTTTGATTTTTTTTGCTTCTTCTCGCAAGTAGGAATATTCAACCACTCTCCTTCAGAACACGTGAAGTCACCGGAGTTTATCAGCTTGAGCCTGAATTGTAGATGATTTTAATACCAAATAATGGTGAAATGGATGATACGCAGGTTACTTTTACAGCTGTAGGATAATCATTTTGAAATTAAGTTGTCATATTTGAAAATAACGAAAGGCATTAACGGTTAACAACAATTAACAACAATTAACAACAATTTAACTCACTTTTTAGCGCACTTTACTTTCAAAGTGCTTCCTGGAGCTACAAACCCGGGTTCGACCTCTTTACCAGTCACCGATTTTGAGTTGGGAATGTCAGATACAGTCAACATCTTACAATTGTTGTTTACAACGGCTGAGGTGTTAATGTTGAGTAGTTAAATTTATTCAATTTGAAAATTCAGATGTTTTAGACGGTTAAGATTAAAGCATCGTAAAGCTTTTTAGTAAACATGAAGTTTTTAAACATGAAGTTGAATGAAAATGATGGTATTCATCTTCATCGACTGATATGTCATACAAATTTACATGAAAATCTATAAGTTTGTCTACAGAAAACATGATTTCATTTTATCCAGAAGACAGTAACCATGGTAAGAACAGAAAAAACAAACAAGACCTACCCGACTTGCATGCTGGAAGTTCCGTCCAGGTTCCATCTCCCTGGCACTTACTTGTCTCCGGTCCAACTCTGTTGGTTCTGTCAGGATAGATCCATTATAAGTATAAATAACATTAATGAGCCCATGCATTACAGACTTGCAATATTATTTATAATATAAGACTGTCAGCGGATAAAAATATAGTATACAAATTATAGTTAGAATTGTATTTCATGATGCAAGTACATAGCATACGAGGGTAAAGTCAACATTTTGGGAGCACTTACTCAGAAATACATTCGACCACCGCGACAGTGCCTACATCTATTTCTTTTGTGACGACCCCCTCCGCATCAAACATCGTTAGTGTTTCTGCATTGTCAACTGCAGTTTGAGAAATTCTTGGACATCGCTCTGAACATTAAATGCGGTTTGTAAAAACAATGAGTGTTCTTCCTGAAATTAATCATAATCACCAAAATAGCAACAACAAAAAGACGCTATTTCCTAAAGAAAGTTTAGGAGATCCGCTGATTCAAATCACAGAATTTTAAATGAACCTTGTCTGTAGCGACTGCACACAAATCTGTAAGTGTCCACTTTAGCTCGGGTTGTCCACTTTCCCCTCCGGTTCTCGTTACCCGGGTGTACCTTCATCATGGCTGTGTGGAAATACTTCAACTTGTAATCAAACCAGTTTACGTAGTTGACATCTGTACCATCCACCCACTGCTGCTTGCTGTGGTTAAGGCACTAAGTTAGTTTATGATATGTGACTGCTGCTTGCTGTGGTTGAGACACTGTGTTAGTTTATGATATGTGACTGCTGCTTGCTGTGGTTGAGACACTGTGTTAGTGTATGATATGTGACTGCTGCTTGCTGTGGTTAAGGCACTAAGTTAGTTTATGATATGTGACTGCTGCTTGCTGTGGTTAAGGCACTAAGTTAGTGTATGATATGTGACTGCTGCTTGCTGTGGTTAAGACACTAAGTTAGTTTATGATATGTGACTGCTGCTTGCTGTGGTTAAGACACTAAGTTAGTGTATGATATGTGACTGCTGCTTGCTGTGGTTGAAACACTAAGTTAGTGTATGATATGTGACTGCTGCTTGCTGTGGTCGGGACACTAAGTTAGTGTATGATATGTGACTGCTGCTTGCTGTGGTCGGGACACTAAGTTAGTGTATGATATTATGTGACTGCTGCTTGCTGTGGTTGAGACACTAAGTTAGTGTATGATATGTGACTGCTGCTTGCTGTGGTCGGGACACTAAGTTAGTGTATGTGGTTGGGTGTGTGGTTTTAGGTTGCTGTCTGAGATGTTATCGATAAAATGTAAGATTAAAAAGAATCGACATATAATTAAAGGCAGATGATGAGGTTTTCTGCGTGATCTCCTTTGAATATTTTGTTGCTAAAATATTGATAATAGAGGTGTTGAAAATTCAAGATTACGAAATGTAATTAATTAATCAATGAATAATATTGTACTCTTTAAACAGTAAGATATGATAGACAAGGTTTCAGACTCACAACATGCCGATCCAGATAAAATTAAAAGAATCGTCTCCTTTCTTGTCGCTACCATACGTTTGTGTGAACAAATCGTATACCTGTGAGATTATTGAGGAGGATTTTAGATACTGTAAGAATGAAGTTCTAAATTAATGAATTTATGGGGAAATTTTTCACTGTCAACTATTATGTCAATTGAATCGATCATCATTTATTCACATTATCGACATTTTAAATCAGTTTAAATTCACAATTATTGATTTCTGTAAACGTACCGTCTGTTCTCACAAAAATAAAATACAATCTACATAAAAACTAAATACATCCCTCACCTCAAAGTTATGCATTTGAGTAGGAATAACAGCCAGATCCCAGCCCCCTCTATCAGCGGGAGAGTCCCCATCAAGAGTCTGACAAGCCTCCCTAGCATCGTCAAACTTCTTCTTACCAAACCCTAGTCTGTACTCCAGTTCTGGGTGGTTACTGTGGTTACTGGGTGGTTACTGTGGTTACTGGGTGGTTACTGTGGTTACTGTACTCCAGTTCTGGGTGGTTACTGTGGTTACTGGGTGGTTACTGTGGTTACTGGGTGGTTACTGTGGTTACTGGGTGGTAACTGGGTGGTTACTGTGTGGTTACTGGGTGGTTACTGTACTCCAGTGCTGGGTGGTTACTGTGGTTACTGGGTGGTTACTGTGGTTACTGTGGTTACTGTGGTTACTGGGTGGTTACTGGGTGGTTACTGTGTGGTTACTGGGTGGTTACTGTACTCCAGTGCTGGGTGGTTACTGTGGTTACTGGGTGGTTACTGTGTGGTTACTGGGTGGTTACTGTGGTTACTGGGTGGTAACTGGGTGGTTACTGTGTGGTTACTGGGTGGTTACTGTACTCCAGTGCTGGGTGGTTACTGTGGTTACTGGGTGGTTACTGTGGTTACTGGGTGGTTACTGTGTGGTTACTGGGTGGTTACTGTACTCCAGTGCTGGGTGGTTACTGTGGTTACTGGGTGGTTACTGTGGTTACTGTGTGGTTACTGTGTGGTTACTGGGTGGTTACTGGGTGCTTACTGTACTCCAGTTCTGGGTGGTTACTGTGGTTACTGGATGGTTACTGTGGTTACTGGGTGGTTACTGTGGTTACTGGGTGGTTACTGTGGTTACTGGGTGGTTACTGTGGTTACTGGGTGGTTACTGTGGTTACTGCACTCCAGTTCTGGGTGGTTACTGCGTGGTTACTGTGGTTACTGTGTGGTTACTGGGTGGTTACTGTGGTTACTGGGTAGTTACTGTGTGGTTACTGGGTGGTTACTGTGGTTACTGGGTAGTTACTGTGTGGTTACTGGGTGGTTACTGTGGTTACTGTACTCCAGTTCTGGGTGGTTACTGTGGTTACTGGGTGGTTACTGTGGTTACTGTGTGGTTACTGGGTGGTTACTGTGGTTACTGTACTCCAGGTCTGGGTGGGTTATAAGTTTATAACACTATAAGTTGGATCGTAGCTAGATTTATGCTAATAAACAAAAGTATTTATTTATAAAATAACACCGTTTGAATCCGATGCTATATTAAAATTAAATCTCCAATACTTACAATAATAATTCAGTTTATCATATTTGTTACCCCATTATTTATAACTTTATAATAAATGCACTAACCATGACGTCTCCCCACTGACAGTGTGACAGCATGGTTCTGGTAATTACAGTAGGTGTTCTCTTCGTTATCAGCATAGTTAGCATATCCCTTATCGGCCCAGTACTCGCTGTAACTGTAAAGGTATACACGTTAGTGAGAATTGTTAGTGAGAAATATTTCAGTTTGAACAGAACTGATAATATGGGTCTTTTATGGTCTTAGTTTAAAAAGTCTTATCATCGGTTGGACGAATCAGGATTTGTCGATTGTTAACTAACATCAATTGATTAATTAACATGATTAAAAGTGGTCTTCGTCTAACTATGATTTCTAATTCTGTGCAGTTTACCCACGAATATATCAGATTCTGAAGATCACACCCAATAAAGTGTACGAATGGGTCGAGTAAACAATTGTAAAGGAATTACGAAACGGTCATAACTTGCTACCCGCGCTACTATTTCAGCTATTTCATATACTAGTTACCTGTCACCTAGATACATGTTACCTAGTTACTAATTACCTAGTCACCTGTTACCTAGTTACTAGTTACCTAGATACCTGTTACCTAGTTACCTGTTACCTAGTAACTTGTTACCTGTTCCGGATAATATAGTAAGGGTTTTCGTTGTTAGATTGCCACCCAACAAAGGTCAGAGCGTGAGCAGCTGGAGAGGTGGCACAAGTTGTGTCCGTATTGATCGTACCTGGAAATATTGAAATCTCAAGGTTGATTGGATGAAAATTGAGCATAGTTTCCATCGAATGGAATTAAGATAATATCACGAATAAGAATAATATAAGGTAATAAGTACGGAATAACAGGTTGAGCGACTCATAAAACTACATACTTCAAAACTACAATCAGAAAACTTGTGATAGTCAATAATTTTATTTAGAATCATCCAACTTTGACTATAATTTCATTTGATAAAATTTGAAGTTAAAAGAATGCTTACTTCCATCCCAGCCGAATATTTCTTCACCGATATACATTGACGATATCACAGGGCCATTTTGCAATGCCTCCCTCATCGCTTGAGCTGAACAAAACATTTATTAACCCATATAATATGAAGAAAATAGAAGAAAATAGTGTCTAAAGTGTCAATTAAGATCAAGTTTTTAAGTAAATAAAGTTAAAGTTAATACTGCTGATTATTGAAAAGGTTAACCTGTTTTGGACAAGGGAATGTAGTTAAACACCCAAACATCAGCCAGAGCATTCCTCCTTTTTCTGTCCTTCACTCCGTTATCTATACATGTCTGGGAATTCCCTGAGTGTGGGAAGAGTTGTAAGCAATCCAAATAGACGAGCTTATCAATTATTCATAATTAATTAGCGATTAAGTTCAATTATTTCTTCAATATATCCAAAAGGATCACGAGCTTATTAACTACTTATAATTGATATTTAGCAATTAATTTCAATTACTTTTAAAAACTTGAATGATTATAAAACTGTTACTGTTAAACTTGGCGGTATTTACTTACAGTCGCCAGTGTAGGGGTAATCCTCAGCGTACGGGTGATATTGATAAGTCAGCAAGTACTTGAGTCCTGAAAAGTAACTCATAATAATGAACAAGACAAGGTGTTGAATATCACCGTGGTAACATCACGGTTTTAAATGTTTGATTATCTGAAACAGGCAACCAAAAGAATTACAAAGAAAGATATTACTTATGACACAGATCTTACCATCAGTAACAACACCTCCACTACACCCGTTAACATCATTACCATAGTCGTCCTCCATGCAGTCCACAAAGAACTGTGTCGACAGGGGTATTAGTTTACCCGTTGTGTTTGCAGCAAACCACTCTATTACTGCAGCCTGCAGAGTGCAGAGTTATCTTTTGTATATAATATGTGTTATATAATATATAATATTAATTAAGAATGTTATTGAGGTAAGCCGTAAGGCACAATGTACAGCCTCCACATGTTTCATTAAACCACCGCTAGATCATCATCGGAAATTCTTCCGTTGTTGTGGAACGCAGTGAAACACAGTGAAATACAGCGAAACACAGTGAAACACAGTGAAACACAGTGAAACACAGTGAAACACAGTGAAACATACCTCAGCGAATCCGTAACAGCCCCCACATGACATCTGATCACCTGGTACGGACATGTACGAGCCTCTGTAGTCACTGTCAGTTAATTCCGCACGGAGTACCCCAAAGAGGCATCCTAGAACTGTTAAAGCTCGTAACATTGTACTTCCACTGTCCTTCTTCGTACTAGTCGATTGAGTTTTCTTACCTGATTATCTACTACTGAGAAATTGGTTAGAGTCGCGGCAATTTAGCTGGCATAAAATTGTTAATTATAAACATTTAATTCAACAAAATACGAACTACGAAGTACAAAATCGCATAGAAATTTATTAAACTCGAACATAACAGGCTGCCACAACTCACTAATGTTATCTACATATATAATCCCAAAAAGTGAAAAAGTGTGTGGGTTCGTGTGTGTGTTGGAAATTTCCGAACAGCTTAATAAAAAAAGGTAAGAGTTATGGAGCCGATCTTATTACGTAAATGCGGCAATATTGCATTTGCGGCACTAACACGCAGCACTTGTATCACTAACATGTGGCACTTGTATCACTAACATAATATGTAATATTTGGCATTTGCTAATTGAGATATAGTTGTTGTAATGTATAACTAGTGATCGATGCTGTGTCTACTTTTGAAATGTTTGCACTAGTTTGTGAAACTGAAAGTTTGTATTTTTGCTCGAGTTCTTCAAATTACAATTTCATCCTTTGTTCTTGATTAAATAATTAATACAACGAGCATTCATTTTTTTGTAACTATATCATTAACGATTAAACTTATAAGAAGAAACATGGATACGTTTTGGAATAAGTTCATTATATGTTCAGATGACTTAACATTCTTAAAATCGTTGTTAGCGGTGAAATTGTGTCTGCAGAATACCTTCTGTATGTCCTAAATTACCATTTTAATTGTGTAATAGGTTTTGAATCTCTGCAAAAGCATCTCATACTTTTTCCACGCTGTTATTATTTTTAGAAGTTGAGGTCTTATCGCATATTATGGTACTAGTCTAATACCAAATAAGAATGCCACAAATGTGTCTCACTTAATTGTGCAAGTGCCGCATATTATATAATATGATAGTGCCCATATTACTATTACTATTACTATTACTATTACTATTACATATCATAGTGTCGCAAGTGCCACATATTAGTGCCGCATGTTACATACTTACATATTATGAGGTTAGACCAGACGGACTTAAAAACAAATTGCCCGAAATAAAACGAATTGTGATGTGAATTATTAGTCAGTCTTCTTTACAACTTGTAGTCATTATATGGGATAAATTAAGGCTCCAGATATTTGGGGGACGTTTATAAAAAGCCTTTGTAGAAGGTTTCATGAATAATAAAAAACTTATTTTTCTAATTGTTCAATTTTTTAAAACAAAAGAAGAGTACAGAATAATGGTACTTGTACTTGTACTTGATTAGGTCTCCCCAATCATTCGAGTGACCTGTTTGGTGGCAAGAAATTTTTATAGTCTCAGGAAATAGTGATCGTGCAACTTATAACTTCTCCTATTTCAATGACCATAGTTTACCCTGTACGGTAATCTGATCTCGGTGATTCCAGTTTAAACAGATGAGTTTAGTAAAGGTCGACCAGTAAAGGTCGATAAATAACCGGGTTCGAGGGGCCAGCTACCCTTCAGCCTCAAGACTTGCTACTGAAACACCAAAAGCGGAGTGGCTCTCGGAGTTCAAGGAGGGTGTGTAAATAGAATGAAGTACGTGCTTTGGGCAAAGCCGCAAGGTTCCCAGTGTGCATATGAGAACAAAGAAGTCGCAGAAAAATGGCCAGACATATACTTGTCAGAGCAAACAAAGCCTTGGCTTTGATATGTATCAAGGCTCCAGATATTTGGGGGATGTTTATAAAAAAGCCTTTGTAGAAAGTCTCGTGAATAATTAAAAATATATTTTTCTCATTATCAAAAATTTCGTAACAAAAGCAGAGTGCAGAACAATGGCCAGATATATAATTGTCAGAGCCAACAAAGCTTTTATCATATGGTTCAATCCTTTGGTTTAAGCTGAGACTTTTTGGTTAAATTTGACAATTATAATTGCAGAATAACGACTAACAATAAGGGCAGGGGTGACATGAGAACTGTGGTATATCATTATAACAAAACATCACATTAACAAAACATCACAGTGCTAGCAAGCACGACCGTCGCCATTAATACTCACTAAACTATTTACCCCCTATACTATTATACCCCCTTTACTCGTTTCAGGCATTAAAACTCACCGAAAGTAGGTAGTTCAGCAGGCATATGTTAAGTTCAAACAATTCTAATTCAATGTCAGATGACAGGAATAGAAAAAAGTTATGTGGAGGTTTTTAAGAAATTTGCGCAAAATACGCGCCAGCATGTTATACAAAATTCGGTAAAAAACCCAAAATCGCCATATTCAGTTGCCTTAAAATCATGCATTAAAATTGACATAGAGATCTGAAATTTTACTGAGCAGCTAGGTGTTGACCAAATCGATAGTAATTTTTAAACAAAAGTTTCAGGAGTATCGGGAGAAGGTTTTCTGGAACCCATGCTTATCAAACAATATATAAAACACCAATAATATTGGTGTTTTATATATTTTTTGATGGCAATATGCCAACATTTACGGTGATAAATATTGTATGAGCACACAACGTCCGCTCAAAGTTTGCACTAGCGAAAGGTCAGAATTTTGCTCATTCGTGATTTCGAACAAATTTTGCTTTCCAACGACAGTTAAATGGCATTATATATGAATTTAATGACAACTTGAATGAGTGTAAAAATCAATGTACAATTGTAATAGATTAAGAAGAACTACCCGAATGCAGCTGTACTCGGCAAGAAAGATTCAGTAAACATCAGCTAATTGGACACTAACTACCACTGTTATCCCGAAATACTAGGTATCGACCCGAAAGCAACCCAAAGAGATTTGTACAGCATGTGATTGATGTAATTAATCGAAACTTATTAAAATTCGTAAGCCGTGAATGAATGGGAAAAGCGAGTGATCGATTTCATTCTCGGTATCATTTTGCATTTGCGGACGGTTATTCAAATTAATATCATTTCCTTTTGTTTGGGAAAGAGAGACACTGGCAGCGGTCCACTCTACCCATGATTATGGGTTTTGGTCAAATTATATTAACGAGAATTTGATCGTATTCATCATTAAAATTCGAATAGTTTAAGTTAAAGATTGGTCAGCCTCATTTCAACCATTGTATCAAACAACAACGTTCCAATAATGTACCACATATTAAATTCTGACCAGATGTGATTATAAGAGTGCCACATATGTTGGTGCCGCAAGTGCCACATTATCGTATTACTATTAGTGCCGCAAGTGTCGCATGTTACATATGATAGTGCCGCAAGTACCGCATACGAGTGCCGCAAATGCCACAGTCCACACTGCCACAGTGCCGCAATTACGTTATAAGGTTGTCCGGAGCTATGGGACTGGTTTTTTGTTGTTGATATAGTTAATGATTAAGGTTTTTTAAATCAGTCGATAGTAAGTGGTTTAATTGACCATTTGGAGACCCAAATGTGATAATAAAGCGTCCCACGTACTCTCCCTCTCTCACTCTCTCTCCCCTGGGTTTATACTTTTGGATTTCAACTGCGATAGTGAAGTCCCGGCCGTAAGCACGGGTTACACTAGTATCCTATAAAGCAACAAACATTTCAACTGGCAAATATTACAGCTTCAGGCGATAATGTACAAATCGAAAAAAAGGTAAACTTATATCAGCAAACTAAAAAAATTAACATAAATAAGGGGTGTTCACAAACTAATGCCATATAAATGACATTCAATATCTTGGTAGAGTTTAAAACTAATCCGGTTCGAGTAAGCTTTCGTAGTTTTAACGAAATGAAGTATGTAATCCTAAACGTACTTAAATTATTAAACGTATGTGTGCAAGAAACGACGCTGTTAAAAAAAACGAAAAACAATTCGGACTCGACTGGTAATCTAATTTAAGGCTACTCAGCTCAGAGGTGAGTAATTAACCTAGGTGGCACAGTAAAATTTACTTAAACTCATTCATTAGGTGATTAATTTCAGGTAACGTTCGTCGTTTAATCGGTGGTGAGGTGTTACATGTAACTAATTTATCAGCAGTAACTAATTAGTGGTTCGTTTACTGCTCAACTGAAAGTTCTAAAACTTGAACTTATGGTAACAATTGTTCCTTACGTTAGTTTCCAAATCAATTGTTCAAGCTATCCTGCCCATGTGGGAATTGTAAAACCTTCTATGAGGATGATTCTAGGTAATATGTCTACACAGAGTAAGGTAAATATGGTGTTAGACACAATTTAATTGTGTAAGGCAACTTTATTTATAATAATCAAACCAGGGAGTATAATAGTAAGTTTAAAGGCTGCAAATTTAGCGAATTGTTCAGCTTAATTGCGCCTTTTTTTGTCTCATCCTCATGGAAGGGTTTACAATTCACACATGGGCAGGATAGTTTGAGCTAGTTGGTGAGCATAATTGAAGTACAGTATTCAATATTATAAATTATAACCTTGCAACATACGATTAAGATTCCAACACAATGCGTGTATAATAAGCAACTAACTTGACTAAAATCTGTCGAGGCATTGCGATCCAGCATGACAAGGTATTTATCTGCCAAGATTTAACCGATAGTATTAAAAGTCAAGGCATTATCAACTTCCCATATGGTAATAATAGTACTGAATAAAGAACTTCTGAGAATATATTTAGGAAGAGAAATTGTTATATGTTTTTCCTGATTTTAAAAAGTTATTTATATATTCTGCTGTCCGATTTAAAAAAGTGTTACATCATGAAAAAAAGTTTAACAGTAACCATAGTCATGGGCTTATCGATCACATCTCATTAAACTATTAAAGTACACGAATCTGATAGAACAAATAACGGACGATGGTCTAAAAAATGCGGTATTATGTCAATAAGTGTGACTATGCACCCACCACAGTTATTTGTTTGCCTCTGATGTGAAATATATTACGTTTATCGAAGCAGAATATGGTTTAAGGAGTCGAACCTAAACTGATCGCGACGTACATTACAAATACAAGTAAACAAAAAGGTTGATAGCAAAAGTAAACACCAAACCTGTAAAACCGCTAAAACTTCATCACACCTTCATATCTGTGATAATTAATTAATTATAAGGCGGCATTTATATCTGGATGACGACATTTGAGCTTGTATAACGTTTCCGTTATCTTGTATAACTATAACGTTTCCGGTTTCACCCCTTAGTTCGTACTTATGGTAAACCTTAAAAGTGACTTTCTACCCACACCTAACCAGAAATAACTTGTACTCTACTTTCTTTTCACTAAGCGCTCAGTAAAAAGCACAATACAGGTAAAAACTAAAAAGCACATACAGGTTTAAAAAAGCACACTACAAAGCATTATAATCTATCTCCCAGTGGTGAGCTATCGCTTCCCCTACCGTAAGCGCTGTCACCAACTGGAATATCAATTTAAGGAAAACTTCTTATTTTAAATCGATCTTTTTATATTCCTGTGCAAAAAGTAATTTTTTAAATCGTGTAAAAAAATCGTTTAGAATTGTGCATACTGAAATTAATTACTTAATGAACAAAGCTGTATTTAAAAAAAGACAATATATTGTCAACTAGAAACTGGTTCTACTAGTCGCTCTGATTAGAAACAATAAACAAATGGAGTTAGTCAATATAGCTGATAGCTTTTACCGTTGTTGTGATAGTGTGTATACGGTATATACAGCACTCTTTTGTTTCTGAGAACTCGCTACAGCTGTAAAGGCAGGTATGTGGAAGTACTTTGTCGTCACAAACTATATGAGGTACATGAAAAGGGGATGCCGAGTGCAATACAACCAAACACCACGTATCATTCTTAATCATCACGAACCTAAGCAAAGTAAGCATTGATCCTAGCCATGGCAACGATATTTTAAAAATCACGTTTTAGTGACCTCTACAATTATAGTCCTTTCAAAAACTTTTAAATGTATAGAGATTTAAACTATTTTCACAACTACAATTAAATACATTTATTTTGTTGCAGAAAGTTACATAAAATTTCCACTTCAAATACATTGGAAGCCACACGAAATTATTGCAATTCACATTGACCTAACGAGTAACGAACACCACGTAACCACGTAATAAGGCTAATTATGTAACTTTAAAAGAACAGAATTGTAACAAAATGTTCACAGAATTTTATTACTATCTTGCTAAAAATTAAAATGGACACGAACAGCATTTTCAAATTTGAGAAGAGTGAAGTTCATTTGTAAAAATAGTACATCAGCGTGTTTTGTGTGAGCAAATCTAGTACGGCACAAAATTTGAACCAATTTTCAGTGAGAATGTTTATGTGTTGTTAACTTATTATTAAGCACATAGTACAACAATTGAAACGCGGTCAAGAAAGGCTTCAAAAGGAACTTATCTTTTGATACCGCCGTTACCTAGCTTAAGCTAGTTCGAACGAAGTGAGTGGTTCAAAGCTTTTCGTTTGTGTAAGTAATGTACATGGAAAATATGTCGTTAAACTATGTACTTTATGGTTTTTATTGGCGCATTGCCCTAATCAGGGCAGGAAACTGCAGGATTGCAGAAAGGTTTCACTTTATAAAACCGTGATCTGCATTATACAATCAATCAATCATAACCGGTAATTTCTGAAAATAATCAGTTTTCCAGACGAGCACATCAAACTGATCTTAGGATACGATCAGCTACAATTTGCAGCTGGTCCACAGACCACAGTAATAAAGGCCATGTGGGGTCCTGTAAGGGAAATGAAGAGGCCGTGCAGTGGCCCATTTGTTGTTGTGTTTAACAAAGATCAAAGCTCACAACAGGGTGACCATAGTAACTGTACGTATCACAATGGTAACTGTACGTATCAATATCACGCAATACAAGCAGAGAAACATTTAAATCAATAGTCAACAATTTGTATTATTCATTATATACAAAAGTTATCAAGTTCAATCAACACACTAAAAACTAACTCATGTACAAATCAGCTCAGAAAAAGATGATTGATAAAAAAATATGCATCCAGAAAAATAGTAAATAAATTCAGAAGTAAGTTTACTCTAGCAGTAATTTTGTAACCTCATGATATATGGAACCTGGTAATGAAATGTTCAGTACTTCATGAGTTTATTAGCTAGTTTAGAATTTAGGTAGACTTAACAAGACTAACCGTCTTTGTGGTAGTAAATTACAGTGTCTTGTTTGAGGTATGCCAGTGATGAATATTTTACACAAAGAATTTGAAAAACAGAACCAGTACAACGCTTCCATTCAAAAATATACAAAAGTACAATTTAATGAAAGTTAATAACTCCACCGTGGCTGTTCATACTGCAAAGAAGGAAACATTTTTGAGCAAAAGTCTGGCAAAAGAAGATGGGGACAACCACTTTGCACAACTCACATAGAGAATTGAGACTAATTGGCTCATTTACCTTGATGTTGATTGTTATGATATCATTATTCTTGGTCGCAATGACAAATGATGGTCAATTAAACTTGAACTTGAAACTGTTGTTTCTATTCGGTCCTAATTGCAAACTAATTGATCGCTTGAAAACAACAGTGATGTTTGGATGAACACTGAACAGCACACTTAATGATAATATAAAACCCCGGCATGCTTTATTTCTAATTTACAAAACTATGTCAAAATTCTAAAAACCTATAAAACTAAAGCAAAAGTACTTCCTTAAAAGGTGCCACTCTCTCCCGTCTCCCCCTCATAACGTATCTGTAAAACAAGTAAATGGCGGAAATAACCATGGCTACGGAGAAGATCATCACTGCCAACATCAGCACAAAAACATTCCAGTCACTCCCTGCTTGGTCACTGTCGTCTCCACTTTCTTGACTAGAATCCCAGGGTTTCTTCTTATCAGCTGAACTCTTATAATCAGAACTATAACCAGCAGAACTATTACCAGGGCCTTTCTTCTCACCCGTTAAGTACTCCTCCTCTGCAGGCAGATCCCCACACAGTGCCACCATCTCACACCACCTCCCCAACCTCACCTCCTCCCCACAACACCCGGTGATATTAGGTGATAACACCACACTAACACCAGACACCACCCTCCCCATCTCCACTAACAGCTCCTTCTCCACGTGGGCAGACTGGGGTATTTGGGGTGCTGTTTTCAGACCTACCTCCAGAGGGTGGTTGTAGGACGAGAGGGAGGCAAGGGATACTGGAATGTTCTGGTAGAGGAAGAGAATAGTGCCGTTAGGGTACAGTTGGCATTGGAATGTGAAGAATGCAGGAGGCTCCTGCTCATTACCATGGTAATGCTCCAGCTGCATATCTCTCCACTCCACCACGAAGACAGTGTCCAGCGAGAGAATGCTGATCTTGGGAGGGCTGTGAGGGTTGGGAATGAAGTCTGCCATCAGAGGAGCAATGTACCCAGCTACTCCTGTGTGAGGCACCTCACTAAACGTGCCCAGATACAGGAACCCAGAGGAGGTTGTCGTGATGACGTCACGTGCTGATGACGTCATGTTGTCGTCACGTGTTGTGTTATAGAAGGGGAAGGTAAAGAGGGACTGTGAGGTAGTGCTGGCTAGATAGGATCTAGATAGTATCTCGTGGGTGGTGTTAGCAGGGAGGGGTATCCAGTGGTTCAGATCTCCTTTGTAGGAAACACTGTACCAGGGGTCGGTGAAAATAACTGATGCACAGGAAGATAGCAAAAGCAGGAATTTAATCATGTTTAGTATACTGAAAGGTTCACTAGAACGGAAAAAACTGCAATAACGACACAATATGACCGACACAATTCTACCTCAGCTGAAAATAAGAATTGAGGCTAATTGACTGATCGACTTTGGTGTTAATTGACATCGTTGATGGTCAATCAAGCTTTAATAGCTTTTGGTTTCTTTTTGGTTTTAATTAGATTTTAGACTCATTAGCCGCTTAAAACAAGCAGTGATCAGGCGATTAGCAGATTCTATTTCGCAGATTTTATTTCAGTCGATCAAAAAGAGTGTAAATCGCCAAACGAGTGAAATTAATACTGTGTGATTCAGTGTACCACTACCATCACTAGACGGAGAGATTCAGATTTTAGAATTAGATTTAGACAAGCTAGCGGCAAAAATACTTGAGTTTAAAATGTGGGATCATTTACCAATTACAATTTGAATTAACTTGATGCATTGTATAATGTATTTCACTTGGGTACATAATACATATCATGGCCAAAATGAGTCCCAATCCCCGATTTCACATTTCCCCAAATCACAACATAGCTTTTGTTATTTTAAAGTGCGAAACATCGCCGAATAAGAAGGTAGCTCTTGAGTTCACCGAACGTAACTTACCAACGCCACCGCGGAAAAGATTATGGAGATGAAAAATTATAGCAGATATATACTGTATCGTATAGGCGTAAACCGTGTCATCAATGATCTGAAACCTTCGTCTCACATATAATTATATCGTTAATTTTAACTTCTGTACGATATAATTACTTTTTTAAGTCCAATTAATCCAGATAACTAACACATCACGGTCTTCATTACGGTCGTGCCACAGTTGAAAAATAATGATTCGATAAGGTTCTAGCAGTAGGTTCATTTATTAGTGACGGTAATTAATGCCAGGTCCCAAAAAACTTATGTCAATAATTTTAACACCCATGTCATATCATTATCACGACAATCGTGGACTTGAACTAATTAATAATAGTTCAAGTACCACGTCGCTAACGGCAATAATTATCAAATTGTTCTCTCTTAAAGTAGAAAGGCGCTGGTCATTAACTTACCTGAACTTGAAGACCCCAGGCTATAATGTTCATATATTAGAGATTAGGCGGAATGACAGGTTGAGCGCCGCCCAGTAAGTCATTAACAATAACAGGACACTAAATAGGGGGAGGCATTGCTTATTAGTTATTACCACTAGCAGGAACCCGTCTAACCCTAAAGTTCTGTCAATACTCAAAAGACTAAAAAAGTAGTCTCTTGAAGTTGAGTATTCAATTTTTTGTACAATTTAAATTTTCAATTTTTTAATGTTCAAAATTGCTCAAAAAGTTTATTAATATTTGAGTTCAAATGAAACCATACCTTAGAAGGACAGACAATCAACTATGATTGGACTTTTCTTATACATTTCGAACATTCAGTGTAATTCTACTGCAGTTGTAAGTTCGATAAACTATATATTGCATTTGTAAACTATAGTTAATAGTTTATAATCATATATTGGTTTCAAAACCCTTATTGTTACTGGAAAACAACAGTTTACAACAACAAAAATTAATAGTATACATACTGTAAAGTTGTTTCATTTCGGTAAATAGTCGTGCAGTTAATTGCCCATTTTCCATAATCCAATATTTCATGTGGGCGATGATTTCTCCCTTCCCCGCGATTTCTTTGTTTCTCTTTTTCCCCTTTTTAAAAGTTTTAGCGCTGCTCCAACCTTGTGCAATTACAATTGTTAGTGGTTACCAAACAAATACGGGGGCAATTAACTCAATTTGCCCTCCCTACTCCTCCACGTAGAGGGTCCCGATGGGACACGTGAGTCTGGGTAGCATTGTCGAGATATTATTATTACAATTAGCGAGATATTGTCAGTGTTAACACTTAGTTAATTACCCGCACCTCAGCTCAGACAGTGGGGTCGGCACATTTAATTTGTGCAGTTTATTTTAAATAACGACCTCAGGCCTCAGCAGATCTGTAGATACTGGTGAAAGAAGTAAAGTAAACCATTTGGTTGATATAATCTTTATCAAATTCAAATACATGCATGTTTTTACTCTATCTTAGTCTGAGTAACATTAAAATATACAAATCACTCCATAATTTTTATAACTGCATAAAATGTATGTTACTACTACAAATTATTATAATACATTTAATGTTGAAACTGAAAGTCGAATAAAAATGTATGATATAAATAGCTAGTATCTGAAAAATAAGTAGAATTAATTAATCAATACTGAATAAACTACGTAAATGATTGGTTACTAGTTACTAGAAACTTTAGAGCATCCTCGAAATAAAAGCTCACGATTTAAAATATTTAGAATCATTCGGCGAATTATTGTAAAATTGTAAATAAAAAGGTCAACTTTGAATTATAGTGAAAAAAGTCAACTTTGAATGTTGAAAAATGCTTTTTCTTTTGATCAAACGTTTGCAAAATACTGTGAACCAAGCGTCTTTCCAGTTTCCAGTTATGATAGGTTTTCTTCCCTTCTAGTTTTCACAAAATTCTCGCACTGATACTGTCATCATTTCAGGGTACTGAATGCAGCTGTCGCATGACTGTCACATAAACAGTGTAACATGACTGTCACATGACTTCTCCTACTGCAGATTCTCATCCTCCCTTAGCGCTGCCAAACCCTGGTCCCCACCCTCACTCTTCTTAAACTTGTCCTGCATTCTTGCTGCCACTAACTGCATCTTCTCCTGTTTAGACAGCTTCTGCTCCTCTGCAGTGAGATGGGAGGATATGCCTAGGTCAGACTGTTGTCGTTTGAGAGGACCGGGAGGGGGCCTGGTTTCTGCTGCTGCCCCAGTCAGGGTCTTCTCTCTGATCCTCTTTATTCGCTCCTTTATTATGGTTTTCTGTCTTGTAAGTTCCTGGAATGATGGTTTATATATTTATGATGTTATAAAACAGGTGATAGAACAGGTCACAGTTGATCATGAACCACGTGAATAAAACACGTGACAAAACAGATAAGAACACGTGATAAGAGCACGTGATAAGAACACGTGATAAGAGCATGTGCTCACCTGATTATGCACGAAATCAAGCTGTGTTTTGTCTCGTTCCATAGCTCCTAATATTTCCTCCGCCTCTTCTTGGACTTTATCTCGTTTTACACCGGCTGAAAGTTAGAGGAGTAAAAGGACGTTCATTATGATTCAAATATTTAAGAAGAATCCCAGAAAATCTCAAGTGACATTCCTTAAATACCCTTTTCACACCCTCTTATTTATGTGGGTATACACAAAAAAGTAAGTGGACTTACTTGGAGAGAGAGAGAGAGAGAGAGAGAGAGAGAGAGAGAGAGAGAGAGAGAGAGAGAGAGAGAGAGAGAGAGAGAGAGAGAGAGAGAGAGAGAGAGAGAGAGAGAGAGAGAGAGAGAGAGAGAGAGAGAGAGAGAGAGAGAGAGAGAGAGAGAGAGAGAGAGAGAGAGAGAGAGAGAGAGAGAGAGAGAGAGAGAGAGAGAGAGAGAGAGAGAGAGAGAGAGAGAGAGAGAGAGAGAGAGAGAGAGAGAGAGAGAGAGAGAGAGAGAGAGAGAATCAATTATACAGAAAGAGAGTATAATTTCACGTGACATTCCTTAGATATCTTAATCATAAAAAGTAAATATTTTAGTAAAAGTATCCTAGAGTATTACCTGACCCTCCAGCCATCTGCCTAGCTCTAATACGAGCTCTAAGTTGCTCAGCCTGCTTGTCTCTCTGTCTGGTCTTCTTGACCTCTGCTGAGGTAGCTTGTCGTACTAAAGAGTCTAGCAGTTCCTTCTTATCACTGTCACCCAGTTTACCGGTCAGCTGGAGGATATCATATATAATCACCCTTCACAACATCATCCCCAGCTGAAGACGATTTACACAAGTATTTTGAAAGCTCCTGCTAATAAAATCCTTTCGTATCACTTATATGTTTTAAATATCCCCCTCCTGGAGGATATTGTTTTTTCAATGTAAATTGTACATGGTACATTGTACATTAGGAAAACAGTCGTATACTTCAGAGCAAAAATGAAATGTGTTTGATAAAATTATAATAACACGTTATAAATATAAGTGGACGACCGCTAAATTTCCCGATCTATGATAGCGTCTGATATCATATTACTGATTATGGAAATCATTTCTAAGTTTATGTTTTTACGCCAAAAACGGACGTACAAAAACAAACAAAATAAATACACTGTTTAACAAACCTCGACCATTGAAGATCTAGAGCCCTGTCTAGACCCCAGTAATCTATCACCAGGTCTCTCGGTCGAGGAGGGAGTTGAAGGAAGACTGGCCTCTTCCGTCGACACTCTCCGTTCTTCCGATTTCTTCTCTTCTTGCCCTTGTTTCTTCTTCTGCTCTTCCCGTTTTTGTGCTGCAAGTTGGGCAGCCTCCTTATTTTTTGCAAGAATACCTGAGATTTTAAATGTAAGGTATCTGAGTTTTATAAGACGTTGCCAGCTGAATCGTTATGATTCGAATTTGAGAAATAAAAAAATCGAGTTAGTAGCCATATTTTTAAATATCTGAAAAAAATTTCATTCCATCAGCTTCATTACTCCTGTAATCTACATTTGACACCCAACCTGCTAGTTTCTCTTTAGCAGCACTCTGCCCTGTAACACTCTTACTCCGTACTATTGTCTGGGACCTCTCAAAGTCCCCGAATATAGACCTCATGTGATCCTCCTCTACCTTTGAAATTGAAATTAAAATTAACTTGAAAGTTGTGTTTTGTCATTATTACATCTAGTTCTACATTCATAACACTCTTCATAAATCATCTCACAATTACCACTAATTACCACTAATTACCACTAATTACCACTAATTACCTCTAATTATTAATACTATCAGAACTTACCTCCTTCTTATCCTTCACAGCCACTTTCACCCTCATTTTAGCTAACATAGCCTTCTTCTGAGCTTCCTTCTGAGCAGTTATCTGGTTTAGCTGGGACTGATGTTCCCGCTTCAACTGGTTGTAGAGCTCGTCTCTGTTCTCTTGAGTGAGACCTTTGAGGGGGTCCTCACTTTTGTCTCCATCGTTAACAGTAGATAGCATATCCTGGATCTTTGCCAGCATTTCTTCTTCTTCTTTCGTGAGGTTAGTTAGGTTTTTCTTGCTTAGAAGGTGGTCCAGCGCTGCTTTGTATTGCTCAAACTGTTCGGTAACTTCCGCGACAGACTTGTTGGTTTCACTGTTTAGGTCTTTTAGCAGGGCGGTTAGGTTTGCTTTGTCCTTATCTTTTCTTGTTCGCCGTTCTTCTCGGCGTATTAACATTACTGCTTTTAAATCTTTGTCACGTTTTGTTTTCACCTGAAGTGAGTGGTCCGTTAATTCCACACAAGACTTTTGAAGGACGCTGCCACAAATATAAAGTTTAATTTAAATTCATTAATATAAATGGTAAAAAAGGAACATACTCCAGCTACTTAAATTAAAAACAAATTGATCTGAAAATGATCAAAAATGTGCTAAAGTGTACCTCCATCATGGCATCTGCTTTGAAAGTGTAGTCGTCCTCAGTTGGAGCTCCTAGGATAACCTCACAGAGATTGTTGTATACAGACCTCGATATATCTCCGTGTATCACCTGTCTGACCTGATACACTTGCGTTAGTGCTGATAAAGTAACTGCTAGTGTGAAAAATATCGATATTGCTCACTTTTCAATGATTAATTTTATGAGTTTTCGAATCCTCTACACATTTAGTTATGAAATAAGTTTATCTCTACTATAACTCCTCTCAAGGTCAGATCTAAGGAATAGGAGTTAGGAAATATTGGGATACTGCGTAGTGACCAGGAGGGGGGAGGGGGGGGGGGGGGGGGGGGACACCTAGCCCCCCTTTCCTCTCCCCCATTTAAACCTTTCACTTTCCCATGATGATAGGTCATCAAAGACAGAGTGACACTGTGACACTGTAACACTGTAACACTGTAAAACTGTGACACTATAACACTGTAACAATACCTCGCTCAGCTGTCCCACACCCATCTCGTTGAGCGAGTGGAGCAAGTCCTCACTCTCCTGCTCCTGCTGTTCCTGTACCGTTGCTAGCAGCTTCACCGCCGTCTCCTCTACCTGTTCACTCAGGGACTTCTTCTCTACTTCCTCAGTTTCAACCTGATACAAAGTAACGAGTAAGATATAAAATTATAGATTCGATTTTTAAAGATTCTTAAGAAGATTCTTAAATATTGTGCGATTATTAAAGCCACCAATTTTTGTTCCTTAAACTTGATAATATTAACATTTAACATTAACTCATTAATCAAAAGACACCCCATTCTGTGTAAAGTCACAGAACTGGTAGTTAAGTAGAAGAGTAAGAGCAAAGATCTAGAATATTTGCTACACTTTGTTCATCCCTCAGCTTGTGCTTGTGGAGATGTGACTACTGATGTGTACAATTATAAAACATGAGTATAGCTCACTTTTTGCTTATAATTTCTTAAATTACAGATAAAAATTAAGTTCTACGGCAATTGAATTGAATCACAAGTGTTTCCCTATTTAAAACATAATGTTCATACTTCATATTATGAAGTGAGCTGATTAGAGCTTGTAGTTGTAAGTGAATGGAAATCTAGCGTCCGCCACAACGAAACAACGGGCGCATTTCTTGTTAATTTAGCCCTCCAAAAATTTTGGCGGCATAATTTTGAAATTTTCCGGGCAAAACTCAGAATTTGTCCGCCAAATGGTAGAGTTTGCAGTTGTGATAGTGTCGGGACATGTGAACCTTTGTCACCCCAGTGTCCTCCCCAACTGTTTTTAATAGCGAAGGATTCAGCGCTGTATCCAACCATGGCGACAGCGTGATTTGGTCATCCCTTGCAGGTCGTGTACCCCACTCTAGTACTGCTTTATCTTGCTAGTGACCTCCCAGTTCTTGAGTGGCAACTTGCATTTGAGGTGGTGCTGCTCGTTCATGGGTTACTTGTGTTCGTCGAGTAGATATTCTCAGCATGATTTGGGAAATTTTCAGCTTTAAGAACTTTCTAAAACTCTTAACTGTAATGGAATATATAAAGAAGTTAGCCATTATGTTGAGGTACTGCACTAAAATAACTGGTCGCCACACTCCAGTGCCATGCTCTGCTCCGAGGAGCCAAGTTATAAATGCAACACCGAACGGAAGTGTGGAAAGTAACAAGACTCCCACCGTTAGCAGCACTGTTAGCACCCCCTCCCACCGTAATGTTCGTCCGTGCTGGGAGCTAGCCTTTTTGGCGACAACCAGAATAGCAATTGATGTGACAGTGATAGCTATGTAGGGAAGGAGAGCAACGACAGGTAATGTTATCAGAATATACCATTTGTACCATGATGGGAGATTTGGTGAAGTGTAACTATAGTTACAAACATATTCATGGTAACTAAAGTAAGCCGTATTTCTGAGATAGATTATCTTCACCATAAGTACTGGAGAGTAAACAACCACTGCTAGGAGCCAGATTGAAATAAAGATTTTATGTCCGAACCGTGACGACCACATTCTGCATTTCAAGGGGTATTTCAAGATTATCAGCTTAAGGGTTGTCAGAGTGCAAGTTTGGAACAGGGTCACCACTGCACCAGCCCAGCTCACATTATCTGAAAGTTCACAAAGTAGTTCTCCTACCACCCAACGGTCTGTGATGAATGCCAAAGTGATTGGGAATACTTCGAAAACAGTTTGTAAAAGGTCGCAGATAGCCATGTGCTGCATCGCCGCTATGATAACCTTCTGAAGTTTGATGGCATTGTATCTTATAGTCGCTACCAGAATGATGCCGTCCCCTATTAAGGACGCCAAAAGAGTAATAAAGCTCCATAAGATGAAGATACATCGCTCCCGGTCATCTGTTATTACGTAAAGCGTCTTGTTGTCTGTTCGCATTTTATACAGAACTAGAATACATAACTAGAATGAATACATAACTAGAATGAACGTTGTAACAGGATTGAAGCTAGTCGTGATTTTTGACAGTAAGTTTTTACAAATTCAAAACATGTTCGTCAGAACTGAAAATATAGCAAATAAAAAGGTATTACGAACTTTAAAGATAATAATCACAACAAAATAATCATAATGCCGCTGCTTTTATGATTCTATGTGTGCATAGGAAAAATGATGTTGAGAACGTTTCCCAATGATGTAATCGTTCTTCGTGATTAAGAAATAATGAAATAAAACCAAAGTGTAAAACTTCATGATTTGTGTGGTCATTTGCATTGATAGGTCTGCTTTATAGATTAAAATAACCTTTCATTTAAAATAATTGTTCTATTAATTGTCTGGGACGAGGGTATGGCACGTGGTCAGTGGTCACATCTAGCAAATGTTGAATAATGGTTTTTTTCATAATACTATAAAAGTGGCTTCTTCATATAACTTATATTACGATCATGATCATATATTTTTCAAAAAATCTAAGAGTAATCATTAGTTCAAATTTGGGAAAAATGTTCATGCGCATAATGATAAACGTTTCTTGGAAAATTATCCCCAACTCTATGCTTCGGTAACGGTACTTTTGTGGCTAAAGACACGATTTTCAAAGACAATAATTACGGCAAAAAGGAGAGCAAATTGTCGATTACAATTTCTCAAGTCGAGGCAAATTAACTCGCTTAGTTTCTCACCTCACTCCTAGAATTGTGCTCTGCAGGAGATTATTTTCTCAGCACCTGATGTTCAACTTTTCAACTCTTGGACTAACAAATATTTGCAATTGTATTCGAATTGGTTTTAAAGAGTACTATAAGACTATAGTCTCGAAACGATCATCATAAGCATTTGCACTTTTCAGTGGACACATGACTCGGATGTTCGTTTACCATTCTTAAATTTAATTTATTTGGCAAATCTGTGGAAGTTTGTACTACAAAAGTTCAAATGTCTGCTTTTCGTTTAAGTGTACGTGTTGTTTAATCAATTCGCAGTTATAATCCGTTACCGATTTAATATGTATTTGCGATCTATATTAATCCCCCTGATATAGGCGAGTTTGGGCCCAAGCTCACCAATATAAATATTTATCTAAAATATATCAATTAAGGTTTATTATGGCTTCTAAAGTTCTAAGATACCGTATCTTACTATATATAAAGCGAGACGACATAAGTCGTCGAAAAGTGTTTCGATAATTTAACAAAATTAACAAAAAAATGTTTTTAAATTCAGAAAAAAATCCCAGTTCGGTCCCGGTCGAACCTTGAACACAGGCAAGTGTATTGATAAACAGTTGAACCCCGTTAGATCTGATCTCTGTGAATGATGCGTTTCTTAATATCTGAGTTTCTTTATCTTCTCTTTATGCTCATTGCTCTTATATTAGTATAATAAGAAATATATGATATACAACCGCATGGTGCGGAACAGGTTGAAACATTTTGTAACGAGTCCGGGTGAGTAATCTAAGGATGGATGCTCACACTTTATATAATCGACTTTATATTAATCAACCATCAAAATTCTTGAATGAAAAGTAAAAACTTCAAAATAATGGAATTTTATATAATAATTACCTGTTCATGGGATAGTTCTGAAAGTATTCTCACAGCAACAGCGTCAAGAAGGTAAGCCTCCTGGAGATCCTTAAACTCAAGTAATCGCTCTTCTTCCTCATCTGAAAAGGGAATGTCCAGGAATATATTATTGTCTAATAGCGACATTAAATATCTATCATTCCATTGCAGTTGTACATGGTCTAGAGTCTATATTGGGTAAACAACTTTGTATTAAACAGTTCTACAATCTACATGGTGGAAATCAGATCAACTGCTTGATGTCAAATAATTCAAAACTCTACATGTTTTAGGTGACTCAGTGAAACTATGTACACCGTGTTACAAGACTTGATGTTAAAGGGAACACCACGCACCTTGATCGTTAGCAGTTTTAATAGACTTCAGACTTCTGAGACGCTGTCTCCGTAACGAAACTATTCGAGCTTCCTGTTCCTCTTTTGTGTTAGCCTTTATCTCTAGCAGTTCTTTCTCTGAGACTACCTGGATAATAATGGCGGTTAGAATATCTATTAATGCTTTTCAAATAAAATTACAACGAATTCTTCATGTAGTGCATCCTGGGTTTGGACAGGATATGCCCGTTTTAAATATTTCCATCACGTTACATTACATAATTCTCAATAAATGTAATAGATTTGTAGTGTTGTAATTAGTTTAAAACTATACTCCTCTATACTACTGTCGCTACATGTCGTAGTGATAAAAGATAATTAACAGATTTGATAATAGGAACTGTCGGTGAACTTCTTTATTTACCACGTCTTGGACTTTTAGGCATTAGCCCTAAACTGACCATAAACTAAAACCGTCTCCTAAACTCAGGTAACAATCCTCTCACCTCAAAAGAAGCTATCTTGTGAGCAAACTCAGGTAACAATCCTCTCACCTCAAAAGAAGCTATCTTGTGAGCAATGTTCATGAAAGGTAACAATCCTCTCACCTCAAAAGAAGCTATCTTGTGAGCAAACTCAGGTAACAATCCTCTCACCTCAAAAGAAGCTATCTTGTGAGCAATGTTCATGAAAGTCAGGTAACAATCCTCTCACCTCAAAAGAAGCTATCTTGTGAGCAATGTTCATGAAAGGTAACAATCCTCTCACCTCAAAAGAAGCTATCTTGTGAGCAAACTCAGGTAACAATCCTCTCACCTCAAAAGAAGCTATCTTGTGAGCAATGTTCATGAAAGTCAGGTAACAATCCTCTCACCTCAAAAGAAGCTATCTTGTGAGCAATGTTCATGAAAGTCAGGTAACAATCCTCTCACCTCAAAAGAAGCTATCTTGTGAGCAATGTTCATGAAACTTTCCCTCTCCTCCTCGTGCTTCTGCTCAATGAGGTGGATAATGGAGTCTTGGAGCGTCACCACCGCGTCTGTTGGGAGGTATTTGTGTATGCGTTACAAGTAGTACTAATGGAAGGCGACCCGCTTGTGTCTTGTGACTTACATTAATATAGAACCCACCTTTCTGAGAGTATTGATTTATTATAACAGTGTTTTATTTGCTGTATTAACCTTAGCTGTTATGAACGATAAAAACGGTTTTTGCTGTATTATTTTTCATACAACGTTACAACAAAGTCTTCATGTTATGTATCCTGGGTTACATATAATTCTATAAACCTTCAGCGTTGGAGATGTCTTTTAACTCCTCCAGTCCCTTCTCCTCCTCCTCCTCCCTCTCCAGTGATGCTTCCTTCTTCCGTTTTCTGGCTAAAATCCTCTGTTTGGCAAGGAACAGCTGATGTTGCTTGGCGTCTTTAACCCTGGATAAGAAGATTATTCCGTATACATTTAATAATGACATACACTTCAAACCGTTATAGGGGACAGTATATATCATAGGTATCTCGCCCATTTGTACCCTCAATTAAGAAGGAATCTAGACGGATCATCAGTCATCACAGTCACACGGGGTTTCAGATGTAAATAAAACATGGATTTTTGAGCGGCCAACTGAGATAGCATTTTGTGGCAACTGCTATCCTATCTTTAGCCAATACGATGTGTTTTGCTCTTCTTCCACAACTCAGAAAAATTAAAATGTTAAATTAAAACTGTAGAACATCTTAGATATATCTTATCTTAATATTTAACACCAGGCTAATGAACACTCACTGCTGATCCTTAGCTTTAGCTTTACCAAACACCAGAGCAGCTGCGTCCATCTCCGCGTCTTTCTTCACTCTCAGTCGTTCTCGTTTTAGTTTTAGTAATGCTAACTGCCGATCTTTTTCATTTTTGATCTGAGAGGATGATTTTTAGGAACTTCTGATAGGAGAGCATGCTCGTTATTGATAAAAAGGAGATCATGAAAGTTGACCTTTTAAAATTCGACTGAAATGTTGTTTTTTCTTTCTAGAGCTTCATTGAGAAATATGTATCTGATCTGTTATGTTGTTACTGCACTGAAGTCAAAAGCTTCAAAATAGCTTGATGTCAATACATCTTAATACATCTTACTATGCAGTATAAACATTGTTTTCACCAACGTCCGAGGAATTTTCCAGCCTAAACATTCTTTGTCACCATTGATTTTATTCACGTTCCCTTGTTGTGTAATCAATCTTAATATTCTCAAGATGTGTGTTTGTCTGTGTGTGCGTGTGTAATTTCCGAGCGGCTTAATCAAGAAAACGGTAAGAGTTACGGGGCTGTTATTTAATAATTCTGTATTATTTGATGAAAGTTTCAGTTTTACTAACATTGCCATCTCCATCTCTGATCTGTGCTAGAAGAGAGTCTTTCTCGGAGTCAAAGCTGGACATCAGACTTGCTAGCATGTCTTTAGCAGATACTGACTCTAAGAGGGTATAGATTCACGTTAGGTTTTTAATAAGATGTCTAATGTCTATTGTCTATTATGTATTTCATTGGAAAAATATTAAATGTCTTTGAAACTAAATTTGTACTATTTTTAAAAATCAGGACATTATTCATATAACACCCTGTATCTGAATGCCCAGCTAAGTAACCTCTGTTTGCACCGTCAAGTTCCTCCTGCTCCTGTTTTATCTCCTCCAACTCCTGTTCTATCTCCTCTTTAGATGCTCCTTCTCCCTGCCTCCTCTTCTTATACTCCAGTCTGCAAAAAATAGTCATTCGAAATTTTTGGATTTGTTTGGAGAGGCGAATCATGCACAGTTTATACGCCTCTTGAACCCTTCAAATAAATCTTCGTTATTATTACCGTATTTGTTATAATATAGTAGTGTTGACAGTAATAAATTGATTTGAAAATTGCCACTGAAATTCCACTTTATTTAGGATACTTCGAGAACTATTACACAAATTCGTTCATCTAAAGCTAGTTTGTTCCTACTCCAATATATCAACCGTCACCATGACAACACATACATACCTTGCTTTTATCCTGTCCTTCTGTTTCTTCCTCGACTCTTCCTCGTTTTCTTCTTTCATCTTCTGCACGTTTATCATAGCTTTGTAGATCTCATCCGCCTCATCCTCCCTTCCTGAGGTTATAAGACTCGTTCCTTATCTCCGAACTAGAATCCAAACTATAACTATTTTTGTTGCTACCTAAGAAAATTCATTCATTCATAAAACTATCAAAACCAGATATGACCTAAAGACAATTTACACAAGTATTTTGAAAGCTCCTGCTTTATAAACATTACGTATCACTTATATGTTTTAAACAACGCCCTCCAGGCAGATACCTGATAGGCAGATATGATAGTCCCTAACCTGCAGCACGGAGCTGTCGCTCCCTAAGCTTAGTCTGCATCACCTTCTTCTGACGGTCCTTCTCAGATAACTTAGCCCACTCTTCAGCTCCTATCTGCTGCTCTAGCATCTGCAGAATCAGCTTGTCCTGGTTAAGGAGAGGTGTTTTATGTGTTGTGTAGATTATTGCAGGTGTGAGGTCGCAAGGAAAATTATGATATATGAACAACAACTTAGTTTAACGTCAATAATAAGTTTAAAGGATGCCAGGTTGGTTAGAAATGTTGAAAGATGTTGGAGATGATGTATAAACAATAAACATGCTTTTAATCGCATACCTAAACTTCTCAAAATCTTACTAAGGAAGCTATCCAGTACCTCAAGTACTCACGATGGACTTCAGTATAACAAACCTTGATGTTATCGTATTTCTTCTCCAGCTCCTTAACCAGCTCCTGTTCAGCTTCGTTAGCTGCAGCCTGTTTAGCGAGGAAAACTGCTGCCATGTTGTCCATCCACCCTTCAGTCACTGCTCTCTTGTGCTTCAGACACATCCCCTGTATCTCGCTCAGTCCCTGGAAGGAGGGTAGGGTGAACAAGTAGGTTTACTTTCAGTAATTTTCACCTATTTTGTCACTAATTGCCCATTATTTGCCAACTATTTGCTCACTCCAAAACATCATAATCGAAGGATATGAAGTTCAAAACCAATCCTGACTGTTACTTTATGTAATGTCTATCAAATCCAAACAATCGCATGTTTTACATAATATTACCTTGTGTTTAATGTTGCTTAGCAAGTACAGCAAAATAATATTACCTTGTGTTTGACGTTCCCTAGAAACATAATATTACCTTGTGTAAGCAACAGAATATTACCTTGTGTTTGATGTTGCCTAGCAACATGGCGGACTCGTCATCTTGTTTCTCCTGTAACTGTGCGAGCATGCTCACTGCTGCTTCTTCTTTTCTTCTCCTCTCGAAATCTTCTTTTCGTTCTTCTTCGTTTTCTATTGTCATGTCGTACTCCTGGGTGTACACAAGTGAGCAGCCACATTCCTACTTTAATTGAAATGGAACATTATGTAAATATTTCCATTTTAGGAGTTACCAAGACTTTTAAAATTATATCTACGATTAAAATGATAGGTGATGACGATCTCAGCCACTTTCAGACTTTTGTCAAAATTACAAAAGCTGTAACCAGTGACAACATCCTAGTAACCACCTCTACAAACACGTGACTTACCACGTGACTGGTCTCACTCAGAACATTAGCCAGATTCAACAGAGCAGCCTGCCTCAACCACTCCAACTGCTGACCCTGCTGTTTACTCAGCTCCTCTGCTGTGGGTACCGTGTCTCCCACTTCTTCTCTCCACTTTCTTCTGTCTTCTCGTAACAGGCCTAGTCAAGGGGAACATGATCAAAACTTCCACAAAATATGTATACCATAGTAATGTTTTATGACCATCTAACCAGTGTATTATTAGATTATCAGATCAAGGAGGGAACCTTTAAAAAAATGTAAAAAAGAATCAAGTTTAAATTTGTCCCAACCATCTATTGAGTATTCTCTTAAAGTAAACACCAACTTCGCCCTTAAAGCCTCTAAAAACGCACCAATTTGGTCCTTAAAGCCTATAAAAACGCACAAATTTTGCCTTTAAAGCCCCATAAACTAAAAACTTACCAATCTCGTTCTGTCTCTCCTTGCGTGACATGTCTGACACAGCCTCATACTGCTCCTTATCCACGTTATCCATCAGCTGGTGCAGGATCTCTCTTTCTCCTTCATGTTTCCGGTGTACCAGGTCTACTAGGATGTCCTGTAACTCATCTGGGGTATCACCATGTTATCTATCTTCAAACACAAGGATATGTTTTATCGAGCGGACTTCATTAGAACATTGTCATCACTGAGTCTATTCAGAAACAATCAAAGATTTTCTTTAAAAAGGAAGCATCAAATGATGTTCAATAACACTACACGACTCAATCATATTAGTGTTAACAGCTTCGTAACAGAGTTAATAATAATGGGATTTAGACGCTTTAATAAGCTGAATTTAAAACTGGAAGTTAAGAGATTAAACAAGTGAAAAGTTTCCGAAAATAACCTGCATCATCAGTATCAATATTGATATACTCCTCACTGTCGAGGAGGAGTCCTGTCTTAGAATTTGCTTTTTTAAGCTTGTTTTTCCGAGCTGCAATCCTAGCCTTGGCAAGGGCAATCTGCCTCTCCTTCTCTGACAGCTGCCTGGAGAATGAAACGGATTGTTATTAATTGCAATGTAGATCACGTAAATCACTAACAGAAATCATTGTTAGAAAAAATATTAGAAATAATATAATTTTGCAGCTGAAATTTTTCTGACTTTAAAGCATTAGCTTGCCCAAGAATCAGAGCAGCTTGCAACTAACCTGTCCCCCATAGCATTAGCTTGCCCCAGAATCAGAGCAGCTTGAAACTAACCTGTCCCCCATAGCATTAGCTTGCCCCAGAATGAGAGCAGCCTGATCGAACGTGCCCTGCTGATCCAGTTTCTTCTTCTCCAGTCTCAGTTTCACTAACATGGCCTGTCTTTCTCTGGCGGCGGAGAACTGGTCCCCACTGTCTCGGAGCTGCTTCATCAGCGCGTCCTTCTCAGACTCGAAACTGAAGTTGGAGGTGCTGAGGATTATAATAAACCAAGATTCTCGAATGAAAACGTATTTTTCCATAAAAATACAAACTCTAGATAGTATAATTAAAGAGAATTAAAGAGAAATAAAGCCCTACTTCTTATTGAGAGCATCCAGAATACTAGTAAACTTATTGTCCACCACATTTCCCTCCTCGTCTACTTCCACCTCCACTTCCACCTCAGTTCCGTCTTCTAGCACCTTCTTACGGGTCTCTTTACGAAGCTTCCTCCTGGTTATACAGGTTAGAGGTGCCGGGGATTTGAGAGAAGTTAAGGTCCGAAAGAGACTTAGATGAGAGTTTATTGTTAAATTTAAAAAATGTTTGAGATTTATTTTTGTAGAGAAGCATTGATATGAATATGATGTTCGGAAAGCATGCAATTCATTGATACACATTATTGTCAAATGTTTCGCCATAATCAGTTACATGACTAGCTAAGATTTTGAACGTTAGCAGTGCACATATTTGTAATATGATAAAGAGTACATACTTCTCTTCTAACGACTTCAGGTACTGTTCCTTAGACATCCCAAGTATTTCTATCATTCCTTTGTCGTTAGCTAGGGCATCAGCAAACATTCGCTCCATCTCGTCTTCTTTACCTTCTCTTTTAAGCTTCATAGCTTTTTTTCTCATCTCTAATATCCTGGGTTTAGAATGGTGAGTTTATTTTGTGGCCCCTTTGATAACAAGATTGGGGTTAAACCCTGAAGAATCTAACACAGGTAAAGGGAAGCTCATGTTCCAATTTGAACTGAAGAAAAGCAGTTGCAATTTTCAAATGTTTGTACAGATTCAAGACATTGTACTGGTTAATGAACAAATAATCTACACCTTTACTGATAGTTGAAATTCGACATCTATTCGACGCTAGATGTAAGATGACGCTATCTAGCGTCATCTAGATGTCGAATTTCAACTATCGGTAAAGAACCACAGTGATCAAACGATCTGTACCTTTTCTGGCGCTCTTTCTCAGAAAGTAAAGCCCACTCCTGTTCCCCAGCCTCCTTCATCAGTGCAGCAGCGTACAGTTTATCCTTCAGTAGATCATACTTATCTTCTAACTCCTGGGCTACCTGGACATTATAATTTAGTTAGTTAGTGTTGTAGTTTGGTTGCTGACATCTATTATACTATCTGTTATTATAGTGAACAGATGTGAAGTTGAAAATTAAGATCACTGAAAATTAAAAATATTTTTTAAAATTTTATGTCAGTTATCATGCATAACTAATTAGTGGAACGACTAGTATAGGCAGATTTTTACTTCTTAATAATAACTTTAACTTTAACTTTAACTCTAACTCTGTTCTTTACAATTTCTTGTTCGCTAATTCCAGAAACCAAGCAGTGGATCAATAAAAGGTGGTAAGATCAAATAACTAATTACAACACTACAAATATATTACATTTATTGAGAATTATGTAACGAGATGGAAATATTTTAAACGGGCATATCCTGTCCAAACCCAGGATGCACTACATGAAGAATTCGTTGTAACTTTGTTTGAAAAGCATTAATACCTGTTCGTCCTTGTCAAGAAGTAGAGGAGTAAAACAGACGACAGCAACAGAGCCCACAATCCCTGCTTTAACATTGTGGTGGAGTGTGATCTTCAGACTTGCTAACTCCAGCATCGTCTGAAAATACAGTGTATTATAATAATAAAATAACTATTTAATTAATAAAAATTATTTAATAAAACTACTATTTGATAAAACAATTATTTAATAATACAATTATTTAATAAATCAATTATTTAATAAAACAATTATTTAATAAAACAATTATTTTTTTACGGAATAATATACATATTATTCATCACGTGATTCCAATGTTTGATTGGTCAATAGTTGAAGCTGATGGGTTAATTTCTGTAACGTGTCCAACAAACATGCCTCAACTGGGTTTTCTAATGTTTTTTTAGAACTTTTGTGTTGACCAATGAAGATTAAGTTGACTGCACCAGTAAATCCTGGTTTACAACACCAGTAAATCCTGGTTCACACACAGTAAATCCTGGTTCACACACAGTAAATCCTGGTTCACACACAGTAACACACAGTAACCTAGTACGGGATGAGTATGTATGTGAGATGGATAATGGATATAGGACTGATATTCAACACCAATACAAACATCTGCTGATAACCATTTTGGCTGATTCTCCATCCTGTTCCATTTTTCTTCCCTAGATTAAATGTCACATATAGAACGCTTACATTTTGAGCATTGAATTTGTTATTTCACATTTCAGTTGTGTTCTTGAAATAATATTGGTTTCCTTTGCTAATCCCTTGTTGAATCAGTTGTAAATTTAAGTACACTCCAGTTTTATCTGCACTGATCTTTACTTAAAACTCCACAATACTCGAATCCCACAAATAGATACTTATAAATAACACGGGTGACCAGCCCGGAACATGACACGCTCACTGATCATAAACATTAATTTGGTAATCAACATTAATTAATTATCATTTGTTTGGTAATTTGGTCGGACGTACCAACGTAACCACACCTATGACGTCAGCGAGAAAGTCTGCTAAGTGTTGTACTTGGTGACCCACGAGAGGACAACATGAAGATCCCTGCCTCTGAGTGGATGTGTTAAAGTACAAGACGTGACGGTGGGATAACGTTGTGTGAAGATTGCCTGTTAACTGTTCTACGACCACTCCTTCGTTTTAGAGAGCGACCTTTAAACTTTAAAAATAGTTTATGTTACAGTTACTGTAGTGATGAACTTTCAGACGATCCTTGATTTGCTCCGTTGTTGTTTGTTGTGTGCCATTTTATTGTTTGTATTTTATTGTGTTACAAATAACCATGATCATTTTGGAGCATATTTGAGCATAATGTCCTTCCGATATCTAACTGCAGATAAATAAGATTTGTTTTAGTTTGAACATAAGTTTGCGTTTGAGCTAGGAATTTTGACTTTAGCCATAATTTAAACGTATTTTAACAGATAAATTCATTAGTTTTTACTTGAATACTTAACATAATAACCTGGTGGATTCGTGTAGCGTTATAGAGTCTCATGATTTGATAGTTCTTTCATTCAAATTTCTGACTGTTTCTGAATAAACTCAGTGAAGACAGATTCTAATGGAAATAAATAGCTGAATGAAAGAACTAACTTAACATAACGATAAAGCTGAACAATCAATAAAAGCAACTAAACTATCCCAAAGCCCACCAAAATCCTAACAGCTGTATCACATTACAAGTTGACGTAACCATGATAACATTTCAAGTAACCATGGTAACATTTCAAGTAACCATGATAACATTTCAAGTAAGCATGGTAACATTTCAAGTAACCATGATAACATTTCAAGTAACCATGATAACATTTCAAGTAACCATGATAACATTTCAAGTAACCATGATAACAGTGCTGCTCCTCCTAACCACCCTAACCTCCCTCTGCCACTCTTACGGCTACAGTAACCACTTCTCCCAGCGGGAATACTGTGACTCCAGTGTCGTGGTTAAAGCTAAGCTGCTCCCTGCTGGCACTATAGAGAAGAGTAATAACCCCCAGGTATTAATTTACCTCCCAGGTATTAATTTACCTCCCAGTAGGGAGCTAACCCTAGTCTTACTGTAAGCTTTATCATCAATTGTAATGTCAGTGGATGGAAAGCTTTTTATTTTTACTTTACTTTGTTACATTCCTTTACAAATAATAACTTTACAATTCATGTACAGCCTCCAGAAGAAACCAGCTCTCATACCACGAGACACAAACTAACCAATTAGAACACAGTACTCATACCACGTGAAACAAACTAACCAATTAGAACACAGTACTCACACCACGTGACACAAACTAACCAATTAGAACACAGTACTCACACCACGTGACACAAACTAACCAATTAGAACACAGTACTCACACCACGTGACACAAACTAACCAATTAGAACACAGTACTCACACCACGTGACACAAACTAACCAATTAGAACACAGTACTCACACCACGTGACACAAACTAACCAATTAGAACACAGTACTCACACCACGTGACACAAACTAACCAATTAGAACACAGTACTCACACCACGTGACACAAACTAACCAATCACAACCTCCAGGAGAAACCAGCTCTCCCTCCGTTCTACAGGAGGTTCGAGATAGAAGTAGAGGAAGTGTTGAAGAGTGATCTAGCTCCACTATTTGCAACTCTACTCAGAGGCAGCATGTTCCATGCTCTTAGCAAGGATACTGAGGTTAACCCTGATGCTGACGGTTGTGATTTTTATCAGCGTGAACCATACACTGACCAGGTTGTGTCAGCAGTCCTGTATTTTGATAACTGGAATAACATAAAGTTGAAGAGATACTGCAAGGGTTGGTCTGAAACCTCTGATTTTGAGAAGAACGCACTGAGAGAGCAGAAGTACAACTGTAAGTGTGAGATAGGACAGTGTTTGGATAGAGTGAGCGGGAAGAAGGGGGAACCTAACTGTGCTACAGGGGATATAGCGTGTGATGAGGATGATAGAGGGAGGTGTATCTGGAGAGGGGCTAGGAGGACGTGTGTTAACCCTGCCTCTCAGAGAGCACTCTTTAGGAGCAGGGGTTGATTAGGGGGTTTAGTTATAGGGGGGGGGGGGGGGGGGAGAAGGGGGAACCTAACTGTGCTACAGGGGATATAGCGTGTGATGAGGATGATAGAGGGAGGTGTATCTGGAGAGGGGCTAGGAGGACGTGTGTTAACCCTGCCTCTCAGAGAGCACTCTTTAGGAGCAGGGGTTGATTAGGGGGTTTAGTTATAGGGGGGGGGGGGGGGGGGGAGAAGGGGGAACCTAACTGTGCTACAGGGGATATAGCGTGTGATGAGGATGATAGAGGGAGGTGTATCTGGAGAGGGGCTAGGAGGACGTGTGTTAACCCTGCCTCTCAGAGAGCACTCTTTAGGAGCAGGGGTTGATTAGGGGGTTTAGTTAGAGGGGGGGGGGGGGGGGGGGGGGGGGGCGGGCTTCACTTTGTTTAGTTTGGAGGAGTTCAGTGGTGACATTATAGATACAAATGTTTGATGTTTTCGCATCCGATACGATATGTAATTTTCGAAGGTATTTTTTAATTCATTTTTAATTTCTTACTTAGAAGGGATAGTTACTTAGGTTTTCTATAAACAGATAAAATAGTACACAATATTTACATTATTGAATTTCTTACTTAGGAGAGGATAGTTATTTAAGTTTTTATAAACATATAAAATATGTACCATGTCGTGGAGAGAGCGGATACTTTCCACGATGTCTTGAATGTGATGTTTTATAAGTTCTGACAACAACTCCACTCTTGCCTCTTCCACTGAAAAAAGTTTAAGGTTCATTAATTGATGTAATATGATATGGACTGTACAAGTGTAAGTACCTTTTGGATTTAATGATTATTTGTAAATCACAAAATGTTAAAATCGTAAATATGCAGAGAGTTCATGTAATTTTAAAAATGATTATAGTTCAGTGGTATTCTTGTAGCGATCGTAATTTTAAATGTGCAGTATGGTTTTTGATCAATGAATACATTTTCTAAATCTTAAACGTACTAAAATTTATGCATTTGACTAGAAGGCTCGGAAATGATAGTTTGAATTTTAACAAAGGCTATTCATTGTGAATGACAACAGCGTTTAACTTATACATAATAATATGTAATTCCATAAGGAAAATTGTTCCTTGAAAAAGATATGAATTATGAAATGAAATGGGATACAAAATAATATCTGGGCTTCCCATCTTCAACTTTTATTTGGAACGTTGTAAATTTATTGATTCTAATACCATTCAGAATTAAGCCATCAAGTCAACACAACTATAAAATGAACTATGGAAGTAAAAAACATTCCAAATTTTACTTTTAAAACACAATAAAAAACTAAAAATAGATATCTCCCGCTAACTCACATGTGACATGCCCACTATTCTCCCGGTACTTGACCCGTTTCATCACACTACCATACTTGAGGGAGAGGGCTGTAGAGAGAAGGGTTCTCTGCTGGGCGTGGAGCTGGGAGATCTGATCTGCTGATCTGTCGTTAAATAGTGCTGAATGGGGGGAGGGATGGGTTAAATAGTGCTGAGTAGGAGAGGGTTAAGGTACTGGAAGTTAGATTTCCGGAAAAAGCTTCGTTAAACGAAATTTCATATTTCTGACCCAATTTTTCAAGTAATATTATTATTAAACAAAGAACTTTCATAAAATGAACTAATAAGTAAGCCCCCCCCCCCTTCCCCCAGTGAAATGTTAACTCATTAGGGACGAGCGGGTCGTTTATAAAATCATTAAACACTCACTCATAGCCCTTAGAGCCTCCTGAACCCTCTTCCACTGATCATGTAGCTTCTTCATCTCAGTAACCCTGTCCGCTTGTGGCATAGCCTCTTCTATCCCACTGTCACTATCCAGGAGGAGGCCACAGAACAGGGAGATCTCCATTCCGTGGTGTTTGTGTAGACATGACAGTATGTACTCCTGGGGATGAGAACGAGTGATAAATCGTACATCGCGGTTAAACACAAGTTTCATTCTTCGTAACCGTGGAAGTGAGTGTGAAAAGTGAAAGTGAAAGGTAAAGTGAAAGTGGTCTTGTGTGACCGGGCTTATACGAATAACGAATATAAAGTGGAGATACATTTGAATGTCCACACTTAACAGAAATAGGAGAGAGCAATCCCATCCTGTAACTGATGCCTCACGTAATTGTATTAAAATTAATTCGCTGCACTCCTACTAACCATGGATGGGGGGGGGGGGGGGGGGGGGGGGGGGGGGGCGATGGTTATGTTAAAGATGGTATAGAAAATTATATGAACCGTTTAGAAATTGTAGGACAAATTCAAGACACACTAGGCAACTCCATACGGATACCGTCGCTAGTCCATATACTGATAAACCTGGCATTGTTTATCAAGTGATGAACATGTTGAAAGTAAAAGAGAGAGTGAAATTGAAAGTGAAAGTGCTCTTGTGTAACCGGGCTTATCAAGTGTTGAAATCTACAAACCCTGTAGGAGCGGATGCTGTAGTGGATGTTGCTGTAGTCCCTGACCAGGGAGAACATGCCTGTACTGCCCAGCTTGGTTTTAGCTGCCCACTCTGCATTGTATCCTGAGTAGTGAAGATGGTTTATGATACATTATATCCTGGGTAGTAATTAAGATGGCTTATAGTTATGGTACGTTGTTTTACCTTAATATAATATACGTTGTTATGCACTATAACATGTTATACCACCTAGGCAGAGTGGTGTTGATTCTTTTTCACTGTTTGGTAATGTAACAAGAATAAATTAGTACGCTGAAATACCACAACCTTCATAAATTTAAACGATAAAAATGCAGTTACATTCTAGTACAAAACAATTTATTTACTACTTTTACTCGTGTTAGTAGCTTACCTGCAAGGAAAGTCCTGGCAGCATCTTTAACCGTGTCCTCACAAGTCAGATGGTCGGCACTGACCATCATTCTTAGCAAGTGAGACAGGTAGCAGAATATAACCCGTTCTGTTGGGGGTTTAGTTAGTTAGTGTCTTACTTAGTGGCCCTAGCTAGACGGCACGTAACACGGCACGTAGTTGGTTACGTGCCGCGTTACGTGTCGTCTAGTTTAAAAAATAATAAGTGAGCAGTTTTTAAGATTTAACCTTTTCTATTGGAGAATGAAACCATTAACCAAATCTCTAGTGCTATTTAGCTTCATTAGAAAATTGTCATCGCTGATTCTAATCAGAAAAAATCAGAAATTTTCTTGTATTAAAGATCAGATAAGAAATAGCTGTCCCTCACCAGGTACAAGGGGTTGTTGGTTTATCAGGATGTTACCGTAAGAGATGTAGAGACTGGTAAGAGTCGGTTTTGAGTTTGTCGAAATATGCGATATCTCCGACCTGCGACAAAATCAGAAATTACATTTGTAAATTGTGGGTAAAGTACTGGAAAGAAGCTAGGAGAGTCGAGTTAAAGTTGATATCGTGGTGTCAGTAAAATGGCAACATCTTTATATTTTATACTATATCGTCTTGCTTTAAGTTTATGTATAGTAGAACCATGCATCACTTTCCAGTTTCCAGTTCCGGGTAAGATGCTAGCTATTCAGAAACGCAGTGTAAGAACTGAGAATACCTTAAACTCCACACAGTGTAACGAAGTGAACTATATATAACTTGTGACCATGCTTTAAACCCCACTATAAGTAGAATACCCAGCGGAGCATGAATTCTTATCATATGCTGACCAACCAGTTAGTAGTTAATGCCATGTTGCACAGGCACTAACTGGCACTACCAGTTAGTAGTTAATGCCATCTTGCACAAGCACTTCGCTTGGTAGTATGAGGGTTTTGCTTTGGTTTCTAATTGTGCTTCTTTTCTTCGTTAAGCAGGCCACTTCGTCTAACACAAACTGTCCGGATTTATGCACATTTTTGTACCTTGATACTGAATGGGAAAGCAATACTGACGTTGAACAAGCTGCATTTACCCGTGAATTGTATTTTGGCTCAGCAACTGGTATAATATCTGCAGAATTCAACACTTACTACCACATATTAAGTGATAGCTGCCCTGAAAACAAGGTGCAATTTAAAAGTTGTGAAGCGGGAGATTTTTACATACCCCTGGAACTTAGGTTCTACGCGTCAAAATCAGTAAGTGTGAACGGGTTTCTTTCTGGAGCAAAAACATATAGTGGTAATTTTCAATTCCCCCAGCAAATGGGAGATTATTTCCAGTTATCGGACAGGAATACGAACTTCTATTCGGTGGTCATGGGAATAATTAATAATGCAACATCTATGCAATCCCTTGAGATCAATTACAAATCCAACGAAACCTGGGAAAAGTACCAAAACAATAGCGTCACACTCCGTGACACAGTCAAGATAAAAAGTGAGGGAAATTGTTTGGTGTTTAAGTACATTTCTGTGTGTCCTGATGCAACTCCTCGACTCTGTGACGAACCTTCCTCGGTTGTAGAAGCGCAGTTAGGTGAATCCTATACTCTCTATTGCTCTGCTTCGGGTGCTCCATTCCTTGCTGCGAGCTGGATTCATGATGAAGAACTCGTGACGAACTCAAGAGAGACCTATGTTGTTGATAAAGCCAATCACAGAATCACTTCACAGATGGAGATACAGGATTTCTCAATTAATGACCTAGGAGAATGGACTTGCACTATTCGTAACAGGAATTTCGGGAACAATGTGACAAAGACCATCAAATATTCCTACTCAAGCAAAACAACTGTAACCCAAGCTCCATCGCAGGACTATTACATACCAAAGAATGATCAACTAACATCATTTGAGTGGACTGTGGAAGGCTGGCCTCTAGATCAAGTTACTTTAGATTGTCATGGTGTTGAAGAAAATGATATCAATAAAGGTAGCTCAGAGTATAACGAACCCCCTTTTATTAACCTTACTTTGACACTACATGATAAAGATCAGGTATTGTGCAAAGTCACTGACGGTGATAAGGTTCTAGATACCAAGAATATCACCAAGGTAGGGTTCGGCTGTGTGGCTGGTGAGAAGGGTGTTGATAAAGGCTGTGAGGTATGTCCTAAAGGACAAACAAGTCATGCTGGAAGTATAAAGTGCTTCTCGGCCGAGAGTCAGTGTGAAGAAGGAACTTATGGCGTAGAGGATGAATGTGAGGTATGTCCAAAGGGAGCAATCAGTCCGGAAAATGCTGTGAAAGTACAGGAATGTATATTAACAACAAGCAGCTGTGAAGACGGGTCCTATAGGAGTGGAAATTACTGTGAAGTATGTCCAAAGGGTGAGATAAGCTCTACAAGTTCTGTAAAAATACAGGAGTGTGTTAAAGTTGAGAGTAGCTGTAGAAAAGGAGAGTTTGGTTATAACAACAATTCCACTAAGTGCCCAATAGGGAAGATAAGTGAAAAGCACTCTGTAAAAGTCCAAGAATGTGAAACTGTCACAAGCCCATGCGAAGAAGGTGAATATGGCACTGACATATGTCACACTTGCCCCCACGGTAGCGATAGTCCCCAATCTACCGTCAAGATACAGGACTGCGAGTTTAAAGAAAGTTCCTGCGGTGAAGGATTCTTTGGAGTTAAAGATAACTGCTCACTCTGCCAAGCGGAGAGAACAGTCACAAATATGCTGTCAAAGCTAAAGACTGTTTTCTTAAACCGGGATCACACTCAAGAGACACAACTGTTCCACTGATATTGGTATCTGTACTTCTTGCTGTCATGGCAACAGCAGGAGTAGTTATCCTGATAATAAAGCTACTAAAAAGAAGAGGAACAAGACATCAGGTGGAGGAACATCCAAACCCAACAAGTACACAACGAGATAGCCATCAAACCGAGCTCCAACTTAAAGTTATTCAAGGTGGACATCCAGAAATCATGACTCAAGAGCACGAATACATTGAGAATACCATCTTCACTGAGCCTCTTACGGAAGAAAACCATGAATACATTGAGAATACCATCCTCACTGAGCCTCTTACGGAAGAAAACCACGAATACATTGAGAATGCCATAACATATACAAACGATGTTTCAGAGTACAATGTACATGTATGCTGGAGCCACTGCATCTAGGAGCAAGAAACCTAAGAAACCTAAGAAAAGGCCCAGGATGAAGCCCACAAAGGAGGCTGCCGCTGAAACCCACGAACCTAGTGATGACGAACATACCTATGAGGTTCTCAAGGAACCTCAATCATAAACTTGGTGATGCGTTCTACAGTCGGGTAAGCTCTTATTGAAACCTTTGAAGCTTTGAGAAAGATAGAATTTTGGGTAGTAATGGTTTTCTTGCGATCAACTAATGTGTTTCTTACGATCCATTTTAGAAGATTTGTAAAATATAACGCCATCATTTTTTTTCTGAAAGACCGAGAGACGGAAGACTCGAAACAGGAAAAAAGTAAAGTTATTATACTGCCAATTGAAAAATGGTCCGTTCAGAAGACTTTTTCAGTCTTGTGCGATAATTTTGTTCTAATAAATAGTGTTTACGGACTTCGATATGAGACTTATAGTCATACACATGACAAAATATGCTTAGCTTAATTTACAACTAATTTCGGCAAGTAATTGATTATATTGGCATTGCGACTATGCAAGCTAGTTCCATATTTTGATATATTTTATACGTTATACATAATCGCTGTACACTGTATAACAGTGTACGTGTAAAGTTTGAAAAGCATTATATACAAATTAAAAAAACAGTGATTATTGTTTGTAGATTTATGATCTAATGACCGATTTAATATAGATTTTGTGGTAACGATTACTTTTTAAATAGAATGATTATATATCGAAGCACGTTAATTCTGTAGTGTTAATTTTGTAGAAAAAATTTTGCAGAAAAACTTTTGCAAAAAAAAATCAAAACAAATCAAAACAAAGCTTAATTTCTGAATATCTTGGAATCGTTTTTAAAGAATGACCGTGTTATTTAATTGGTCAAATGTGCATTTTAACTTGAATAGAAATGTATTTCTTTCGTTCAAACATATTTCATCAACTCCAAATCTTTTATTTTGTTTTAAACATGCTGCCCTTCAAAACATATCATCTGCAAGCATGTGGCTCTGATGAGAGTAAAAATGCTTAAAAAGTAAGAATGACCACATGTGGCTGTGTTATCTGAAGTAAAACTAACGTTATCAGTTAAACTTACATAAGCTTATCACCTTATTATCAAACCTAATTTCCACTACAAAATTTTGTAAACTTATCAAGACAAGCTTGTATCACGGAGTCCAGACTCCAGATGAATAATCAAGCGTGATCTAGTTCTCTACTTATCGCTTTATTAATTTAATAAGTATAACAGATTAAAACTACACATACTACAAGACGTATTCTGTTACTATTTTACTATAAAAGATTAAAACTACACACACTTAGTTACTTGTTACCATCCACAAGCACTGTGTTTGATACTATGTAATATCCAGATGGGAACATTATTTATTAATTTATTAGTAATCTTGTTGAATCATGAATACGATGTTGTTACATTGAAACGTAGAACATTTCCTGATAAGAGCCTTTTCCTTGTCGCAATAAACAGGAACACTACACATTTTGTTTGATAGTATGCTGGTTTTGCTTAGGTCTCTGTTTTGCGTGTTCCTTATCAAACCTTCAGCTCTGCTAGAAACACACTGCCCTGACACGTGTACGTATCTCTACAATGAGATAAAATGGGAGATGATAACTGAGAACCAGGACGCAGGCTTCTCCATTACAACGGAGCCTGATACAGTGACTGGTATACTGACTGCTGAATTCAAAACTTACTACTTCTGGGATGATTGTTCTACGAGCAAGGTCCATTTTGTGAGTAGCCCTGGAGGTAACATTCCCCTTACAATCGTGTTCCACCCAGAGATACTGGTAACTCTACATGGGACCATATCTGGGGTTAAGCAAGCAGGGGAACGCTTTGAGTTCCCCGAACAAATGGGAGATTATTTCCAGTTATCAGACAGGAATAGTGACTTTTATTTGGTTGCTATGGGAAACACTAACTCAGGGTCAATGGGGTTAGTGGAGTATAATTACAGGTCGGAACTGATTTGGGCACAGTTCCAGAACACAAGACTTCGTGACACAGTGAGGATAACAAGTGAGCCCGGGGAATGTGTGGTCTTCAAGTACATCTCCGTGTGTCCTGATGCAACTCCTAGACTCTGTGATGAACCTTCTTCAGTTGTAGAAGCACAGTTAGGGGGATCCTACACTCTCACTTGCTCTGCCTCGGGTGCTCCCTTCCTTGCTGCGAGCTGGATTCATGATGGGAAACTCAAGACAAGCTCAAGGGAAACCCACACGGTGAATAACGCTACCCATAGAATAGTATCCCAGATTGAGATTAAAAACTTTGATACTAATGACAAAGGGAGGTGGACATGCACTGTCTTTAACAGGAATCTAGGAAATCAAGTAACAAAGATCTACGAGTTGACCATGGCAACACTTCCATCTCTACCAAGCAGACGTTCTCATCTCGTGGCGGACAATCTCCCGTGGATTCTCATATGTGTTGCTGTGGCGACCATGGTTATTGTGGGAATAGCTGTTCTCATGACAAAACTAATGATATTTGGAAAAGGAAGATATCAGGGCAAAGTTCACCCAGCACCAGTGAGTATGACGTCACGTCACACGGTGAGTGACGTCATGTCTGTGACGTCACGTCACGTGATGAGCGACGTCACTTCACATCATGGGGTGGTGGGTAGTAGCCATCAAACCCAGCATCAATTAATCGGAGGAAATCAAGGTGAAAATGTAGAAAGTCATACTCATAGTGAAGAATATATGGATTATGTTCTTGAGGAGGCGAGTGAAAGTGAAAGTGAAAGTGAACATCAAAAGGTCTCACCATCCCCATCAGTGACTTTAAGTGATGAAGACTTTGTAACACGTGATGTAGAGGCGTGATTGTCTTGTATAATGAGTAATGACATGTTTTACGCGAACTTTAGATAACTGGAATTGATGCAGATTGTATTATTGTAACGTTATTGTTTCAAAATAGTCACATTTCATGTGGAACACCCTGTTACTGTATACTCGAAAGATCTTTTTCCAAATTGAAAACAATATGTTTCGTTTCGCAGGTTACATGTTTCAATTATCCGTACGTTGCTGATAAGAACTACTGTTATCTCTATATTATCTGTACCTGTAGTTACTAATAGCGGTGATAAGATTAGGAGTCTCTTTAAGACAGTGTAATGTTTGTGTTCTGTACACTTCCTCTATCCTCAGTTTCAGCTCCTCTTCAGACAGTTCCTCATCCTGGGAGGATAGAGTGGTTACTACATTTAGTATTTACCAGAGTTACCAGAGTTACCAGATTTAACACAGTTACCACAGTTACCACAGTTACCACAGATAAAACAGATAACACAGCTAACACAGTTACCACAGATACCACATATAACACATTTACCACAGATACCACAGATAACACAGTTACCACAGTTACCACAGATAACACAGTTACCACAGTTACCACAGTTACCACATTTACCACAGATAACACAATTACCACAGTTACCACAGATAACACAGCTCACAACCCCACCTTTAGTAACTGCTCCTCAGTTCTCATAGCCTCCAGTACTGCAGTTATTTGAGAGGGTAACAGGCCCCACCTCTTCTCAGCTGGGACTATATCCACTCCTTGTAGCACCTCCGGGGTCGGGAGGTCGGGGGAGGTAAGCTTCTTGTACACTGACTGGCTGGCTGATCAGAGAATTTTATTATAGTATCTTAATTATTTCTAAGTATTATTGATTACAAAAATATCAGAGTTAATTTCCTTATGCTCTACAAAATGTGTATCATGCAACATAGTTTGATAATGCAACAAAAGATGATTTAAATTAAGTCTACATAATATAATTCTTCTTCGTAGAAATCAGAAGTTATAAACAGGGATAAATAAACACGTCGCTATAACATAATTACATAGTGTCACATTGCAGTGTCACATTGCAGTGTCACATTGCAGTGTCACATTGCAGTGTCACATTGCAGTGTCACATTGCAGTGTCACATTGCAGTGTCACATTGCAGTGTCACATTGCAGTGTCACATTGCAGTGTCACATTGCAGTGTCACATTGCAGTGTCACATTGCAGTGTCACATTGCAGTGTCACATTGCAGTGTCACATTGCAGTGTCACATTGCAGTGTCACATTGCAGTGTCACATTGCAGTGTCACAGTGCAGTGCAATACCTGGGATATCAGAGGGTAGGAGTTTTCTCAGTACTGCCAGAAACCACGCCTTTAAGCTCTCTTCACTGTAAAAGTAAATTGGTGACTAGAAAGAATGCGAATCAGCGGTGTTTTTGTTGTTGATATTTCCTAATTTATATATTATATCAATTATACTATCAACTAACAGACGGTTGTTCCTGATTAAAACAGCAAACAATTTTACGGAAAGACAAAAAATCAGAATTTAATAAGTTAATAGTAAATATTCCACATAAAACTCCGCAAGCAACCCACCATTCAGCTACAGGATCTGAAGCACATAGCACGTGCGAGATATTATCATTGTATCCTGTTGTTATACCCTCTCTTACTGAGTGAACTAGAACTGAGAGTTCCAACTTTCCCTGGGGTGGGAGATACTATCATTGTACAGTACATGACGTCACACACCACGTGACATGACGTCACACACCACGTGACATGACGTCACACACCACGTGACATGACGTTCCAATTTGTATGTGTATGAGTTTAAGGAGTGGGGGAGTCTTAATTTTAATGATTAATATATTTACTGGCATCAAATATGCTGTAGAATAGTTAGCTCATATTATGATAATCCAGTGGGGATGACTTTGAGAATTGAGCATTGCAAGATTTAGAGCAAAGGTAAGATATAAAATGTCTTGCGGACACCCCAGCGAATAACATCGTGGAAACATGAACACTGACAAGAAGTGGATAATTATATTTTACTATCTCCTCCTCTCATACACTAACAGAGGAGATTGGAGAATCAACCAATCATGTCAACAATGTCATACACCACGTGGCATGACGTCACACCACGTGATATGACGTCACACTGCGTGACAAACCATAGTGAGCATATCAGCGATACAGGTTGCAGTCTCGTCCATCTCTGAGAGCAATAGTTCCGACATCAGCCTGCTCTTATCTTTACTGGAATGTGCCACCAGCTCTTGGAACACTGCCAACTGAGAGATTATATATTACGGTACAATCTTTGTGATATGATCAATTATATGATAATACTGTGATAGATAGCAGGAAGGGTTTAAATTTAGTATTTACACAGTTCACATATAAGCACAGTTCACATAAACGAAATTTCGCGCCATAAAACGTATTTTCTTAAACCACGTGACATGACGTCACACGCCACACTACAAAATGACCTGTTTGTTTTGGAGAGAAGCGAGGAAAGTTCCCGCAATTTGACCGCTACACATCTCACTCCTTATCTCCCGTAATCTGGTCTCCTCCATCTTCAGCTCCATCTGCTCACTCTTCTTTACCTGATCAACTGTGAGAGAGGGGAGAGGTTTAATATTGTGCAGTATTACTGATCCTGTTTAAAGTAACTAAGTGCGGTGAGGGATTAGTCAGCTTCACTCAAACTATCATATCAGATAGTCAATACAGACTAGTAAAGAGTTTGTAGATAAAGGTCCCAACTCTCTAAAAGTATACATTTTAAGATTTTACACTGCGAATGTACACAGCACGTGACATCATACAGCACGTGACGTCACACAGCACGTGACGTGACGTCACACACTACGTTAAATCTCACCCAACCCCTCACTTACCATTAAGTATGAAGCTAAAAGCTCTCTGTTCTCCAAGATGTTTCTTCTGTAACAAATATATCATCGTCTTTCGTAACACTTGTCTAAACGTGCCTGGGGTATTGAACTATTTTAATTTCTCAATAGTTTCAAAATTTTTCAACTGTAAATTATAAAAATGTAAATTTTATTATATCAAATTAGTTGAAGTTTCAGTAAACTTTTATCCCCAGATATTACGATATGTGCATTTTAACAATTATATTACATCTTATTTTATTTCAAAATCTCATGTTCCCATATCAGTATGAAATGAAATGAGGTATTTACAGGGTGGGCCAAAAGTAAAGGGGGCGCCAACAGGCAACGTTACGCCACTGATGTATGTATGTATGAATTTTATCTAGGTTTAAATTCTATTTAAAACTCTCATGTTTCCAGATCAGTATGACATAACAAGTAACGGTACCCAATTAGAGAGCCCAAATGAAATGTCTACACTAGAGTATGAAGTGTTTGTAAACTCAATAACATGATCTGTGGGGAGTTTTAATACATATTGGGTTTCACTTGTCATGCGTCAATGATCATGTAAAAAGGTTTAGAGTTTTAATAAATAAGGTTAGTGGTGAGTCCAACAGCGTTCTGATAGAGGCTAGTGGGTGTCAGCTTGTAAATCAAAACAATTAAAACACTCCATGTGACGTAGTTGAGAATTGAAGCACAAATTAGGATTCGTCTGAAAGACTACTAATGGACGTGAAAATGAAGAATGTTAATTATTTACCTTCGAGGAAGAGTGAGTGTGAGAGGAGGTTGATATGCTGAAATGTGGGCTGTTTTTCAACATTACAACACAACACATGGTCTGATATTCTCTTTAGGATGCCCCAGTTTTGACTCAGTCTGAAAACGGATAAAATTGCAGTAAAATTAATAATTAATTCGACATTATCCGGTTTTTACTCGGTCGGAGGGCATGATAAAAGTTGTCAAGGAAGTGTTAAGGAAGCGATAAGGAAGTGATAATCTGACAGTGTTCGGTTTATGAAAGTAACGTTATGTTAAGTACATGCAAGTAAAAATGAAAAGAATATCATATAAAAAGACAATAAAGCGACAAACTTTAAATAATAGACACAGCACTAACTTGTATACAATGTAAATCGCAAAAAATTCATTTCTGCCCAGGTGATCATTTTTATACTAAATAACACTAAAAACAACAACTGCATAAGATGCTAGTTGTGTTACAAACTTGAAAATAATACTAATACTGACTTGTATTGAGGGTGGATGTGAACCTTTTCTACCAGTCCCACATAGCTAGCTGCAGCATCAAAGTTACTGTACTCTTGTAGGAGGTAAATCTGAAAACAGCACACCTTGTTTAGGATAGTTTTCTAACAAATGCGGGTTGATTTACGTTGTGATATAATTCAGTTTTAAACACATTGTTGGCTAATATTACCACCGAATGAGGACCTTGGTTTTAGTCGGGAAAAACAGACAACAGACTTTCTAACCTGTTCAGCAAAACTATGGTAATAATCAAGCAGACAGTTTCTATCACAAGTGTTTAAAATGGATCCATCAACCATGCAGGTAAACAAGTCAAGATCACAAGTTCAATATCACCAAAAAGTCAATTTAGTCTCAAAAATAAGATCACCAACCAACTGACAACTAGAAGTGACTGAAATTCAAAATAATTAGGCTGGTATTGTCAGGGGACAATTTGATTTTTTACGCCACCAGGGTCTCGTTAGAGTCATTAAGGGCCCCCTTGACCATTTTACTCAATTTTCATTGGCCAGATCGAATAAACGTGACTGCGCGGCGTTTATTTTGTTACACTGGCTGCGCGCATTAGTTGTGGAGCAATAATAAATGCTGTTTGGTGTTCGCGCCATCACGACGATCTGCATACTGTGTGACTGTCCCATACCGGAGCTGAGGAATATGTCATTAAATAAGTAAATACCCGTTACCCCGGTTACCGTTACTTAGATATCTACAATATGTGTTTCCTTAATTAAATCAACGGTGATACTACCTTCTTCAAATACATATCAATACAACTGCTATTGACTGTTATATTTTACGAATATGATATGAAGTCTGAGAAATGTGAACGCTTTCAGAATATTGTAGAACAAGGGTAGCAAAGTTATAGACTGAGATGAGACAAATGATAGAACCAGAAATAGGTAGAGCTAATAATAACAACAAATTGACGAAAATTTCCACTTTAGCATTTTAGATGGAAGAAAATTCGTTAAAAGTGAAGGTAGATTAATATCGGACTCAAACAAAAGTAGTTTCCAGAAAAATATTGAAAAATTTTGACTCCGAGTTTCGGTCCGAGTTATTCTTGATACGTACCTCTGAAGGCAGAGCTCCCGCTTCCGAGTTCGTATTGCGAAGGGTAGGCCTGCCTTCCGAGATCGCATTACAAAGGGGAACCCTCGAGTCCAAAATCGTATATCGCGTCGAAGGGGTGTAGGTGCCAACTTCGAAAACCGAAAAAAATATTTTCGGCTCATAATTATCAGGGTAGCATGAAACATGAACAAAAGTAGTTTCCAGAAAAACATTGTAGAAAAAATTTGTAGAAAGCTAAATTAAAAAGTTGGCCCTTTTTGGCCCCTTGCCCAGATTTTATGGCCCCCCTGCCCCCCCCCCCGCTTCCTACACCCCTGGTTTAAATTATTGGTACAAAATATTTTATCAAGATAATCGATAACTTATTAGTTATTAGGAATTGTCGAAATATTCGCTTAATCATCAAATTTGAGCTTATAAGTTGTCAGCTGTGTCACTCTATTACCTGGTATTCAAGCAGAGAATGTTCGTACATTCTCTGACGAGGTTTAGCATTCTTTAGTTCACTCAGCAGATAGGCTTTATCGTCTTTATACCTGAATTGTGGAAGCATGAAAAATATTTACCTCGAGGCAACCCACATTCCACAACCTGGCAACTCGTTTGTGACCTCGGCTTTTTACGGCCATAAACAAGGGAGTATCAATTCAATAAATGTTATTCTAAAATATCCTAAAATATCCTAAAATATTCTAAAATATTCTAAAACATTCTAAAATATTCTAAAATATTCTAAAATATTCTAAAATATTCTAATTATATTAGATAAATATTTCTCACCTGAACTGCACGTCCATGAGGATGTTATCAGAGGGCTCCTCCTCAAACACTATCTCCTCCTGGCCCTGCCCCGACCACGTGTCTTCCGTTATCTCTCTGTTAGGGCCCATTAGTCCATGTAGACCCCACTTGTGGACAACACTGTGGTGTTTTATAAGGGTTATTTTTGAAACGTACAATTTAACTATTTTTACAATGCAGAATGCTTGTTAATGTTATACCGAAAATTTGAAAATTCAAATTTATAATTTGCAAGGTCAGAAACTACGAAATTGTTAGTATGATTGGTCGATAGTGGATGCTATTGGCTAATTGCTGTCACGTGACAACAAATTGTGCATCCCGACCAGATTCTCCATCTATAACGTACTTTTAAAAAGTATACAAAATATTATTAACTTTCTAAATCATCTAAAACATACCAGTCTCCGAAGACATTTTTAGCGTCGTACAATTGCCCCGAAGCGTACAAATCCCGCTCCTTCATCAACAACTCTGTCTCTGATAGGCCTTTCTGAAGATTTCATTAATTTTTTCCCGATCCATGACTCGTGCCGAAGGCACAAAAGAGTCAAGGACAAGGGTTAGCGATCGAGGTTTTTTTTTGTATATGGTAGCTTTGCGACCGTGCCTGCGAGCGTGCGTGCGTGCGTGCGTACGTGCCTGCGAGCACTGTTATCGCCCACGTACGTGACTACCTGCGCAAAGTTATTTTGCGTGATAATCTGAATTATATAATTGTTGGCGCGCGGCGCTGAACCAACCAAGTACATTATTAATTTCATCATGTACGTATCCCACTAGGCACTAATTGATAGCATATTATTATTATTTTGAGTTAGTATTATTATTTTGCACAGATCCGTGTCAGGTTGCATAAACAATAAACATATGGTTACATAGAAGTATACACGATTTTCAAATTTAATATAGAATTATATTAACTGGGCGGCGCTCGGCAGTCGGCATGTCACTTCGCCATATTTGCATGTTTATATAAACAGTAAAGACTGGGCCGTCCCCAGGTTGTATGGAATATGATAAATACGCCATCACGGATCGGGAAATTGAGCGGCCATCCACAAAAGAAAAGCGGCCGCATTTCTTGTTTTCCATACTCTTGCTGAAGGCAAAAAGATCGTAGGGAATAAGTAATCGGGTTTGGATATATGAGGTGGCCCGATGGACCTGCGATGATGACAAAAGTCTGCTCCTTCGCAATATAGACCACTCCCCTATAATTATGTGTATAGGAAGCGTCTGTTATGCTGCGCGCGACGCTAGCCATGTGTTAATTAATTACAGTGAAATTCCTCCTTCGCAAAGTTATTTTCCGCAATTTTCTGGATTCATTTATTGTTGATGCGCGGCGCTGCGTTGGTCAAATAAATCGTCAATTTTTGCCATGCACGAATCCCACTCATTTATAAAAAACATAGTATGTAAATATGGTGCACTTTTTCCAGTCACACTTTTCACTCTAAAGAATCAATGAGTTAATGGTACAAGTACATCGTAGGGAAAATTGATCGTGCGTGGTTTAACCGCGGCGAAATTCTTGTTTATTAAAGAAATCACAAAGTTATTCAACTTCTCAAAGACCAGTGTAATGCGATATTAGCCAACTGGAGCTGTTATCAGAATGATAAGGTACAGAATAAGTAAAATAGTGAACCAGGACAGCGTTATCAAACACAAGGAAATGTTTTATAAGGTAAGTCTCACATTCAGATTACTGGAGACGAGTTGTCTATTCCAGACTCTTTTCAGCTCTTCGTACTTCATGTTCACTATCTCGAGTAATACACTGTCGTCGTACTGTACAGAAGTGTGGTTTCAAATACTTATTATATAATATATACATAATATTATATGCATAATATAATATAATATATAATATGTATTATATTATATGTAACAATGGTGTACACTGTACACTGTAGTATACACTGTTTCGTTACCTCAGCGACACCTGACAACAGCACGTGACAACAGCACGTGACAACAGCACGTGACAACAGCACGTGACAACAGCACATTACCTCAGCGACCCCTGATAACAGGACGTGGGCCACGTTATCATTGTATCCAGACTCAGATGTCTCCTTCAATCCTGTCTTTACCTTCTCCACCTCATCTGTGCTCTAAATGGTTAGTTTTACTTTTCTGATATAAAACATTGGCTACCAGACAACTTCATCCAATAAGGAATATCCTTAAAATGAAGATTCCCCTAAAAAGAAAACCCTAACTGAAACCCTAATCCTAACCCAAACTTAGTTTATCGCATCGCAATTAAAGAACGATTCAAAGTTCAAACTAGGGAATATAATTTAATTTATCCATGCACACAAAAAAATTACTATATTACAACATAATGCATAATTTAATGAAAATAATATAGAAACACTCACCGTAACAACTAGCTGAGAGATGAGCACAGCCAACTCAGTCTCTTGTATTTGTAGCAGCTCACTCATAACGACTACCATGGCACTGTCAGCATCCTCTAGCAGGTCATGTTTGTACTGTATCAGTAACACCTGTAAAGTAACACTTTTACTGTATCAGTAGCACCTGTAAAATAACACGTGAGATAACAATGTTATAGGAGTTTCCCCAGCAAGAGATTTCTCTCAATGATGATCTGTTAAAAAGTTAAAAGTTAAAACACCCAAAACTGAATCATCTTATCCGAAAATATTTTCCCTTAAATTTCCCTGGTCTTCGATTTCATCCAGTCACTACTTTTGGTGAGATTAATATCAAGTTTGTTGATTGGCATGGTTAATGAAGTGGTGTTTACCCCGGAAACTAATAAAGAGTAATCTACATTATAATTAGAGCTATTCCCGGTCATCTAATTGTAAAATATGCGATCAATTAGCAATGGAGGAGTTCTGTAACATCTAATTAATACTTCAGGTTAATATTTCTTATGTGATTGTATCTGGATGATCTAGATTAAATCCTGGCACTACCAATGTTAATTCCATTCAATTAGAAGATAAGGTATTTTGGGCTAATGAGACCATGAAATTAATTATAGTGAAGGGTATAAAAGTACATTTTGGTACCTTTCAAAAATATAATTCTAGGTTTCCTTTTGTAGTGACTAGAAGTTCGTTAGGTGAACCACTGCCAGAGTGGTTGTCGTATACTTGTTGGTTCTAAGGTTTTACTTTTTGGTTCTAAGTCCACCTCAATTCATATTGCTCTATACTCATATTATACTGTAGCAGTCAACAATCATTCAGATTGAGTTCAGGGTTTATGCAATCGTAATCTCTGTTTGATAATTTTACCAAGTCCTTAAATAAGCTGTTAGATTGTTAAATTCTATATGATGTTAGAAGTTATTGCAAGATTTAATCCTACACCCCCATCAGAGGGTTTCAGACTTGCAAAAGTATTCACATCATATTGAAAAGCTTGTCAGTCAACCTTGTAATATTTCTACTTTTCGACCTATTACTTTCTTAGAACGTTTTTTATCTGTCAGTTGTCAGACATTTGTTGTAACGCAGAACAGATAGAGTGCCCAGCCCATTTCCATCCGATATTTTAACAAAAAATGACCTTACTCGTTAATATCATGGCTGGTTAAATTATAACCGTTAAAACCCAAAAACCGCCAATATTTAAACGCCATATAATATTAATGAGTATCAGTAAGTAAAGTTTTATTAGTAATTTGTAAAACGTAAGTTATATATTATACAGCTATCTCATTCCTTAATACTTTAATATTGTAGCTAAGTGCATCAAGATGCCAGGACTCGACGAGACCAACAACGAGAGTTACAAATACCTGAGGAGCGTGGGTAACGACTGGCAGTTCAACGTAGAGGATCTCCACCCCAAGATGGTCTCCCGACTCTACAAGAGGTTCGACACCTTCGATCTGGACTGTGACGGCAAAATGGAGATCGACGAGATCCTGTACTGGCCCGACAGAATGAGGCAGCTGGTAAACGCTACTGACGAACAGGTCGAGAAGATGAGGGCTGCTTGCTACACCTTCTTCACCAACAAAGGAGTGGATCCAGTAAACGGACTTCTCAGGGAGAACTGGGTTGAGTCTAACAGAGTCTTTGCTGAGGCTGAAAGAGAAAGGGAACGACGTGGTGAAGCCTCCATGATTGGTCTCTTGTCCAACGCTTACTACGATGTCCTGGATGATGATGGTGATGGTACCGTTGATGTTGATGAACTAAAAACCATGATGAAAGCTTTCGATGTGCCCCAGGAGGCTGCTTACACCTTCTTCGAGAAGGCTGACACAGACAAGAGTGGAAAACTGGAGCGACCTGAGCTGGTGCATCTGTTCAGAAAGTTCTGGATGGAGCCCTACGATCCTCAGTGGGACGGTGTCTACGCTTACAAATACTAAACAGATTCATGGACTCAATAGACTAATATATTCTCCGATATTTACCCTCCATAGCCTTTACATTGAGCTTCTCGGCTTAACAGTCGGATATTCTTTGTAATTTCAGTTTTACAGTGATACAATGATACATTAATATATAAAGATTCGGTTTTTCATTTTTTCGTCTATGATTCAAATCACATGCAACAGATAAAATTTGATCATTCTTCTTTAACATCTTTCTCCTGCATTATTCATAACATTTTTCAAATATCAATTCGAAAAAATACCATTGAGATGATTACTAATCAATCCACTATTCTAGCTAAGTGCACCAAGATGCCAGGACTCGACGAGACCAACAACGAAAGTTACAAATACCTGAGGAGCGTGGGTAACGACTGGCAGTTCAACGTAGAGGATCTCCATCCCAAGATGGTCTCCCGACTCTACAAGAGGTTCGACACCTTCGATCTGGACTGTGACGGCAAAATGGAGATCGACGAGATCCTGTACTGGCCCGACAGAATGAGGCAGCTGGTAAACGCTACTGACGAACAGGTCGAGAAGATGAGGGCTGCTTGCTACACCTTCTTCACCAACAAAGGAGTGGATCCAGTAAACGGACTTCTCAGGGAGAACTGGGTTGAGTCTAACAGAGTCTTTGCTGAGGCTGAAAGAGAAAGGGAACGACGTGGTGAAGCCTCCATGATTGGTCTCTTGTCCAACGCTTACTACGATGTCCTGGATGATGATGGTGATGGTACCGTTGATGTTGATGAACTAAAAACCATGATGAAAGCTTTCGATGTGCCCCAGGAGGCTGCTTACACCTTCTTCGAGAAGGCTGACACAGACAAGAGTGGAAAACTGGAGCGACCTGAGCTGGTGCATCTGTTCAGAAAGTTCTGGATGGAGCCCTACGATCCTCAGTGGGACGGTGTCTACGCTTACAAATACTAAACAGATTCATGGACCCAATAGACTAATCTATTCTCCGATATTTACCCTCCATAGCCTTTACATTGAGCTTCTCGGCTTAACAGTCGGATATTCTTTGTAATTTCAGTTTTACAGTGATACAATGATACAGTGATATAAAGATTCGGTTTTTCATTTTTTCGTCTATGATTCAAATCACATGCAACAGATAAAATTTGATCATTCTTCTTTAACATCTTTCTCCTCATTATTCATAACATTTTTCAAATATCAATTCGAAAAAATACCATTGAGATGATTACTAATCAATCCACTATTCTAGCTAAGTGCACCAAGATGCCAGGACTCGACGAGACCAACAACGAGAGTTACAAATACCTAAGGAGCGTGGGTAACGACTGGCAGTTCAACGTAGAGGATCTCCACCCCAAGATGGTCTCCCGACTCTACAAGAGGTTCGACACCTTCGATCTGGACTGTGACGGCAAAATGGAGATCGACGAGATCCTGTACTGGCCCGACAGAATGAGGCAGCTGGTAAACGCTACTGACGAACAGGTCGAGAAGATGAGGGCTGCTTGCTACACCTTCTTCACCAACAAAGGAGTGGATCCAGTAAACGGACTTCTCAGGGAGAACTGGGTTGAGTCTAACAGAGTCTTTGCTGAGGCTGAAAGAGAAAGGGAACGACGTGGTGAAGACTCCATGATTGGTCTCTTGTCCAACGCTTACTACGATGTCCTGGATGATGATGGTGATGGTACCGTTGATGTTGATGAACTGAAAACCATGATGAAAGCTTTCGATGTGCCCCAGGAGGCTGCTTACACCTTCTTCGAGAAGGCTGACACAGACAAGAGTGGAAAACTGGAGCGACCTGAGCTGGTGCATCTGTTCAGAAAGTTCTGGATGGAGCCCTACGATCCTCAGTGGGACGGTGTCTACGCTTACAAATACTAAACAGATTCATGGACCCAATAGACTAATATATTCTCCGATATTTACCCTCCATAGCCTTTACATTGAGCTTCTCGGCTTAACAGTCAGATATTCTTTGTAATTTCAGTTTTACAGTGATACAATGATACAGTGATATAAAGATTCGGTTTTTCATTTTTTCGTCTATGATTCAAATCACATGCAACAGATAAAATTTGATCATTCTTCTTTAAAATCTTTCTCCTCATTATTCATAACATTTTTCAAATATCAATTCGAAAAAATACTATTGAGATGATTACTAAACAATCCACTATTCTAGCTAAGTGCACCAAGATGCCAGGACTCGACGAGACCAACAACGAGAGTTACAAATACCTGAGGAGCGTGGGTAACGACTGGCAGTTCAACGTAGAGGATCTCCACCCCAAGATGGTCTCCCGACTCTACAAGAGGTTCGACACCTTCGATCTGGACTGTGACGGCAAAATGGAGATCGACGAGATCCTGTACTGGCCCGACAGAATGAGGCAGCTGGTAAACGCTACTGACGAACAGGTCGAGAAGATGAGGGCTGCTTGCTACACCTTCTTCACCAACAAAGGAGTGGATCCAGTAAACGGACTTCTCAGGGAGAACTGGGTTGAGTCTAACAGAGTCTTTGCTGAGGCTGAAAGAGAAAGGGAACGACGTGGTGAAGCCTCCATGATTGGTCTCTTGTCCAACGCTTACTACGATGTCCTGGATGATGATGGTGATGGTACCGTTGATGTTGATGAACTGAAAACCATGATGAAAGCATTCGATGTGCCCCAGGAGGCTGCTTACACCTTCTTCGAGAAGGCTGACACAGACAAGAGTGGAAAACTGGAGCGACCTGAGCTGGTGCATCTGTTCAGAAAGTTCTGGATGGAGCCCTACGATCCTCAGTGGGACGGTGTCTACGCTTACAAATACTGAACAGATTCATGGACCCAATCGACTAATCTATTCTCCGATATTTACCCTCCATAGCCTTTACATTGAGCTTCTCGGCTTAACAGTCGGATATTCTTTGTAATTTCAGTTTTACAGTGATACAATGATACAGTGATATATAAAGATTCGGTTTTTCATTTTTTCGTCTATGATTCAAATCACATGCAACAGATAAAATTTGATCATTCTTCTTTAACATCTTTCTCCTCATTATTCATAACATTTTTCAAATATCAATTCGAAAAAATACCATTGAGATGATTACTAATCAATCCACTATTCTAGCTAAGTGCACCAAGATGCCAGGACTCGACGAGACCAACAACGAAAGTTACAAATACCTGAGGAGCGTGGGTAACGACTGGCAGTTCAACGTAGAGGATCTCCACCCCAAGATGGTCTCCCGACTCTACAAGAGGTTCGACACCTTCGATCTGGACTGTGACGGCAAAATGGAGATCGACGAGATCCTGTACTGGCCCGACAGAATGAGGCAGCTGGTAAACGCTACTGACGAACAGGTCGAGAAGATGAGGGCTGCTTGCTACACCTTCTTCACCAACAAAGGAGTGGATCCAGTAAACGGACTTCTCAGGGAGAACTGGGTTGAGTCTAACAGAGTCTTTGCTGAGGCTGAAAGAGAAAGGGAACGACGTGGTGAAGACTCCATGATTGGTCTCTTGTCCAACGCTTACTACGATGTCCTGGATGATGATGGTGATGGTACCGTTGATGTTGATGAACTGAAAACCATGATGAAAGCTTTCGATGTGCCCCAGGAGGCTGCTTACACCTTCTTCGAGAAGGCTGACACAGACAAAAGTGGAAAACTGGAGCGACCTGAGCTGGTGCATCTGTTCAGAAAGTTCTGGATGGAGCCCTACGATCCTCAGTGGGACGGTGTCTACGCTTACAAATACTAAACAGATTCATGGACCCAATAGACTAATATATTCTCCGATATTTACCCTCCATAGCCTTTACATTGAGCTTCTCGGCTTAACAGTCAGATATTCTTTGTAATTTCAGTTTTACAGTGATACAATGATACAGTGATATAAAGATTCGGTTTTTCATTTTTTCGTCTATGATTCAAATTACATGCAACAGATAAAATTTGTACATTCTTCTTTAAAATCTTTCTCCTCAATATTCATAACATTTTTCAAATATCAATTCGAAAAAATACTATTGAGATGATTACTAAACTATCCACTATTCTAGCTAAGTGCACCAAGATGCCAGGACTCGACGAGACCAACAACGAGAGTTACAAATACCTGAGGAGCGTGGGTAACGACTGGCAGTTCAACGTAGAGGATCTCCACCCCAAGATGGTCTCCCGACTCTACAAGAGGTTCGACACCTTCGATCTGGACTGTGACGGCAAAATGGAGATCGACGAGATCCTGTACTGGCCCGACAGAATGAGGCAGCTGGTAAACGCTACTGACGAACAGGTCGAGAAGATGAGGGCTGCTTGCTACACCTTCTTCACCAACAAAGGAGTGGATCCAGTAAACGGACTTCTCAGGGAGAACTGGGTTGAGTCTAACAGAGTCTTTGCTGAGGCTGAAAGAGAAAGGGAACGACGTGGTGAAGCCTCCATGATTGGTCTCTTGTCCAACGCTTACTACGATGTCCTGGATGATGATGGTGATGGTACCGTTGATGTTGATGAACTGAAAACCATGATGAAAGCATTCGATGTGCCCCAGGAGGCTGCTTACACCTTCTTCGAGAAGGCTGACACAGACAAGAGTGGAAAACTGGAGCGACCTGAGCTGGTGCATCTGTTCAGAAAGTTCTGGATGGAGCCCTACGATCCTCAGTGGGACGGTGTCTACGCTTACAAATACTAAACAGATTCATGGACCCAATTGACTAATCTATTCTCCGATATTTACCCTCCATAGCCTTTACATTGAGCTTCTCGGCTTAACAGTCAGATAATCTTTGTAATTTCAGTTTTACAGTGATACAATGATACAGTGATATAAAGATTCGGTTTTTCATTTTTTCGTCTATGATTCAAATCACATGCAACAGATAAAATTTGTACATTCTTCTTTAAAATCTTTCTCCTCAATATTCATCACATTTTTCAAATATCAATTCGAAAAAATACCATGGAGATGATTACTAAACAATCCACTATTCTAGCTAAGTGCACCAAGATGCCAGGACTCGACGAGACCAACAACGAGAGTTACAAATACCTGAGGAGCGTGGGTAACGACTGGCAGTTCAACGTAGAGGATCTCCACCCCAAGATGGTCTCCCGACTCTACAAGAGGTTCGACACCTTCGATCTGGACTGTGACGGCAAAATGGAGATCGACGAGATCCTGTACTGGCCCGACAGAATGAGGCAGCTGGTAAACGCTACTGACGAACAGGTCGAGAAGATGAGGGCTGCTTGCTACACCTTCTTCACCAACAAAGGAGTGGATCCAGTAAACGGACTTCTCAGGGAGAACTGGGTTGAGTCTAACAGAGTCTTTGCTGAGGCTGAAAGAGAAAGGGAACGACGTGGTGAAGACTCCATGATTGGTCTCTTGTCCAACGCTTACTACGATGTCCTGGATGATGATGGTGATGGTACCGTTGATGTTGATGAACTGAAAACCATGATGAAAGCTTTCGATGTGCCCCAGGAGGCTGCTTACACCTTCTTCGAGAAGGCTGACACAGACAAAAGTGGAAAACTGGAGCGACCTGAGCTGGTGCATCTGTTCAGAAAGTTCTGGATGGAGCCCTACGATCCTCAGTGGGACGGTGTCTACGCTTACAAATATTAAACAGATTCATGGACCCAATAGACTAATATATTCTCCGATATTTACCCTCCATAGCCTTTACATTGAGCTTCTCGGCTTAACAGTCAGATATTCTTTGTAATTTCAGTTTTACAGTGATACAATGATACAGTGATATAAAGATTCGGTTTTTCATTTTTTCGTCTATGAATCAAATTACATGCAACAGATAAAATTTGTACATTCTTCTTTAAAATCTTTCTCCTGAGCATTATTCATAACATTTTTCAAATATCAATTCGAAAAAATACCATGGAGATGATTACTAAACAATCCACTATTCTAGCTAAGTGCACCAAGATGCCAGGACTCGACGAGACCAACAACGAAAGTTACAAATACCTGAGGAGCGTGGGTAACAAGAAAACAACAATTTTCAAGAAAACAACAATTTTATTTAGTATCAATTAAAGCAAACATAAATATATTTTATATATAACTAGCAGGACCTTTTTACCAGATATCTTAGGGGACTTGGAGTAGCAAGAGAATGGATAGAAGGTATATACCTAATACAAAAATACGTCAAAAAGAATCCAGGGTGATACAGGATCGGAGAGTGCAGACCGTAAAGTTTACGCACCCACCCTTGCCTCCTAAATTCTTGGTTGGGTAGGCATTTATGCGAACTTGGTCGTTTATACTCCAAGTCCCTTTGTTAAAAATTAATAAAATTTATCTCAGGAGTTAACTTCATTCAACAATAATAATATCAATATCAATTTATCACATAAATTTAACTATCGAATACAGGTTTGATTATCGAATATAGGTTCGATTATCAAATATAGGTTCGATCTGATATAAATTTGTAAAATAAAATATTTAATTATTAAAAACATTACATCAAGTGGTTAAAAATGGATCTGAAAGCTTATCAGCTTATAGTTCAATCATGATAGTAATATTAGGTGTGTGCTGCTGCATGTGCAATTTAATTACTGTAATTTAAAATTGGTTGGAGTCCAGGTATCTTTTAAGTCAGCTGCCTGTGATTGTACTAATAGTGCTTTGGTTCTCAATTTTATCAAGTTAATGGAAGTTTCTAGGCAATTGCTTGAAGTTAAAATTTTTTTATGAACTGTGTTCCAAAGCTTGGCTGCATTAAACAAAAAGGTATTTGATTTATTTAGAAGAATAACAGTTAGACTCGTTGCACGGTTTGAAATGTTGATGGCCTCATAAAGGGAGTAGGGGCAGTGGTACTTGATAATCTTAGAGAATTCTAAAATGCAGTGATATTTGTACAAGTTTTGAGCCGTTAGAATTTTTAGTCTATTAAAAATGGGTTTTGTATGCTCCTTTTCAAAGTGTTTATGGTCTAATTTTTGCATACCATACGGTCTAGTACGTGCACATGTTGATTGTTTATCTAAATATGAGTCGAGATCACCAAAAAGGATCCTTACACAGTGCTTCTGTGTGATAAAAAGACTGTCATTTGATCGTTCTTTAAGGACAACGCCCCAAACACTTATACCATAACTGAGATGTGATTCAAAGAGAGCATTATATATTTTCAAATATAGTTCACCAGGTATCGAGTGTCGAATTCTACAGATTGCACCAGTCATGGACCGAAGTTTTTTACGAATGTAGTGCATATGGGCAGCCCAGTTTAACTTACTATCTATAACAATACCTAGGAATTTGGTATCCTTGACTTTAGTAATAACCTTACCATCGATGAATATTGACCTAGACTCATCTAGCAGGTTAGCAAATGGTCTGGTCCTTGCACAGGTCTCATCATATTCAGAGGCAGGTTTAAAATGGATGTAGCAACATTTAGACATATTGATATGGAGTAGATTACATTTCATGTAAATCGACACATGTTTAAGAACTAAGTTTGCTTTTTTGTATGTTGCTTCTCTAGATGGTCCTGATATAAAGATATTAGTGTCATCAGCATAAAGTACAAATTTCACCTCACTGTCAGAAAAACAGTTCACTATATCGTTCATATACAGTAGGAAGAGTAACGGCCCTAGAATTGACCCCTGTGGTACCCCAAATTTCACATCCAATGTTTCTGATGGTACATCGTTATACATAACATACTGCTTTCTGTTAGTCAAATAGCTTTTAAGTAAGGTAAGTGCTGTGCCCCTAATACCATAGGAGTTTAATTTGCTTAGAAGAATGTTGTGGTCAAGGGTGTCGAAGGCTTTGCTTAAGTCAATGAATATTCCTAAGACATGTTTATTGCCAGCTAGAGTCTTTGTAACGGAGTCTATAGATTTGTGTAGAGCATGAGTGGTGGAATGACCTTTTCTAAATCCAAACTGTGAGTCTGTCAGTAACTGTGAGTCTGTCAGTAACGACTGGCAGTTCAACGTAGAGGATCTCCACCCCAAGATGGTCTCCCGACTCTACAAGAGGTTCGACACCTTCGATCTGGACTGTGACGGCAAAATGGAGATCGACGAGATCCTGTACTGGCCCGACAGAATGAGGCAGCTGGTAAACGCTACTGACGAACAGGTCGAGAAGATGAGGGCTGCTTGCTACACCTTCTTCACCAACAAAGGAGTGGATCCAGTAAACGGACTTCTCAGGGAGAACTGGGTTGAGTCTAACAGAGTCTTTGCTGAGGCTGAAAGAGAAAGGGAACGACGTGGTGAAGACTCCATGATTGGTCTCTTGTCCAACGCTTACTACGATGTCCTGGATGATGATGGTGATGGTACCGTTGATGTTGATGAACTGAAAACCATGATGAAAGCTTTCGATGTGCCCCAGGAGGCTGCTTACACCTTCTTCGAGAAGGCTGACACAGACAAGAGTGGAAAACTGGAGCGACCTGAGCTGGTGCATCTGTTCAGAAAGTTCTGGATGGAGCCCTACGATCCTCAGTGGGACGGTGTCTACGCTTACAAATACTAAACAGATTCATGGACCCAATAGACTAATATATTCTCCGATATTTACCCACCATAGCCTTTACATTGAGCTTCTCGGCTTAACAGTCAGATATTCTTTGTAATTTCAGTTTTACAGTGATACAATGATACAGTGATATAAAGATTCGGTTTTTCATTTTTTCGTCTATGAATCAAATTACATGCAACAGATAAAATTTGTACATTCTTCTTTAAAATCTTTCTCCTGAGCATTATTCATAACATTTTTCAAATATCAATTCGAAAAAATACCATGGAGATGATTACTAAACAATCCACTATTCTAGCTAAGTGCACCAAGATGCCAGGACTCGACGAGACCAACAACGAGAGTTACAAATACCTGAGGAGCGTGGGTAACGACTGGCAGTTCAACGTAGAGGATCTCCACCCCAAGATGGTCTCCCGACTCTACAAGAGGTTCGACACCTTCGATCTGGACTGTGACGGCAAAATGGAGATCGACGAGATCCTGTACTGGCCCGACAGAATGAGGCAGCTGGTAAACGCTACTGACGAACAGGTCGAGAAGATGAGGGCTGCTTGCTACACCTTCTTCACCAACAAAGGAGTGGATCCAGTAAACGGACTTCTCAGGGAGAACTGGGTTGAGTCTAACAGAGTCTTTGCTGAGGCTGAAAGAGAAAGGGAACGACGTGGTGAAGACTCCATGATTGGTCTCTTGTCCAACGCTTACTACGATGTCCTGGATGATGATGGTGATGGTACCGTTGATGTTGATGAACTGAAAACCATGATGAAAGCTTTCGATGTGCCCCAGGAGGCTGCTTACACCTTCTTCGAGAAGGCTGACACAGACAAGAGTGGAAAACTGGAGCGACCTGAGCTGGTGCATCTGTTCAGAAAGTTCTGGATGGAGCCCTACGATCCTCAGTGGGACGGTGTCTACGCTTACAAATATTAAACAGATTCATGGACTCAATAGACTAATATATTCTCCGATATTTACCCTCCATAGCCTTTACATTGAGCTTCTCGGCTTAACAGTCAGATATTCTTTGTAATTTCAGTTTTACAGTGATACAATGATACAGTGATATAAAGATTCGGTTTTTCATTTTTTCGTCTATGAATCAAATTACATGCAACAGATAAAATTTGTACATTCTTCTTTAAAATCTTTCTCCTGAGCATTATTCATACCATTTTTCAAATATCAATTCGAAAAAATACCATGGAGATGATTACTAAACAATCCACTATTCTAGCTAAGTGCACCAAGATGCCAGGACTCGACGAGACCAACAACGAGAGTTACAAATACCTGAGGAGCGTGGGTAACGACTGGCAGTTCAACGTAGAGGATCTCCACCCCAAGATGGTCTCCCGACTCTACAAGAGGTTCGACACCTTCGATCTGGACTGTGACGGCAAAATGAAGATCGACGAGATCCTGTACTGGCCCGACAGAATGAGGCAGCTGGTAAACGCTACTGACGAACAGGTCGAGAAGATGAGGGCTGCTTGCTACACCTTCTTCACCAACAAAGGAGTGGATCCAGTAAACGGACTTCTCAGGGAGAACTGGGTTGAGTCTAACAGAGTCTTTGCTGAGGCTGAAAGAGAAAGGGAACGACGTGGTGAAGACTCCATGATTGGTCTCTTGTCCAACGCTTACTACGATGTCCTGGATGATGATGGTGATGGTACCGTTGATGTTGATGAACTGAAAACCATGATGAAAGCTTTCGATGTGCCCCAGGAGGCTGCTTACACCTTCTTCGAGAAGGCTGACACAGACAAAAGTGGAAAACTGGAGCGACCTGAGCTGGTGCATCTGTTCAGAAAGTTCTGGATGGAGCCCTACGATCCTCAGTGGGACGGTGTCTACGCTTACAAATACTAAACAGATTCATGGACCCAATAGACTAATCTATTCTCCGATATTTACCCACCATAGCCTTTACATTGAGCTTCTCGGCTTAACAGTCAGATATTCTTTGTAATTTCAGTTTTCAGTGATACAATGATACAGTGATATAAAGATTCGGTTTTTCATTTTTTCGTCTATGATTCAAATTACATGCAACAGATAAAATTTGATCATTCTTCTTTAAAATCTTTCTCCTCATTATTCATAACATTTTTCAAATATCAATTCGAAAAAATACCATTGAGATGATTACTAAACAGTCCACTATTCTAGCTAAGTGCACCAAGATGCCAGGACTCGACGAGACCAACAACGAGAGTTACAAATACCTGAGGAGCGTGGGTAACGACTGGCAGTTCAACGTAGAGGATCTCCACCCCAAGATGGTCTCCCGACTCTACAAGAGGTTCGACACCTTCGATCTGGACTGTGACGGCAAAATGGAGATCGACGAGATCCTGTACTGGCCCGACAGAATGAGGCAGCTGGTAAACGCTACTGACGAACAGGTCGAGAAGATGAGGGCTGCTTGCTACACCTTCTTCACCAACAAAGGAGTGGATCCAGTAAACGGACTTCTCAGGGAGAACTGGGTTGAGTCTAACAGAGTCTTTGCTGAGGCTGAAAGAGAAAGGGAACGACGTGGTGAAGCCTCCATGATTGGTCTCTTGTCCAACGCTTACTACGATGTCCTGGATGATGATGGTGATGGTACCGTTGATGTTGATGAACTGAAAACCATGATGAAAGCTTTCGATGTGCCCCAGGAGGCTGCTTACACCTTCTTCGAGAAGGCTGACACAGACAAAAGTGGAAAACTGGAGCGACCTGAGCTGGTGCATCTGTTCAGAAAGTTCTGGATGGAGCCCTACGATCCTCAGTGGGACGGTGTCTACGCTTACAAATACTGATCATCAAACATAAATGAGTTAATTCACCTTTGGACATGTACATTCAGTTTCACTTTGACTTTCACGGTTTTCACTTTTGAATCCTGATTTTTGTGATATGAATATGGAGTCCTTATTCATATCTCGAAAATCAGGTTTTGGACTATGGTTTTGCAAATTATAAATTATATTTGTTTTTGAGATTTGATTGTCATTTTGCTGATCATAAATATCTTGAAAAGTTCAACCAATTTTCCTCGAAAATGAAGCATTTTCCATTCTATTATACAGATAATTTGACAATATCAATAATCTTAGATTTAATAATTATAGTTAGCACCATAATAATATCAGTATTTCTGCTGAAATACTCCACATACCTTAATAAACATGGCCTTCTTGAGCAGTTCATATTGTTCGAGTAGTTCTTCTTCCGCTCTCACCCCATCATACCTCAGTCTCCAGTCATTCCTCTGGCAAAGGGTTAAAATTGGTTAGAATGAGAACTTTTATGAACTAATATATTATACAGTAAGGATTCTATTGCAGTAAAAGTGTATTATAATTACATTATAACAAATACAATGTATTATAATTGCATTCAAAGTATAATAAGGTGTAATATTATATACTAACTTTGTTGTGTATTATATAACGGTTAAAGTATAATGAATATAACAAATACCAGTTGTCGGATGTATGCTAGAGCGTCCTCCAACTCATCCTGGCTGGATGAGAGAAGCTTTATGTGATCTTCCTCATCTAGGTCAGAGAAGAGGAGGAATTGCAGGTACACCTGAGTGACAGTGTGTTATCATTTAGTTGTCATGGTAACGGTGTACTATAATTCAGGTTAGATTGTGATTACAGCTCTGTTTCTTTTAGATTAGGGTGCCCTACAGAAAGAGAATAGAACAATATTGTTAAGTTTTGTCATGCTCATCAAGTTTTGTATTTTCGTAATAACGTAGTAACGTGGCTTAGAATATAATGTGTAAAAATCTCAACTGACCATAAAGTTAGGAGCTGTAACGTTTCTAAATCATATCAAAAATCAAACTTTTGGAAAAACAATCAAAAATCGGCAAGTTTCCATAAACGATATTTTATGATCGTCGCCGATAATCGCTTATTGAGCGCTTTTTCGGCGTTTTTTTAAATAAAACCGTTTACAATCGCTTTTTTTACGATTATAAACAGTTCAAAAAAAATCGCTTATAATCGACTATAATTGATGTCATAATTCAAAAAAGCGCTTTTTTGAATTTAAAAGCGCTTATAAGCGCTTTTAAGCGCTTACTAGCGTCGCTGAGCGATTTGAAAGCGGTTTTCCAGTAGGATTGGCGCCAAAAACGGGTGGATAAGCGGTTGGCTGGATAAGCGATTCGTAGGCGCTTTTTTGAACCATTTATAAGCGATTATAAGCGCTTATAAGTGGGGTGCAATTTAGCTGTTTGTAAAGCGCAAACAAAGCGCTTATAAGCGCTTTTAAAATTGAGTCAGGAAAACGCTATATTACATCTTATAACCGCTTATAATCGATTATAATCGCTTTTTTAGAAATCGCTTATAACGGCTAATTCATCGCTATTTTACCGCTTTTACCGCTTTTCCTATCATCCATGGCCAGGTGAGCAGGAATTAAAAAGCGCTTATAAGCGCTTTTTCGATGCTGCCCCTAACCTGGTCGGAACGGGGTAGTGCCTGGAATTTAAAAGCTTTTATAAGCGCTTTTTCAATGCTGCCCCTTACCTGGTCGGAACGGGGGAGTGCCCGGAATTAAAAAGCGCTTATAAGCGATTTCTCAATTCCCCTTTGGCTTTACCTGGTCGGAACTGGAAATCAGAGTGCCCGCTTATAAGTGCTTTTCTGTGCAACCTGGGCCTGGGGTGCACCGGCAGAGTCAGATCAGGATTTAAAAGCGCTTATAGGCGCTTATGATCGCTTTTCTACCGCTTTTCCTATCACCCATGGCCTGGTTGGCAGGAATTAGAAAGCGCTTATAAGCACTTTTTCAATGCTGCACCTAACCCGGTCGGAACGGGGGAGTGCCCGGAATTAAAAAGCGCTTATAAGCGCTTTCTCAATGCCCCTTAAGGCCACAGGGGGGGGGGGGTCCGAGGTCGATTTTGCGATTTTGAGATATGTTGTAGAGCTCGATCTAAATTTTCAAATGCTTTTGTCCTTACCGAAAACAAAGTTTCCTATTTGAAGATATCGCGCGTTGAATTTTGAGGTTTACCTGTAATTCTATTGTAAATGAAAACTTTAAATGAAATCGTGTTCAAAATCTATCTTCTTTTTCAGTTTATGACTTAGAACCTTGTAACTTGGCAACAATGTTCTTCAAGGTATTTTGAGTTTTTGTTATGTAACGATTTATGATATCTTGCTCCAAAGCTGAGATATGAGGTTAACCATGAGTGCGGGTTAAAAAATTTAAAATGGTTAACCTCATAAAAAGAGTTAGGAGCAAAATTACAACGATCGTTACATAACAAACTTTTAAATTTATGTCAGGAACATAAGTTCCAAATTTGAGGTGAAATGGATAAAAACTCTAGGAGAAGATAGATTTTGAAGTCAAAAATTCGAGGTTTTCAGGAGAGGCAAAAAACTGTTTTTTATGTTATGTGATTTTTGAGAATTTTGCCTTTATTTGTATATTTTTCAAAGTTTAACTGCTGAAATTACACAAAAACAATAAAAACAAAGCTTATCGTAGTTTTCAGTTGTAATGGCATCAATATTTCTGCCCTCCATTATCGATTTATCAAAAAAATGAGGTTAAATGAGAATTGGTTAACCTCATTTATAAAAAAAAGTAAAATAGCTACAGACAAATGAGTGGTGGCAAAGTATCCACCACAAAAATATATATTGATTCAAAGCATAATGTTTTTTTGCATTTTTTGAGGCCTCGACCCCCCCCTGTGGCCTTAACCTGGTAAAAGTCGCGTAATTTGACCAAATTCGGTGATTTTTGTCGTATTATTTCGGACACTTTCCTTGTAAGTCTATTAGTAAGCTCAACAATTTTTGTTGCAATCGGAGGTCGGGAAGGATACTCAATAACTTTTTGTTTGAAGAAAATTGTGCTGGCCGAAATTAGCGCTAAAAACCATACTACTATACAGTCGGCACGCGCGGCTCACTGTCGATGGCGGACTACCTATCTGGATAGAGCAACGGCAGCACGTGACTAAAAGTAAAACGGTTTTTGCCCATGTAACTCTCCAGGGAAGTATTTTTACCCTACTTCATGGCGGGTGATTCGGGATCAGCGTCCAAAAAATACACCGATTCAGATCAATATCATACCCAAAGGCCTTTTCACAAGAATTTTCTTAAAATTTGGGCGAGCGATTTAGTAGAAGCGCTTGTTACCTCATCAATTTTATCGAAATCGAACGATGCAGTACAAAGATATTCCGTTTTAAACTTCATGGTAATATTGAAGTAGAAAAAAGTTCGTCGCTTGCTATTAAAACATGTGCTCCTTCATAAATAGTATCATTATCGTGATCAAACCTCTTATTTATGGGCCTGCCAGTCTCTTCTGAAGCACGAATGAACTTAATTTCTACTGTCCGAGAAAAGTTCAGAATTTTCTCTAAACACCCATTTTTGAATTTTGTAAATCGGTGGTCCGGAAGTGGAGTTATGGTTTAATGAAAATTGTTAGTTTAACGCTGTTTGTATTGTCATTATCAGAAGTGACGAAAACATATGTCACCCCACTGTATCTAATAACCAGATTTTACAAGCTATCTCAGCACGCGCGCGGCTTTTCTAGCGTATACATTACTTTTTTTCCTATTGGTACTCAGCGTGCTTGACCATTGACGGATGTTACTCGTCTAAATTTCTTCGAAGTAGCGCGCGCCGCTTTCTTCTCGAAATATCACTTGCCCGATGGCAAGTGCTACGAAGTAGCGCGCGCCGGGCCAGATCATTAACAATGGTCAATCAGCGTGCACGTGTTTTTTATGTCCACGATTTGCGATTGATTATGAACAAGTACTTAAATCATAAATGCTGGTCACGCACACACTAACTTTCAATGAGCACCGCACTTTTTTCAGACGTCGTGATTCGCTCAGCCCGACTAGAGATTCCTTGGAATAACATGAACAGGCCTGTCATACTCGTTGACAGACTGAGCGTGGCCCAGCGCAATAATTTAATTTCATATACTATACTTTTCTTTTGCAAGTTCTGAATGTGAAGTGTGTATGACTGATGACGCAGCGGGCATCGACCGCCACCGTACCAGGACAACCGCCACCATTAACAACATATAAATAAACGCTTGCAAGCGCTTAACAATTTCTGACAATTATTGTCGGAGAACTTTGCCGCGCCGTGCACTTAGCCTTTTTGCTTGGCTTCTAGATCGCCAGTCAAACAACTATGTTTAAATCCATGTTGATAAATGATAGATAAAGCGGTAAAAACCAGTAATAAAAAGTGATTGTAATCGCTTATAACCGCTTTTCAAATCCTGACTCCCGCCAGTGCATGACAGGTTTAGGGGCATCGAGAAAAGCGCTTATAAGCGCATTTAAATTCCGTGCACTCCAGGTGAACGGATGTTCAGATTTGTGCTTATAATTGTAAGTTTATAACTTACCAGGACGCACGCCGAGTTGGACTCAACGTAATATCTGAAACAAATATTTTACGAGTATCGCCCGTTAAGCTTATAAGCGCTTTCTAATTCCTGGCACTCTCCCTTGTAAGCGCTTTCTAATTTCGGGTACTCCCCGTTCCGACCAGGTTAGGGGCAGCATTGAAAAAGCGCTTATAAGCGCTTTCTAATTCCTGCCAACCAGCCCATGGGTGATGGGAAAAGCGGTAGATAAGCGATCATAAGCGCCTATAAGCGCTTGTAAATCCTGACTCTGCCGGTGCACCCCAGGTTGCACAGAAAAGCACTTATAAGCGGGCACTCTGATTTCCAGTTCCGACCAGGTTAAGGGGAATTCAGAAATCGCTTATAAGCGCTTATTAATTCCAGGCACTCCCCCGTTCCGACCAGGTTAGGGGCAGCATTGAAAAAGCGCTTATAAATGCTTTATAATTCTTGCCAACCAGGCCATGGGTGATGGGAAAAGCGGCAGAAAAGCGATCATAAGCGCCTATAAGCGCTTTTAAATCCTGACTCTGCCGGTGCACCCCAGGTTGCACAGAAAAGCACTTATAAGCGGGCACTCTGATTTCCAGTTCCGACCAGGTTAAGGGGAATTGAGAAATCGCTTATAAGCGCTTATTAATTCCAGGCACTCTCCAGTTCCGACCAGGTAAGGGGCAGCATTGAAAAAGCGCTTATAAGCGCTTTTAAATTCCGGGCACTACCCCGTTCCGACCAGGTTAGGGGCAGCATCGAAAAAGCGCTTATAAGCGCTTTTTAATTCCTGCTCGCCTGGCCATGGATGATAGGAAAAGCGGTAAAAGCGGTAAAATAGCGATGAATTAGCCGTTATAAGCGATTTCTAAAAAAGCGATTATAATCGATTATAAGCGGTTATAAGATGTAATATAGCGTTTTCCTGACTCAATTTTAAAAGCGCTTATAAGCGCTTTGTTTGCGCTTTACAAACAGCTAAATTGCACCCCACTTATAAGCGCTTATAATCGCTTATAAATGGTTCAAAAAAGCGCCTACGAATCGCTTATCCGGCCAACCGCTTATCCACCCGTTTTTGGCGCCAATCCTACTGGAAAACCGCTTTCAAATCGACCAGGTTACTGTTAGGGCCTAGGGGCAGCATTGAAAAAGTGCTTATAAGCACTTTTTAATTGCTTATAAGCACTTTCTAATTCCTGCCAACCAGGCCATGGGTGATGGGAAAAGCGGTAGAAAAGCGATCATAAGCGCCTATAAGCGCTTTTAAATCCTGACTCTGCCGGTGCACCCCAGATTGCACAGAAAAGCACTTATAAGCGGGCACTCTGATTTCCAGTTCCGACCAGGTTAAGGGTAATTGAGAAATCGCTTATAAGCGCTTTTTAATTCCGGGCACTCCCCCGTTCCGACCGGGTTAGGTGCAGCATTGAAAAAGTGCTTATAAGCGCTTTCTAATTCCTGCCAACCAGGCCATGGGTGATAGGAAAAGCGGTAGAAAAGCGATCATAAGCGCCTATAAGCGCTTTTAAATCCTGATCTGACTCTGCCGGTGCACCCCAGGCCCAGGTTGCACAGAAAAGCACTTATAAGCGGGCACTCTGATTTCCAGTTCCGACCAGGTAAAGCCAAAGGGGAATTGAGAAATCGCTTATAAGCGCTTTTTAATTCCGGGCACTCCCCCGTTCCGACCAGGTAAGGGGCAGCATTGAAAAAGCGCTTATAAGCGCTTTTAAATTCCGGGCACTCCCCCGTTCCGACCAGGTAAGGGGCAGCATTGAAAAAGCGCTTATAAGCGCTTTTAAATTCCGGGCACTCCCCCGTTCCGACCAGGTAAGGGGCAGCATTGAAAAAGCGCTTATAAGCGCTTTTAAATTCCGGGCACTACCCCGTTCCGACCAGGTAAGGGGCAGCATTGAAAAAGCGCTTATAAGCGCTTTTAAATTCCGGGCACTACCCCGTTCCGACCAGGTTAGGGGCAGCATCGAAAAAGCGCTTATAAGCGCTTTTTAATTCCTGCTCACCTGGCCATGGATGATAGGAAAAGCGGTAAAAGCGGTAAAATAGCGATGAATTAGCCGTTATAAGCGATTTCTAAAAAAGCGATTATAATCGATTATAAGCGGTTATAAGATGTAATATAGCGTTTTCCTGACTCAATTTTAAAAGCGCTTATAAGCGCTTTGTTTGCGCTTTACAAACAGCTAAATTGCACCCCACTTATAAGCGCTTATAATCGCTTATAAATGGTTCAAAAAAGCGCCTACGAATCGCTTATCCGGCCAACCGCTTATCCACCCGTTTTTGGCGCCAATCCTACTGGAAAACCGCTTTCAAATCGCTCAGCGACGCTAGTAAGCGCTTAAAAGCGCTTATAAGCGCTTTTAAATTCAAAAAAGCGCTTTTTTGAATTATGACATCAATTATAGTCGATTATAAGCGATTTTTTTTGAACCGTTTATAATCGTAAAAAAAGCGATTGTAAACGGTTTTATTTAAAAAAAGCGCCGAAAAAGCGCTCAATAAGCGATTATCGGCGACGATCATAAAATATCGTTTATGGAAACTTGCCCAAAAATCATAATCAAAGATAGAAGGATTGTAATAATATTTTTAATATTTTGTCTTATCAAAAATTTAAAATTTTGATATTTTTGATCAAAACCCACAATCTAAGAAGGATTGTAGTATAGACTCCTTATATGGGCATGACACGTAAAGGATTGTAATTTACTCACACACTGGGCTTCATGTACGCGGTGTAACAACACAAGACAGTGTCTGAGCGTGTTCTGGGAGGATGTGAGAGATAGGACAGGAGGGAGGGATAGTGGGGTGAGGGGTAGTCCTGTTAAACTGTGTGATGTTAATTCGGTGTAATAATATCTAAAAAGTACGTTAACTTACAATGTGTTGATTCAAGCCCTTGTTTTTAAATTAAATAATGTACTGATAATTTAGAGGATACCTAGTAATAACACATTATATTTCATTTGATTTGCAAAATGTTCACTTACACACAATATATTCCTAAAGTAACTAAATATTTCCCTGCTAAGTTACTTAGAGAACTACTTAGAGGTCGTCAGAGAGCGTACATCTCTCAACCATACCACAGAACAGACACTATGATAGCTACTAGCTACCGTAGTAAATCTAGTACCGTTACCAAGACAACTGATTCTATCTCTAAACACTAGCAGAGTATGTACCTGTCGTAGTCGTCATCAAATATGATTCTGGTAACTCTATACCTTGCTAGATCGTACCACCTGTCGTAATCCTCGAATAACCTGAGATAGTAATACATCAGCTGTAGATTGAATATATGATTAAACTTCTAATATTCTAGTTTTAAACTAATTACAACACTACAAATCTATTACATTTATTGAGAATTATGTAATGTAACGTGATGGAAATATTTTAAACGGGCATATCCTGTCCAAACCTAGGATGCACTACATGAAGAATTCGTTGTAACTTTGTTTGAAAAGCATTAATACTGGTAATTGACCAAGAGGTTTTTCAGGGTATCACGAATATTTAAAACTTCAGGTGAAAATCGACCTTAGTTTCTCCTACCACAGAAGATGAAGATGAATATTTGTTAAGTTAAGGAGTAATTTAATTTTATGATTACTAATTAAGTTATTAGTATTCCTAAAAAATCCATGAAATAGGGCTTAACATGTGTATTGTGTAATTTATACAAACAAAACCCCGATTTACCGCGAACCCCGATTTACTGCGGATATTTCCTTTCCCCCAAACTCCGCGGTAAATCGGGGTTTTACTGTATCATAGTATTCTATTAAACAATATACAATATTATTTATAACTATAATATATAGGTGGTATATAGTACATACCACCTATCATACTACCATACCAACTTCTCATGTTCCAATGAGTGACTGGAGAGTGGAGATGTAGGTAATTATTCCATATATGGTATAATTACCCCCAGGTAACGCTCTACAGCTCCTCTCCTAGTCTGACTGTAGAACTTTTTAATACACTCGAGCTGTGTGTTATTTGCTGCTGTTGTGCGTTATTTAGTTGCAGTATTTAGTTTATTTAAATTATTTAGGTTATTTAGGTACCGTACTTAGTTTATTTGAGTTATTTAAGTTATTTAAGTTGCTTAAGTTATTGAGTTGCCGTATTTAGTTTATTTAAGTTTTTTCAGTTATTTAAGTCCTTTAAATCATTTAGTTACCGTATTTAGTTTATTTGAGTTATTTAAGTTATTTAAGTTATTTAGTTCTGAGTTAAGTTGCTCTTTTTATCGTGTGGTTTAGTTATAAGCTACTCGATTCATTTGTTTGATACAAGTTTAAAGTGCTAGTTAACTTAAAAAGTAAAGCCTTATTGTATAGCCATCCCATGGGTATGTTTCATGTTGCTACTATTATAGCGACTATCCTTATTCCTTACGTGTATTGTGTATATGTAGGTTATTCTTTTGTCACCAATAATTCGACACAAGTAAATATTCCCATATAACTATATATGATGTACATAATGTTATCATGTTATTGTGTAACCAATGCAGACGGGCATTATATGCTATGTTATTGATTCTAGGGCAAAATTTTTAGTGTTCCCGTTTGTTGCGACAAAGGTCAGTACGCATACGTTGGTTCTCATAGCCATCTTTTATATTTGAGACTTATGACTTTGCAGATGAAATTATGGTGTAACTCCTCATACTAAGGTACAGTTTCTTTGACACGATCTCAAAGTACCCGTCTTGGAGAATTTTAGCAGGTAACTTTATCGATCTTTTTGACAGTTTTGAATTGCTAGCCCGACATCTCGCCAAGTGAACAGCAGTGGTCTAGACGTATCAGTTGACTGACCTGGACTGCAGAGGGCACGGCTCTAGAACATATTTAGCCGAGCTCATTCGTATCTGAGCTGGATCATTGAACTTGACATTATTTCTAAGAGCTGAGGTAATTCAGCCTGAACATACCGGCGAAGAATTATCCGGGCGATTTAATAATAAATCTCGTTGGCTCTAAGATGCCAATCTAAGATGCTAACATGTTGGAACTGAAACAACATGGTCGGTAACACGACTCCAGTCCGACAGCACTATTTTCTTGTGTTTGAAGTGATATCTAAAATTTGGCACATAGAACTTCACCCAAACTTGTACAGATTATTCGTCTTAAAGCTATCTTACTATCTGGGAAGTTTCAAGAAAACCTATTTTCGGAGTCGGACAGGAGTCGCCCAATCAACATGGTCGCCTCCAGGATAGAATTACTAACAACTAATTCATGATTTCCCGTAGGAGTGAGCTTAAAAGCTTTTTCCTAAATTGAAATAACTGTTTTCTCCTCTGTGGTCTGCAATACACTGGTAAAGCTCAATACTCACTACACATCACACACCACCTCATACATATTATATAGGACTGCCGCGCCGGATCCCAGTTCAGTTTGTTACGGAGTTGTATATTAACAGGAAACGATGTAACAGAGTCGATATATTTTAATGTTGCCATAGGGTGGCTAGTCCCCATACATCGTAGTCCGATAGTTTCACTGCATCTAAATATATACAAAGGTTATAGTGCTTTAAGCTATTAATTATAAGTGTCCTATCGTTCGTGTGTCTGCAGATTTACAAAAGTAAAATGAACGACTGTTATGTTTTTGGAAATTTGATATTGAGCTGTACTAAGCTACTGACATTACTATTCTATTAATGTTATTAGGGTGTATTGTTATGCAGTATGTTGGATTATTAGGCTGTATTTCGTGCATAGTGTACAAGTTTTGTTGCTCAGTATTACGATTGTGGCCCTCGAGGCAGTGGCTCACGCTCTGTTGATTGTCAAGTAGTTTGTAGATTGTTTGTAGATTATAGTTTGTAGATTGTTTGTAGATTGTAGATTATTATTGTTTATATCATTTAGATTTAGAGGTGATTCTTAGAACGTACCAAGGAAAGAGTGGTAGGTTTTTTAAGTAGATTGAAATATTTTATTCGTATTTCATGATACAGTAGTTTCTTAAGTGATTGCTGATATTTCCTGAATTTCCTAAATTTCTATAAACTAATTTTTAACAAACCTCTCTTCTGGAAGGGGTGACACGTGTTCAACTAGTGACACACTGAGAACACTTGGTCTGAAGGCTGTCTCAACTGTAGCTCGGTACTGTAAGGGTTAGTGGTTAAATAGGTTATCACGTGTGAAGGAGTCACGTGTGAAGGAGTCACGTGTGAAGGAGTCACGTGTGAAGGAGTCACGTGTGAAGGAGTCACGTGTGAAGCAGTCACATGTGGGTTATTGTTTAAAATAAGTCCCTCACCCCTTGTCAAACTATGCCTCACAAATTCGTATTCTGCCTCTGCCCTCTTGTCGAAGTGGAATCAAACGCTTTAGTAACTTTGTACGGATCTCATATTTTAAGTGCTCCCCAGCTCTGCACGTGACTACTTTGCACGTGACTACTTGGCACGTGACTGTTTTGCACGTGCAAGATGAGCATATTTCAGTACAATCATTGAGCTACAGTCTGAGACTGAAACATACTCAAAAATAGTCACAGACACCGGCTAAAGACAATAACCATCTGATTTAACAGCTGTTTAGTTCAACAAGTTATCAGTGTCTAGAAGTGCTTAGTACTTAGTACTTAGTACTTAGAGTCTAGAGTCTAGTGTTTAGTGCTTAGTGGTTGGGTGTTTAGTGAGTTTTCCTTAAAGCTCTATGAGGGTGGTGGTTGCAAGACGTGTTCTCTCAGCATGTTACTAATGTGGTACAGTTTCTAATTGGCTAGTTTATTGATATTTCTAACTGGTTAGTACATTGTTTATTTTATGGGAGTCTAAAGACTGGTTTCTGTCACTCGTGTTTACATATCGTTTTATAGGATTGAAGTTCTAGATAGATTAGGATTTGATAACATGATCGTATATGGTTTGTTGTAGTTTATTATTATGGTTATTAAAGACATGTTAATATGTCTGTCTCGCCGGTTGATTCATCTGGCGATTAACATTTCAATACATTAGAGTACCGGACCTAATATTGTAGGATACCGGCTGAACAGAGCTAAAGTGCCTTTATCTAACGTAACATCTCACACGTGCAAACTAAACACGTGTGGAGCAGACACGTGCAACCCAAACACGTGCGAAGCAAAGGAAAATAGCAGTCACGTGAGAGCTAAGTGAAGGTCACGCGAGTAATCCAATCATAGAAAATAGGTACTATAGTCTTATAGTGGAGTATAAAAGTGACCTGATGAAAGTAGAGCAGTGCTAGCATAGTATCTCTCTCTCTTGAGCCCCACACTCTACCCATTCCTCCTGAGAGTTGCTTCTTCAACAGCTCCAGCTCTTCTCCTAGTCTGAAATACAATAGTTGTTTATTACTTTAATTTTCTTGCTCCTGAAATATAATGATTTAAATACATTGATATTCCAGTTCCTCACTGAGCCTGAAAAAACAGTAGTTTTGATATATATCATTACTTCCGTTTTATGACTGTTACTTTACAAGCCGTCGGCTAATGGATGTTGCAAGTTAACAAAACTGCAACCCGAATAGCCCATGAAGCGTTTGCGATCGCGTTTATATTTATATTATAAATCTGGGCCAATAGAGACTTTATCATCAACCGGGCTCCAATAAAAATAAAACCACCGTTTCTTTACATCATAACTTTAATTAAAAGCCCAGTAACTCCCTCTCCATATTCTCGTCTCAAGACCAGTGTCACTATTTAAATTATAGTATTGTAAGCCTCAGTAGAATTAAATTGTCATGTGATAACCTCTGCTGACAATGCCAGGAGCCATACATACCAAATATTCTGAATACCCTAAATATGCTAAATGTGCTAAATATTCAAAATATTTAGGGTCACTATTTAGCTGATTTAGACAGACACAAAATAGTTTAGCAGTCACGTTTAGCACTGTTCCACCTTGTTTACTGTATCTAGGAGGAGTGGAGCGCATTATTATCATATAATTACAATTTCTTCCCTTTCTTACATTGAATTAAACTGGAGTCCTAGGTTACAAGGCTACTAGGTTACCAGGTTACCGGGTAACCAAGTAACCAGGTTACTAGGTTACTGGGTTAATAATTTAATAGAGTTCTACAGTCCTAGAGTCCTAAGCAATAGGTTACTAGGTTACTTTGTTGCGTGATGTTTTGTGTTTCCTGGAACTTGTGGCTTTTAATCGTACCACAGTTTCTAAACGCCCATATAGCGGTTTGTCATGCCACAAAGAGCTTGTATTTACTGTCTGTTGATTTTAAACACAGTGCCTAACTTACAGTATCATATTATGTGCTTTAAATCTAAGAGCGACAGAACTGTACACCGATTCTGAGAAAATCTCTCAATTTCCAGGAAGGATATTCTCTGCATTCGACAATTATGTTCCTACATCTTTCATCGCAATAATTTGGTTTTAGTAGTCGTGATCTCTAACACATTTCAGTGCATTTATATTACATTTATATTATATTAGAATCTCCTGTTTTAACTTGTGCTCTTATTTATCAGATGAGCGCTTGATGTGTTCATCTGAATCAACTTTTCTAGCTACATTATATATTAATATAACTACTAGCTGTACATTATATATTAATATAACTACTAGCTACATTATATATTAATATAACTACATTACATGTGCTAGCTATACACGGACCAGCTACTCATAGTCCACAATATCGAGATTAGTTAACGTATATAGGCTACCAGTTGTGTAGTGCACTTTTCTAGTGTTGTTTTCCAGTGAGAAGCACTGTTGTGCCTTCATTAGCGTATAATTAAACATCTGCTTTAAATACGTTCTGAGTTGTCCACAGCACTTAATTTAATAATACTTCTGCTTATAAACTTATAAGTGAACCGCTCTGTGGGGGTAAGACTTGATACAGTTTGGACTCTCAATATAATCCAGAAACCTAGTAAATAATAATATCCAGGTTTCTAAACTTGATCGCTGGTTCTCGTGAACAACTACCGGACTTCTTCCCTGACGATATTACTGCTATCCTATTCTCCAAGTTTGCATTTACACTCACCTTCTTTGTAGATCGTATAATATGTTTGAAGAGTTGCTCTCGTTTTCCTTTCTTTTTCGAGAATATTCCACCATTTCCCTCTCTTTTACGTAGGACTCATCCTTACCGGCCCTGTGCATCAGTTTATCAGTTGTTGTTAGCGTAGACAATGTTCAAAATGCTAAATTTGCAATGTTGTTGAAAAAGTTGTCCTTTAAATATGAGGTGTTATTGTGGGTTAGATTAAAGGATTGAACCTTTAGAATGTATATTTAAATACATTATACATTTAAATACATTATACATTGTATACATTATACATTGTATACACTATACATTATACAAAGGTTGCAATCTGGTATATGGAGGCGTATGACCAGTTCTCATTTTACCTGAATAGTTTCTGCCGATGTTTTATCATTTTATTAGCGAATATCTTAGACTCCAGCTGGTGTAGACCCATAACGTTGTAAAGCCCACCCTTTGTAGTCAACAAACCTGTGTAAACCACAGTTAAATAGTCATAGAGCAAATCATAAAGCAAGTCATACAGCTAGTATGTGTTTAATCAATAATCACTTATCAGTGGTCTGCTCACTATCAGTGTTGCGTTTCTAAAAAACTTAGAAAAGTTGAACTTTAGCAATCTCCACCTCAAAATTATTTACAACCATTAAATTTAGAGTGGTCATTACAGTTGGATGGACTTAGTTGATAGATTTGGATTCTGGCGGGGAGGTGAGACGCATTTTTTTGACACATGACAGCTATAAACCAATCAGCATCCACTATTGAGTATTGACCCAGAATCACTGTCACGTGTCAAACAATATGCCTCATCTCCCCACCAGAATCCACATCTTCAGCTCTTGAGAGATAATAGAGCTGTGGAATGTGGATGTTAAGGTATGTCAGTGTAACAAAGTTGAGGTACACTACAGTCTACATTGTTCTGCAAGTGTTTCACCTCTTGCTCTCACCTCAATACTTAGTTCTCTTGTTTCCATTTTGGACATATTAAATAGAACTTGTTTATCGTCGTGAAAAATTTCTGTTTTCATGGGAATGTTGAGCTTATTTTCGGCGTTTTATTTAACCAGAACTTTCAGAGTATAAGTAATATTCGAAAACGTAATGTTAAATACCTAATTATCCAATTTTTGATATATAATATAATTATCTAATTATTTGCCCCCGTCAACCAAGAGGTGGCAAGAGATTATTTTTAATCTCAGGGAATAGTGATCGTGTAACCAATCACCTCTCCTATTCCAATGACCATAGTGCGTGATGAAGAATCACATCCTTTTCGAGGTGCTACTATTAAGCATTGTAATCTGTCCTGGGTGACTCCAGTATAAACAGATGACATGCAACTAAACACTATGGATCTAGACAGGCAAAGGTCGATAAAAAACCGGGTGCGAGATGCTGGCAACTTCTCCTCTCTAAAAATTTTGCTGCAGAAACATCACAAAGTAACAACAAGAAACGGTGTGTGGCTCCCTCTGCAAGGACGGATGATACCAGTATGAAGGTGGCGGGGCAAAGCCTAAGGGACCCCCGTGGCCAGATGAGTGTTGGGAGAACACGTCATTGTAGCAGATTTATTTCTCCACAGATCACCCATGTGGACTCCGACTCTAATAAGAAACAGCCAGCGAATTATTCTAAAACAGGTCTTACATTTGGGACATGGAATGTATTATCTCTGACAAGTAGTTCAAGTCAGTTGTTCCAGCTATCAGAGAATATCTCTGAGTATAAGTTGGACTTGCTGGGTATAACTGAGACCCATATGCCTGGTACAGGATCAGAGCTACTGGATAATGGCTCCTTACTTATTTATTCAGGGAGGACGGACGGTATAAGAAGGCGAGGTGTCGGTCTTACCCTTTCAAAGAGGATTAAAAATTCATTAATTTCCTATCTACCAATATCTGACCGTTTGTTGAGTGCAAGGCTGCATAGTCAACACCTGAACATCTCTGTTGTTGTGGCATATGCGCCAACTGAGGGGGCTTCAGATAATGATAAGGATGAATTCTACCAGCAGTTGTCAAGTGCATTCGATGAGCTACCCCGACATGATTTAAAATTACTGCTCGGTGATCTTAATGCTAAGGTCACATCAGACTGCAGTTCTATGTCAGGTGTCATTGGTGGACACTCGCTTCACAGCTCATCAAATGACAATGGTACCCGATTGTTGGACTTTTGCATTGCCCACCAACTTACCATCGGTGGCACTATGTTTCAGCAAAAGGATATACATAAAGGTACGTGGAGATCACCTAATGGTCGTACTGTAAACCAAATAGACCATATCTGTATCAGTAAGAAGTTTGGAGGCTCTTTGCTAAATGTAAAAGTTTGTAGGGGGGCTGACATTGGGTCTGATCACTATTTGGTAAGAGCACGACTGAGAATGAAGCTTATGTCAGTGAAAAAGAAGCAGGAACGTAAGCTTGAGATTCCTGCTATTGAGCATCTGCGTGATCATTCACTTGTTTCCGAATACAATATTGTTCTGAGAAACAAATTTGACTGTTTGGAACCTGAGGTTGACCTGGAATCAATGTGGGACAACTTCAAGACAACTGTCCAACAAGTCTCCATGGAAATCCTTGGTCAAAGACCTCGAAAAAAGAAGGACAGGCACCAATCTCAGAAGACAAAAGATTTATTGAAGAACCGTAAAGAATTTAAGCGTAAAGACCCTAATTCAAACGCTAACAGGTCAGAGTATTCTAGATTGAATAAGCTCTTTAAAAAAAGTAGTAAGGTGGACGATAACAACTGGGCACTTAGAATGGCTGTTAACCTGGAAGAAGCTGCGAGAAAAGGTCAGCAACGCGAGGTATGGCAGAAGATTAATGTCATATCTGGAAAGAAGAAGAAGCAGTCAACTGCAGTTAGAGACGTATCTGGCCAGTTGATTGCCGACCCACATGCCCAGAAAGAAAGGTGGAAAGAGCACTTCTCAAGGCTATTGAACCCGCCCCCGCAAGAGGCTAATATTTCCGACCTAGACAACATCTCTCCTCAACCCAGTTTTGATGACCTTTCCGATTCGGATGAGGCTCCTACAAGAAACGAGATTGTTGATGCCCTCAAAAAACTCAAGAATCACAAAAGTCCAGGAGTGGATGGTATCACCAACGAGCAACTTAAGTATGGACAGGATGGGTTAGTTGATCAACTAGTTGTGTTGTTCAAGAAAGTGTGGGAAGATGAGAAGATTCCTGAGGATTGGTCCAAAGGTGTTATTATCATCGTTGGAAAGAAGGGTGACACCTCTCATTGCGCTAACAACAGAGGCATTACATTAAGATCCACAGCCTCGAAGCTCCTGCAGATGATACTCCTGCGAAGACTTAGCAATGGCATGGAAAAATTTCTCCGGGAGAATCAAAGTGGTTTTAGGCAGAATCGCTCATGCATTGACCAGGTTTATTCACTCCGCTGTATTATACACCAATGTATTGAGTATAATATCCCTCTGTATATTAATTTTGTTGATTTCAAAGCAGCTTTTGATTCAATTGACAGGCAGTTCATTTGGAGAAGTATGCAGCACTACGGCTTACCTGACAAGTACATTAGAATCATGAAGGCGTTCTTTACTCACACAGTTAGTGCTGTTAGGGTCAATGGAGAGGTTACAGGCTGGTTTGATGTCAACTCGGGAACTGGGCAAGGTGATATACAGGGACCACCAGTATTCAACTTCTGTCTGAATTTTTCGGCATACCTTATGGAACTGAACAAGGTCATTAGTAAGGGGGCTCTATTACAGCTGCCAGCCCCCGGGGTAGAAGAGAAACATCTCTTGGACACTGATTACGCTGATGACATGGCCATGTTAGATAACTCAAAAGAGGGGCTGCAGGAAACCACTGACCTTCTCTGCAAATACAGTGCCTATGCGGGTCTGAAGATTAATGCTGGCAAAACACAGAGCATGGCTGTCAGTAAAAGTGCATCGCAGAGGCCGTATTCTAAAGACGACACTATGGACATCAATGTGGAAGGTCTCCCAATACAGCAGGTCAGCAGCTTCACTTACTTGGGTGCTATCATCAGTGCGGATGGAACAATCGACAAAGAACTATCAGCTCGAATTCAGAAGGCCTCTGGGGCATTCTATCAGCTTAGCAGTATATGGTACAGTCGCAACATCAAGACACCGACTAAAATCAGGATCTACAAAGCGGCTGTCCTCACTATACTGCTTTATGGAAGTGAGGTATGGAATACCACACAGACGCAGATGAAAAGATTTGAGGTGTTCCATCATAGATGTCTGAGAAGAATCCTGAAAATCAAATGGTTTTATCACGTATCTAATGCTGACGTACGTAAGCGGGCCAACATCGCCCCTGTTGATACTTTCGTACGAGCAGCTAGGCTCCGATGGTTTGGCCATGTGGTGAGGATGCCAGAAGAAAGAATACCCAACTATCTTCTGCACTGGATCCCAAAGCATGGTAAAAGATCAAGAGGTAGACCTCGGAAAAACTGGCTGTCATGTGTCCGGGAGGATGCAGCAATCTTCACAGGTGTCGATAACATCACGATAGAAGATGCAGAACAACAAGCAACAAACAGGGTACATTGGAGAGGCCTAATACATCGGAGAAAGGAGTTACTATGTGGTGCAGGCCACTCCAACGACTAGGAGGAGACCTTTTCAAGTACAAGTAAGTAAGTCAACCAAATACCCAAATACCTTTCAAATTGAGGGCATGGTCACAGTACAAGAGCCTGTCCATGTTTCTCAATGTTTCCACCCTTGCCTCTAAAGTTGAGACCAGCTCTTCTTTCTCTGTCTCTGTTTTGATGAGCCACGCCTCCTCTCCTGCTTCTCTTTCTAGCGCTTGTTTCAGTGCCACCTAGTGGAGTTTTAAGTGAGGTGACAATATATTCAATGTTGCTACGGAATTGCAATGTGGCCTCAGCACTGGTCAGTTGAAGATTAAAATGAGGTAATCAAATTGGGGAAATGATAAAAAATGCGCCGATTCATCAGCACTTTCTAGTAATGCTCTATGAAGTAACGTTACTGATAACGAATAGCATAATAACAGATCATGACGGGGTGGCAAGTCCGGGTCGACAGCATTGGCCTGACATGACTGACTTTGTACAAGTGAGTAGCACGTGACTAACCTTGCAAAGGACCCTGTACTTGAGATGAAGAGCTGAGATGAACATGTCTGTAGTAACAGCTCCAGAGGTAAGTAGTTTCCTCTGGTCTCCTAACCAGCTGCTTGCATTGTCTTTGTATCTGCAGGAGTTGATAATATAGGTGGTGAAAATCAGAATTTCTAAAAAGTTGTGAATTGAATTGGATTGGATTGAATTGGATTGGATTGAATTGGAATTGGATTGGATTGGATTGGATTGGATTGGATTGGATTGTATTGGATTGTATTGGATTGGATTGGATTGGATTGAATTGAATTGAATTGAATTGAATTGAATTGAATTGAATTGAATTGAATTGAATTTAAATTGAATTGAATTGAATCGAATTGAATTGAAAACAAACAAAATTGAATTGAAAACACACAAAATTGAGCATACAAATTGTTACAATTTCACATTAATTGTCCTTCGTAGTATGACAAAATATCGAAATCTTCAATTAATTATTAAGTTAGTTAATAAATGTTACGGACATTATAATTTGACAAGCAAATGAAGTGTAGATGTCGATTGATTCTTGAAATATTGATAGTTATGGTGATAGTATGTCAATTGTGGGTAGCTTTAAACTTATTTACTGAGTCAGATATCTAGATAACACAGTAGCTTCAATCTTCATGGCTTTAAACAGCATTGCCCAGTAACCCCTCCCCTTTCTATATCTCACCCTCACCCTCACCCTCACCCTCACCCTCACCCTCACCCTCACCCTCACCCTCACCCTCACCCTCACCCTCACCCTCACCCTCACCCTCACCCTCACCCTCACCCTCACCCTCACCCTCACCCTCACCCTCACCCTCACCCTCACCCTCACCCTCACCCTCACCCTCACCCTCACCCTCACCCTCACCCTCACCCTCACCCTCACCCTCACCCTCACCCTCACCCTCACCCTCACCCTCACCCTCACCCTCACCCTCACCCTCACCTCTGTCTCCTCCTGTCTCTCTCCCGGTCTGTTTCAGTGTACTTTGCAGGTGCTGCTGGTTTCTTTAGTTCTTCAATGTAGTCCTCTACATCTTCCGTGCTATTATCACTGCTACTTGGTATGTAGTTACACACCGCATTCCTGGCAAGATAATTTCTTATTTAGAGTTCCTTGACTGAGGTATTACGTGAGGGATCTTATATGAGGGGCATTTGACATAATTTCAACCTATTCTTTCTAGGGTATACATCTTTTCATACACATTTGTAGTTGTGCAGTTTAATTTCGGAGCTTTAGACAATGGTCAATGTGTAAGAGAATTATAACAAAGAACCTTAAACGATCTTCTTTGTGTAACTTTTGGTCCTATTCTAACAAATAACAATATATTAAGTGACTTAACATTTAATTAATATTTAATTACTATAATTGTCAGTGTGCTTTGTAGCACATCTTTGCTAAATTTCAGTTCTTTGCTCCCTTTTGTAAGTTAGCTACCTTTGAAGATTAGATATTTACAATAGTCTATTATATACCCTATATAATTATAAGGTGAGTTGCTTTATCGGTTGTTATTGTTACTTATCGTTACTTATCGTTACTTATTTTCTTATCGTTACTTATCATTTCTTATTGCATCGTCTATCTATGGCTTGATTTGAGATTTAGATTGCGGCCGAGTTTTTAATTTACTACCTGAGCTCCAGGAAAGTCGCTGGTCCTGATCTGTTGCGATTCTTGGTGAATACTTCCCAGTCTTTTATACCAAAACTCTGTCCGAAGTAACTCTGAAAATTTCATTTGATATCTCAGTATTCACAAAACCTTATATAATGGAATATCAGAAATATCAACGAGCCCTCGAGACGGAAAATGTATCTGAAGAAACTACATTGTTTAAGCCATCATCGCGTAAACTCGAAGCAAAAGCCACAATAACATCTCGTTCTCATTTAAATAACAGTATCTTTAAAGTCTATTTAAATGTACAATAGAATGTGTACCTTGAAGAGAATAAATGCGTTGTCAAGGGTTACCAGTGTACTGTCACTACCATGTAGGAACCTTACATCCCATAACAACTGTCTTTGCAGCGTCTCGCGTCTCTCCAGCTCTTTTATAACCTCACCTAGTTTATCTCTGGAGCACACCCCTGAGTTTAGATATTCTCAAACACAAGGATATATTTCTGTGTTAACTAACAATATTATATTAATTCAGCACCCATTGTTTCAATGTAGTGTGGTATTTCATCTTCTGTCAGGAGCATTGTATCTTGTATTCAACATGTAGCTGTGAATTGTGTGTTTGTCATATTGCTCTGTTGTATAATTGTATAGAGTGCAGTTGTGTGTTTGTAATGTTGTCTATTGTACACGATTGCGTTAATGTCAAGATGTGACAGCAGCCATCTCACGGTGCGTCAATAAAACAGCTTTTCTCTTTGTCTTATCTTGTGAATCAGCAGTGAGCTGCAGAGCTAACCCTTCTGCAGAGCTTATCTCTTTTATTAGAATGCTAATCTAATCTTTATTAGGTACTGATGATGACCGAAAATATTCTGCCCATGTCGTAAAGATTTAATTGGAACTTTTTTAAACTCAATCTGAATACGGGAAATACTGATTATTGATCTAATCTCTTGGTAGCGTAATCCAGGTTCATTTTGATAAGCGCTGCAGTTCATGCTCTGTTATCATGCTATTCGTTATCAGTAACGTTGCTTCATAGAGCATCACTAGAAAGTGCTGATGAATCGACACATTTTTTATCATTTCCCCAATTTTATTACCTCATTTTAATCTTCAACTGATTAGTGCTGAGGGCCGAGGGCGCTTTGCAATTCGTGGATAATTATTAATTATCCAATAACTTCTAGAAAACACATACCAGATTACACGTACCAGATGTTCAGTATTTAAGAGGGTTTAGGAACATGCATACATATCATTTACTGATTTATTGTAAGAGGACTGTCGTATATCCTTCAGTTCATACTTCATCCCATTATACTTCACCCCTAGCAGCTGATTTCTCTATTTGTTATCAACACCCCTCTATAGAGCCTACTTGAGTTACAAAGCATTTATCGCTGATTTACTGTCACAGTTGTTACTGTTTTAACTCACCTGTTTTATTTGCACATATCCGACTAACAGCCTCCTCTACGTGCCAACTTTCTATCTTCTTCTCTGTTATTTTCTCGTACAACTCCTTTACAAAGCGTGTCTCGAACTCGTTGAGGGATAGAGGTAGGAAGTGTTCCACCCTCTCGGTAAGAGAGGTCATGTCACGTGGTCTGTGTCACGTGGTTCTTGTCACGTGGTTATTGTCACGTGGTTCTTGTCACGTGGTTCTTGTCACGTGGTTTGTTCTACATCGTGCTGTGATTAATGTTGTATTCAGGATTGTTTTATATCTGTGTTTTATTAAAATTAACACAGTTTTATGTTCTATTATTGTAAAACTGTTATTTAGGTACTCGTCGTGTTACAAATAATATATTTTGATTTCAACACAAAGTTATTGTAGTTTTATCGTAAAAGTAAAAGTAATTTGTTCAATTTGTAATTTTATCACAGAAATCTGAGTTAACAAACAAATGATTTATCTGTCAAATTAACCGTAACTATTAAAGACAGATCATGATGTCCGACCCGGGGAAAGATAACAACTATGGGTCAATAACAGACCCGATCCTTTCCCCTTCCCCAGCGGACGACATGACTGAGACGGAGCTCAGTGAGATGGCAGATACAGCTGCTAACACAGATCCTTTGAAAGGGAGTAATAATCTTCCTGAGGAGATGGAACTTAACAAAGTGTACGAGACTATTGGTTAGTGTTTAATATTCAACATTAGATGAATTAAATAATATGATCGATTTAATGATTCCAGGAGAGTAATTTTAGTAATTTTAGTGGCGAGATTTAAACTTGATTTTCATAAAACCTAATTGCATTCTGGAGGTACTGCGGTGAATAACAAAAGTATTTAACTATCGTTTATGATTATAAGCTCTACTCGCTTATTCCAAATAACGATATCTACTTCTCACCCCATTCACCACCTCCAGGTGTTGGTACATCACAAGGTATCTTCTGGACAATAAGTTTCCTGATAGCCTACTCTGACTATGCAGAGCTCACTCTCATTGCTCTCATTATGCCGTATTTGCGGTGCGAGTGGGACCTCACCGAAACCTTTGAAGCAACCATAACCATCACTATATTCTTTATATACGCCATCAGTAAGTGGCTGACAGTTTTATTAGTTTACTTTTTAAAGACAAACATCTTATTTACCAACTTGGATACATTCAAATCAATAGCTGCTTGACTCAGACCTTGCCTAAAATAACATTCATTATAATATTATACACATTTTCAGGTGCACTAATATTCGGGAAGGTATCTGACATATATGGCCGGAAGAGAGTCATGTCAGTGACAATAGTTATCCTAGTAATAACTGCAGTTGGAGCTGCGTTAGCTACTAACAAGTACATCTTCCTTGTGTGGAGGTCAATAGCTGGAGCCTGTATCGGAGCTAACTTTGCTACTGTAGTTGTGTACTCAACTGAGTTCTCCCCAACAAGTCACAAGTCCGTGGGACCACTGATTTCATTGATGGGCAGTTATGTGTCCATGTTTTTGGTCAATATAGTGGGTTATTTTGCCATCAACGCTCTCGGCTGGAGATGGGTGATAATAATCATCACCATACCTATAATTCCAGGATGGATATTGTTGATGATCATGCCGGAGACCCCTCGATATCTCTGTGTGAGTGGAAAAAACGAAGCAGCACTGAAAGCAGTGCGTCTCATGGCTAAACTGAACAAAGCTTCTTTGCCAGAGAACCTAGAAGTGTTCTGTCATCAGAACAAACAGTTGGGATCCTTTAAGATGATTTTAGGATCTGGTTCAGAACACAGGAAACCAGCTGTTCTCCTCAGTATCATGTACTTTTGTAACATCTTCATTGAGACAGCAGTCCTTGTGTTCCTACCCCTTGCTTTTATCTCCCAGTTCTGTGGTGGGGAAAGTGGTGCTCCCGAGAGGGACAGATGCCAGCCCCTTTCTCAGAGTGATCTCTGGAAGCTGTCTGGATCAGCTTTTGGTTCTCTTGCTGGCTGCATGGCTGCTTACTTTGTGGCTAAATGTCTGGGACGTCTCAAACCAACCAGGGGCAGCAACATACTACAAATAATCACTTTTGGATTGATGTTTAAATGCTTCAATGATACCTATCTCTTTGGGGTAGCGACAGTTATCAAAATAATCAATGCCTTCATCTGCATGATGATCTGGTTTATCATACCAGAGAGCTTCCCAACTATGATTCGCAACACCGCAACAGGAATGATTAACTCTTCTGGTAAACTTGGGGCAGTATTAGGCACAGCGATGGTGTACCTGCTCTTCTATGCTAGTCCTGTTGCTGTGGTTATCTGCTTTGTAGTTATATCTGCCATTACTTGCATTTGCAGCTTCTTGCTCACAAAGGAGACACAGGACGTGGCACTCATGGACACTTAGGCTTAAGAACTTACTTTAGCTACAAATTCTTTTAGTTGCTTCTTCGTAGTCATTTGAAACCAGCAGATACAGACCACAGTTTGAATTTGAAAAAAATATTTCTATCATTCCTTTGATGTTTCCAGATTATTCCATTATGAAACGTTAAAGCTGAATTTAAAAAGCTGATTTTTGATGCAGGTAAATTTTCGATGTAGATAAACACTTAAAGCCTGATTTGTAAATTAAATTCTTGTGAATGCTAGTTGTAATTCGTGTACATAACTTATTAAAAGAAACTTTGTGTTCATCTTGTAGCAACAATTACAGTGAGGGTAGTTTAAAATATCCTCTGAATTTATCCATATTTTTCCTCAACAAAAGCAAAAAATATGTGGATTAATTGAGAAAAGACAATTTTTAAAAGATAAACTAACTGCGAAAAAGGATTCTTTTATGTTCTAGAATCACAATCCATGATCAACAATAATGACTGTTGGATCTCACTCAATCGTTACAGACCAAAACCATCCATCACTCACTCACAAAACTGTAGACCAAATATCTATTAAAGTAGATTTTTGTAGGAATTAGGAGCTCAACAGGTACAAAACCAAACGTACATTATATTGATATTACTGCTGTTACAAAAACAAATACAAACACTATATTTCCAACCATTTAAATTTTTGAAGACAAGGAAATTTAATCCTTAACTTTTATTGTTGTTAATACCAGTGTTAATGAATAAGATAACCAAGAACTTGATCACACATTATTCCAACTAGAGCATTGCAAACCACTATAATACAAGCAACAAAACTTTCTGGCCTTTCTATATACATAACACACGTTTATGGAAGTATTTATAATACTCAAACTCAGGTACCCAACATAACTGCACCAGCATAAATTATTTGCAGATGACCTCAAGTTGATTGGTAATGCAGCTAACCACAGCAGTGTTGCTGAAGATATTGTAGAACTGGAAGTCTGGGAGAGTATTTGGCTTTTGAAGTTTAATCCTGCTAAATGTAAAGTTGTTCATATTAATCTTAATAGCAACCCTAACTTAAATTATTTAGTAAATGGCGTAGAACTTGAAGTATCTGATCAGGAAAAAGATTTGGGGGTTATTACCCATAGTTCCCTGCTTTGGAATGAACAGATAAAAGCATGTATTTCCAAGGCAAATCGTATGATTTGCTGGATTGTAAGGAATTTGATAATTAGAGAAAAATGTGTAATGATAGCCATCTATAAAGCTTTGATAAGACCTCATCTAGAGTATTGTGTCCAATTGTGGAATCCAGTTGCGGCTCATGGAAGTTGGGGGACTGTTTTGGAGCTGGAGAGCGTCCAGAGGCGGTTTACCCGTCTGATTGATGAGGTGGGTACTCTTCCTTACAGCCGTAGACTGGAAATCCTTAATTTGACAACGCTGGCAGAGCGGCGAATACGTGGGGACCTTATTGAAGCTTTTAAGGTTATTAATGGCTTGACTGATTATGGTTCAGACTTGTTCAGACCAAGCAGATCAGGTCTTAATCTGGTTTCATCCAATAGATGTAGTAAGAGTGTGACAAAGGTCAAGAATCTTCAGTGTTCTTTTCTTCCAGAGCGGGTTGTTCCTTATTGGAACAAACTCCCTTCGGAGGTGAAGAACTGCTTGACAGTTTTGAGTTTTAAAATTGGATTGGAAAGTTTTAAAAAGAATATGATTTCTAAATGTATTGTAAATGACTTTCATTTTTGGAATGTTTCGAAAGAAGTTTTAACAAGAATTGAAGGTACCAGTTATATCAGTAATAAGGAAAAACACAATGATTATCTGTGGTTCCATCCTTATGTAGCAAAGAAACGTTTTATAAATCTTTACTCCACTGGGAAGTATGAATAAATTAAATTTTGTAATGTTGTTTTTATTCATGATTAATATAATTTGATAAATTATTACCTTTAAATTTGATGGAGTGTTGTGCAATGATAGGAAGTGAAAAGTGTTATAGTATTAATGGAGTCAAGATAAGACAAGCTCCAGGGACCTGTTCTAGCTACAACATAGTCTATATATTCATTTGTAAATTATGTCCATCTCCTTTCTGCTATGTTGGACGTACCATTAGGACTCTGCATGAAAGAGTAACCGAACATAGAGCTAACTATTATAAATTATTGAAAGACCCTTCCTTAAAACTTAGTGATGATTTTATATCTGATGATAGTGACACCTATAGTTTAGCAGCTCACCTTATAGACTCACATAACCTTTCCAATAGACCTGATTTTGATGCTTCTTATAATGTTTTTTATCCTAAAGAATTCTAGTCCTAGTAATTTAGAAGTTAACGAACATCTACTTATACAAAAACTCAGAACTTTGAAACCACATGGTATTAATTCATGTGATCCTTTTGGTATGCCACTTTTATTTGAAAATAAAACTTTTGACAATGGTCCTTAAATTATTTCACCCTTAATGCAGGGACTAGTATATTTTTTTCCGACTAGTTGGGGCCTCACAACCCCCCATACCCGAGTGCTTCCCATTCCATTTTTGAGAGTTTGGCTTCTTTTTACAGCTAACATCCTTTAGTTCAATTTATAGTTTTCTGATATAATTGGAGTATTAACCCTTATCTTTATTAGGTACTGAAGATGTCCGAAAATGTTTTACCAATGATGTTATAAAGATTTTGTTGGAATTTTTAAACTCATTCGTTGTCTAACTGTGGGAACTATTGATTCTTAAATTTGATGGAGAAATAGTTATTTTTCCATGTAGTGTGATGATACTTTGTAGACATTAGTGATGATGTTATGTCATAATTTTTACTTTATTTTACTTTACTTTAGCATTATGAGTTATCATGTAGAAAGGAAGCCATTCTCATTGTATTGCTCAATTCTATCTAAAGATTTTATATGAAGACCAACTAAAATCTGGAGCACCATAGCACCAAAACTCAAGCTTCTTGACTACTTTATAAAATAAGCGTTTATAAAAACTAAGCCTGGGGTCCCCAGGTAATGCAAAGTATAATTTTTAATCCACTTTTTCTTGTTGAAGAACGTTTTAAATTACGAACACTAAGCCTAGGGTTCCAACTGTATTATTAAGCAAAGCAAGGTTTAGCCAGGGAAACACCTGGAGTGTAACCATTAAATATAGGGCAAAATGACACACTGAGCGCCGCCCCGTAACTAAATTTAGGTGATCAGCTAAAAGTTGCCGGATGTAATAAAATCAATTAAACCCACATAACATTCGTAAACAGCAAATAATTGGCCAATGTTTTAATTACCTAATCTTAGGCTTGGTCACGATCATCAATATAATATTAACTTAATATTTAAATAGCTTATACAGTAAAGTAAAGTAAAGTAAAATTTATGACATCACATCATCACACAAGTCTACAAAATATCATCGCACTATGTGAAAAAATATATAATAAATATTTCCCCACCAACATTAATTATTTATCAAATACAATATTTTAAAACATTATCGAAACATTATCCTATTTTAAAAACCTAATCAAACTTCCCAGTGGAATAAAGATTTATATAACGCTTCTTTGTCACATATGGATGAAACCAAAGATAATCGTTATGTTTCTCTTTATTACTGACATAACTGGCTGATCCCTCAATTATTACTAAAACTTCATTAGAAACATTCTAAAAAAAGCAATCATTTGTAATACTTTTAGAAATCATGTTTTTCTTAAATCCTTCTAATTTAATTTTAAAGCCTAAAACTTTCACAGAGTTCTTGACGTTCGGATGAGAAAAGACTTTTGGATATTTTTGATTTTAGTTAAACTTCTACTACATCTGTTGCTTGAAGTTGAAACAAGATTAAGACTAGATCTGCTAATTCTAAACATCCCCGATCCTCAATCAGTCAAACCACTTGTTACTTTAATTAAAAGCTTCTATGAAGTATGAGGTCCCAACGTACTCGCCGCTCTGCCAGCGTTGTCAAATTGAGGATTTCCAGTCTACAGCTGAAAGGAAAAGTACCCACCTCATTATTATATTAATCAGACGCTCTTTGGAGCCTACATTTATTTGTTTTTAGTCTTTTTTTGATAATGTACTGACCGAGCGTTCGGGTCAAAATATAATATTTCAAAAATAACTGCGCGTGCTACTTCGAAAAATTTAAACTAGTACCGTTCGTTAAATTTTTTTTACTTAAATATTAAAAGAAACTTAAAAAAGAGAGCCGCGCGCCGTTCCCTCTGCGCGGCGTCTTGCATATCCATTATAGAATAGAAGCAAACAATGAACTTTTTAAGTAAAAGGCAAAGGTCACCAGGCCATGGCAAAATTTAAAATCTAGCTGAGGTCCTCAAGGTTTTATTTAACTGTTAAAGTAACCATTAGGCTACGCATATTGTGTATTAAAAGAGTACGCACTGTACGTGCGCTTAATCATTAATTCACAAACGCCGTCGCCCGTTGTGTATATTATTGGAAAATGCGCGCTGTTGCAAGCGCACAAGCTGGCTTTGGCTACGTAATGTTTTCCTGGGGACCTCAGGCTATTATGTTCATAAACATAAATAGAGATTAGGCGGAATGACAGGCTGAGCGCGCGCGGCCCAGCAACGTTATTTAAGTTAAAGTTTTTATAATATTGATGATCACGATTTTTCGCCTCACTTGTTAGTTCACGTTTTGGGGTTGTTTGATTTTTTACCTAAGGTCGCGGCTGCAGTCAGTGATCAAAAACAATTAACACGCTCGTGGAGGTTAAAAATGGTTTGTAAACCAACGAGCAGAGCTGGGTTTGCTCTAACCAGAGCCCTCTCGCTTGCAGTAGCGCGCGACCACCGTGAAACAAGCGCATCACGCAGTACGCGTAGACACATGGCTACGTGAAGAGCTCGGTTACTTCTAATTACAATTTTGCGCAGAAAAAAAATTTCAATGATTGCGATTCGACCCCGGAAACGGCCTTACTGTTTACTGGTAGGGGCCTAACTTTGAAAATAAAAGAGATAGAAACGTCTGGCCGGTTTTCAACAAAATATTCGCCTTGTAAAAATAACTTTTCCTCCCCAGGAGGAAATTTAAAAACAACGCAGATTTTGAATTATCGCGAAAAGTTTTATTTTGGGCTTTATAAAAGTGCGCAGCTTTAACTTTGCGGATTTTTGTTATCTGATTGGCTGAATCGTATCACGTGGTACGTGGTGCAATTGCATTCTTTGAATAATTGAAGCGTGCAAATGCAATGAACTTGACATACGTTGCATGCCACTTTTCGCGCGCGAAGCGCGCGCCGCCGAAGGCGGAAAAATATAATATCTCTGATATTTGTGATACGTAACATGTATCAACAATGAGCTAACGAGCGCGCGCCGCGCGCGTGCAGAGTTCAGCAAGCTGTGAAGACGCAATCACTTGTAGTAATAGCGCCATCCAGTAAGGTCTGCTGGGGATTGAGGACTCTAAGCTTATTTTATTTTTGAAAGGAATTATTTATAATTGTAATGTTATTTGTAGCGTAATGCACTACTGGGCCCGGCTGCGCCGCGCATAAAATAATTCTTCTCGCAATTCTTCTCGGCAAAATACACCATTGGTCCATTGGGCCTTGCCGAGCTGAAAAGAATTGATATCGTGAAATGTGAATTAGTCATGTTACGCGCGTACGTTAATTGCTTATACACTAGGCACTTTGTATATATAATTAAAAGATTTTTTCGAATAACCGCGATGAATTGAATTGTTTCATTGCATTTTTTGTCTTCTTTTTAAGTTAATTAACTTTGCTTTGATTATTCGTTAATTAAATCAGCGACAAGCGCAATAACAAAGGCAAATGTATTGGAATGACGAAATATTTTAGTTTTTTACTTTTGATCTCACATGCACAAATTTATAAATAAATTGTAAATGTTAAATAAATTTAAAGTTTTCACACTAACACTATGTAAATTTAAATTAATGTTGAAACCGCTAAAAACAAATAAAGTTTAAGTAATCGCGTCGCAAATCGTGAATCGTGAATTTCTGACATCTTGAAATACTTAATATTATTGTCTGGATTGTAAATCTAAATTAAAAGTTTAATTTAATTCGTCAAGCTAAGTTTTTTTGACTTCATGCGTAATACTAGTATACTAAATTACTTAATTGAATTGAGTAACACTACAAATCTATTGTTCAAATGTTAGATTTAGGAATTTAAAAAAATTATTAGTTAAGCTTTAACACGGCACAATTTGACAATGCCTTTCTGATCACTTTCATTTATCAATTGTATTGTTTAGATCCGATAACGGATGCAGGTTTTTGCAAAAGATTGTGACCAAAAAGGGCACGTCGAGATTAAAATAATTCTGTTGCAAACGATTAACTCCAGTTTATCTGACTGCTAGCAGTTCTTGGTTTCACTGTCTAACACTTTGTTTAACACGTGAGGGATTATCTGCACGTGACTTGTTTGTTAATGGTTGATGTTCTACAGGCTGCAATCGCCTAGTAACTATCCTGCTAGCTACACGTTGTATACCTCTCTCGTGCGCGCGAAAAGAGGTTGCAACGTGTGTCAATATCTATCACCTAGCAACTAGGTTGTTCCCGGTGTAGCTGGTCAGTAAAGTGGAGTCTGCCGAGTAAAAGTGTTCTGATTCCGAGGAGTGTTGTCTACGTCACCACACGACTGTTTCTTGAATTCTGACTCTGCGATTCTCAGCCGCTCCTGTGCTAGCTCCTGCGATCTCTGCATCTGAATAAGTTCAGGTTAGAATATCAGACCATAAGTACAGTAATTTTTGTTAAGTTTTGTAATGCATAAGTTTCCACTGCTAGGTCTGATAACTTGTAAAGACACAGTTTGGAGTCCTAGCGGTAACTTAAACTAATTGTAGCTAGCTAGTGGTAGCTAGCTTGGTGTTAGTACAAGAAGAGTCCTTGTTCTTGATCTGTTGACATTCCGCCACTGTTGGACCAGCGTTATTCGTAATAAACTAATAAGGGTCCGTAAAATAGTTTAAACTTGTATAATGTCGGTTCAATATGGTGTTGATGAGGCAAAAACGAAAATTATTGCTAACTAACTTGGTTCCGTTTTTGAAGTCTATTCGTTACATCGGTGAGGATGTTTTTAAGGAAATTCAATGCTTTCTGTGCTTGTTGTAGACAGGCTACCATACCATAGTCGTACACCTGTAATAGATTATGCTCTGACAATGTGCTACAACGTGATGTAGATTTAAAACAATAGCAAATGACCCAGACACCATAGTGATTTATTTTTAAAACCACTACGTATAGGGAAATGTGTTGCGGTGAAATATTCTATTGGCTAAACTTTATAATTGGTTATAAATGGAAATCGTTTTTGTTCATTATTTACCAAGATGCTCAATTATTTGAATTAATGCTAAGAGGTAAAAATTATAGTGAATTTGAAATAGGTTTGAGAAGTGTCCAAATAATAAAAGTATAAAAATTATATTTAAATATCTAACCTAATTATACTAAATTATCTAACCTAATTAAATTTAATTATCTAACCTAATTATGATTATCTAACCTAATTATGTTTAATTATCTAACCTAATTATGATTATCTAACCTAATTATGTTTAATTATCTAACCTAATTATGTTTAATTATCTAACCTAATTATGTTTAATTATCTAACCTTAGTAACATCACTGTTCATGGGGGCAATAAATCTTTTACACAGCTCTTCAAGGCGCACCTAGAGGTTTTAGTTATTTATAACTGTACACAATTATTATTATCTACAAGCACATTACTATTAAAGTATTGTAGATAATCCTTTCTCAATTATAGATAAGCTAAGACTTGTAATAAGGCTTATGGCTATACTTTATTTACCTTGACCTCCAGGAGTCCCTCGTGAATCATTTCCTGACCCTCAGTGAGTTTACTACGCTTCCAAGTCCACTTCTTCGTACTTGCGTAATTGTACTTCGTACTGAATGAGGAACGAAATGATAAAAATAGAGTTGAGAATCAGAGAATAAACAATAATACCAGTTTAGATTTATAAATAAGTTGGAGTGACATTAACCTTATCAGTAAAGTATTGGTTGAAAGATAGAGGCGTAGGGGTTCATGGTTTAACTCTACTAAAACTGGTAAGAAGTTTCAACAACGTTTTGATGATCATTAATTAGTAATTAAATAATTAGCAAATTAATTAGTAATGAGTTAATTGATCAGTAATTAGCTGGTTAATTAGTAATTAGTTGATTAATCAGTAAATTAGTTGATTTCACCCACCTCTCATATCTATCCCAGAGACGAGCCACGTCCATTATCTCGTCTCTTAGTTTAGGGAACACATTACAGATCTGCAGGAGAGTCGCAACATCCAGAGCACACACCTTGAGATTACAGTATTAGTATAATTGGTTAATTAGAGGTCTATATTTTTATTTTATTTTTAAAATTTTTTAAAGAGAGGCTGGGCCAAGTTAGTCCACGAGAGGATAGCATTGAGATGCTCTGCCTACCTCTGGGCTGTGGCAACCCTGGGGAAGGTTGCTGGTGAAATCAGAGTGAATGGTGGAGGATTGTTTAAAAAGTGACATGAGTCAAAATGATACGCTTAAGTGCCAGCTGGGTTTGGAAAAGCTTAAAAAGAGACGAGACAGCATAATATGAGTTAATACTCTAAGTCACCCCGGTCTGATCCAGCTCTTCCGGCACAATTAAGCGTTTGGTGCGGTTTGCGAAATTGACAATCGTGGTGATGTGTTGGTTGTCGAATATGTCATTGACAGAGAGGTAGTAGTCCTGGAAATATTGACCTCTAATTTGGGCAATAGCCGGACACTGTCCAAGGAAGTGTGAGACAGTTTCCTCTCCGTCGCCGCACATAGGACAAGCACTGGTGTTTGATTTGCAAATGGTGTGAAGGTGTTTGTTTAAGCCACAGTGACCCGTGATGAGGTGAACTGCAGTTCTGTAATCTTGTCTGTTGTTGCTGAGTGTAGTGTTGAGGTTTTTGATGATGTTGGCGTGCTTGTGGCTGAGTGTCAGTTTGGTGTGTCTGGGACCATCAGCTAACCAAGTTTCCTGATTCAATCTGTTGACTTTGTTGTCGATTTTAGAGGTCTATATGTCACACTAGAAACATTCCTTGTGTTTGATAATAGAGTTTGGGGAAAATGTTACAGATCTACATTACAGATCTACGTTACAAATCTGGTGAAATAAACGTTTAACTTTTAAAATGAATTTGTACGTTAAGTGTTAATTTTTAACTTCAACAATTAATTCTAACTTGATAACATATCGTCACAGTCGCGAGTAAAAACCGCTTTTGAGCACACAACGATAAATCATATCAAAAAATGAACATCAAAATATAGAACTTAATTAAACCAGTCGTATTACCTGTAGAAAATTAATGAGATATTCATCATTCTGGAGGAAGTTATCGAGACAGTTGAGGTTGGGTCTTGATTCCCGTGGTACAGAACCCTGACGCCGGTAGTGCTCGAATAGTATCCGCGAGATGTCCTCAGGGGTGGGCGGTGTGGTTGCTGTTTGGTTCATCTGAAAAGTGGGAAATATAATTAAACGGTATGCAAGTTCGTTATCTAATAATGATTAATGGATACCGAATACTCTGTATCATGATTCATCCAGTGCATCTTATTTTATGGCACTTAATTTTAATTGAGATAAGTAATACCACACAGCGTTAATTGTTTATAATTATTTAAACCATTCTGTGTAATGAGTGTTATTGAGGTCTGGCGAGTGGGGGATAATAATTGCAATAAAAGAATAAAACTATATAAGAATTAGTCCGAATAATGCACAGTCGCTAATGAGGTGGAATTCTCGATAATTCTTTACCGGTTTACCCTATATATAATTGCTAAAAGTATATAATTACTGAAAGTATTAAATAGACGAAAAATAAAAGGTGGTGTGTTTTGGTTAACAATTCCCACTCATCAGGAGACTCCATTAAAATAGTCAATATATTTATATGACCACATGTCTGAGTAATGGTGAGCCATTATATTTACGCAGTGGATGGTGAAGCCGAGTATTTTAGACATTGTGATCTGCAATATTTTCTATGAGGGAGGTTTGTTTTCATACTGCAGACTTCTGGCAGACAAGAGCAAATGTAAAGAAATGGAACTTATTATATTGACCATGTTACTGATTATATTGTTAACGTTCAATAACAAAAAGCAGAATAAAGTTTGAAGTTGACCACGATATTCATTACTGAGATGATACAGCTTAAAACCCTGATTTATCGCAGCTTCTTCCTTTCTTCAAAATCCCGCAGTAAATCGGGGTTTTACTGTACAATTACATTGCAAATGTTTAACTATCCAGGTCCTTATTCTGCACTATCAGATTACTCCTCTAGGTAATTGTTCGGCTCAACATTACATTTACAAAAATTTACATTCAATGGGTACTTATCCTTCTTAACATCTAATAAAGTTCTGAGAGGGCCTTCATCAGTGTTTTGGTGAAATTATCATACCAAAATCATAAAAGGAAACCGTAGATGGAAAACACTACGACGGAAGATTGATAATGATAATTAGTTGTTAATTAATTAATCAAATTAACAGTTACCGGTAGAGACTCGGAGATGATGGAATTAGAATTACTGTTATCAGAAAATCTCTGTAAAGCGAGGCTGGGTGAGATTGGAGACACATCGTTACCATTGTTACCATGATTACGGGTGGGGCTGTCCTCGGTATTTTGGTGAAATGCACCGTTTTCTGTCCTGGATAGAGAAAGTGAGGTTCGTGAACTTGGTTTTTAAGGACAATAGAAACAGCCGTAAGTTAAGTAACGCCCCTAATGTTTGATGGAGGGTTCATAATAGGACTAATTTTCGTAGAAATTCTGTCGAATCACATGGAATTGAGGCCTCTACTATCTACATTAGAGTCTTCAACTTTGTAGCTCTGTAGCTGAACATGCTGAATTTGTAAACGGACACTTTCTTAAAACTATAGTTTGATCTACATTCTGACGAATTTACTCTGAGCCGGATATGCTAATTTCCAAATAAGTCTAATCGTTATAAAGATCCGCACGATATGAATCTATAGATTCTCTGATAAGTCAGATAAAAAGCAGATATAACTCACAATCTGTAGGCCTCATTTCCGTTCTGGGTGGACCTCTGTCTTTTCAGCTGTTCCAGCAGCATTGAAATTCTGTCAGGTTGTTTACTGAAGATATCTACCCAAATAGCTTGGGCTTCTGTCATAAACTGGTCGTAATTCTGCGGGAATTTGCTTATTATAAGTGATAGTTAAGAGTTTTTCTTGGAACTTTCATAAGGAAATAAATGGAGACACTTATTACTGAACTATTAAATAGAATTTAAATAATCAACTGAAGATGGTAATAATAAGAATATCTTACAGATTTGGCTCCAAGCTGCCATAGTAGGTCCACTACTTGCATATAGTTCTGGATATTTTCATCTGCTGTCGAGTCCGTCTCTGTTCTGAAATATTTGTATTAGTCTATAACTTTTATGTTACTGTGTAAGTTATAAAGTGTGTGGATTTCTTGACAATTTAGCGTTTTCAATAAAATAATTTTCACATTTGGTAAAAACTAAAGTTTCGCAGGCGTCTCAAAATTCAAAGTTGGAATTGAAGAAACAGAGATCCTATAAATCGATTGAAACTGACATATTCCGCTAAAGTTTGCCCAGTTCAAGATTTAACCCATGGGGATTCTTCATGAGAATTTATAACAACAAATTCTATCATTATATCGAAGTACTGGTAAACTACACCGACACGAATTTGATATTTTTGAAACAAAAATTGTATTGTTACGCGATCGTGATACTAAAGATAATTATTTTCCGTAAAGGCAGATATAAAATTAAGATCACTATTTCATCTAATTTAAAAAGAGATGAAATCATAATATATTATAATCACCTTAAAGTTTCCATCTTTTTCTCGTGACGTTAAACAAATAACAAACAGGAAAACTTCTTTAACAAAACTTGTTTAACTTAGAATGGGATAGGACAAAATTAAGAAATTATCGCACAAAAATGAAGAAATGCTTCCCGGTTAGTAAGCAAATATTTGAGTATAATACCGTCTAATCAAAATAACTACAGCCCTGCCCAGTTACAAATTAAACCAAAGAATTTGCTCCCTCAATCAACAGGGCGCCGTTAATCTTAGCCCAATATATATTTCTTCAATTCCCTCATTGAATACATATCAACTTTGAAATTGTTGTGCTATTGTTGTACTCGTAAAGTGCTGGCTATTGTTTACCGGAGAAATCTTTGGTACATAAAATTATAACTAAAATTAAACATTGTGTTTTCATTAATGATCTATATTCTTAAGGATCCAGATGGAGCCACAAGCAGAGGAAAAATGCAAATAGTGGTTGCTATAGCAATAGAATTCCATCGGCGAAATAACGCGTGCCATGAGTCACAAAGATATGAGACGACATCACGCCGTCTTGCTCGCCGTTTGATAAAATACACGGTGGATATGATCACGTGATAAAAGTATAACACAGACACTATGGTAGGGTAGACGATTAACTGTTCAGTGGGTAGAGTGTACCTACCCTGTAGGGGCTGTAATTACAGGGGGTTTGTTAATATAAAGTCCAGGAGGGCTCCTCCTCCACTATTTTAGTTATACACTACAGTAATCAGCAGCAGATAAGTTAGTTAATTGCTTCTTTGTGTGGTGGGAGTAAGGGTAGAGAAATAATAACGCCCCGGGAAGTATAACACTTCATAAATATAACGCAATATTACGTGCCGACTACCCGTGATCAAATGCTCTAAATTCCATTTTATATCAAATTTTAATTTAATTTGTATCACATTAAAATCGCCATCTTGGCGGATAGATCAAAGTTGGTTACGGAAGTTGAACAATCAACATTCTTTACGTCTTGAAAGCAAAGAAAACTGTCTAAATTTTCCGTAAAAAAAGCTTTGTGAATCAAATCCAAGTAGTGACCAGAAATCACGTTTGTAGCAGACAAACTTAGCTTTTCAAATGTTTCCTTGCGTTCAAATAGGCAAAAAATCGTTCAAACAGGGGATACAGATCTTTATTGCTAATAATAAGCTGTTATTCATAGTAATACAAGTGTAAAGGAACTATTAAAAAAGGCCTCACCTCACTATTTCTGATTGTAATTGGGTCTGCGCCATCTGTATCAGCTGTTCAAACCTAACTGAAAAGTGAAAGTGTTAATTTTACGATGATTGCAAAAAATAACGATGAACAGTTTTTAAGTTATGGCTAAGCATCAGTAAAAGAGCAAAAGCAAATGAAATGCAAAATGGTGGCGACTCGGAAATTCTAAGTTTGGACGGAACCTTGCCTATCTAACAGTTGAAAACTGTAAGCGGTACAATTTTGAGGGGTAAAATGATCCTTCACCAAAGCAAAAATGTGAGAAAGAACGTGTCTGAGTTGGCTTTTCCATCACAACCATGATATTGGCAAAATTAAATTGCTAAATTTTGATAAATTTCAAACTAAGACAATAAGTTGTTACAATTCATTTCTCTGCTGTTTCTTAGTTTCTTTGTCCAAGAAAATGAGCTATTGTTGGAACAAAGAAATTTAAAGGAACTGTCTGTATTATAAAGGAGTAAGATTGATAAAGGAGTAAGATTGTTTTAATTAAAATCTGATCACAGGATAGAATGAACAATTTCTATTGAGTAACGAGAAGGGCGACCAGATTGTCGTTATATACTGAATTTTTATCTGGAAACTAAATACTCTTATTTCCTGTGAAGTATATCAAATGAATTGCCGGCATGATAATTTTTTGGCTCTCAATATAATATAGCAAGCATGTCAATTTAATAACGTACATATTATAGTGATTACTATTAGTAGTTAAATTTCAAACCAATCAGTCAGTCGACAACGTTTTACGAATAGATCTGCTCTGTTTCTGTTAACGATTGAATCCTATGATAACCCTTAAATAACAGTATATAATTCTAGTATACGAATAAAAGCTAATACTGTAATAGAAAAAGAGATTTTTCAGATTCCCACATATTGCCTGGTAGCTGTCTACCCTTATCTGAACCAATCAGACCACTTTGTCTTACCCGGACCAGTGATAGCCTATAAAACAAGGTCACGTGACATGATTTAAAAGGTCACGTGACACGCTTTATCGGGCAACTACAAACAAATTATTGCATTTTCATGGCGGATATTCTGAACACAGTTAACTGCACTGAAACTGAGGTTTTTAATCTTATAATTGGCAGCAAGAGTGGTTAAAGCTTACTATAAAACATGGTCACGTGACATGATGCGTTAGCTCTCACTTACCACCGTGTTTCTTTTTTAATCGGCTAACTTGTGTGATTATCAAGTTTTATTAGGCTAAGTTCTTAAAGCACTGTTGAAAGTCGATAGGGTTTCAGTCTTCAGATCGGGAATGTTATGTGAACATGCCATATTATTCAAGAGTGGTTAACTCCTATACTTACCACTGTGTTTATTTTTAAGCGGCAGAGTTGTGTGATTATCTACAGAAACAGAAAACATCGTCTGTACTTATCCTTTTACTAAGATGCTGTTTTTACAGGTTTATTAACGTTTCTACAGATTTCGTTAGGTAGAAATGCAGCCATGTACGATGAAAGAACACGAATATGAGGACTCAAATGGAAGTGGCTGCTATTATTGCAGGAAGTCTGTAAAGAATAAAGATGATATCTATTTTTAGAAGGTCAACACGCCAGGAAATAATCACCGTAAAATACTTTGAAATCAGACGATATCACCATATCAAAATACCACTAAAACTAATACTTGAGAAACCTGGCTTGAAAATTGAAAACTGATAAAAAAGACCATTTTATTTAAAAATAATACGTATCTAATATCTTACAGAGGTTTTAATAAATTATTAAAATCTCTGTGTATTATAAATACTTTAATAAATATGTGCCACACGAATTTCTTCCCTTGACCGTTACACTGAAATGGCGACAAGCGACGAAACATGATTACATAATATAATATGCTTGTTTCATCGCGATGATATAGGTTTAACTGAAAAGTGGCACACTAGATGCGATATAATACATGTCACATGCCTATACAGGTTTATATATATCTTGTCATTTTACTTATAACTTTATAACCAATCAATAAGATAGCGGGTGAAGCATCTTGTAAGCTGAAGAAAACACGTTGGGATACTGATAAGTTGATTTTTCTGAAGAGAGAAGGAGATTGGTGACAAGGTGACACGTGACGAGGTGACACGTGACGAGGTGACACGTGTTCCCTGAGCACATATCACTCTGAACATTGAACACGTGATGTGTGTCACGTGAGGTGTGTTCGGAGGCTAGTGAGGGTAGTTGTGTTAGAAGAGAGTGATATACTTGTAGTGTATTGGAGAAGAGAGAGAGAGAGAGAGAGAGAGAGAGAGAGAGAGAGAGAGAGAGAGAGAGAGAGAGAGAGAGAGAGAGAGAGAGAGAGAGAGAGAGAGAGAGAGAGAGAGAGAGAGAGAGAGAGAGAGAGAGAGAGAGAGAGAGAGAGAGAGAGAGAGAGAGAGAGAGAGAGAGAGAGAGAGAGAGAGAGAGAGAGAGAGAGAGAGAGAGAGAGAGAGAGAGAGAGAGAGAGAGAGAGAGAGAGAGAGAGAGAGAGAGAGAGAGAGAGAGAGAGAGAGAGAGAGAGAGAGAGAGAGAGAGAGAGAGAGAGAGAGAGAGAGAGAGAGAGAGAGAGAGAGAGAGAGAGAGAGAGAGAGAGAGAGAGAGAGAGAGAGAGAGAGAGAGAGAGAGAGAGAGAGAGAGAGAGAGAGAGAGAGAGAGAGAGAGAGAGAGAGAGAGAGAGAGAGAGAGAGAGAGAGAGAGAGAGGAGAGAGAGAGAGAGAGAGAGAGAGAGAGAGAGAGAGAGAGTAGTTGTTGAAGAGAGACGTGGCTGTGACAAATTGATATATTGTGGCGTAAACTTATCAGTTGAGGAAAAGACGATTATATCATAGTTTTATTAGTGGAGAAGGTTGTTAAGATGATTATCATGATTATCTGTTGGACTCGAAGGGAAATACACAATACGAGGCTTGAAATCTTTGTAAAAAACTACATCATAAGAGCCTCAAATTATTTATTATATAGTAGCGATTAAAGTAATATTATCATGATTATCAGTAGAAACTAGCAAACTAAAATAGAATGTCAGAGTTCAGACGTCCGTTAGTTTTGAAAAGCCGCTGCTGCGATGTTATCTCCTACTAACCCAAAGCAAAAATATGAGACATTACCATGGTAATCAGTAGAAAAGGTTGCTAAGATAAGATAACCTGCGAGATAAAACTGGACCCTTATCTGATATGATACTTACTATAAGACGAGCAATAAAAGTAAATTATTATCATAAGTGCCGACAGTTTTTGTTTATACTGCTATATGTAATACTGAATGAGTCCCTTTAAACGGCTAATTCGGGAGCTATATAGCTTGGATTGTTCAAGCTGTGATACCAGGTCAAAAATAATTAAGAATAGAGAAAATATAAGGAAAAAACAATTAAGAATAAAACTTGTTTAGAGAAAATATAAATACGGCAAAACTGACATTTTAACCAACATTGGTAACCTTGGTAACCTCTCACAGCCAAACCAGGACACTAGAGCAAAATCATACGGATTCTTAGTCTCCTCTCGTGATGGCTCGTTTGGTACCAAAGTGTTTAAGTTTGGAGGTTTTTTCACGTTTATGTCCCCATGTGCTAGGCCGTGGAAAGTGTCTCCATAAAGCTAAATTAGAATCCGTATAAATTTGTCCCGTACTTTATAGAATTGTGAAGTCATGGTCGTGAGGTGTCGCCAAGCATATGGAGCATTTTAAATCTTCAGATAAAGTTAAAAATTGTGATTTCGGAACTTTGTGGCCCGTTATAGATTCGGATACTGGCGGGGGGAGGTAAACCATAATTTTCTGTCACGTGACGGCGATGATTCACATACTATAGTTCGACAACTGAATTAGTTCGCTAGAATTCACCCC